ACACATCATGTAAGGTTTTTCTTGACCTTTGAGTAAAACTCTATATATGTTTTCTCATATTATGGGGTTTTCCAAAAAGATGAAAATTTATAAAATATTTTCTATATCTTTTCAACTAGTTAGTTCCCTATCTAAGGTAGATGAACAATAGCTAGCTTTATTCCTAAGTGTATGTGGGAATAATTTCATATTTGATCATTTCTGATGTAACTTCAAGGAGATTGACTAAATCACAGATCATATAATTTTTTTCTAAATTTTGATAAGGTTCCTCTAAAAGTAATTCACAAAAATTAGGAAGAATTTGAAATATTCCTTAATTGATCTCAAATCTAATAGTGGATCCTAATAGAACTCTAATATTGAATGGTCAGTCATTGGTAAGAATAGTCTGATTTGTTGAATAGTTATTAGTGATATGGAATGGTCTAAAAAGTTTAGGATATGTTACCCCCCTCCTTTGATCTGATATAGTATTGACCTTTCTCCTCTTTACTATTATATATTTATTGCAGCAAAAAAAAAGAGATAAAAATAGATTTTTTTGTGCACTTTAAGAGAAAAATAAAAATATATAAATATTATATAATATATCCTAGGAACAGCACTAAAATTTGGCATGACTAGTCATCATATATTCAATCACAAAAATTTTAAATATATAAAACTAGATAATAATAATTTTCAATTTTTTAGAATTATTTTTTAGAAATATATCAATTTTAAATTGATAAATAACTCCACAATAGTCACTACTTGAACAATGATTTGGGTGAGAACAAAGTTCTGCCCAACAATTCTTGCCTAAGTAATTTCAAAAGCATTAATTGATGAAATTTAGATCTATAAATGCTAATGAATAGTAATTGACTAAAGAAGAGTTTTGAAACTTAAATTCAAGTAAAAATATTATTAATCTAAAGATTAAACAAGTTTTACATAAATAAAATAGAGTTTAGTGACATGATAGCAATTGATATAGTTCTATAAATTTGAAAGGTTTCTCAGGGATGTCTCTTAGACATGCACAATGTGAACACTCTAGATTCTCATGTGAAGTCCAGAGGACAAAGGTAGGTGATGGTGAAGTGTCTGTGACAATTGTCACCTAATAGAGCGAAAGTTGATGGAAATACATATCTGGTGGCTATCACCTGACAAAGCTGAAATCAATGGAGGTAGAGCATGTCTTTTGGAGCTTCTTCCTTGGGTCCACATAGCAAGAGGAGGCTTGTATTGCATTTAAAATATTTTAAAAAGACTGCAATGACTCTCTTGGTGGTTCTCTTTGCCCTCGACAATGGCTCATTCATTGGCCAACTAGAGATACGATTTCCTACCAAAGTTGTTATTTTTCTATCTAAAATATTTGGTTAGTTACTAATAATGACAATCCTTGATTATTATTGATGAAAATTTCATCTGACTATTTTTCTCAACTTTTTCATTGATTGTTTCCCTACAAAAAAATTATGAAGTTAAATAGAATAAAATATTAATTTTCGTGTTAGTGAGATTCTAACCTCCACTAATCACCTAGCTGCATAAGTGAAGCTAAATAAATTGTTACTATACCTTAGAAACAGTAAACACATGAATGTGCTGTCTTCTCTTAATGCAAGAAATTTTTGACATTATTTTCACTGACAAGAGTCGTCAATGATTTAGTCACGCATTAGTTGTTTTGGAGAGTTTTAGATCCATTTAAGTTTGGGCTATCTAAGTTGTTAATTCTCTTCTCTCATAAACAAAATGACGAAAATCACTTGAGAAGAAGAATAGATGGGTGATACACCCTCATGCAACACATGTGTGACAAGTTTGTACCTTGTCCCACCTATTGGTTTGGCTTCAATGATGTGGAAGAGGAGTGATGTACATGTGTCCATGGGTCCTTAGCCACTAGAGCCTAGCTCATTGTTCCCCCCAATCTAAGTTTACCCACTTGAGCACAACATCCTCTGCATGTCAATTGTCAAGTGCCGACTGGCCACCAAGTTCCCTCTTTTTAATATTTTTATTTATTTTATTTTTATTTATTTATACCTAAAAATATGAATTAAAATTATATAAATTACATAAGTAATCATAAATTCACATTATTTATATACAAACTATTTTTCATAATTTAAAGTAAATATAAGACTTTATCATGAGTTAATTTATAAATAAATTATTAACTATTAGAGACTTATTAATTACCTTAAATTAAAAATCACAATTGAAAAGATGTGGCTTAGCTTCATACTTCTTACATCCCTAATGGTTGATAATTTTAAAAGTTTATGAATAAATTTTTACATTTTTTATAAAAAATTTATCATTAAAAAATGTGTAGTTTATATCCCTATTCAAAGATATGTGGTGAAACCCTAATTCAACTCCTCTTTTTTTCCAAACAAATGTTGTTCTGAAGCCTATAGCTACTAGTTTCAGCAGTTTGACACCTTTCCCAACCCAATGAGATGTTACTCAACTCATTTGATCTTTCCACCATAAGATCTACATCAATGTTCTAGGGAGACATATATTCCACATATTAACATGTTTTGCTTGTTTCACATCAAGGTTCTATTCGACACACATATGATAATATGTTATCCCTTTCCCTCTACTAAAAGTTATGATTTGAGTTCAATCAAATTTCTATTAAGAGACAAATAGTGGTAAAAACAAAAAGTATTCCTCATATTGAATAGAGGTTCTACAAGTTAAGTCCTGCCTTGTAATGCAATATGTTCTCCAAAATTAATTTAGGCCCTCATACTTGCCCTAACCTTGAGTAAAACTTTTGAACATGGGCTCAACTATGCCCATTTAAATCTATTTGGCTGAACTATTCTTTTTATTTATCTGTTTATTTAGATATATGTAATGTCTAGACATTATTGGTACATGCACTATCTCCAATTGAGTTTCAGGGTTTGGTTCATGATAAAATGAAATCAAGGGTCATTGAAAGCACCAAATCAATTGATCAAAAAATATTTAGAATTACAAATTTTTCAGATTAAAATACTAAAATAGATAAGTATAGTGATAAGCTCAAGGCCAATCTATAGGAAATGAGAATTAGACATTACTAAGTTACTATTTACTTTGATTGATAGATATAAATCAAACAAGCTCAAAGAAGAGGTGACGGTGAGTAAGAAGAATTTTTATTGTCGGAAAAAGGGAAAAATATAAAATTAACTATGTAGATGATGCTAGAGAGTTGAACACACACATAAAAGATTCGTAATGTGGAATCAAAATTATAAATCACCCTATTTCAGACCTACGAATACCTAACTAATTGATTACACGCAGAACATGTCAAACCTAGATGAACTTACCTCAGGCTTGTATAGTCACTAAGGCCAGACAATTTTCTCTTCGAGTAGCTATTCTAAGGATTTACATTTTGAATCGACACTTGAATCAACTAAAACATATCCAAATTTAATATGAAACCTCAATGTTGTTTCATACGAACCGACAAAATGTCAGAACATTCAAAGTTAAGTTATTTCGGTCCTAAATGACGGCTTAAATGTGTAAGGGTTTACACAAGAGGATGGGAATACACATATAGGGATGTGATTAAATGAGAGTATTTCTATCTTTTTTGCTACAATAAAATCAGACGAGAGTTAGTTTCTTCTCAAGTTAATCTGAACCGTTAGATTTGGAAGTCTTGTCGTAGTTATAGAAGCTTCCTAAATGTTGAGATTCACTGCACCCTCAATAAGTATGCTCTATTTGATGTTGATTGTGTAGATGTTCTTGGTAGCTTTTGATCTCCTTATTTGATGATGCCACGTGTTAGTGCATCAACCCTTGATTCTATTATCACCTCATCTCCACATAATAAATCTCGTCCATCGAAACATATATCGACTTCTTAAAAAGCATAAAAAGATATCAAAAATTCTTGAAATTATCTCATATTAATAAAAATAATAATTATGACTGTAAAACTCAGAGAAAAATTCCAAAAAAATCTCTAAAATATTAAACTTCATGAAATACTCAAAGAAATAATAAATGTTTATTTTTTAATATGATAACATACTATATTATAAGATTTAAGCTCTTGAATAAAATAATTCTTACGCATTTCATGTCATAATCAGCATGTTATGAGTCCATTGGTGCACAAAACGAGTATGATCTTCTTATAAGTCAATGCCTTTTATATTTTTAGTATTATGGTTGTGACCATTTCCACCATCAAACTGTAACCACTTGCCACACTTGCTAAGAGCAGTAAAAAAGAAAGGTGCCATGGCCTCTTTTCACTAGTATTCCTAGTTGTGATCTCACTGCCTTATGAGATGAGCAACCTACTAGCATAAGAGTACTACACCTGCATATGAAGCAAGTTGAAGGACCAAGAATTTCAATATAATATTTTTAAAACGCAATAATAAGATGGAAATGCTAACTCAGAAAATTATGATTCAATCTCGTCTAGTGGATAAGTTGATTTAATCTTGACACATCAATCTCTCAAGAGGGCTGACCTTATGTATGTTTAAATTAATTACAAAGATAACACCAAATATAACCAATTCTCTAGGAGCAATATTGTCCAATATTTATTAAATGACTAGGAAATACCCTACACTATTTCCCAAATATAAGCCCACCTAGTTGTTATTTTATTGAAAAAGAGGGTTTTTCTGAATAAAATTCCAAATAAAAAAAATCCTAAAGAAATTCTATAAAGTCAACGGTGTCGGTGGGTTGGGTCCAGGGTTCGCGACCCATGTTAAAGCCCTAATTAAAGCCCAAACGGGCGCCGGCAAAAGCCTAGAAAGTGCAATCCAGAGCATTGCCAGCCTTCTCTACGCTAACCACGCATGTGTTCATGGAACTGCCACGTAGAAAGAAGATCTAGCCAGTCCAATCCGAAACCCAAAAGAGGGAAAGAAAAAAAGGGCAACCAAACAGTCTTTCGGATTAGTCCACGCCAGTTCAGAATATCCACCGACACTCCAGGAGGGCTGTGGCTATCAGCTGCCGACGACTACGGGCTCGAACCCTCTCTCGATGGACGCCTTCACGGCGTCCACCACCAGCTGGGTCTTCCTCGTGATATCGGGCCACTTCTTCTCCGGCTTCCCCCCCGCCCCCCTGATGCCACCGACGAGCCTCGAGAATTCCGCCACCATCTGCGCCTCCTGCGGCAGGCCGGAGCTCACGACGTGCCGGCTGGGCAGCGGCCCCCAGCTGGTGTGGAGGTCGGAGAACTCGGCGCAGGAGGAGAAGGAGAAGGCGGCGGAACGCTCCTCCGCGGGGATGACGAAGTCGCCGGCGTGCAGCGTGCCGGCGGAGCCCACCGCCGTGAGCTCTATCGTCATGTTGGCGAGGAAGGAGCAGTGGAAGGTCGCGGTTTGGCCGTCCTTCCAGACCAGGGAGGCGCCGCAGGAGAGGATGACACCGGCGGCGTTGGTGACCGGGTGGCGGAGCGCCACCACCGACTCCGGCAGCTCGTAGTCGACCGCCCAGAGGATGCCGCGGATGCAGTACCAGCCCACGTCTCCCAGCGCCCCCAACCCGTCCAGCTCGGGCTTCACCCGGATGTCGTTCTCCAGGAAGCTTGGGCCTGCGACGAAGGTGAAGATACTGTTCACCTGCCCGCCGCAGAAGAAGAAGATGATGATGATGGGGAAGAAGAAGAAGAGGAAGACTAGAATGAACAACGTCTATCGACAGAATCGAACCCATGAATCATCATCATCATACAGAAGCTCGATCGACGAGATTACTCCTGCGAATTAGATCGACCCATTTGACGACGAGGGTTTGGGAGTAATCGCGCAGCCGGATGAAGAAGACTTGCATTCATCGGTTCGACAGAAGATTTCGATCATACGGAAGATTTCGATCGATCAGATTTCGGCAGCGAACTAAATTGACACGATTTGGGCTAAACGTCGAGAGGAAACATCGTCAGGGAAATTCGACGACGAGGAATCCGGATTCGTGATAGATAATCAAGAAATATTAATTAAATCTTGTCAGATTTCGAAAATTTTCCTCTCTCGGGGAGTATGAATCGAGTGTTCGTACCGTTCTGAGCTTGCCGAAGCGGACGGGGTCGGAGAGGAGCTCCCTCATGGCGGCGGTGCGGGGGTGGTGCATCCACATGGTGGAATCCATGAACTGGACTCCGGCGGCGTCGCAGGCGGCGAGGATCTCATCGAGGTCGGCGGCGCAGAGCGCCGCCGGCTTCTCCAGGAGGAGATGCTTCCCGCTCGCCGCCGCCGCCACCCCCCAGCGCAGGTGGAGGCTGGTGGGGAGGGGAAGGTAGACGGCGTCCACGCGCGGGTCTGAGAGGACCTCCTCGTAGCTACCGTAGGCGGCGACGGCGGCGGCGTCGAGGCCGTTGTCGGAGAGGAAGCGGCGGGACTTCTCCAGGGAGCGGCTGCCGACGGCGACGACGGCCGCGTTGGGGGCCAGCCCGATAGCCCGCGACAGCTTCCTGGCTATCATCGCGCACCCAATTATCCCGAACCGCACAGTCCCCTCCTCCCCTGCGGCGGAGGCCATTATCCCTCCTCCCTTCTATCTCTCTCCCTCCCTGCCTGCCTTTCTCTCTCTGCCTATATATATATACAGATCTCTCTCTCTCTCTCGCTCGGCACAAAGATCTCCTTCCTGGGCTGATGTGCATGTAGACCTACTGGGCCTGCTGGGCTTCCCTCCGCCGGTCTGTCCCAGAAGGCACCTCAGTTAACCACACGGCTTTTGTCCCTTGCATAGAGATAGATAGATAGATAGAGATAGAGAGAGAGAGAGAGAAGGGATATCACTGTGACGGAATAGAATGTTCCATGCTAGGTTCAACGAGGATTTGATCACCCAGATTATGAAAGACATCGTGGAAGATAGGATCTAAGCTGGGACCTGTAAACCCTGCTGTCCGGCCCTCACAGAGACTGGATTAGGGCAATACCAGCCCTGATTTTCAGCCCTAAACCAGAGAAAAATCATGCTGCTCTCCAGACCGACTGCTCACCCATCGACAGACACACCCTATTCATACATACTTGGAAGAAATCATCCATATTAATAAAAGGCAAAGGAACCGATTAGATTGACAAACATGAAAGAAAAATGGGAGAAAAATGATTCAGAGTTTTATATGCTGTGGAACATTCTGCTTCATCAGCAACGTCATCTGTGGGACCGAGGGGTTTATCAAAAACTGTAGGCATATATACATCCCGGGGAGGAGGAGGAGGAGGAGGAGGGGAGGTGGCGCTATACATGGAATCCATCCAAACCCTTCTGCCGCAGAGGAACAGCAAAAAATATGCATCAAATTGGCGTTTGTAAAACTTAGTTTATTCCAGAATATCAGGTTTGAGCCGATACCTTCTTCAGTGGAACAGCCTGGGAACCGATTGCTTGGGTATTTTGCCTTCGAGCTTCAGCCTCCTGTAAGCCTCCCTGATGTGGCAGGGTCTGAGGGGCCCGCTCTCCTTCCGCTCGGTCATGATTATCCGGCCTGCTGTTCCACGTGAATGAAGTTAAGAACAGTGCTTCAAAGTAAAAACCCATCTCATCTGCATCTCAATCTCAGACTGCGGCCCGCAGAAACCGGCTGATCCAGTGTGTAACCAGAATTGTAGTAGGAAGCCTTGAGGTTTTACCATAAAGGAGTGAAGAGCAATTCTGCCATCATAATCCCCAAGTTTTTCATTCCAGGCGTGGATTAAGGAGCGGTGAAGCTCATAGAGTCAGTATTTGAGAGGGAGGAATGTATGAGCAGATCATGGATGAAATCTAGAATGTAACATGAACGAAAATAAGATATATCGGCAGTAGCACTGCAAGAGAAATTCGACTCCAGTTCTGGAAAGAGATGTCCACTTGCCTATCTCGACGAGTTCCCCAACAAACATTTTCGCCATTCCACACACAACAATAGTCATGGGCACGGAAACCTTCTGACTTCCAGTCACATTGGTCAAAAGCTGCAGCAGAAGGAGTTCTCTTAATCGAAAATAATCCAGTCAAACTCCAAGGCATCCATACTCGACAATTACAGAATCGTTTGGTTGTCATATGTCCCGAGTACAAAATAAATTATTGAGAAATGATATATTTGATACCTTCTTCATGTTGGATCTCTGGAAATTAGACCTTCGAAATGACTCGTATCTGTTCATTTGCTCCTTTGTAAATTGGGCCAATAATCCCCTGTAAGATTGAAAGCCGATATCAGATAGAGATCCGTTAAACAGGAAACCTAATAATAAATATCTACACCTCATTTCCTAGATCTCGAACTACCATGCACTTGGTTCTTCGACCAAGTAATGGGGAGCTTTGCTTGAATAATTTCTCCTATCCATGTAAGCATGGTGCCTTATGAATAAATTGATAATAGTTTCCCATTGAAGCAATAAGTTGGTCGCTTTGTTTTTAATGACATAAAACACCGACACTTTTAGAGGGGACGATCCTCAAAACGTCAGCTTAACAAAACAATCGCCACTTTCCGTATGAATTATGATTAGTCTCATGATGAACCTGCGACTGAATGGTAGGCAGAAAATCGAAAAGACTACCTACGAATAACATGAGTGAAGCCAGAGCTCAAAAAAAAAAACAAAACGTAAATGTTTACCGAGAATTTTTGTGGATAAGAATGATAAGAGTGGTCATAATTTTTCCAAAAGGTAGGATGCAATCCGAGATGACGTAGACTGATGTGATGAGAAAAAAACTGGTGTTGCAGCACTGTCCTCGACAAAAAAAGATCACTGGGAAGCTCACGATTTAATCAGACGCTCTGGCCTTGGAAAACTTGGGACTCGCTTCGCAGTGAATTTTCAGAAATTGGAAAGGCAATTTCCACGCGAATGAGCATGGACACGCCAACCAATGAGGCAAAGAAAGAGAAAACTCATCACCAAAGGGAAGAGGAACATCATGAGAGAAATAGATCCGAAGCAATGAGAAACACAAACAAAAATAATACGCAGACGAATTCGTCAGTAATGCGGAACTGGGAAATTCATCAAACGGTCAAACTTCATCCAGGAAAAATGGTATCCGGGGAGTTCTCATTATATGCAGGCCTAGAAAAAAAAACACACGGTGACGGGTACAAATCTTGCAAAAGGGAAGAGGAAACAATCCCTTCATGACCGAATCTGCTTGAAGAAAGAAAAATCTATCCTACATTATAAAACGATATTCATTATCCCTTCCCTTCTTTCTAGGGTTTGTTCTCTCGGCGGGAGTGACGAGAATCACGGAGAGATCACCACTCACTTTATCTTGTCAACCTTGTGAAGATCGCCAGAGTGGAGCCTTCCAATGTCCACCTCCACATTATCCTCCTCCTCATCCTCATCGTCCTCCTTCCCTCCCCCCTCCCCTCCTCCCCCCAAATCCCCGGAAGCCGCCCCCACGCCGCCAGATGAGATGACCGGGGTGGAGAACGACGGCGCGCCCTGCTGCGATGGGCCCCCGCCGTCATCCTCAGACTCGCCGGAATCTTCTTGGGAGCCGACGGCCTCCTCCTCCGGCGGCGCCGCCGGCGACCCCGGCGGGGAAGCTTCCAACTCCGCCTCGATCGCTGCCTCGAAAGGGTCCCTCATCACCTCCCCCGCCCCTCCGAGGAACAAACGAGAAACTAATCATCATTGACTAGCTCATATATATATATATATGTATATATACTCCTGGAAGGGCCCATATCAAACCAGTCGGGCCCACTAAAAATGGGCTTATTGGGCTAATGAGTCAATAACCAACCAAAACAGGCCCACCTGGAGCTGCCGCGTGCATCCGATTTGGGCCCATTTATTTGTAGGCCCAGTTTTTTAGGCCAAAAATAGGTTTTTTCAATACTAAATACTATTAAAATACGGGTGGAAAATATATTTATGAATATATAAAAATATATAAATAATATTTGCGTTCTAGAAAAGATCCAACTTTTTCGACAGACCGGGCTGTGGGCGCGAGGCGCTCGTGGCCCCACAGCATCAAGTACGGCCACAGAAAAGGGCACGTGGCGAAATCCGAGTGGAGGAATGGTCGTCGGATGATCTGGAGGCCCCCGACCCACACATTCGCACCCCAGCGTTATCTCCCGCCTAGACACGAACCAATTCCAAATACCCCTCAAGATAAGTAGAGTAACCAAACTACCCCTCCAACGGTGCCCTCCAGGATATAGCTTTGGGGCAATATTGTTATTTATGTCTGTCAGGGGTATTTAGGGAGTTTAACAACTTCTGGGGTGGGAAGGAATGCAGAAAAAATGGTAAAAGGAGAGGTGGGATTTTAGATTTTCTTTAAATATCCTCCCATCCGAAGTGTTCCGCCCCACACAATACAGTCTCTGGTTTCTCTGCGGCGTCGCTTCTCGCCGGCGGGGAGAACTCCAGGTAGCAGAGGGGAGGAGGAGTCTCCCTCTGGGAAGGTAGCTTGGCGGTGCGTCTGTCTGGGATGTGGTAGGGATTCTGGAGGAGGGGTATCATCTATGGATCTGACGGCGAAGCTCTGCGGGATGAAGCTGCGGTCGTCTGCCTTCCTCGCGGGGCCGCCCATTTTGGACGCCCATGCGCCTCAGGTAAGGGGATGCCATGGGGTGTCGGTGCCGTTCAAGCGGGTGCAGGTCTCGGCGTCGAGGGGCGCCGGTGGAGGATTGTCCAGGGGTAAGAATCCCAGGCTCGCTGCTCGAGTGCTGCCCCCTGCGGCGACGATCGATACCGTGGTCGCCGAGGTGGACACGGATGACGCGGCCGTCGATATTGAGTCCCTTTTCTCGGAGTCCGGTGGTGGGGAAAGCAGCGGGCAGAGGAGGCAAGGGAAGAAGAAACAGAGCGTTGGCGCGTCGGGTGTGTCGTCCGGGGTGCGGCTAGAGAACATCAGAAAGAGTTTCAAAGGGGTGACGGTGCTTAAGGATGTGAGCTGGGAGGTGAAGAAGGGGGAGAAGGTGGGGCTGGTTGGTGTGAACGGGGCTGGGAAGACTACGCAAATGAGGATTATCGCGGGCCTGGAGGAGCCCGACTCGGGTAATGTGATCAAAGCCAGGGAAAACATGAAGATTGCATTTCTGAGCCAGGAATTCGCTGTCTGCCAGAGCAATACGGTGAAGGAAGAGTTTTTGACTGCCTTCAAGGAAGAGATGGAGGTTGCACAGAGGCTGGACAAGGTGCAGAGAGCACTGGAGAACACAGTGGAGGACTTGGAACTGATGGGGCGGTTGTTGGACGAACTGGACTTGCTTCAAAGACGATCCAAGGACGTGAATCTCGGCGAGGTGGACATTAAAATTAGCAAATTAATGCCTGAGCTTGGTTTTGCACCAGAGGACTCTGACCGCCTGGTGGCATCATTCAGTGGCGGTTGGCAAATGAGAATGTGCCTTGGAAAAATCCTTCTTCAGGTATATTCATGTGTTGATGTTTCGTAATTTATTATTGAATAAGTAGACTCTTTTATTTGGATTATTGTGGAGCTCCATAGAATCTGGCTGTTCTTACTTAATATGTCTCTTGGCAGCCGATCTAATTTTGTTTTATTCAACGTTTTGTGATAGTGGAAGAGGCTTGACTTGTCTATGCAAGATGCCCCTCGTCAAAATAATCTTTTGATTGACAAGAATCATCCTATTGCAGAAATACACATCAGTGATGAAAACCTATTTCTTTATTTGGTTCCATTTATTGGTCGGTTAGTATTCATGACTAGTTTTTTTTTACCCTCACCTAGCATCTAGCTAGCTACCTTTGTATTCACTTTGTGCGAATTAGGTATTTATTTTACATTCAGATAGGAATGATTAAACCTTCAGATATTTACTTCACTTTTAGTTTGTTCCCCTAGATTATACGTTATCATTTTTCGTAATCTTCGTATTCTTTCACCATCTATTATGGTAGCGCATGTCATGTTCGATTGGTTTAATGATTTTCTGTGTGCTAAAATTCTGCTTCTCCACACTTTTCATTGGTCCTTATTTTCCTCGTTCACTGTTGATGAGCTGTTTTAGATTTGTGAAAGGATGATAAGGTATAGAAGACATGAGAGATTTTATTACCCACTACTGATTCCGAAAGTACAAAATGGGCTCCTCTTTGCTGAGAACTGCTTTTGAATTTGCTTTAGAGGTTGACTTGGTTTTAAACTGGACTTCTTTACTGAGTGAGGGAACATTTTTGAGTAGCGGATGTTTACTTTTGCATGTTCTGGGCAACAGCCCATGCTCGTGCTCCTGCTTGGGATGGGATTGTTTTGGAATACACGTGCAGCTATGTTCTTCTACATATTTTTCTCTCTCTTTTATCATCCATTTGCGATTCTACTGTCTTTGGTTGGAGATACTGTTTGTGCTTGTTGACCAAGGAGAATGAATGTGCAGGAACCTGATCTTTTACTACTGGATGAACCCACAAATCATCTTGATCTGGACACAATTGAGTGGCTTGAAGGTTATCTTACAAAGCAGGTCGTGCCCATGGTCATCATCTCACATGACAGGGCCTTCCTCGATCAATTATGCACAAAGATTGTTGAAACTGACATGGGAGTTTCTAGAACTTTCATGGGAAACTACTCTGAGTATGTTTTGGCTAAAGCAACTTGGGTAGAAGCTCAATATGCAGCATGGGAGAAGCAACAGAAGGAAATTGATCATACCAAAGACTTGATAAGCAGACTGGGAGCAGGAGCGAATTCTGGCCGCGCATCCAGTGAAGAAAAGGTACACACTGCTGTCTTAGCCTCAATCTCCTAGAGAGCTACATGCGTCACAGTCCATTCCCCTCCACCAGCTATGTAAATTGATCTTGAAGTCAGTTTTTTGTGTGGATTATCTATACCACTCTTTTATTTTAACATCATGTTTTCTCGACAGAAACTGGAAAAACTCCAAGAGGAAGGGCAAATCGAGAAGCCCTTCCAACGGAAACAAATGAAGATCAGATTCCCCGAACGTGGAAGGAGTGGCAGAGATGTAGTAATGATAAACAACCTAGAATTTTCTTATGGTGATGAGGTATGTGAAAGAGAACATCGTCTAATTATATTGTCTCCACGCAAACCTAAATATCTCAATTCCTATTACCGATTTCTTTTTCAGATGCTATTTAATGGTGCAAATCTACTGGTTGAGAGAGGCGAAAAAATTGCCATCATCGGCCCGAATGGCTGTGGGAAGAGCACATTACTAAAACTGATAATGGGTTATGAGAAGGCCAGAAGTGGTGAAGTTGTGCTCGGTGATCATAATGTCTTGCCAAACTATTTTGAGCAGAATCAGGTACTCTGCCTTTTTCCTTCCTTTTTTTTTTTTTTTCCAATTTCTGTGATCATCGATCATTTCTTTCAGCCATCATCTGCTGGATATGGTACCATCTGTGTATCCTAATGAAAATTTTCGGAATCCACCAACATTGATTCCTAAACAAAAGCTGGAACCCCAAATTTCTGAGGTGGTTTTAGAACTGTTCACTGAGACAGTGGCATTGCCTTAATGCTGCATGACCAGGCGGAAGCTCTCGATCTGGATAAAACAGTGCTTGAAACAGTCGAAGACGCTGCAGAGGACTGGAGAATTGATGACATCAAGGGTCTCCTGGGTCGCTGCAACTTCAAAGCTGACATGCTTGACAGAAAAGTCTCTCTCTTGAGCGGTGGAGAGAAGGTGAGCGTGCGCCAGTTCATCTTTCTTTATCCGTTTCTTTAGTTTGAACAGTCCGGCGTTGACTGGGAGAAAATGAAAAAGCCTGCAATTCTATACACGGACAATGATCGAAGATCACATTCTTCTGTGTGGTGCCACGCAGGCAAGGCTCGCCTTCTGCAAGTTCATGGTGAAACCATCCACCCTGCTGGTGCTGGATGAGCCCACTAACCACTTGGACATTCCGTCAAAGGAGATGCTGGAGGTACTGTGGGTTGACTTTTGTTCATTTGTGAGTCAACTGTGCCTTTCTTCGGCTCAAACTTACACTTGTCTGGGCAGGAAGCCATCTCCGAATATAAGGGCACCGTGATAACCGTCTCCCATGACCGATATTTCATAAGGCAAATTGTCAACAGAGTGGTGGAGGTCAACGACGGGCACCTCGAAGACTACAATGGTGACTACAATGTAAGGCGTTTTTTCAGCACCTTTGTCTGTCATAATTTATGAATGCTAGGCTAGCGGCATCAATGGGGCCACGCAGCTCTCCAGCCCAGTCTGGCCTTCCAGGCTTTGGCCAAGGAAGAGCTAGCCTCATTTATCTGCCAGCAGCCAGCTGATTCTCTCTCTCTCTCTCTCTCTCTCTCTAGTATTACCTGGAGAAGAACTTGGAGGCTAGGGAAAGAGACTTGGAGCGTGAGGCCGAGCTTGAGGCCAAGGCCCCCAAGGTCAAAGCCAAGTCCAAGATGTCAAAGGTGACCCCCAAGCCCCTCTCTCTCTCTCTCTCTCTCTCTCTCTCTCTCTCTCTCTCTATGGCTGATGGGTGGTATGAATTGATGCAGGAGGAGAAAGAAGCCAGGAAGAAGCAGAAGATGCTGGCGTTTCAGCAGTCCAAGGCGAAGTCAAAGGGCCTGAAGAACGCAAAGCGCTGGAAGTAAAGAAGCAGCTCCCCCTTCATCTGTAAATCCTCATGTAAGTTATGTCAAGGCACAGCTAGTCTTCTCCTGCCTCCTTGCACTCTCTGTACATAATTCGATCATATCTTGGTCCATCACCTATCTCTTTGTGACACCCAACACACACACACACACACACACAAACCTGTTCAGAGGAAAAAAAAGAATCAAAAAAAAAAAAAAAACTTGATTATCCATTATCCTTATGCAAAAAATAAAAATAGTTAGGGGCTTTGTTTGACTCTCTTCAGTCTGAAGTTGCTTGCTTTCTTAGCAGAATTTACAGCCTTATTAGAAAAATATTTCTGAAAAGGATTATAGTGTTTGTTTGTGAAATTAATCCACAATAAATGGAAATAATAAAGGGGAAAAATAGATGAGATGCATCTGTGGAATGAATTCAATGAGATGGGTTTTTCTTAATTTTTAATCTCAGATATTCTTTTTTAGTTATAATCATCTCTCGACTGCGAGGATGAAAAGATCTAATATATTTATATACATTCTAAATAATATAATATGCATATCTGGACTATAATGTTCGGGTTTCATTTTGAACCTAATTTCCTAATAATTAATTATTTTATATTCATTGAATGAAATTTTAATTAATATTTCAATTACTTTCTTGATAAACCCCCCCCCCAAAAAGGCGGGTTAGTCAGTTTCTATAACTTGAACAGAGGCTGGGCCGGGCCCGATGGAAAGGCCCATTGATGTAAACTAATAGTTGTTAAGGCTTTATATTAAGTGATAATGTCATCCAAAAATCAGTGAAAAAATAAAATAATTAAAATGATCAACCCCTCAAATGAGTTCATATGTTTAATCGAAGTTTACAACGTTGGAGGAAGAAATACGGTAATAATCTGGGTACTTGGTGCGGGCCGGGCCCAGCAAGGTTTCTCAGCTCCTGGGCCCATCGGGCCTTAAGACGGGCCCGACTTCATTTCCGGAGGGGGGGGGGCTCTCATCTTCGTCATTTTTCCAGGATGAACTCCTGGATCTCTATTCCCGTGTGCCTGGCGCCGCCATGAACACTGAAGAGGACTTCATCTCCCACCTTCAAGGAGGTCACTGGAATGGACGTCCCCTTTGACCCTTCTGCACAGCACAGCACAGCACAGCACTAATAAATAAGTCAACGCCACAAATCACTGAAGAGCAAGACTAATGCCCAAAGTAAAATCGAAACTCCTCTCTCTCTCTCTCTCTCTCTCTCTCTCTCTCTCTCTCCCCTCTCTCCTCTCTCAATGTCAATATATATGTTTATATATATATATATAGAAAGAGAGAGCGAGAGAGAGAGAGAAAAAGAGATGCTTATTTATATAGAGGAGAGGAACCTTCGTGTGGGGGAACCAGGCCAACAGTCTCGGCATTCTGTAGGAAGAGGCTGTAAGAGACATTGTCATCTGGGTGTTCCTGTCCATGAACAAGATCGCACCATCAGGCATTGTGAGAATGAAACAGGAAGAAGATTCCCCGACCCTTTTCATGAATAAAGATGCATATATCTATATAATTATCCAAGATTGATCAATAACTAGGGAATAATAGAGAGAGAAAGAGAGAGAGAGAGAGAGAGAGAGAGAGAGCCAACGAGATTAAAAGTGTCCCTTTTGATATGGGGCTTGTCTACCATTTCAGGAAATATGCTAGAAAACCAGGATGGTCGGTGAATGGTATTAAGGGCAGACCTTTGCTTCCACAAGGACGAGGGACCTCGACTCAACTTTGATGCGGCCCACAATGGCCACACGTTGCCTTCCTCCTCGGTCAACGACCATCACCTCCTTGCCCGCATGCAGCTCCGATAGGTAGCAGGTCTTCCCTCCTGGAACAGCAACATATGCATGCACCGGGCCCTGAAACCTCTCATCAGCTCTCTCTCTCTCTCTCTCTAGATATATATATATATAATATATATTTCATAATGTAATCTTGGGCTCACCGCATTGACTCGAAAAGGCCGACTGGCGATGTAGTTTGACTCCAGGCATTCTGAGTGGACAAGAAACAGGCCTCTGGCGAATGACCCAACCTGCAATAGTCAACGGATAATAAGAAACAATCGATTAATGAGAGATGGGTTAGCCATAAAACAATTTTTTGCGGCGGAAAACTGACCGCCAGACCCACCAGGAGGCCTTCCCCGGGCAGCATGACGCTGCAGAGGTCCACACACACGCGGTCGCCCATCCCAGCTACTTGGACCCGCGTCACAGTGGCCTTACTCAAGCCCACGGCGTTCTTCACCTCTTGTGTTCTATCAAAATACTCCTGAGATATTAACACCGCCATTAACTTGCAGAAACCAAGAACTGCAGATTGAAGCAAACGCAAAGAGAGGGCACTGAGAGAGTAAAACGATGATCTTCTTCAGAGCAAGTATACTGAATTTCGCCATGTAAACACCATCAATGCCGAGTATAATGATCCATGATAAAGAAGCCTAAATGGCGTTTTTAAAAGAAAAATAAATAATTATGATGAAATGTCGTTGACCAAACTTCTTAAATTACAAGAAGAGGGTATCGACTATCACTGATGTTTACAGAAGTAGAGCCATTAGTCATTATGCAGAGAAGATTATTCCATTTACTGGGTTCCCAATGGGGTTATGTAAATCGAAGGCCAATTAGGGGTTCAATCCTACTAGTTTCTCATAAAAATATTTTCTGATGAGTAGATAATCTAGCATGTATCAAAGTTTGGAGGATTAATTGACTGGATACCCGAGAACCATAATCTTTCAAAGGAACAGCTTCTAAGCCACTCTAACCCCATCCCGTGGCCAGAAATCGGCTGGGTAAGCGGCCAGGACAAGAACAAGTGGAGAGATGAATGAGGAATAAGCAGAGAGAAAGAGAGAACTGAGAGATGAAAAGATGTTGGTGGTAGAACCCTAATTTTCCATCCCTCAGAAAACTTAATCTAAGTTCGTTTTAACATTTTCTTTGATTTCCAGATCGCCCTCACTTTCTCTTCACTAACACGCTCAATTTCATGAGAAAATAAAATCGAAATAAACTGTCTTCTCAATCAAAACGCACTGATCAGCCATGTCCATGCGTTTCCATAAGAAATGTCATGCTAATTATGATGATAATGATAATTATGATGATGATGATGAGAACAATGAAAGTATCAGACTGAAATAATGGATAATGGTTTCAGAAATGTAGATGATGGAAACATCAAATGTAGCACATACAGATCCAACTTAGTCACGATCAGTTCTTTGAAGATGTGCAATAAATGATCAGAAGATACCTTTAATCCGATAATTTGATGGACATTATCCACTTTGAGCACAACCCCACCGAGCCCTTGCTCCAGTGCCTATACAAACGCATCAGGAACTCTTGATGAAGGAAGCAGTGGGCCGCATCTGGGGCCCCTTTGTATACTTCAATACTAGTTTAAGGAAGCTACCTCAAGGAAGACTTGAGCTTCAGTAGATGAAGAGGCAATGGCAAGAACAGTCTTTGAACAGCCTTGGAATGCTGCAACGATGTTCTCAGCGGGTATTACCTTCGGAGGTGAAGATTTACGTTCATCAAGAACAAGAAGAACATACGTAAATTGAAGAAAACGTAAAGACTTGAGCTCAGATTAATGGAACGAGAATTAGGTAGTATTTAAAATGATCAGAATCCCAGTTTTGGGCATGGGCAATCGATAATTAACATGTAAAGTTCCCCCCTCCTAAAGTCTGTGACATTCTTCTGATATCCAACCATGTATGGGCCATCAGGAAATATCATAATCCAACTATCACCATAGTCTGATAAATCTAAAAAAAAATTGAACCACTTAATTATAATCCTATATTCCATAAGAAATTAATAATTAATATATTGCCTACGATGGTCATTAATCACTCTATTATATTGTACATTAAAAAAATGTCAGAAAAACATTCTATATATGAAATCAGAGATGATAGAGCGAAGGACCAGAGAATCAACACTGGGGTCTGCAAAGGATGGTCACCCAATTAGATCATTATTTCAACACATCCGCCTAGCATGGATGTATTTGCCCTGCAGAAAAAAAAATATTGGCGAATATATGAACTTTAACAAGACCATGAGCTTACACCTGCCATCCTCCCTGCAGGTGGATCACCACATGCCCATCTCCGTCATCAGGTTGAAGCTGCTCTAACTGCTGGGGGGAAGAAATCTCATGAAATGATGCGACCCTCTTGTTTTCTCCATCAAGAATATCAGATCCTTGGAGGGCGAGAGGATTTATAAGAGCAATGGCTGCGACATACAAACCAAGAACTCACATGATCGAGAGCAAATAATGAAGAGAACCACAGAATAATAGATTGTCAAGTTTCTCATGAACATCTAGCTTCATCATGCTAAATCGATCAGCAGAAGAAAATGATGGTAACTATTCGCTGTATTATCCCCATGATTTCATCCCCACTGAACAGTCCCCATTAATGGAGTCGGCTGATCAAGCTAAGCACGGAAATTAGAGACGACAGATTAAAATAATTGTCAGCAGAATCTTTCATATCGTTAGAGAAAGATCGATAAACTAGTAGTATATGTTTTATATTTGATCGAAGCGTGAAAGTCCCAGCAGGGTAAGGAGCATAGGAACCGTACAGGACCAGTCATCTGCGAGGCCTCGTCTGTCCACAGGAAAGAGAAAGGTGCTCCAGCCCCTCTCGACGGCAGCGGTCATCACCTGCTTACTCTCGGTCCACACCCACACGAGCTTCTCTCTCCGGGGGTCCATGGCCGAGCACACCACCGAGCTAAGACCCACTCGCCGAACAGACGAGCCAGAGGCCGTCTTGTTCCAGGGACAGCGACCACCTGAGCGGAGAGGCGGTGAGCGGCGGGACGGGAAGGGGAGCCGGAAGACAAAGGAAACCTCGGAAGTTCACCCCCTCCTCCCCAGAGAGTGCTCCTCCGAGTCACCTCTGCTCCACACACGGCACAGTCTCTACCAACACCCCGCGGGGCGAAGAGCGGAGGGGACAAGGGAGACGAAGGTGGCGGTGGAAAATAGAAGCGGGTTACCTCTTCCACCGGGCGGTGCCGCCGAGCGAGGTGGGCTCACGGCTGCGGAGAGCGACCACCGCAGCGCCATGCCTCACATTCCCAGCGGGAACTATCCTCCCCGCCGCCGCCCGGTGTCTCCCTCCATCATCTCGTTATATCCACACCCCATGGTCCCGATGTCGGCCCCCCCTACTGAGGAGTTAATCTACCAGTTAACGAGGCCATCCAGAGGAGGGTGGACAGAAACAGGCAGCAATGGGGGGGGTGACTATAGTACCCGGGCCCGGCGCGGATAACAGACTCATTTACCCAAGTTTTACTAGAATGAGATTTCCATAAATAGGGAAATAGGTCTTTAATCCCAAGCGGGAATATATATAATATTTATTTATATTCTACAGGGGAGGTATTTTTAAACATAAATAATGATCAGAAATAATTATGTGATGGGTATTTTTTGAAAAGAGCCTATTTTGGGAAATCTGGCCTTTTTCGCCGAAGCTTGGGCAGTCATTATTATCTTGGAGGCGTTATCTGAAGAACAGGAGGAGGCGACGATCAACCTTTATTAGGTCTTCTTCCTCCCGCGAGGTGGGCCGGGCGGGGGGCCACAGGAGAGAGGACCAACCCGCCCAGCTCTGGTTATTACGTGAGCTCCAATCTTGGGACGACGATGCCGGCGCCGCCACCGGGGACGGAGCGTGGAGCCTCCAGAAGGTGGTGGATGGAGCGGAAAGAATCGGGGAGAGATGGGGGCGAGGGTGCGGGAGGGGGACTTACTAGTCTTCGGGGCAGATGAGGGAGAACACCGGCAGCCGCCTCCAGCGGCGAGGGCCATGGAGAATCCGCTCCAGTTCCGCCTCCTCCTCCTCTGACGGCGGCCAATCGAAGGTGGAAGCCGACGGGGGCGGCGGCGGCGGTGGCGGCGGCGGCGGCGGCGTGTTCTCGCTGGCCATGAACGGCCTCTCGTCGCCCTCCGTCGTCCGCATCCTGGGGGGCTGGGACTCCGTGCAGGTGCTAATGGCGCAGACTGGGAATGGATCTTCGGAGGCGGAGCTCTGCTGCTGCAGATAGATGTACTACTCTGTGTAAAAGTCAAGGGTAGACGAACTCCGCGTGATCGAGAAATAGATAGAATGGTTCGTCACCGGCGACGGAGGAGGGATGGGGCGGTTCCTGCTGAATTGCTTGCTCTGAGAAGCGTTCGACAGCCACCCCACCATCTGCTCGATGAAGATGAGACGAAGGGTAAACTTCGGAGGCGTGAAAGCAGAGATATCCCGGGAGAGGTGTACCTGGTAATCCATGGCGTACCCTTCGTCCTCGAAAGATCTGCGGCTCTGCACCCTGTGGAAGTGCCCGTTTCCGCCGCCGTTGCGGACGTTGTTGGTGTTGCTGTTGGCGGAGTAGGGGCCTAGTGCGAGGAGACGCCTGGTGGCGGCGTGGCAGACCCGGTTGTCGCCGTGCGGTTCGTCATTGATCACCAAGACGCCGTCCTCCAGCACGGCGCCCTTCGCTGGCGTGCAGAAAACCGCGGGGGACCTACCCGGCGGAGTCAGGGTCATCCCCGCGGGAGACAGGGAGGAATCCGGAGAGGAGCGCAGGTTCAGAAACTGCCGGAGGAGGGGCATTTCATCGGACGAGGAGGAGTTGCTGAAGAGGTGGGGACGGGTGTATCGTAGGAGGGAGGCGTCGACGTCGTTAGGGCTGCTGCCGTTGGAGTTTGGCCCGGTGGCGCAGGCGTTGAAGGCAGGAACCAGGTAGGCGTTGGCGGAGAACTGCTGTGACAGGCGGCGGGCCCGGATGGCGTATCCAGACGAGGAGGCATCGGTCTGGGAGTCGCTACTTCCGCCACCGCTGCCGATCGTCGGTTTGCTGTTGGTTCCCTCGCTGCCGTGATATTCCATGAGTGGACCGCCAGAACCTTTTACCGGCTACGGAGCAGACTGACAAGGCCGACGACGGTTTGCTACAAGGAAAAAAGAAGAGTAAAAAATTGATAATTTGCGGTCACGGAGGGAGTGAAAGCGGCCTTTTTAAAGTTAAAATTGACAGAAAGTTAGTAAAAAGGATTTGCCAGTTAAAAGCCAATGAAATAAAGAACTCCCATTACAGATAAAATTTGCTTTTGCTCAATCTTAGCGACCTCAAGTTCTTGAACGACGTGCCCAGGGAAAACCTCCACGAGAAACGCGAAGCGACCTTACCGGAACAGATTCCGACTCTTCAGCATATTGACGCAATCAAATCGGAGGAAATGCAGGGTGAGTTGACACATAAAAACAAATAAAGGGTGTATGATCTCCGGTCTTAGAATAGTTCTGAGTGGTAGCTTTCCGTTCTCAACGGCAAAATAATATTCTATGTTAACAGATATTACACGAACGGCAACGAAGGGCAAAAACTGACCGGAATTTATTTGCAAATAATTATCATAACGCTCCCTCAAAACCGAACAACGAAACGATCGAAAATATCGGTAACGGCGTGGAGCGAAGATCACGGACAAAGACTGCTTCTCTCATCGAATCACGAAACAACAACGATTCGCAGGAAGAACAGAAGCACAAAAATACAGCAATGCGACAGCAATCAATCGTCTCCTCACCAGAGCTCTGCAAAAAGCTGAATCGCCTCTTATCTACGGAAAGAGAATCAGCTCCGATCACATTATTTTTCTTTAGAGCTGGGATGACGGGAGAGGAAAACCTGAAACCCCAAACATTACGAAGAGATAGGCGATGAAAAATCTGGTTCGATGCTGACGCGGAGACGGGGTAGGATGCAGATGCCAATTGCTCACCGCCGACGCGCCGGACTCGGCAGCTCGACGGCGCCGGAGACCACCCCCACCTCCGGTCGCTCCCCCGCCTTCAAGATCGGATCTCGTTCCCCCCGAGAGACTCTCTCCTTCCTTTCGTAGCCTCCCCTCCCGGGAAAGCCAGTTCAGAACCGAGGAAAGAGGCTGAAAATTAGAGAAACTAAATAGGCAAGGGGGGGGGGGGGAGGGGGAGGGGGGGGGCGGCGGTAACCAGATTAGTTGTCCACGTGGCGCCACAGTCCCCCTCTTATTGGGCGCAAAATTGATGACATCATCACGACAGTCGGCGGAGAGCGCGGGGGATCCGGGGGGGCGTTGAGCGAGCCCGGCGGAGATCCGACTGGACGAACGAACCGCTTTTCGTGCCACGTGTCCCGCCACGTCATGATTCTTGATCCCAGAAGATTCTTATAACGTGATGAAATCGCCTGCGAGTTTGATCCTTCCACGTGGCATTTTTACAGCTCCCAATCATATGACGTCATTAATCTCTCTCTCTCTCTCTCTCTCTCTCTCTCTCTACCACAGGAGGGAGGGAGAGTACTGAATTGTTTTAACCGTGGCGGCGATTCCGCCGCCGCTGCGGCCGTGCTCCGGCGCATGGGGCAGTTGGAGGCGGCTCTGCAGAGGTGCTCGTCCTTCTCCCACATCCGGCAGCTCCACGGCCACCTCATCGCTGCCGGACTCTTCCAGACGCTCCCTTCCGCCCGCTGCAAGCTCGTGGAGCTCTGCGCCGTCTCCCCGTTCGGGGAGCTAGCCCACGCCCTCGCGACCTTCCGCCAGATCAGCCGCCCCGCCACCAACGACTGGAACGCCGTCCTCCGCGGCCTCGCCCGGGGAACCGATCCGCTCGCCGCCGTCTCTCTCTTCGCCGCCATGGCGCGCCTCGTCGGCGCAGCCCGCGACGACGCCCTAACCTGCTCCTTCGTACTCCAGGCCTGCGGCCGCGCCAACGCCCTGCGAGAGTCCGCGCAGCTCCACGGCCGCGTCCTCCGCCGCGGGTTCGCCGCCGACTTCCGCCTTCAAACGACGCTCGTGGACGCCTACGCCAAGGGCGCGGACGTCTCCGCCGCCGCGAAGGTGTTCGATGAAATGCCCCACCGGGATGTGCCCACCTGGAACGCCCTCATCAACGGATTCGCCGCCGGGAGCCGCCCCCACGACGCGGTGGCGCTGTTCCGCCGGATGGCGGCCTCCCCCGCGTGCCCACCCGACGTCGTCACTATCCTCGGCGCTCTCTCTGCTTGCGCCCAGCTCGGGGACCTCGTGGAGGGTGAGTCCGTGCGCGCGTACGCACGGGAGGCGGGCCTGGAAGGCAACGTGCGAGTGCGTAACGCTCTCATGGACATGTACGCCAAGTGCGGCTCCGTCGGCGGCGCCGTCGAGGTCTTCCGGGGAACCGCCGCCGGGGACCGGTCGCTGGTCTCCTGGAACACCGTTACCATGGCACTGGCTCTCCACGGGCACGGCGCTCGTGCCCTGAAGCTGTTCGAGGAGATGTCTGCAGTGGCGGGGGTCCGGCCAGACGCTGTCACCTACCTCGCCGTTCTCTCCGGCTGCAACCACGCGGGGCTGGTGGAGGAGGGCCTCCGCATCTTCCGGATCATGGCGGAGGAGGAGCCGATGCAGCTGAACGTGAAGCACTACGGCTGCGTGGTGGACATGCTGGGGAGGAAAGGGAGGTTGCAAGAGGCCTACGAGGTCGTCGCCACCATGCCGATCCCCCCGGACGTTATTCTCTGGCAGACGCTGCTGGGAGCCTGCAAAACCTACGGCGACGTCCCCCTGGCGGAGCGCGTCTCCGGCGAGCTCCTTGCGATGGGGTCCCGCGGGGACGGCGACTACGTGCTCCTCTCGAACGTGTACGCGGCGGCGGAGCGGTGGGGCGACGTTGGCCGCGTGCGGGCGGCCATGGCGGAGCAGGACGTGCGGAAGGTGCCCGGTTTCAGCTTCATCCAGGTGGGTGGGGCGGCGCACCGGTTCCTCAACGGGGGACTGGGGGAGCACCCGCGGTGGAGGGAGATCCAGCGGACGCTGGAGGAGGTGCGGGGCAAGGTGCGGACGCTGGGGTACGCGCCGGAGACGGCCGGGAACGTGCTGCACGACGTGCTGGAGGAGGACAAGGAGGAGGCGCTGTGGCAGCACAGCGAGAGGCTGGCGCTGGCGCTGGGGCTGGCGGTGGCGGCAGGCCGAGCGGAGGAGATACGGGTGGTGAAGAACCTGCGGATCTGCGGGGACTGCCACGCGGTGGCGAAGCTGGTGTCGCGGGCGTACGGGTGCGTGGTGGTGGTGCGCGACCGCGCCCGCTTCCACCGCTTCGAACACGGGAGCTGCTCCTGCGGCGACTATTGGTGACCAAGGAAGGCAGCACCCATTATTCCTTCCGCTCGGGTTGCCCATCGTCATGTTTCGGAGCCACCATGCTCACTGAGCTCGAGCAGCTCTCGCGGCCAACATCTCTCTGCCCTCCTCTCTCAGTGCCACGGTGAGCTCTCTCTCTCTCTCTCTCGCTCTCTCTCTCTCTCAATGGTTTGATCGATCTTTAGCAGGATTTCTGCCATGGCCGCGCCGTTCAGGAGGACGGGCCCGCTGGGAAGCTCGTTGATCGCACGTTTCGGGGCATAAACGTGGCATCATCGAGGGAACCTCAATGTTGCTGCGGAGTATCGACAGGTCAGAGTGTTGTGAGAGTGTTCATTTGAAGGAGACCACAATGAGCAGTCTTCTTCGGTGGCGGAATCGACTGTCCAGGATAAAAGGAGCCGGCCCAGAGAGAGAAAGGTCCATTCGTTGACCGATTCTCACAGAAGGGGACGGCCCAATTCCGGAACCGATGGGTACGTTCCAAGAAGAGTAATGGCTCGTTGGATATTATGGGGGCGGGCTCATTGACTTCCCTATAAATAGAGTTGTCATCCGATTTGATAATTCTTGGAGATGCTTCAAGGAGATAACCTTCAAGGAGATCAACTTCTCTACATCTAGTGAAGGTTTAGTGTGGTTCATTTAAATTTTCTCTCCTTTTCCTTTTGATCAGGAGATCAAGGTCCTTGGTTTTTTATTACCCATCAGAGTGATGCTTGCTTCAACAAACTAATATAAGAGTTTGGTCAGATTTGATATGTGTCGCTTGTTGATGATGATAAAATCAACATAGTTTTGCGTTAATTGAAAAAAATATGCGTTGGTCTACAAAGATCTACATAGACGAACATATCAATGAATTGTTCTTCCTCTCTCATCATTACCTCTGTATTATTACATTTAGAATGTCACTATCTATGAAACTTGTATCCCTCTCTTCTCTCCTTGCCATTGATCTTGTGATTATTGTGAATCCTCTCTTAAATTTAGTTATGTACATTGTTCCATGAGACTTTACTTCTTCTTAGGGTTGTTGTAGACATCTTTGTTGAGATAAGGTTTAATATTTCAATAATATGGGCCCATAATATACCCAATTTTTTAAAAGAGTGTAACTTACTATTTTGAAATACTTTCTATTTTGGCGAAATGAATAAAGTTGAGTATTCTATGATCCTTGACACAAGATGTTATTATCATATGTGTCCTAGTGGTGACTAGTTTGACACTTACATAGTAGGTGATACATGTTATGGGTAATGATTCTTCATATACGGTCAGATGGTATCGACACCATCAAAATCAGAATGATTCAATAGAATCATGAGAACTTTGAGGATGTGAAGCATGTCTTTAATCTTCAGAAAAATCTAACTTATTTGATCACATTAGATTTAAATGATTACACTTATAAAGGTGAAAGTGAAAATTTGAAAGCTTACAAGGAAACACTCGTAGTGATGAAAAATAAATGATTATGAAGAAATATTTACAAACTTGATGAAATCACTGTGATCCTAACAACACTTATTGATCCTAACGAATAGATTGGGCCATTTTTGTAAGGTTGGTATCAAATAACTCCATAAATGAAGAGTATTTGAAGGAGTCAAAACTTACACAAATTAGATTTGTTGATGTCAAGGGACTGGTTAAAAGAGCCAAAACTTGTCAATCTAGTTAAGGAAATTAATTTTCAAATCTATTTATATTGTAAGTCAAGACTTTCTCATAATCAATTGCGTTATGCTCAATCGTAGTTACATGAGAGAGAGAGAGAGAGAGAGAGAGAGAGAGAGAGAGAGAGAGAGAGGGCAAATGGATTTACAAATTTATTGAAGCTCATCGTTTGTCCAAATAAATTTTCACTATGCTCCTCTCTCTCTCTCTCCCCCCTCCGTTATCTGCGGAGTCGGTTCGGTTTCATCGGGTCGGACCAGTTTTATCGGGCTCAGCGTCGTCCGTTTCCCCCCCTCATTTAAACCCTAGCGGGAGTTTTCTCTCTCTCCTCCGCCACCGAGAGGATCGGGTTCTCTAGCGACGCCGCTCGAGGGGACGATCCTCAGGACCTTTCTACGGGTTTAGAAGCAGAGTAACGAAAATATGCCGCGGCCAGAGGTTCAGGCGCCGCCGGAGATCTTCTACGGTGAGACAGAGGCCCGCAAGTATACCACATCATCTCGGATAATTGAAATCCAGGTTATCTTTTGTTTCCTTGCCTATCCTTTGTTCGTTCGCCATGGTATTCGTGATTTTAGCAGCGGATACTTTGTGCTGAGCATGAGGCATTTGCTTCGTATAGACGGTTCTCCTCATTTCGTTCATCTTCTAATGGATTTGATTCAACATGCAGAACAGGATCTCTGAGAGGGCGCTCGAGCTGTTGGCGCTGCCAGATGACGGAGTCCCAAGGCTCCTGCTTGATATAGGTGACTTTTACATTTAACTCTGCTTATTTTGCTAGTTATTAGCTTGATTTGTACCGGTGGATAAGCCTTTTTTTTTCTTTGCCCCTCAACCAATTTAATGCTAACTCTTTTAAGTTCTAGTCTCGAATTCCTCCAGGAGCTTCTTTCACGAAGAGCTTAATACAATTGTGCACAGATCATCCTCTTTCACAGTATGGTTACAATACTGTGAAAGAGGATGATTACAGTAATAAAGAAAATCAAGCGGATAACTTATCCTCATTCACCCGTAATGTATGCTGTCTTGTCGTGTAAATTCTCCAGAATCTAGCGTCTTAACAGATCCATAGCTGTAGTTTCTATTATCCTCTAGTTTGATGTTAAATTTCTTTCCGTGGAAGCTTTTGCTATGCAATAAATGTCTGCCCCGTCTGATTTTTATGCTTTTTATTTTTATTTCTAATTTCTTAGTTTTTTCATCGAAATTTGTAGCCTTCGTACCTATTTATTCTTTCAGAAGCAGTACGAACTTTTTCGTAAAACACTGACGATTATTCATCATATTTTTGTCATAATCTGGGTTTGATTGTACTTGAAAACACGACCGTCATTCCAAGTAGTATGGTGCTATAAAGCAGGGCATTTTTATCTTCTTATCCGTTCCTTACACAACATAAAAAATAACAAGAGATGTTACTTTTCATACCATTTTGTAATTAAACTATGTTCCAGGCCTCAAGAATTCAATATAGCTAAACCTTTTTGTGGATATGAGCTCTTGAAATTTACTTTTCTCGTCACCAGTTCTATATGTATGTGGGAAACCTGATTGTAAGGGGTTCCATTATTTCGTACTTCATTTTGATCAGATAATTCTTTATTTAAGATCTGCGCCCCGATGAAGCCCTCCATGAAGGGTTTAGCTTTTATCAGGATTGAAAATATATAGATACTTTCAATGCTATTTTTTTTGCTTCTTTCTATTATTAAGGTTGTGGCTCGGGACTCAGTGGGGAGACAATTTCTGAGAATGGACATCACTGGATTGGACTTGATATTTCTGAAGCCATGCTGGGTAAGATATGCGATAATTTGTTTGATGTATGAAGATGTGTGGGAACGCCTTCCTTGTTTTATGATACCTAGTTAGACGTTTTTTTTATGGTTTGATTGTTCCAGATGTGGCATTGGAGCGTGAAGTGGAGGGTGATATCGTTCTTGCAGACATGGGCCAGGTAGAGCATGAATGCAAACCCAACAATGAAATGTTTCTGTGCATTATCTCTGCTGCTGGTGTCAATATCTGCTTGGATATAGTCCAAGGGAACCAGAAATACTTACGTGTAATATATTATTTTTTAGAATGCATGTATCTAAATAGTTCTTTAATTCTAAATACGAAGAAGGGGGATTCGTATCAGGGCTGTGTTTTCGGCCAATGCTAGTTATTGATATTTTTCCCTGAAAGACAATTTGGATTGTAGTGTTTCAGTCATGTTAACAATCAAGATGCAATTCACCTTGAATCCAGTATCTGCTAATTGAAATTTTAGGTCTTACCTGTAAATTTATTTATTTCTTTATTTATTTTGGGCCGGGGGGGGCGGGGGGGGGCAACCTGTCTCGTTTTTGGGCCACATTAATCAGCGATAATTTAATTTAGCACTGTCGGAATTAGATGGAGGGGACGTCTCTGATAAATTGGTCAATTCTCTTTCCATTTAAGTCAGATATATTCCCCTCACCTTGGACTCGGCTATTAAGTGATCTTTTACTGCCTTAAATTTTCTTTCCATTACGGATAGAGAACACGTCTCAGACATCTTTGTGGATGTTATTCACATCATCTTTTTTATTGTTTTTCAGGGTTTGGGCTTGCGGCCTGGTTGTATTGACGGCGCCATTAGTATCTCTGCTGTCCAGGTATGCTATTGTCCACTGATAATTTGGATTATAGTAGTTTTGAACACCACATCTTACAACATATTTAACTATCTGCCTAAATGTGTTGGTTGCATGCGGTACGTTTTGAATATCTAATGCTGACTGATCATGCAGTGGCTGTGCTATGCTGACAAGTCCTCTCACGAACCGAGACTACGATTAAAGTACGCCCATTTGATCTAGCGAATAGATCTGATATTCAGTCATTGTTTCTCCTCTTTGATGACTTTCTTTGAAAATGGAAGAGGTACATATACTGGTGCTTATTGTGTGACATGATGTGTGGCAGGGCTTTCTTTGGAACCTTGTATAGATGCTTAGCCAGGGGAGCAAGAGCAGTTCTTCAGCTTTATGCAGAGAACATGGACCAGAGTGAGATGATAATGTCCTATGCCATGCGTTCTGGGTTCGCGGGAGGAATGGTCGTTGACTGGCCCCACAGGTATGGCAGTTTCTGTGGAGAGCCATTGTATTCTAGCCGGGTCTGATGCCCATGTTGATCTTGGTTTCTATTATAAGACAGATCCAGTATTGGCAAGCTCTGAACAAGTAGCGTTGAATTTTGTTTCAGTCCAAATTCGTCAGCTTTAGGTCAACGCAGTCCTCTTTTCTAGCCAAAACTGGATTCGTCTCAAATCATTTCCTGATCCAACTTCCCAACTCTAATTGGTCAACTTAGCAAAATCATCAATCAGGATTTGGAACGTAGTTTTTTTTATTTATTATTATTACTAGAATCATTCTCACCTTGCTGTTGTCCCAAAAAACCCAGTGGAATCTTATGTCGGACACATCGGAATATTCTCCTTGACTGAACATTCTCCCCATGTCGTCGTTTGGGAAACTTGTCAGAAGTCAAAGCTGGGTAGTTGACTAGTTATATGGTTGCTTTCTGCCATCTCCTCTGGGCATTATTGCATTTCTAGCATCGGTTTTGAACACCTGTTCTTGCTTGTTGTTGAACAGCACAAAGGCTAGAAAGGCCTATATAGTTCTCACTTGCGGCCCACCTTCCATCTCTGGGGCCCTTCCGAAGGGTAAAGGCGAAGATGGCGAGAGCTGTTCTGACAGTGACGAGGAGGGAAGTCAGACGGTAAGTTGGTCGCAGACCCTCCGTCATATGTGCGCTTTGAATCCGTCTTGTGTCACTTGGGCTTGTTGTGGAGAGATAGATAGATAGAGAGAGAGAGAGAGATCTGCATTGTTTGTTATCTGTGTGTAGAGAGAGAGAGAGAGAGAGAGGGGAATGTACATTGTTCGTTAACTAGTAGATGGTTTGGTCTTGTGCAGGTTCATATTTCAGACAGGAACCGGCCCAGGAAGAGGCTGAAGACGTCGAAGAAAGGGAGAGGGAAAGAATGGGTGCTGAGGAACAAGGAGAAGAGGGTGAGGAGGGGCAAAGAGGTGCCCCACGACTCAAAATACACCGCTCGTAAGAGGAAGTCGTATTTTTGATCCCCATTTTGTTTCCATATCATATTCCCTCCCTTGCTCAGTCGTATTCTTCTGGATGCTTCTTCTTCTATCAACATCATCTGCCAATCGATCAACCAATGCCCAATCTTAGCTGTTTAACACGCCATGAACAGCATATCTGACCACACCCTCCAAGAAACCTGGAGAAAATGGACGGAAAAATGGGTTCTTTAATATGAAAAATTACTAGTAGAAGTTCTTGGGCAGTTACTCACTGCAGGTCAGGTGGGTCAGGTCAGTCGCAGCAGTCTTACCCCCATCGATACAGCAAACGTCCTAGAGAGAGAGAAAGGAGTAACGGGGCTGCGTTTGCCAATTGAAGTGGGTCTCCACTTCAATCGTACAATTCCGATGCTCCTCAGAATTCTCATGGGTCCTTGCCATACCAGATTTACAACCACGTGCATACATATTCATGTTCCGACAGAGAGAGAGAGAGAGAGAGAGAGAGAGAGAGAGAGAGAGGTAGGTTGACGCACCCAGGGGGCGGGCGGGGATCTGTCTTCATCTCTCATCGCCGTGCTGGGCGCCGCCGCCGCCGAAGCTGGCCGCCACGTTGGCGGCCTTGGCGAGGGCGTCGGAGACGAGGAAGGCCCCGGCGGAGAAGTAGCTGCTGTTGACGATGGCGTTCGCCGCAGCCGCCGCCGTCCTCCCGGTGGCGGAGACAGCGGCCATGGTCGACTCGGAGACGTGGTACTGCCCGTCCACCGCCCGCACGGCTTCCAGGCCGGCGGCGATCTTCCCCACGAGCCCGATTCTCTCGCCTAGCTCCGCAATCTTCGCCGCCGCCGTGGCCGACACCCGGTGGGACTCGTCCAAGTCCCTCGCCTTCGCCAGGGCATCCCGGCTGAGCACGAAGCCCTTCGACAGCATCGCCTTCACCATGTCCTGCGCCATCGTCACCGCTTCTCCCGGGCTGATGGCCTGCAGCAGCCCCCCTTCAACCCCCTGCAATCCACACAGCCTTCCCTTCATCAACCTCTCTCTCTCTCCACCATCGTCTTTGCATGGATGGATGGATGGATGGATGCATATACCGAGTGTTCGGCGTCGTCGTGGTTGTTCCAGGATGCCCCGGCCCAAAGAGCATACGACTGGTCCTCGTAATTGCCCCACCGGCTGATGTAGACGCGCTGGTCAGCTATGGTGGCCCCCTGATCCAGCAAAGACGATGATGATTCACTCAGTCATTCATTAGAAGAAACACCCGCAACCTTCACACACAGACAATAATTAATATTAATAATAATAAACAATAAAACCCACCCTTATCAGAAAGTTGACAAATATTGGATCAAATGCTGTTTCTCTTAGAGAGAGAGAGAGAGAGAGAGAGAGAGAGAGAAGGTAAGCCAAAAAGAAAGAAAGAGGGGAGATGGGGACTTTAATAGACATCAACCATATACAATTTAATTGAAAAAATGAACAAATTCCATGCATTATCCCTCTCTTTGGAGCTTCCCTTGATCTAGCACGCTAATCCAATCCGTGTAGAATGATCCTATCTCAGAGGGCACGAACCCTCAAAGCATTGGGCATGCATATTCATAGAAGATTAGATAGAACAACCATCAATATCTATTAAAGAGGGGGTTGGAAAATAAAAGAAAAAAAATAAATAGATAGGACGAATATCTAGCAATGAACATAGCTCGGAGCGTACGCTGAGCAAACAGGCGGTCTCCAGGGCATGAGCTTCTTTGAAGGTCACATATGCGGTGGAGGAGTAGTCCCCAGACCTGCTCGGAAAGATTGAGTTCAAGAGAATGAATCGGGTGAGATCAAATCATCCAGTCGTACCCATTTCTCGACATAAACTAACAAATCAAATCACAGCCATTTTTTAACATCTCAATCGAATATTTATACCCATCTCTCAACAAACATCATACGAAGATTTAGAGCAAGTTTTCATACGAAAAAAACACGATTCTTTTCATTCTTAGGAACCAAGGTCTAGATCACAGCCTAAGAAGAAAAATAAATAAATATATATATATAGTTGTTTTCGGCCTTTATTGTTGACATCAAAGCGAAGTTGATTCTTGTAAGACACCCACGAGAGGGACTGAGCCTGATACCTTGAAGAACAGGGATGATCCAATCGGTCAACCCCTCTTCAAAGAAATAGTTGCATTTATAATCGCAATGAGAAATAAAACAGGCAGGTTTACCTCATTATCTCAATGTGCTCGATTTGGCCTGAGAAAGAAAAGAAGTCGTAGACATCCTTCTCAGTCGCATTAGGTGACAGATTGGTGACTTCCACCGTGAGGCCGGAGTTCATCTCTTCACACTGGAATGCAAACAACGTGCAGGCAATGTAGCAAACACTGAGAATTTGCAGCCTGAAAAATGGGGCGAGATACATGACAGCAGATTGAAAATACTTTTAAAGAAAGCAGACGCCAAAATGGCAGATCATTCATGAGCTCTTCCCACAATCATTCGTCTCAGAGATTCAACTGGAATGTTCATTCAGAGCCATATCCCATTCAAATCTGGTGTGCATACTCGAAGAAATGTGATGGTAAGTCATATGGGGGGATTGATTCAGAGCCCTGAAATTAACCACTAATTACGGCGCACAACCAGATAAACCACTCTTGATTTTCATCTATTTCCGCGAAATTGATGACCGTAATTAATTACTTCACACATGTGCAGATTTGGACTGTGATTCTTGGAAGGATAGGCCCAATTGTAGAAGATTTCAGGCACAACCCATCCAAGCATCCCTCGGCCGTTGATCGAACCAACACAGGCATTTGTCAATTATTCGTCCATACACTGCATGTTTTAGCAGTCCTGATGCTTGCGGATGGAGTAGACGAAGAGGGAGGAACCTGATCCGACTGAGGGCCATGAGCATGAAATCCAATAGAACTTGAAAGGAAAAATCACAATCTCGCAACCAGAGATTACGAGTGCGCTTCAGATTCCACACGAATCAAAAAGCGATGAAGCTCCAGCAGATCGCTCTATCAGACGATAAGACGAAGTATCAAGAAGACAGACGCCCCACCCACACAGCAAACAAAGATTAACCCCATGCAGAGCCTCATCAACCCCTGATGAAAAGGACCAACGGAAATTCTCGAACCACGCACTCTAATGCGTCAACAGCGTCGCCAACTGGTGAGGGAAAGAGAGCGAAGCACAAGTACCCATACCCGCCCAGAAAACAGTCTACAGAGAGCATAGAGCACAGCGAGAGAGAGAGAGAGAGAGAGAGAAGCCCGCAACATACCTGGGATTCAAGAAGAGGAAGAGTGCAAAGGAGGGATGCGATGGCCGGGAATAGAGATCCCTGACGCAGCAGGTCCACTGGTTTCGAGGGGAGAGAGAGAGAGAAAGAAGGAGACAGGCGACCGACTCTAGTAAATAACGGAAAGGACCCCATCTGTACTATTATTATGTTGTCTCGGTGGCCCATTAAGCCCAATTCTGCCCCAGTGTCTTTCGGTGCTAAAGTGGGCCCCACCACGATATCAAATCTCCCCCCCCCCCCTCACCCGGTTTTTCTCTCTCTGGGGCCCACCGAGTTGACAATTCACAAGCAGACGTCCGTGGGGCCCTCAAAAAGACTCCCGGGCCCACTTTTCTGATAAGTCTGGCAAGAAAGGTAGACTCGACCAAACACTATCTTTGCGTTGACAAGACCTGACTCTCTCTCTCTCTCTCTCTCTCTCTCTCTCTCTCTCTCTCTCTCTCTCTCTCTCCTCTCTCCTCTCTCCTCTCTCTATCCAGTTCATGTTAAAAAAAAAAAAAGGCACCGTTAACTCGACCTCTTTATTTTACCCCAATTAACAAACGAAATGCATTGAATTAAAATTCATCAAGTCAGTTGAGATATTCACTTCATTTCTTCAAATCACCTGATATTTTCCGAAATTTTAGGCATTTCTCGAAAGTTCTACAAATACAGCCTGCCGCTTCCCCTCAGTAAATAGGTCCGAGCAACAAAACAAATTAAAAAAAATAAAAATCCATGGTTACTGGCTGATCGTAAACTGTAATACGTGGGAAAGCAGTTCCTCCTGCCCCTACAAAAATCACAGAAATGAATCATTTATATATAAATATATAAAAATATATATTTATATAATATTTGGGTAATATATTGAATAAAAAAATGCAAAGTAATGCAATAGACTGAGGATTCTAGCTCACCTGTTCTTCAGATGAGAGACATTTCTAGCCCTGAAATTTTAAGAAAAAAAAAAACTTATTTACTCGAATACCATTTGAAAGAGAATGCATATACTGAGTGAGGCTCCTGCTTCACCTGTTCTTCATGGGGAAAATCCTGCCTCTGGTAAGAAAAAAGGAAAAAAAAAAACCCAGTTTTCTGTGAGGAAGGAAAACCATTCTGAAAATAAAATAAAATAAAAAAATAAAAATCAAAGCATTGATTGATTTCCTGCTTCACCTGTTCTTTCTTCACGGGGAAAATTCTGCCTGTGAAAAGAAAAAAAAGAAAAAAAAAACAGTTTTCTTTGGGGAAGGAAAAACCATTTTGAAAAAAAGAAAAAGAAAGGAAAAGTCAACGCATAGATGGAGCTCCTGCTTCACCTGTTCGTCATGGGAAACATTTCTGCCTCTGGAGAGCAATGAAAAGAAAACCCTATTTAGTTCTGAGGACAATCTCCGTCTGAGAGAGAGCGCTCGAGGAAAGGAACCCAATTCACCTGTCTTTCTATCTCGACGGCAGCCTCAGCAAGCTTCCTCTTCAGCATGAACCGTTCTTCATCACAGCTCTCATTCGTAGTGTCTACAGCTCCAATAGGAGATCAAAATTAGCAAATCACACCTTCTGGGGTACAATCAAACTCTGAAAGATTGAAATCCCAAATCGCGCTATGCCAACCCGGCTGTAATCCGCTATCAAATCGGCCCATGTGGCCCTAAATCGTAGTCAATCTGCCCATTGGGAAGGAAGATTTCCTGCATGGTTTTGGCCTAGATGATTTGTATGCATGGTATAAACACTAGATCATATTGTGACAAAAAAAAATGTAAAATTTCTATCACCCTACCCGATTTATTCACGGTTCAGTATCATGCAACTATGTGATGAAATTAAATTTGTTGAGAAAATTGAGAAAAATTGTTGCGGTTGAAAAGATCTTGTAAGGAATCATATGAAAAATTTATTCCCGTAGAGGCTAAAGTTTATGGAGAAAAACTCATCCACTGATCGCGATAGAGTGGGCATGGGCATGTTGGCATAGAATTAGCAGATCAATGCAGTGGAAAAATAAATAAATCTGAAAATATAAGCATAGTATATATTTCGGAGGTTATATTGTGATTTCTTAGAAAAGTGAAGAAATCTGCTTCTCACCATAATAGTATGTTGACAAAATTGTGATCCGTTCAACTGGCTGCAAGTAGAAAAGTAATGTAGTATTAGTTAAGATTTTTGGGAATACTGGGCGAAGAAACACAAGTAGCCCGTCGGAAAAATAACAATAAATAAGGAAAAAAAATTAATAGATAATGTTCTTCTGAAAAATAAGAAAGACAACATACCATCACGAAAATCCCTTCCATACGAGTTGGAAGTTCTTCAAGCTTTTTCAATGTCTCATCACCTTTAGTCATTCTTCCGAAGACGGCATACTGAATATGGCCACTTTCATATAAATAGAGAGCCTAAAATAAAATAAAAAATCCAGATAGGAAGGCTAATAATGACGAAAATCTACCTGACCGTCAAGATGAGGTGCATCTCCGAGAAGGATTGAAAAAGAGGATCCGCCACTATTTGGATTGGAATATCTACGAAAATAATTATATGATGTTACCAACTATCACTGACACAATGAATCACAAGAAACTAGAAGGAGCCGTTCTGAAGAAAAATAACGATTAAGGAATCAGTGGTTTTCCTTAAGGTGCTGCACATTCAAATGACAACGTCTTGAGTGATACATATGTTCAGATAGGTAAAGAAACGAAGGCATCATTATAAAGAAAAAGACCCTCCCAGTATATGAATTATTTTCATTAAAGGGTCCAGAATAAATTAGGATCACCTTCCCATTGAAAGAATTCCTCTCACGTGCTTGACACTACTGAATTCATCGATAACTGTTTTCTCGGCCTCAATCTTTTGTTTGTCATTCATTGGGGCAGACCTTCCCCCCGCAACGTCAGCTACTTGGGCAACAAAACCCTTGTCGACCTATAAGCACCCAGATTCTGTATGATCAAAAAGGAGGAGGAGGAGTAGGAGGAGAGGTAATTGAAAGGTTAATTACCCGGAAGAAATGGTTGGTGTTGTAGCACCCTAGGCGGACAAGCCTGAATATGTGCTCAACTGTTCTGGGAGCAACGCGAGGGAAAAATCCAAACTCGATATCACCATAGTTTGTCTGTAAAATAGAGAAATTTTATAAGATGTTTATTGAATGAAATTTCTTCATTCGTACATCCACAGACCACAATGAACAGTAAAGTAGACTATGACAAACTTTGACCTTCAATCTATGAGCAATGTCACGTGCAAGTCAGTTCTCAAGCATTTATTGATAAAATTGACTTATAACCTTATTATTTGTACACATATTATTCATCTTCAAGCCATCCAAATAAACCCCTTGGTGCCAAAACTAATCATTGATCAACCCCACAGAGAAGAAAGTTTAGCTAGTCAGAACCATGGTATGCAGTTCCGATATACACAATCGGTGATTCAAAAGTACCTTTAGGAAATGAGACATTGAATCAACAGAAGAGCGTAATCAGAACGCTCATGCAAGAACATGTTTCCAAAAACCTTAATAATTGTCTCTGGCTATCCGGTAATAAATTTAGACATATGCCTTAAGAACTGGAGCTTAGATGGCAAATAAGGTTCTTAGAATATGGCAACATGAGACGGAAGACAAGTCGAAACTGGGGAGCCTGAGCAAACCAAATATCCCCCCGTCTTATGCACCGTTTATCAGAAAGCATTGATCTCAGCAAACACAACCGAGGTTGTGGCACACAATGATCTTGTGTGAAAAAAGAAACTTTGGAAAGCAGGGCAGGAACCAGTATCTCGGTTTCATGGAGCAGTTTGCATCTCTGAGTGAGTCTGACATGAGAGATTCTCAAGGGTTCCATCTGGTGTAATAGATGAAATATTATATATATTTAGTCATTAACTATTTCTCACATTAATTAAGATGACTCAAAAGTTCGCTTCTGCCATTTATTTTATGCACTGAATCAATCAGTAATCACCTGGTCTTGGTGAAAGAAAAATCCAATTCAACCGCCATAGGAACTCTCTTTGTGGTTGGTCACATGTGGTACGCCTTGAAATTTAGAGATAATTATGGTTTCTCTTCTCTATCTACGAAGGTGTAATTCAATTCTCCAAGATGCCCATTTTTTTCCCTACATTTCCCTGGAGGGTTATGTTTAGTTACAGCTTACATGTAAAACTTAAAAAATAAAAATTGGCAACGAGAAGGTGGCACACCCTAAACGAGAGAATCAAGCGGCCTAGAAAATATATAGGGAAATCAATAGTGGATATGTGATTCTCGCTTATAAATAAAACAGTTGGACTGAAATATTTTACATTGGATTGAGAAGCATGGAATTTTCTGAACCATGATATCCACACTCGGAAGCCAACGTTTTCAAAGATCACCAAAATAATAGAAAGAAACACAGTTTAAAGTTCAAAAATAACACCACAACTAAAATTTGGTCTTAAACCGCTATACCACATCAGGGTGTAAAATTCAACAGAACACCACAATTGGCGTGCCAATTTAAAGAACTAGAAAAATTCATGCCGCAGAAACGAAAGATGATTGACACCCCGCCTAATACTTCCATGACGGGTACCAACTCATGAATTAAACAACGGAAGACACAGTACATGAATAAATCGGCGGAGTCCGACATCACTTGACCTAACTGCCACATCGCCATGACAATGAAGATGAATGAGTATGAAATAACCGTGCATCCCCAAATGAGCGATCGAGAAAAACGGGGACGAGAAAAGGACCTGGAAGACCACGCGAATCGACCCGAGATCGGTGTCATCGTACGAAGCGCCGGCCCGACCAGAAGACGACGCCAGGACGACGAAAACTAGGGTAAGAAGGGAGATCAGACCCCCGCCGCCTCCAATGGCACCAGCGCCACCTCCACCACTCCCTCCCATCGTCGTCCCCTCTGGCCGGCCTCTGCTTCCCCCATTCCCCGCCTTCTGAAAGTGGGAGGGGACTTCCCTCCGATCGCGTGGTCCCGAAAGAACTCCCTAACACCGAATCGATCACCTGGAGAACCAATAATCTCCAACCCCCGGACGGATACTATCGGACACGACAGAGGAGCACGATTTGTTAACCCTCTCCGAGAGTACATGTCAACTGATGCCCCTGCTCATAGGGCTCACCGTGACTGTATCAGAGTCAACGGTTGACAACGTGTCACGATGGCATATCCGTTTTAAGAAGATCCGAACCTCGGTACTTGGGTCGGATCCTATCCCCCCCCCACTCTCTTAGTCACTGTGCCAGGACCCGCCACTTGGAGCAAAAAATAGGCCCATATTTATATATATATGATCAAAAATAATTAGGAAGGGTTGACTTTGCTGTCATGATTCCCCACTCGTTGTTCATATATAATTAACATATATTATGCCCTAATAATGAAAAAGTTAATAAAAAAGCAATTAGAGTGACATATTAATTACATATTATAATTAAGTCCCCCAATTATAAATAAAAAAATATTAATATAAAGAAATATACAGGGATTTTATGAAAAGTAGGAATAACGAAAAGGGTTTAATTTGCTTCATAAAAAAAGCCAGCTAATCGGATCGGCCTCGTTAACTCAGCCAGCGGGACAGTCCGTTAGTGCTAGCAGGAGGCAGTGACTCGAAACCAGTCGCAACCTTCTCTCTCTCTCTCTCTGCCCTCAAATGACGCGCACCGCTGCCGTTGTACTTACCGCCCCCGCTGCCGCTTTCAGAGACGGTAATGAAAAGTCAACCGCGCTGCAGGAAAAACAATACCGCACTGATCCGGTAACCGCCCCCCCCCCAACCCCAAAAGCAGCCAGCCAGCCAGCCACACGGACTCGCAGACTATATTAACTTCAGAGGTCCTCTCCTCTCTCTCTCCCTCTCTCCCCGTCTGACTCCAACACTTTCTCTCTCTACAGAGGGGGAGGGGGGAGTAGGTGACCTTTAATGGGATCGTATCGTGCCCTTAAACCGGCACCATTAACTAACGCTGCTGTGGCAGCTTTTTCGTCACCGCCGGTGACCATATACAGATGGTATTCGCCTCTCTCTCTCCTTATACCCGCTCGCAAGGCTGCGTGTCTTTCCGGGAAGGGGGAGACAAGGGATCCACGTCGGATCGTGCGGAGGCAACAGCAGCTCTCCCTCACCGGCGAGTGACTATATGCCTTGTTATCGTCGTAAGAAAGGTGTATCTCGCGGTACAACGCGGGCCAAACTTGTCGCGATATTTTTTAAATGGTGCCACCTCTCGCGGAGACTGGTACGTATCAAGTTTACTTCCTCCGAAATGAGACAGTCTCGCACGTGTGCTGTCAGGCGGTGCACGCACGGTCCTCATGACCGCACGTGCGGTTGCGGGCTCCACTGATATGCTGCTAGCCAGCTCGCCGGCGTGGCAACGTCGTCCTTGGAGGCTCCAGGTCGTGGGTGGTTGTTTTGTCCTCTTCCTATTTTGTCGTCTAGCTCCCCCCGGGACCACCACCCGGAAGAGAGGGTTGGGCGGAGAACCAAATCCGCGCCTATTGCGGGCCCACCGGCCCGCGTCGGGTCGCCGTCGCCTGACGGTGCCTGAAGCCGTGGTCATGAGTTGGCCCATGCGACCGAGCCCGGTGGCTCCTCCCGCTCTCTCTCGCCCCCGTCTCTGACCATTGGTTTGGACTTACTAATAATAGGAAAAGTCGTACCTTTTTATGAATAGCGCATGGGATCGTCAACCATACATGACAGGCCACATTTCTATTAATTTTTCTATTTTGTAATCAAATAAAATATTTATCTCGATTCAGGAAAATAGGAAAAATCTCAGCCTCTCTAGCATGCCGTTAATCCTTATAAAAATGAATATGACATATTTTTATCATATTATTTCGACTAAAAAGATGCTATTCGTGGCAAAGAAAATACTAATCGTTTTCCAATGAGAAATATATATTTTTTATTTTTTTCCGATGAAAAATAGGTTATATAATGGATACAATAATAATATGAAATGATCGTCGAGCCGTCAGATCCACGGACCCAAGGACAGATAGGCTCCACCGTCCGATCTCTGGAACTTCAATCATTCGTACGACCTTGGGCGGCAGATCCGCGGCCGGCGAAGATCCAACGGCCCAAAATGTTGACGACGAATAGGGACCATCGGATCGCGTTCCTGCTCAGCAAAGCATACATTTTGGTCGGCGCTTGGGACGGCCGCGTAATGGGTTGTTACGCACGACGGTAAATGGACGGCGGGTACGAACGAGATGACGACGATAATATAAACTTTGCGTGCGACGACAAATGAATTTTCCATTTTTCATGTGAATAAATTATAATAATGCTCTAAGCTTGTTATTATTATTATTATTATTATTATTATAGTTTATTGATCCATATAATAATATGTTTATAGAGAAGAGAGAGTATTCCGGATCCCTTTTTTTGGACATCGACACGTAGGAAAAAGGGGGTGGGGGGGAGAGAAAATCATATATTATTTGAATATAATACGAGAAATAAGAAATAAAATTCAGAGAACTCCCGTCATAGGCGTTGACAAATTATCACACTTTTTCTTATTTGAACCATATATTTATTTAAATATATTCGGGGGAAGCATGGAAAAATATTCGTCTTCTACCTAATTTATTTAATTAGTTGCTATTTTGGGTTAAAAACCGGAAAGGGGCCCATCTAATGATGGATATCAGGCGAGAGATAAGTGGGAAAAGGGGGGTTGATTAATCATGATTAGGGGGCGGAGGGGGGGCGACGTGGGAGGAGAGAGAAAATAATTATATTAAATTATAAAAAGTAGGAATTAATGCAGTAAAAAAATACAAAAGAAGTGCGACCGGAGATGCTGTTCACCTCCGAGCGGGCCCCACATAAAAGGTTGGGGGAAAAAAAATTCAGATAAACAGTGTGGACAGATGGGGCGGAAAAAGAGAAAGAAGTCTAGAGAGAGAGAGAGAGAGAGAGAGAGACGCCTCTGTAAGATGCGTCTTCCCTCGCCCAAAGTCCTCACCTTCTTCTTTCTCTCTGCGTCTCCCTCTTTCTCTCTCTATCTCTATCTCTATTTCTCTCTCTTTGAGGGTGGGCTGCTCGTAGAGAAGACGGAGGAGGAGGGAGAAGAATCCAAGGGGGACAGGGGGAGGCATTAACGAACGCAGGAAATTGAAGTATTAATAGCAGCAGGCAGCAAGGAGGTGAGGGTGATATAGAATAGGGGAAGAGAAGGGAGGTCGCCCTTTCGGAGGTGGCAGCGTGGAGAGGGTGGAGGAGATTCTCCGATCCGCTTGACCTCGGTCCTGCTATTTGCTCTCCGTCGTCCTTCTCCTCCCCTTTCTTCTTTTTTTTTTTGCCCCAAATCCATACATCCGTGGGCGTACGCTACCATTGATGCGGGCTGGAAGGAGCAGAGAGGGCGCTGGTGGGTACCGTGGTCGATCTGGGGGCAGGGGGAGTTCATCTCGGAAGATTCTTCATCGGGCCTTGATTTGTTTGCCTTCTATTTTGTGATTCCGTTCCTCTGATTTTTGCGAGATTCGTTCGTCCCCAAGCACCCGTAGGCTTGATTTCCGGTTTCTCGATTCTCCGATGCGTCTCGATCGGGCGGCGGCGCTCTGGTGCGGGAGGATTTGATCGGGCTCGGGTTGTGGCCGCCGCCTGCCTGAGACAAATCCCCAAAGAGAGAGAGAGAGAGAGAGAGAGAGAGAGAGAGAGAGAGAGGAGATTTGGGTCTGTATGTTTCTCGATCCATCGATTTTACCGCCACGGCAGTGTGGATCTTCTCCTGCTTGACATTAGATCGTCAATTTAATCCGGCCGTTCTTTAGAGTTCCGTGTTCCTCCGTGTACCTCTGTTTCTGCCTCCCCGGAGAGATGTTCGAGGGCCAGCCCTGCTTGATCTCGAGGGCATTGCCGGGCTCCTGCGAGCAGGAATCCAAGTGGGCCTATATGCAGTACCATCTGCTGCATATCACCAAGAAGCCGCGGCTCCTGGATTTCCCTTCTTCCCCGGAGGAGGAGGAATCCGATGGGGGAGGTGGTGACGGGGAGCAGGGCAATTACCACTCCGGCTCCCTCATCCAGGCCCTGGGCCGGGACATCTCCATCAACTGCCTGCTCCACTGCTCGAGGTCCGACTACGGCGCTCTCGCCTCCCTGAGCCGGAGCTTCCGCTCCCTCATCCGCGGCGGCGAGCTCTACAGGCTGCGGCAGCAGAATGGGATCGTCGAGCACTGGGTCTACTTCTCCTGCAACGTCCTGGAATGGGAGGCCTTCGACCCCCACCGGCGCCGCTGGTTCCACCTTCCCCGGATGCCCCAGCCGAACGAGTGCTTCGTGTGGTCGGACAAGGAGTCTCTCGCTGTCGGCACGGAGCTCCTGGTCTTCGGCAAGGAGGTCACCTCCCACATCGTGCTCCGATACAGCATTTTATCGAACACCTGGTCGCCGGGGGCGGAGATGAACAACCCGCGGTGCCTCTTCGGCTCCGCCAGCCTCGGAGGGATCGCCATTGTCGCAGGAGGTTGCAGCGTCCAGGGCACCATCTACAACTCCGCAGAGCTCTACAACTCGGAGACCCAGAAGTGGACCACTCTCCCCAGCATGCACACGCCGAGGAAGATGTGCTCGGGGGTGTTCATGGACAAGAAGTTCTACGTCATCGGTGGGATGAGCCCGGATGGGCTGCTGACCTGCGGGGAGGAGTTTGACCTGGAGACGGGAAGCTGGCGGCTCATCCCCAACATGTTCCCCGCCCAGGGGGGCGCGAGGGGAGCTCCGCCGCTGGTGGCGGTGGTCAACGACGAGCTCTACGCCGCAGACTACGCCGAGAAGGCCCTGAGGAAGTACGACAAGAGCAGCAACCTGTGGATCAAACTGGGGAATCTGCCCGAGAGGCCCGTCTCGGTCAACGGCTGGGGGCTCGCCTTCCGGGCCTGCGGCGACCGGCTCATAGTCATCGGCGGGCCGCGGTCGATGAACGGGGGGAACATCGAGATCAACTCCTGGATCCCCAAGGACGAGCTCCCCGAGTGGGAGCTGATCGACAGGAAGCCATCCGGAGGCTTCGTCTACAACTGCGCGGTAATGGGCTGCTGACTCTGCAGATTAGAATTCTGATTCGGTCGGGGTAATCTCTGCTATTTTTAGTCAACGATTCGATCATTCTGCCATTCATCATGTTCTTCTTGACATTTTTATCTCGTCTGCTTCTTTCCAATTTTTCCCCACTACGAGATTCATCAAGTTCTGGGGCAAATTATTACCTGTTTCTGCCCTCACATCCACAGATTCAACCCTTTAAATTCAGATGCATGATCTGTGTAATGCCCAAAAATTCCAAAAAAAATAAATCCTTCTTTTATTCGCTTTTTTTCTACGTCGGAAGAATTAACCCCACCACGGAAATCGGGTAAAACTCCTCAATCGAAAAAATATTGGATGCTAGAAGAGAAAAAGTGTTTGCAGCAGAACCTTGGGGCTTCTATGCTGTTGCCATCAGATGATCGGCGTCTGTTCCTGAAAGACTCGTCTTTTACGCCCAAAATCATATTCATATACGTCACTATATATGAATATATATTAATGCATGGTTGAATCTGGGCCAAGTTTGCTGTTCTGATGAAGGAAAGATTGATGGTAAATGTGCTCTCTTTATTCGTCTGAGGAAGACGATCGGCGTGGGGATGCTTCTGTGATTGGGAACCGATAGCGAGCATTTGAAACCCACCTGGGTTTCAATCAAGATCGCACATTTTCTTCTCTAATGGAATGCAGGACTCCGATCGGTCAAACCCACTTGGGATCATCTGTTCTGTGCAATATTTTGGATTTCTTCTGTGTTCTTGAGTTTCTGGATCTGCACAGATGATGCTGAGAAGAATGAGTAGCAGCTCAGCCAATTCTTCCTCTGTCTGAATAATCTCTTGGAAATATATCGTAGCCGTAAAACTATGCATGAAAATGTATTTTTCTTTTTTAGGATTCTAAGGGGTGATCATATGCCCGGGTTGACCCAGCTCTCTCTCTCTCTCTATCTCTTTCTCTCTCCACGAGTTTGATCTTCTTCTTCTATCATAGTCAGCAGCTTGTGCTCACTAAAATAAATACATCATACATAATGTGCTCCCATGTTCGTGGAAATGGCTGAAAGAAGGCTCCTTTTCTGGCTTCCTCTCTCGTTAATCAAACCGGGTAACGTTGGGCCTGATTAATGGGCCTCATGCCCAACTCTGCCCAACCCCTCGATAATCGACTATGGATATTATCCGACCCGTTAAATCCTTTGATCCGAATAAACGAACTTATCGGATCCTCCTCCCCTCCCCGTCTTCAACACGGAGCAGTCGAGAGAAAGACAGAGAGAGAGAGAAGAGAGATCGAGATCGGATGGGGGAAGCGGGAGTGCGGCTGCGGCGGGGGGCGGAGGTGGCGCCGTCGGTGCGTATGTTCCTGGACGAGAGGTTCCGGGACGGGGAGGATCTGCGGGGAGCCGCTGCTCTCCAGGCGGAGTTGCAGGGGCGATGCTCCGACCTCGAGACGGCTGTCGCCGATCTGGACTCTCGTCTTCGCCAGCAGCTGGCGGCGTACGCCTTGCACGCCGATGCAGTCGGGGAGCTGCTCGGGAAGGTCCGGGCCGGGCTGCTCAAGCTCGTGTCCTCTGCCGCTGGATCGTCGCCAGGTCCCCCTCCTTCCCCTATCCTCTCCTCTTTCCTGCGATCATTGGCTTTTCTTCATCGTTGTCATCTCTCGGAATGTTTCGATCTGACAGATGGTGGTTTTAGAGGAGGAACCGAAGAGGGATCGACGAGAGGCGACCAGATCACGGCGGACAATCTGCTGGCTCTCGCCAAGGAGGTAGCCAGGGTGGAGACAGTTCGTACATATGCTGGTGAGAATCCAAATCAAGTTTCTCGGACAGTTTGACCTTGCAGGCGTATATTAATCAGTTTATACCTCTGTTCAATGTTGCTCGCGCCATCAATCTTACCTAATTGGGAGAAATCCAGACAATTTCAGGAACTCGTTTTAGGGATTCTGGACGCCGCCCAAAAGTGCTCCAGTTGTTCATTTTTTTCCTCACGAGCATATTTCATCGTCGCCAAACCCTATATGGATAAACTTTTAGCCACATTACGCTACCGATTTGTACATTAAAAAAATCTATATCGACGACTATTTTCTGCAAATTCGAAGTTCTCGAAGAGCTACTTATTGTTTAAAACTTGGGCAGGTTCCGCAAGGGGAGAATAAGAATTTATACGGCATGCATTTGAATTATTTTCATCTTAGTTCATAAATTCTAGTTGAACTAGATATCCGCGATGGGATGAAAGGAGTTGCAGTTAAGTTTTCTTTTCCGTGCTTTAGTTTTATGGTTAAAATATATTTGGTCAAAGTTAATTTAAAACAGTAGACCGTAAAGTGCTATCTTGCTTGTCATCCATGAATGGCATGTACTGCTCAAAAGGAATTGGGACCTATCATTTGTTGACTTCATTAACAACTCGTTATGTTTAACAATTGGAAGAATATATTGCTCTTACGTGTTGTTTTAATAGGAGTGAATATAATTTTTTCTTGAAAATATTCTTAAAACACGATTTTAATTGCTCTTGGAAATTCAAAAGTCAGCTCCATCACTGAATTTAGTCTAACATATTAGAGTGGATATGCGTAAACTCTGTATGATCCCCCTTTGTGCTTTTATTCGATCCTATTTATGCCCTTCATATCATCGCTTGTAATTCACCACTGGGATATCAGAGAGTGTGGTTGGACGGTCAAAGTTGGCTGATTCTTCAAATGGGTTCTCTATGATTGGAGATGAATATTATTTTCGGTTTCTAGGATTAGGGCAGAATATTATTGTTATGGTAATACCCAGCTATTCATTTCCCACTTATATCTAAATTCCGTGAGGTCAATCTCTATCTTGCTGGTCTGAATTTCTATTTTTCTTTGTAGATTTTTTTTCTCTTGATTTTGATATTAGATTCCTACGTCCAGATGTTCTGACAGTTCATCTCTCGTTTCCTTCAATTGCATCCTCAATAATTTATTATTTCCTTGGACTATGTATATTTTTTTTCTTCTGTAACTGGACAATATTTGTGATGGATTAATCATTCTGGTGATGAATAAATTACAGATACGGCATTGAAGCTTGATAGCCTCATCGGTGATGTTGAAGATGCAGTCTCTTCTACCATGACCGGGAAGATCAGACTGCCTCCATCCTCAGCAAAGTCAGAGGTGGGCGAGTATCCCAGTCAAGGACTTTTTTTTGTATAGAAAAAGTCAACCCGAGAGGTTAAGTTGAAAATCTGGGTTAATTCAACTCACTCTGGGTAATATGATCTCAGGGGCTGCGGCTGACGGCCATTGACCACCTCAGAAAGACCGAAGATATCCTCGCCGCTATTGCAAGATCACGACCCCAGTGGGTCCGCCTTCTCTCTGCTGCGGACGACAGAGTTGACCGAGCCCTGGCCGTCCTAAGGCCGCAAGCAATCGCCGACCACCGCTCCCTGCTCGTCTCCCTCGGATGGCCGCCGCCGCTTTCCCCGTCCAGTGCAGAGAACCCCATCGTAGCCAAGTCAATGGGCTCTGAAAACCCTCTCTTGGCCATGAAGCTCGACCTGAAGTACTGCGAGAGCTTCCTCGCCCTCTGTCACCTGCAGGACTTCCAGAGCCGGCGGAGGTCCCGCCATCTCGCCGCCGCCGCCGCCCCCCGCCAGCCGCTGTGGGGGATCGAGGAGCTGGCGACCCCCGTCTTCCTGGCATCGCAGAGGCACTTTCCCAAATGGATCCAGAAGCCGGAGTTCATCTTCGCCTTGGTCTACAAGATCGTGAGGGACTTCGCCACCGCCATGGACGAGGTCCTGCAGCCGCTGGTGGACAGGGCCAGGCTCGCAGGTTACAGTTGCAGGGAGGAGTGGGTCGCTGCCATGGCCTCCTCCCTGTCCACGTACCTGTCCAAGGAGGTCCTCCCCAGTTACCTCGAAGATCTAGAGAGAGAAAGCCCCGGCGGGGCGGTCCCCTCAGAGGTGAGGACCTCCTGGCTCCACCTACTCGACCAGATGATGATGTTCGACAAGAGAGCCCACTCTCTGATGAGGAGCACCGGAGTTCCCATCTCCGCTGGCGATGAGGAGGAGCAGTTGCAGAGGGTCTCGTCCATGGCGGTCTTTTGCGATCGGCCCGACTGGCTCGACCTGTGGGCGGAGATGGAGCTCGCCGACGCCCTGGAGAAGCTGAAGCCGGAGTTGAAGGACGCGAGGAACTGGAAGACCAATACTATCCAGGCGGCGGCGCCGCCATTGCCGCTGTTGATTCGGGGGCTCGAAGAGTACAAGTCTCCGGCGGCGACCGCCGCTGCTCTCCGCCGCCTGTCGGCGCTGGTCGACCGGTGCCGGCCTCTCCCGAGCATCCCTCTGAGGGCGAGGTTCATCAGGCTGGCGGTGGCGCCGCTGGTGAGGGAGTTCGCCGACGCGCTGCTGTGCCGGTGCCAGGAGGCGGAGGGACTCACCGCCCTGGTGGACGACGACGCGCTTGCCAAGGTCTGCGACGCTATTAATGGAGCCCGCTGCTGCGAGTCGGTGCTGGTGGACTGGTGCGAGGACGTCTTCTTCCTCGAGATGGCCGCCACCGGCGAGGGCGGCGGCGTGTTGCAGAAGGAGATGGAGGCGCTAAGGCGGCTGGGGGCGGAGTGGCTGGAGAAGGTCTCCGCGGCGGTGCTGCGGGGGTTCGAAGCCCGCTGCCGAGACCACCTCAAGAACAAGAAGCAGTGGCAGGAGGCGGCGCCGTCGGAGGAGGAGGTGGGGTGGGGCACCTCCAGGTCCTTCGTCGGAGCTCTGGATTATCTGCAGGGGAAGCTCCGCCGGCTGGAGGCGGAGCTCAACGAGGAGGACTTCGCCGCGCTGTGGAGGGGCCTGGCCGCGGCGGCGGACCGGATGCTGCTTAACGGCGCCCTCCTGAGCGGTGCACGGTTCTCCGGCGGCGGCGCGGCGAGGTTCGCCGGCGACCTGGCGGCGCTGTGCGGGGTCTTCGGCGCCTGGTGCCTGCGGCCGGAGGGGTTCTTCCCGAGGGCCGGTGAGGGGCTGAAGTTGCTCAGGGCCGACGACGGGGAGGTGGAGCAGGCCCTCAGGAGGGGCCTGGAGCACTGGCTCAGGGAGAAGGGGCTGAGGCACCTGACGGCTGCCGACGCGGAGAAGATGATCAAGTGTAGGGTGATGGTCAACGCCGGCATCTCGTCCTGACGAACGCCGTCGACGATTCCTACGCCGCCGCCGGCGGTGGGCCGTGCACTTCCTCATCTTCCAGGCACTATAAGTCAACCCACGGGTTCAACGGCTGCTAGCTGGTGTGTGTGCCCAAAGTCAAAGTTCTCGTGACAACATCTCCGGCGATTGATTGCCTCCGGAGATGTTTTTCACCTTCGCGTTGAGAAGAAAAATGAAGAAAAGAGAAAATATGATCCTTTCATCATATTTTAATTATAATATTTAGTAAATAGACGACAATTTGATTTGATTTTTGTTCCTAATTAATTACCTGCAGCCCTTCAAGCTCTCGCGATGCACCAAAAGACGAAAAATTAGATAAAGACCAAGATTTCTAGAGAGAGAGAGAGGGGCGGTCAGACGTGACTGTGGAGTCGAAAGCTGGCAAGTTGACCGGCGTTTTCTTTTTCATGACGTCATCATCTCACGTGGCATGTCGGCGGCCACCGACCCTCTGCGCACACTGCTCACGCACTCTCTCTCTCTGTGTCTCTCTCTGATACTTGTTCTCCTATCGACATCCTTCTCTCTCCCTCGAGCCTCTCTCCTCACATCACGCACTCTCTTTCTATCTCCTTGCTCGTCCTCCTCTGCCCTATATCTCTCTTCTTTCTCTCCCCACAGTGTGCTCTCTCTCTCTCTCCAGAGAGAAGGGGCAAGGCAATCTACTGTTTCTCACCCGAGTCCTCTCTCTCCTCCGCCGGGGCAGGCTCCACGTGAGCATCGAATGTGCTGACGTGTCATTGGAAGCAAGAGCTTACTTGTCCAAGACGGGTACCTTTTGCCGCTCCTGTGATCCCCCTCGAGTAGAAGGAAAATGCAAGTGTCCACGTGTCGCTGACCCACCCTCCATTTCGCACGTGTGGAGGATATCGCATCAAATCCTCTCTCTCTCTCTATACACCGTGTCGAGAGAGCCAGTCGGGCCCGGGCTCGAGAACGAGTGGCCCGACATGGAAATAAGCTGGGGGGGGGTGGAATTTCATCCCTAGTCCCTTATTTTAGTAAGATTTGAGGGACATGCCCATCAATAAATGGGCTGGACGGGCTCACCAGGCCCATTGATGGCCCTGATACAATCTGTAACTAGTAATATAAACCCTTCGGACACGGTTGCGTCTTATTATCTAATGACGTATATATGTAGATGCATATATATAGCAAGTAGAGAGAGAGAGAGAGAGAGAGAGAGAGAGAGAGAAAGAGTACGATGTGGTCAGAGATCTAAGTTCAGACATATAGCCTGGGTGCGTCTTTATTATAATGACACAATTATGCCTAAAACTATGCCGTCTCAGCTGTTACTAGATCTGACTGGTAGAGAGAGAGAGAGAGAGAGAGAGAGAGAGAGAGAGATAGAGAGAGATGGAATAGGTGGGGGTTGGGAACAACTCAGGAGCCAAATAAGGTAATGCATGTAAACAGCTGAGAGAGAGATCCTAAAGTTTAGAGAGAGAGAGAGAGGGATAATAAATCTATATGTATACAGGAGGAAGTGAGGGAACCCCTGAACACCTCTGTAGTTTCTTCCGGAAGGGTGGGGCGGCGGTGGCTCTCCGCCTCCACTGCGGCGGCGGAGCCGCCGTGGGGGCAGCTACCGGAGGAGGCTGCGGATGATCTCGGCCTGGGGGCTGTCGGTCTCCATGGTGGACATGAGCGCCGCCAGCCGCTCGCTCAGGTCCTCCACCTCCCTTTTCAGGCTCTTTATGTAGCTGCACGTCTCCTTCAGCAGCTTCCCCGCCGACGCCTGCCACCATCCTCCCGCCCTCCTCCCCCCCCGTTAGAGAGAGAAAGAGAGCGAGTAGAGATAGATAGTAGAGAGAGAAGAGAGAGAGAGAGAGAGAGAGAGAGAGAGCGAGAGAGAGAACCTACCCTGCCCATGTTCCGACGGCGGGATTCCGGCAGCAGAGACTGGAGCTTGCTGATGAGCTCGTTGATCTCGTCCTCGCTGATCCTCCCCCCGGTCGTCCTCCTGCTCGACATTAGAGAGAGAGAGAGAGAGAGGGTAGAGGGAGAGAGAGAGAGAGAGAGAACGTAGAGAGAAAAGGTTTGTAGAGATGGAGAAAGGAGGGATTTGAGAGGGAGGAAAAAGGCGAGCTTGTGTGAACATATATTGAGGAAGATAATGGGGCCCACATGTACCCTCCGGGGTCGCCTGTTGCGGTCCCTTCCGTCCATCACGGACCCAATGAGCTCCACTCTCGGATCGAGCCCAACCGCGGGGTGGGCCCAGGACCAAAGCCCGGATTCGGCTGCGCTGGCGGGGTGACATGGCGGCCTAGACAACGTGTCCGCTTTATCGTCTGCCATGTGGCCGACGGGACAGGCCGCTGACTAGTAGGGGAGGGTCACGGAGGGGACAGAGGGCCCCACGTGCAATTAAAGTGGACCACGTGAGGGCTCACCGCTGCACAATTCATCTCCGCGATGCATGTGACCGCGCTCACCATGGCACCACGAGAGAGCTTCCTCTTCCAGTCGGGGAGAGAGAGAGAGAGAGAGAGAGAGAGAGGATGTCCGCTCTCGCCCCCTCTTATCCCTCCGCTGTCCATTCCTCCCTTTATCGATGTCTCTCTTTCTCTCTCTCTCTCTCTCTCTCTCTCTCTCTCTCTATCTCTCTCTCTTATCCCTCCCCTGTCCATTCCTCCCCAGATCATCTCCCTCTTTTTCTCTCTGTGCGTACCACCCCGTCCCTTCCTTCTCATATCATCTCTCTCCCTCTCTTATCCTCGTCTGTCTCTTCTTCATATCATTCTCTCTCTACCTACCCTGTCCCATTCTCTCTCTCTCTCTTGCATATATCGCTCCCTCTCTTTCTAGATTTCTCCGTCTTTCTCTACCCTTTCCTGTGTCTCATTCTTCTCTCTACCCACTCCTTATATCCCCACCCCCCCAGGGGGGCGCCCCAACACCTCACCGAGAAATCTGGGAATGAAGGCTTTTACAGCTCTGCCTTTATGATCCCCTACAACCGGCAGAAAAGAAGAGAGAGAGAGAGAGAGAGAGACACACACACACACACACACACACACACATTGAAGAAGGCCTCCTCATCCTCTCCATGGTCACTACACCGATGGCATATTACTTTTATCTAATAGAATATCTTACTCTTGTTTGTTCTACTGACTTAACGAGAGAGAGAGAGAGAGACGTTGTTACCTATAGATGTCATTCAGGGACTCCTCTCAGTCAGATGCAGGTCGCCATCAGAGGTTATTGCGTGAGTTCTACTCTCTCTCTCTCTCTCTCTCTCTCTCTCTGCGCGTCTCTTTCTCTCTCTGGGTCTTCCAATAGCACGCCTACATGGGCTGCTACCGTCTGCATGGGCACTCTCACGTGCTCATGTCCCCGTCCCCACAAAATGACCTAATCCCCCCCCCCCCTCCCCCCAACTTCCCAGAAGACTCATCCTCCTTGACGTCCAAATTTTAACCACCGACTCCCGGCGGCGCTCTCCGGCGGAGTCATCACCGACTCCGATACCTTCCTCTCTCTCTCTCTCTCTCTCTCATGACGGGCAGCGGTTGCGAGCAATGTCGATGGGTAACTGCTTCCCTGCGGCGCCGCGTCGGGCGTCGCCGGAGGAACCGCGGAGCTCCGCCGGTCACGTTTACTTCGGATGAGAGCCACAGCGAGAGAGAGAGAGAGAGAGAGACGTGACTGTATGAAAAAGAGTGCTACTCTGGGCACGTTTTCGCATGGCTTTCGGAGGGACCGCGATTGGGAGATCGTGAGAGATAGAGGGAGATGACTGCCTGTAGAAAAGAAGCCTATCCTGGGCATGTTTTCTCCTCCCTTTCAGAGAGATTGGGATTAGGAAATGATGAGAGAGAGAGAGAAGAGAGAGAAGAGCGATGACTGTAGACCAGAAATCTCTTCTGGGCATGCCTCCTTCTTACTTTCTGAGAGAGATTGAGGTCGACAGATCATCAGAGAGAGAGAGCGAGAGAGAGGGAGAGAGGGAGAGAGAGTGGAAGTGAGAGAGAGAGAGAGAGAGAGAGAGAGAGAGAGAGAGAGGAAGAGGGAGAGAGAGGAAGAGGGAGAGGGAGGGGGAGAGAGAGGGGGTGGGAGAGAGAGAGAGAGAGAGGCATTAAATTGGTGTAATTTTCCAGCATCAACCACGAGAGTTCCATGAAGAACCTGCTAGTGGAGGAGAAAATCCGTCCCCCTTCCCTCCCTTCGTACCTCTCTCTCTCTCTCTCTCTCTCTACTGATTCAGAAAAATCTCATTGATTTTAACGAGGGGATATAATTCCTCCTCCAATCAACGAGAACTCTCAACGCGCGCTGATATTTTTCCATGCCTCATTTGGCATGGAATTAACTCCAAATTTTCGATTTTTATAATACCATCGAATCCGATTTGGAAGAAGACGCAGATTTTCTCTAAATGTCGGTCCCTCGTCAACGGCGGCGGCTGCCCGGTGCAACTTTCCCCGCCAAATGTCTACGGGCCAGGTGTGCCCTCTCTCTCTCTCTCTCTCTCTCTCTAGAATCTTTATTACGCGGAAATAAAGAGGCGGCGAGGGAGATCTCAGAATCCATCAGGACGGAGAGCTTCTTGTCGCCTGTGGGGCCAGATTTTTCGGATCCCATCCCCCCCGTTGACTTTGGATCACATCATGTCCACGCATCACCTGGGGACGACACGCGGGCCCCCTGGAGAGCCCCTTCGCGACCCGTGAGCCTTGCCGGAGATCGATGGCGCCGCCCGCCCCCCGCCGCAATGGCTACCATCTCCTTCCTTGGGTGGCGACGGCGGAGGGGACCTCCGCGGCGGTCGCTGTCGAGGCGGTGAGAGCCGCATTTTGCCGGCCATGTGACCGACAACACCGCAGATGAGCGGCGGCATTGAAGACTCCGGGACGGGGCAGTTCAGACGGACTGGCGGAGCCGCCGGCTCCTCTCCGCCACGTCTACGTCCTCCGGCGACTAACACGCCGCCATCTCCGGCGCCTGTTCCTCTCTCTCTCTCTTACCGGCGTACGGCCCCCCGGAAAATGAGCGATAGGTAGAGATAGGTAGAGAGAGAGAGAGAGAGAGAGAAGAGAGAGAGAGAGGGCCACCACAGGAGATCTTGCGGAAGCCACGTGGGTAGAAAACGCGTCCGTATCGTGACGGGCTGGATATCCAGGCCCATGCTAATCTGGCACGCCGGCCCACGGGAGAAATACGCTGATTTTGACCCTTCCATAAACTCTCATGGAGATGAGAACCGCGGTTGACTCTAATCATTCAGACACCGTAAATAATCAAATCTTTCAATTAATCCACACACATCACCCGACTGAGTGAGCATCGCTGACTTTTATGGCTACAGTTGACTTTTGAGGATTCAAACCATACGAAATTAAACGATGATGATGATGATGATGATATCTCAGAAAGTGTGGTGGTGCTCCCCCATGTTCGTCCAACTGCTCCCCCTCGTAGGACTCCAGGCCCGGATCTTCATCTCCGGACTCCTATTCTGTCTGACCCAGAAGCTTGGAGCCCGTTTTCTAGTCGTTGACCATGAGGTTGACCTGATCGTCCAGAGCAGCTACTGAGGTCAAATCCACGTACCTTCATCCTGCCGTTCAAAGCCAGAGCCAGGAGATCCAATTCCTCCACGAACCACAGCTTCGACACCCAAGCCTGGACGAACAAATTCAGTATAATCACAGGTTTTTTTTATATATATATTATTTCTTTGATATAATTTTTCTCCAGACTTTGCTCCTGAAATCCAAAACCATGCTAATATATCGGGTCATTCAACTCCGAATCAACCATATAATCGAGAGGCAGAGCATGCTCATCCATATGCTGGAATAAGTCCAAAGTAATTCTAACAAGAACCAGTGAGTGGGTGGAGATGGAAGCTACCTCGAATCCCCGAACCTTCCTGTTAACCTCCTTAACCAGCTCGCGCAAGAACAGGAGTTGACCTGTGGCAGTTGGGTTCTCCTAAAATAATAATAATAATAAAATATAGAAAAATAGTAATTATTGATCTCTAAAATAGCGCCAGTGATCTGGATGGTCACTGAAGAGCATTTTTAAAATCTAATATATTCACGATTTGAATCCAAAATCATGTACCCGGATGGGAGTTTTAGGGCGCCTGAGGAGCCTAGCGAAGGAAGTGTGCAGCAAAACAGGATCATACTGCACCGGAGAAACAGAGAGAAACAGCTCGATAAGCACAGAGATAGCAACCCATGCTGTTTAAAGTCAACCCGATGACCAAAGACGAACATTTATTCACATAATTACACTCACGAGCTGTTCTTTGGGGGCCCGTGGAAGCAGCTTTCGCAATTTTTCTCGGATTATCAAGGGATCAGAACCAGAGACCACCTGCATATTTATTAAAAGAGAAATTAGACAGAAGAAAGCTTGAGAGTAAACTCAAAGTCATCGGAAGGGTCAATTTACAGAAGAGGAGACATCTCCAGCCGACCTGCCAGCAGCCCAGAAGCACCCCAGTGGAAGTCAACACCACCCTATCTAGAACAACCTTCAGCGGACAGAGTTCCTCAGCCGCAGCCTCAACGGCCCTCACCTCAGCTTCAATCTCAAGGAATTGGCAACTGAAGATTAATAGGAGAGAGAGAGAGAGAGAGAGAGAGAGAGAGAGAGAGAGAGAGAGAAATCATAATAACTATTAATCATTCTGAGAAGAAAAATGGAGGTGGACCCAGCAGACCTCAGCGTCTGATGCTCGAACAGGGCTGAGATGATGGGACGCGTGGAACATGCTGAAGTGGTACATGCTCACATTCTGAAACCAGATACCTTCTCAACAGACGCCAAGAAATAAATATATGAAAAAATAATCATATTATAATTTATATCAACCGAAAAATGGCATAATTAGCTGAAATAATAATTTTTTCATTAATAATTTGCTTCCCTTCACTAATTAAATAAATAAAAACAGAAACCGGTGAAAGAAAACCTCACCTTCATCAAAATAGGGAAGGAAGACGTCTCTTACAGCCTGCCTGAAGGATGGAATCGACCTTATGTTAATAATCCAGGGAACCATAGTACATATACTTTAAAGGACCCTTTTCTTTTTTTTCTTCCTGGTGGGAGTGGAGATCAGAGATAAATTTATTTATTTATTTATTTATTTTAATCGGATTACTGCTGATAATAAGCTGAATGGAGTATAAGTAAAAATAAAATTCACAATCGGAAATAAAAAATGTTCCACTCAGTTGGCAGTCTCTGATTGCTGATAGGAGTAGGAACCAAGAGAGATCGTCAAGGAAATCCTTTGCTTGCTCTGAAATCATTGGGCAGGAAGAAAAATGAAGGGCAAGTGGGGTGTGAGATGAGTAAAAATGATGAGAGCTAGGAGAAACTGAAAGGGAGATGACGAAGGGATCGAATGAGCACGGAGTCTTGGAAGTCGCTCAGAAGTTCAAGGCCGTCCACTTCAGCCATTGAAGTTCTTTAATGGCAGGAAGGATTGAAGGGCCTTGAATGCTGTGTGAAATGAGCTGGACAGGTGAGACAACAGCAATTCTGAAGGTAGAAAAGGAAGCGAAATCAGGTGTTCTTGACATCAACACCTGATCAAGCGGATTGGCGGGATTTGATCTCTAAACCTAGTCAACTATGATCTGGAAAGCGGCATTGATTTCTTGACGCTAACCCTAGCCCTAAAATGTTATGATGAGGTGTTTGACGACATTGATGATGATGGTGAGATCTTACGAGAGAGGCGCTGCATATTCCGAGCTGAGGTAGAGCACGTTCGCACGAACTGGGGGGTCGGCAGGCTACACAGAGGAAGGGAGTCATGATTTAGGGCATTCCAAATCGAGAACAGGGGCCATCTCTGTCAATTGAACCGCACCTTGAGTATCGGAGTGACGCTCCCGTTCTTTAGGCAGAAGATATCCGACAGAGAAAGGGACTGCGACGTCTCTCCTCCCCGGAGGAAAGCCGCGCCGTGCTCCTCCAGATCCCGCGCCATCTTATCGTACAGCTCCGACCGCCGCTCCATGATCGACAACTGGAGCTCTGAGAGAAGGCGAGATAACGATGTTAGCTCACCACGAAATCCGGAATCTCGAGGGCTCTACCATCACTGGAAGGACCTTACCAGAATTCGAGGGAGGGGATTGGAATCGGGAATTCTCCGCGCAGAAGCGGAGAACCAGGAAGATGAGGAACACCGACAGAGCCCAGATCGCCGCCGCTCTCCAAGGGGCCCCACACCGGTAGCGGATCGCCCTCGCCATCAGAGCTCACGCCACCACCTCCCAGACAGCACACAGCAGATGGAAAAGGGGGCGGGGGGAGGACGAAGGCTCTCGTTAACCAAAACAGCACCCGCGGGTCAGCTGACTCACCTCCCGACCCGAAAGAGCCCATAATGAGCCCATAAATAACTACCACAGGCCCATCTTCTTCTTCTCATCCATTATAACTTTGGAGCCCAAGCCCAGAATGGGAACTGTGCTCAGATAGGCTATCAAGCTTGATTTATGGGCCGGCCTAAATAGAGAGTCCGTGTGAGTGAGCTGCCAACAGGAAGGCCCATAAACTCCTGGTTATGCCCATTTAAGTGAAGCCCACCCATCCTGGCCCTGGGCTCATAGCGTATAACATCATGATATTATTTTCAATGTATGACGCTATCATGAGGCTTCTCTCTCTCTCTCTCTCTCTGTCCCCCCAATAATACACCGCCTACGCCCCTCGCCTTCGACTTCCTCCTGTCCTTCCAGGGGGCCGAGACACAGAAGAGAGAGATAGAGAGAGGGAGAGAGAGAGAAGAGAGAGGATCCTCTCCCAGCGTTCTCAGGGGAGATCCAGAGGCTCTGATTACTCCTCCCGTGACCTCCTTTTGCGAATTCTTCTTGCCCTCTGCTCGATCTGGGATTGGTCCGATCGGTAGGGAATCGGCCGTCGGGGTGAGGGAATTTGGCGGCGGCGGCAGCGGCGATCGGAGGAGGAGGAGGAAGATGTCGGGGCAGGGGCAGCGGCTGAACGTGGTGCCGACGGTGACGATGCTGGGGGTGATGAAGGCGCGGTTGATAGGGGCTACAAGGGGGCACGCCCTCCTGAAGAAGAAGAGCGACGCCCTCACAGTCCAGTTCCGGGCGATCCTGAAGAAGATCGTGACGGCCAAGGAGTCGATGGGGGACGTCATGCGGTCGTCGGCCTTCGCCCTCACCGAGGCCAAGTACGCCGCCGGCGATCACGTCGTCCGCCACGTCGTCCTCGCGCAGTCCACCCGCTCCGCCTCGCTCCGCGTCCGTTCCCGCCAAGACAACGTCGCCGGAGTCAAGCTCCCCCGCTTCGAGCAGTTCGTGGATGCCTCCGCCAACACCGATAAGTCCGCCGATCTGACGGGCCTCGGCCGGGGAGGTGTTCAAGTTCAGGCCTGCCGCGCCGCCTACGTCAAGGCCATTGAGGTGCTCGTGGAGCTGGCGTCTCTGCAGACCTCGTTCCTGACGCTCGACGAAGCCATCAAGACCACCAACAGGAGGGTGAACGCTCTGGAGAACGTCGTGAAGCCCCGGATCGAGAACACCATCAATTACATCAAGGGTGAGCTGGATGAGCTAGAGAGGGAGGATTTCTTTCGGCTGAAGAAGATCCAGGGGTACAAGAAGAGGGAGATCGAGCGGCAGATGCAGGCAGCGGCAAACTTCGCCGAGGAGCAGAAGGTGGAGTTGATCTCGCTACAGAAGGGAGTCTCCATGCACACTGCACAAAAATTATCTGATCTACTCTCCGTCGGCGGCGAGAAGGACGAGGACATCATCTTCTGATCTGCTCCCCCTTTCCCTTACTCTTTTTAGGTCAGCTTGTAGACTCCCTTTTACTGTTTTCTATCTGCATTTCCATCATACCTAAGCCATAAATCTTAGTATAAAAGCAAGTACCTCATGTTTTCTCCAGCTGGAAGGCATCCATTCTTTCTCCTTCGGTGGATTTCCCGGTTTCAAGCTTTCAAATTGCCATTCACTGTAATCTTTGTTATCTGTTCCTGTCTCAAGACCATGGGCATGGTTAATCCATGTCGATCCCCCTGTTGGGTCTCTGATTCTCTTTTCTAATAATGGGAAAATATTGTTTATCTCCTGTGTATGTCTTCTTTACTCGAATGAACTATGCTTCCACTCATTAATATCTTGTTGCTTGTTTGCTCCATTCAATTGATCAGCTGCTCCAGAGAATCTGTCTACTGTCGCATCATAGATTACCCATTTCACTGTAATCTTTGGACGGTGGCCAATTAGATGGAATCCTTTTACCATGCATCATGTCTCATTCTTGTTGCCATCTTGAGTTCTGATGGGGGGGAGCTGGAAATAAACCCTACCTCACCTGCTAATGGTCTATAAAATATACAGATTTGAATCAGACCCTCCTTCCCTCTTTCTGAAATTTCGGGATTTTTCCAGAAATTGCCCGGCATCTCCATGTGACCTTTAATTTGCCAGTCTCTTCCACAGCTTCAGAAACCATTTCAGGCTAGTAAGCTGCATAATCCACCAAGCTCGGTGATCTTCCTCCGATGATGATCTGTTCTGTGCATCCTATAGAGACGATGGTTGCTTCCACCCATAATCTCCATATCCATATATGTGTATGCTATGAGCATCCAAGGTTTATTATGAATCCATCCAAGGTTCCCGCATCTGTAGACTATGTTTTATAGCATGCAGAGAAGATAAGTAGCCTGTCCTTGCGCCTAGAATTTCTATTTTATTCAGCATAAGCAAGGAACCATCATAGATTCCCTTTCTTTCATGAAAAATGCAGGATTATAACTTTCATTAGGGATGAAGTATGCCATTGAAAACTAGATGAACACATAAGAATGATGTGATCAGTGAACAGGCACCAAGGCTGATGAGGATGATGATTCATGTCCTAGTTGAAGCATTTATGGTCTTAGACAGGATATAGATGAAGAGAAGTTTTTCTTGTTATTTTCCCCCCAGAAAATAGATAAATAATGGCTGAATTATTTTTCCCCCAGATAATTGATTTGCTCTTATTATTTAGTCACTCCTTAGTGAGCAATGATTTAGCCTAATTGGCATCTAATTGAGCTCCTGATTGGATGGACTGCCCTCGAGTTCATGGCTTCTCCTTAAATTGCCTTATTTTATCAGTACTATGAAGGATTGGTTTTATCAGAAGTACTCAATATTTCAAATATGCTCATTGTTTTCAGTTAGCAACTCAACCATATGACTCAATGATCGGAGCTAACTAGATTTCTAGGGGAATTATAGCTAACTAGTTAAATGAGAGATGGTTCATGTCAATATCAGTGGACCAAAGCTATAAATCCTGTGCTCAATTAACATAGGAAAAACATGAACTTGTGGTGGAATTTATTAGAAATGGAAATCTAAGGTTCTTTAAAAAATAGTGGGAATATCATTGGTTGACTTAAATTAGTGGCTTTTGATAAATTGAGGTTGGATTCTTATATACATTAAATCACTGTATCTCTAAGCATGTGGGCGTATATACCAGTCCGCTTAGGCCCATACATATTTGACGAACTTCAGAGCCTACCCTTCAGAGAGAGAGAGAGAGAGAGAGAGAGAGAGAGAGAGAGAGAGAGAGAGAGAGAGAGAAACCTGTCAATGTTCATGCTTGACTTAGATATAACATGACTGACTTGATTAACGTAAAGTCAAGAATTGATTGGTGGGCAACTTCTATTATCACTGTTCAGTCAATCAGTCTAGCTCATGCACAATGAAAGTACCCTCATAATCATACTCTCTCTTTCTGTTTCTCTCTCCAAGTTCTAACAAGCGATGACAATTGAGACTTGCTCCAGTTGAACAATAATAGAGGAAGAGTCGTTCCTCTCTCTCCTTCCAATCTTCTGCTTACTCCGTTGGCTTCTCTCTCTCTCTCTCTCTCTCATCACCCCATCTCCACTGTCCCTGGATCGGACAGAGAGAGGGGGAATGGGAGCACGGATCTTGATGGATGGCAAAATCGAATCAACATCGGTTCGAGGGGGATCGCGGCAGGTCAAATCGGAAGAAATAGATCACCTCAGGGCTCTCTGGAAGGGAACCGAGCAAGTTTCCTACTACTAATGGTAGGAAAAATAGCCATTACAGTGGACAGTTGGTACCTGAAGAAGCAGCTGATATTAGGGTTCCTCAGGAGGGATCAATCAAAGATTCGATGCTCTAGAAAATGAAGCTGTATTTTATGGGGCAAGAGAATGATTCGATGTAGATATTAGGGTTCATATTTTTCATATTTTGCAGGAATTATGGGGCAAGAAAATCAAGCTGAAGCAGGCGAGGGAGCCAAGAACAGAAGAACGGTCATGGAGATTTTTCCTGCAGACTTTTGGGTTTCTGTTAAAACCTTAATCTATTGTTGTTGGGCGATCACTATGAATTACCACAATCAAATCACAGAGAGACAGAGAGAGAGAGAGAGAGAGAGAGAGAGACAGAGAGAGACAGAGAGAGAGAGAGACAGAGAGATCAAAGAATGCGAGGTACAGGAGGTGATTCGCCCCTGTGGTGGAACAGCTTTGCGACTCTTCTCCTCTCGCAATCCTGAGCCACCAAAAAGGTGAAAATAAAATGAAAATAAATAAACGATTAGAGGTGCCATAAACGGAAAGATGGAAGAAAATCGTCTTCGTATTACTCCACGAAAAAAAAGAAAAGAAAAAAAGATGCTTCCAGCCGAGTTTAGGGTTTGACAACTTCTGTTTAAGGGTATGAACGATTGGATGTGTATCTGATAATTACTACAGGAAATTAAACATTAACATAATTAATTAGTTAACTAGAAGCATCATATCTATAAGTGATGATCTTTCTTCTCTACTATCACACAAGGTGGTTGGTTCCTCCTGATTTCTCGGATCTCACCATCCACCCACCACACAAAGTGATGATATTTGTGGCAAGATTATATATATAGCAAGGGAAAGCTCATCATCATCATCATCATCATCATCATCATCATCCACTACCTGAAACATGCTGAGCCGAAACTCCCTCTCTGGATTCATCCTCCTGAATTTCAGGAATGTGTACCCAAAGCTGAGTTGATCGCGGGAGGTGAAGCGATCCACCTCGTTGAACCAGAGACAGGAGAAGAGATTTGACATGGGCGTGTGGGCGCGGGCGATGAACGAGCCCTCCGGCACATCTGCGAGCCAAGAACACCGACTGGGACCAATCAACCGGAAAGAAAAAGGAGAGGAGAAGAGAGAAAAAAAAAATAGTGATGGTTCTTGTTGACTCACAGCTCGGAAGGGGGGTGTTCTTGTCGGAATCATCAAACCTGACTAGTCCGTCAGACTGGTAGAACATGAACTGCTCATCAATGGCAGTGTGGTTGTACTTGTTCAGGCGTTTGTTCTGGAGCACCTCCTCCCAGACGCACCGGCGATCGTAGTGAATCGAGATGGCATACTCCGATCTCTTCCTCCAAAGGAAATATTCGAGAATCAGCAGAGGATCAGCGTTCAGACGCATCTTGCTGTCGATCCAAATTGAGTAGCTGCCAAGATCAAATAAAAAGATGGGAAGAACAGAATTGCGCCCGAAATGATCAATAATGGAGTAAGTTTAATCACAAGAATACCAAGAACTAGAAACAATTGTGAAGGCAATGGATCCACTGTCAATGATCGACAAGCCCATGAAACAAGACCCAAGATTTAGAATTGAAATGCTGGGATGAGGCGTCCCAGAGATTAATGTTGATGAAGGATGCCAATTCCTTGTCCTGCGCCTTTTAGGAGCCCATTTAAAACTAGAGAGATGAGAATCTCCAGAAGATGGAAATCTTCACATGTTCTTGAGCAAGAAATAATCCGGGAAGTAGAGAAGATGTGACCTGATGGGCACATCCAAAATTATCAAGATTTATTCCTTAATGCCGCCGCCATAATTGGGTTTCATATCATAAATGTGTCATATAATCGGTCGTCATCTAGAAAATGTTAGACAAGAGACGCCTTAAAGAATATATATATATATTTTTATTCCAATATGCCCAGAAAAAAGACTTTATAAGCTCAAGAAATACCTAGCCGAAGGGAAAAGTCTATGTGACAAGAATTTGGGCACCTTTCCAGCTTTGCGCACGTCTGTGTAGGGTAAATTCCTCACTATGATAATCCTCCACAGACCGATATTTCCTCTCTCATCAGGTGCAGTCCCCTCTGAAGCCAATTGCGACATTGTCAACTCATCCAAGAACATTACGAAGCAGACCTGATCCTTAGACAATGCGCTAATCTGACCAAAAAAAAAGGGTGAGAAAGAATAGGACTTCAGGTAATTAGACATTAGTAACGAAATCTTTGCAATATCTAACACATGTTATAAAGTTCGAGATAGATAAAGATCTTCCCATATATCCTTTGCAGAAGCAATCACTTTGAGAGAGAGAGAGAGAGAGAGAGAGAGAAAGAGAGAGAGTGAAAAGGTACGTTATGTATTGTCTAGTTGTCAAACTCAAATAAAGATGTAGAGGAACGAAAACATTAATTGAATTTAAGAAAAGAATAACAGAATAGATAGTAAAAAGTAAAGGGGCAGCCCCACGTCTTCTCAGTCACAATGGTCGCGTGTCTTAAACTATCATAAGTTAAAAAGACCTGTTTGTGAGTTAACACTAACCATATTCATCTCTCAAAAAGCATGTACCTTGCTTCTTGTGGGCCTTCTCAGATAGTCCGAACTCCCAAATATGCAAGACGATACAACAACTTTGCAAGAATGCATGTAATCCTGGTCCTTCTTGTTCAAATCAAATCCAGCCGTAGGAAATCCTTTAGGACCTTTGATAAAACCACAATGAAGAGTTTCATTTCTGGCATAAAAGGAGTTTTCTCTCTCCTTAAGAGTTTGATGTCCTCCAAATCTGGGTTTGTATATATCACGCTCATGAGAGTTTTCATCATCAATATATTCAAGAGAAAATTGTGAGACATTCATGTAATCCGTTGGCTCAATAATATGATCGACAGACTCCAAAAAGTCAATCTGACAAGAAAGATCTGAAAAGTTGCATACAGAAAATTTAGGGCAAGAATGAATAAATCATAAGCGATGACTCTAAAACTCACGCAAAATCATCAGGAACTTTCCAATCGAAAAATCGCATGAAGTATTTATGAGTAAATAAATCTGCCTCCTAAGTAGATCAGAGAGGCAGGATTGGCTCTAGATGTGATGTGATGTGATGAAATATCTTGATTATCAAGAAACCAAGTACCTGCTAGTAAAAATATCATTTGATGATAAAAAATCACAATTATTTATGTGATAGGTTATCCCCTAGGTAACACTCGTGGTTCCTGCAGACAACGAAGTCAAAGCAATGGAGATCAAGTATCGGAATTACAGAGTGAATGTGAATACGCCGGTTCCCTTTGTTATCCTTCGAAGAATGCATAAAATAAAAAACGGTGTGAACACATGCTCATTTTAGTTCCCTTTTGTTATCTTTCAATGACTGTAGACAATAAAAAATGGTCTGAGAACATGAACATTTTATTTCCCTTTTGATTTTGTTATTCCAAAGTAAATGTGCAAAGCAAGAAACGGTTTAGTTATTGGGATTGATGTCTGGTGATAACTTCCACCAGAACATTCTTCTTCCATCTGCTTCAGTGGTGACTGGTTCCAGCCGTTCCACCCTTCTGGGATGTTTGCATTCATTTACATCAATAAAAACTATAGAAAAGTACAAAATTTAAGAGATCAACAAGAACCACATTGAGAAAACCGACTAGTACCGAAAGAGGAGTAAAAATGGAAAGAGGAGTAGATGCTTACTTAAGGTTATCACTGTAGTGACATTATAATAGATGACAAGTTGATTAAGAACTACACACGAGATGGTTATCATTCAATAATCCAATTGATTCATTAGAGTTTGAAAGTAATCGCAAACCTAGGTCTTTATTAAGTTCAATGGAGAGCGATTAGGTGACATTGACAAATTAGATATCAAATACTCCATCAAAATATATCTTTTGTATTGATATAGCATTCTGGAGAGGAGAATAAACAAAAATAATAATAATATTAATACCATAAAATGAACTTTTTCAAACTATATGGTAGAAGCGGAAAAGTACTGGTAATTTCTTGAAATATGGTTGTAGGATTAGAGAAAATTATTGCTTCTTAGGATCAAAGACTAACAGATACTGTAGGGTATTATTACAATAGATAGGAATACGCCATCTATATCAAATCAGAAATATTTTTTCCAAATTTCCTAATTGAACAAGAGTGAATTGTACATATGAATTCACTCAGACTTCAAGTTAAACTTCATAAAGCATTATTGGCCCGCTCTTTTTCATGAGCAGATTTTATACTAAGTGGGACTCAGTTGAATAAGGCCCGGGATGGAGGTTGACCCAAGCTGTAAAAACAGAAGGAGCCTACTGGTCCTGACCCAAGTTGTTTAGTGACCATGTAGAAGAATTTTGTCTAGTCTTGACTGAAGCCGTGGAGAAATCTAGAAGCTAACAGCTTATGTAATAAACATGTAAATTTTCAAAACAACGTCGTTTTGCTCGTGATTGACAACTACCTAAAACAGAAATCAGTCAACAGTAGTCTTTAGAGACAAAATCAATCAATGCTTAGTCTTCTTCTCCAATTAATTATTTTAACTGGCCAATGTGAGGAATGGGAACGCTTTATAGTATCACCCATTCTATTGGACCAGAAAATTTTCTAAAAATTTCTGTTTCTCGTGAACATAGTTCTCAAACCGGAACTGCAATCACAAGGAATCAGACAAGCAGGATTTCTACAAGAAAAATTGCCTAACATCATGAATAAATGAAAACAGACGAGATGAAGGAGCTCTTACGCCTCCTTGATGGACTTTTGCGAGAAGATCTCGTATCAAAATTAACTTCGGCAGAAATATTTACATTCCCAGCAGACAACAATTTGTACGTAGCAGTATCTTCATTCTCATGCATCACATGCAAATCTGCAATAACATCCATTTTTTAAAAACTTAAAAACCTCCAATTAGTAAAGAATAAGAATTTGAACTCAGTTTCTAGAGGAGAAAAATAATTCATCAACGCACAGGAACATAAAACACATTTTATTTCTAAGAATGCGACTGGGGATGTAAGCTGTTAATATTAAAAGATAATGCTTATCAGGAAGTGGAGTCTTTCTATCCATGGAACCAAACATTCTGAGACAGGCAGCAATTTCGTCGTCCATACAAGGATGTACCAACAAAAAAAATAGGCTACGTTTGATTTTATTTGACTTTAGGAATGGAGCAGAAAACAATTGTTTCAAGATTTAAAACCTGTGTGTCAATGGCAAATACAAATAACAAGTAAAATGTCTTAGAGTTAACGAAGTAAAGTAGAAAGTTTATCAGTCTGCCTCCACACGAAGCACGTTTCCAATGCATTATATACTGTTAAATGGGAAACATGATTTTTTTTCGTCGGTCATATAACTTAAACTATTAGTTCGGAGCTTACCTAGAAGATAGAATGAGCATTATTATGGAGCTTCTCTAGAAGAACAATGGCCGAGACAAAACCATTATTTTTCCTTTTAACAGACACAGTGCGTATGGGAAGCCAATGATTCATTACTGGCCTTGAATAATGGTCAAATTTACATTGGCAGTAACCAGATTACATAAGAGTCTTCCGGGAGGAAAGAGAATTCAGTAACTACGTTTAGAAAAATTGGAGAAGATTTCGGGATACAGGGCAAGGGCCTAAAAATCGACAAATGGGGGAAATACGATGCTTTATAAGCATCGTACTACAATGTAGAATAGGAAACACAAGAAGGAGAAGATGATGGAAATGAGAATTGAAAGAGATCCCTACGCAAGATTACAAAAAAAGGATAGAAAGTGTATATATTGTAGATTTAACCAACTTCAAAATCGATGTATCATCAAGTGGATTGAGTATCAAGACAAACCCCGAGTACAGTGGTGGGTAATGCGTGTTGCACTGGAGAAGCAGTATCAACTTCAAACTCGATGTATCAGCTAGTGGATTGATTATGAAGACAAATCCCGAGTAGTGTGTTGGGTAATGTGTGTTCTCCTTCGATAAGCGGACTCCTTCGCTTCCAGGCGTAGCGTCAGAGTCACTGGAAATTTTATCCACTATCATCTGGGGCGATAAGCGTCGTTCTCCTTCGCTTCCAGGGTCCCGCATTACATCATGCTCGGCCTAGATACAATGTTCTCTGGCATCCTCTCAAATGGGTCATATTCTGCTTCTGGTTGGCCCCTTGGAATTCTAGGCGTAAAAGTGATGCAAATCATTCACTTCAGGTTCCTCCAATTCCTTACTCATATACGCAAGTTATCTTCCTCTCGGCAAAGACAACAACGAGCTAAATGGTAACAAGCATCCTCCAGCGAAATCAACGAGGCACGTTCAGATTTTTTTTATTTCGAAGGAACACGAAACCACATGTTGAAAAATTAAACAGATTCAGATAAATCTGGCATCCACGTTAGATTCTTCCTTCATATGATTAGCGTCTCGCGAACGGCAGATTCGATCCAAGGACCGGACGATTTCCAGAAATACCTACATATTCCTGGCACCACATCCGTTATCCGAACAATAAAAAGCGAGGGCGGGGGCGGGGGCGGGGGCGGGGGCGGGGGCTCACCGGCATGGGCCGGTAGCCTGCGGCCGTAAAACGAGAGGTACCCCAGGAAGAGCAGCGAGACAAGCAACAGCACGGAGGCAGAGCCGCTCCTCCACCTTCGGGGGACCGCCCTGACGAGCCTCCTCCCTCGCCGGAAGCGGACTCCCGACGAGACCACGGGGAGGGCGGCGGCGGCGTCGGCGTGGAAGTCCCTCCGCTCCTCTCCGCCGTGCCTGAACAAGTAAGACGCCATGCTCACAGATGTCAGGCCACCGCCACCTTCCTCCCGCTCCTTTTCAGCACGCAATTTTGTTTGCATATAAACCCCCCATTTATGAAATAATTCTATATATACGTTTAATAAATTGAAAGAAACCCATTGTTAGGTTCCTAATGGGCCCAGCTACCCCCCGAAAGCCCGACCGGGTTCGATGCTATCGGGCTTGGGCCTCAAAAATCAAATCCTAGGAACCAGCTACGTGGATATCTCAATAATTTGCTACGTGATACGGATACCATTCCTTTTTATAATACATTCGTATATTTTAAATATACTAATAATATTAAGTTAAATAAATCCGTTATGATATTAACTCACATGGATATATATATAATTTTCTCCTCAATTCTTCTTTAGGCTTTTCTCCACCCATGTTGAATATTTTTATATATTTATGAAGAAATACAAAATTAATAAATTATAAATATTAATATATATATTTTATAATTTTTACGGAGTGCTAGAGAAGAGATGGGGTATGTAGATAAAACGATAAGATATGTAGTGGTTCCTAGTCTCATGATATTAAGATATGTAGTTATTGATGGGAATATTCTATATAAAAAAATGAACAAAAAAGCTATAATTGGAATATATATGAAGTATATTTATATTATGGCACATGCCGAAATGCATTAAATAAAAGTCAAATTCCCGTCTTTCCCTTCCTCCCCCAACACACAACCAGATCTTGTCCCCTTCCCCCGACCCATGGAGACCAGTGAAGCTCTGCTATGATCTCTCTCTCTCTCTCTCTCTCTCTCTCTCTCTCTCTCCCTCCCAGAGCTACTGGTCTTCATAAGCAGGGGCAGAGTCTTTCATCCTCCTCCTCCGTCACCTTCTTCCCCGCTCCTTCTTCTTCTAGGGTTTTCCTCTCTCTGTAGTCTGGTCGCCCTTCTGAGATGGCCACAGTCGCATTTGCCTCCTCCACTGGGCCTTTCTTCTCCGTGGAGGACAACCCCACCCCACAGCAGCGCCCTCGAGAGGCCTCCTTCTCCTTCTACCTCGCCGGCCCCGAGAGCTACGCCCTGCGGCTCGGCGGAGAATTCTCCGACCGCAGAGGAAGCTCCGCCACCCAGATCGCCCTCGCCGGCGGGAGGCCGTCGGCGGCGGCGCCGGAGGACGAGCTGGACGTCTTCAGCGCAGAGAAATACTTCAGCGGCAGCGGGACGGAGCTTGCGGAGGAGAGGGAGAGGCCGTGGAGGACGCCCCCCTCCGGAGGCGGCGAGCTCGCCGGCGGCGGCCAGAAGGTCCGCTGCGGCCCGCCGAGTGTGTGCTCGGAGGCCAGCAGGAACAGCCGCACCGCGCTGCTGAAGGACCTCCCCCGACGATCTCGCCCGCCGCCGGTGAGGAGGAAGTTGCTCCGCCTGTTCCCGTGTTCCTGCTCCGACGAGGCCTCCGTCGAGGTGGACGACGCCAAGAGCAGCACCGGCGGCGGCGGAGGGGGGGGAGCCCACCAGGTCCGGCGGGAGAACTGGAGCAGGAAGGAGGACTGCTTCTCGGCGGCGCCAGCTTCGACTGCGGCGGCGGTGGCGGTGACGGCCGGAAAGCCAGCAGCGGCCAGCGGAGGGAGTCGGCGGGTCCCCTCCGCGAGACTGGGGAGCAACTTTAACCCGTCTGTGGTCAGTTCCAGCTGGGTCAGCCGGGCATTGCCCCCCCCACCCCCCGGGGGCGCTGGCGCCGGCGCCGGAGAAGACGACGCCTGCAGCGAGTCGAGCTCGGAGCTGTTCGAGATCGAGAGCATCTCCACCGGCACGCTGGCGCTCGGCTGGGAAGGCGGCGCTTCCGCCGCCACCTGCTACGAGCCGAGCGAGGCGAGCATCGAGTGGAGCGTCGTCACCGCCAGCGCCGCCGACGGCGAGGCGAGCCCTCCGCCACCGCCGCCGCCGGCGCCGCCGGGGAGGAAGTGGGCGGAGGAGGAAGGATGGCGGGGATCGCAGCGGCGCCGCCGGGGCGGGGGGGGGCTGCTGGGCTGCGGCGGCGTCAAGGTGGTGATGCCCGAGCGGGCCCGAGCCCCCCCCAGGCCCGCCGCCGCAACGGTCCCCGCCATCAGGTGCCGCGCGCTGGCGGCGCGCGAGACGTGGCCCCAGATCTCCGCCCCGCCTCCACGTGTGCAGCCGGCTGTAACCACCATCCGCGTCCCGCCACATGTCATCAGCCCCTCCCCACCCTTTACGTGACATTCCACGGAGGCATTGCTCATTAATTATCCTCAAAATTACGCTCCCTCTTACTAATGTACCATGAGAGAGAGAGAGAGAGAGAGAGAGAGAGAGAGAGAGAGAGAGAGATTTGCCGGCCAGTCAACGGCGAGACTGGCTCCTTCCCGACGCGACACAGCTGACTGCTCAGTGCTCAATCATTCAACCATGAAGCAGAAGAAAGAGGGGCCCTGGCCTCACCGAGCCCTCAAACCCTAGCGCCTCTGAAACCATCTGTCATTCTCCATTAACCACTGCTCCCTCCCTCCTCTCTCTCTTCCCCCTGAGGAGTGGTGGAGATGGGTAGGAGACCTGTTCAGGGGAGGTGCAGGCGGAGAAGGCATTCGGCCCATTGCCAGCCCTTCCTGTTAAGGAAGGAAGGAAGGAAGGTAGGCAGGTATTCGGACCGTCTCTTTCGGGAGCTTTGCCGCGCGCCAGTGGGAACCTAACCTCCAAGCTGGTCCCCGTCCTTTTAAAAGCGACCCACCGGCGGCCCCCCTGTTGCCAGCGCCCCACGGCAGCGCGCGCCACCCTGACGATCACCGCCCGCCAACCCCTGCGGTGGTTCGCCGGGCACACGGCGGCGTTAATGCCGTCGCCTTCCCGTAGCTTTCTCCCCCGTCACCCTCTCGGCTGCGTCGGCGGCGATAGCAGCCGCAATTCCCCGTCGCAGAGGGGGAGAGAGAGAGAGAGAGAAGGGAATCGCTGGGTCGCCGGGGGAAGGGTTGAAGGTCGAAAGGCGAGTGGGGGCGACCGGCGGCGGCGCCTGCCATTAACTCTGCCGTCGCCGTGAGCCGACGGGGCGGGTTGCTGGGGCATCGCATCGCATTTATCGGAGGGGAGGTGGGGCCCGGGACCCTTGCGGTGGCCGGCGCCGGAAGCCACCGCTGGCGGTGCCCCGATCTTACCTCGTATTTACCATCCGCGTCACGGCCCACCAGACAGAGATGGGCCTCTTCTGGGTCGCCATATTCACCCACTAAGCTTCTTTGATGGGCGGCGAGGATCCGCCCAATTTCATCTTGGGCCGGTGTACGGGCCCATTAGCAAACCAATATTTAATTCCACGGTTGAAAATGCCTCCGCCCCGAGTGAATGAGCACGGAAAATTGTCGCCTAGAGTTTCTGACGTGACATAATAATAATAATAATAATAATAATAATAATAATAATAAACACATTATTTACATCACTGCAATCTTAGTGACGGGACGCGGTAATCATGATGATAAATGGGCCGGCCCAAGGGCTCACATGGTCCACCCCAGAAGTCCCTATGTGATTCAAGTCTCATCAAGTCCGTTCTGTTATGAATGTATTAGTACTGGAACGTCTAAAAGCTATGAGGCCAGATTCAATGGATGATTCTCTCCATTTTGTTTGTTTGACGGGACCACGGGGAGTGGACGGCAGATGCTCTTGAAGATCTCGCAGACCGTATTGGGTAATGCCTTTTAACGGTTGAGATTGATTTGAACGGCCGACGAGCCTCCGCGGAAAAAGCGTTGGAGTGTCGTAGTTCATGAGGATTATAAGCTTAGAGATAAGAGCGGTTTAAAAGCGGCTCATGACTACGGTTCGTCAACGTCTTATAAGCGAGCGGGTTTTCTACGACAGCTGATTTCCCATTTTTGCCCCTCCCTTCTTTCCCCTCTGGTTCTTCTTCTTCCTCCCATGGCGTTGCCGGCGGCCAGGCACGGCCGGCCGGTCCTCGCCGCCGCCAGGGGCTTCCTCTCCTGCTACCGCGCCTTCGTCCCCGCCATCTTCGCACTGGTTCTGGTCGCCACCCTCGGCCCTATCTTCCCCTCGAGTTCCTCGGACGCAGACGCCGGCGACGGTGGCGCGGGCGCCAGCGTAGGGGTCGTCCGATCGAACTACCTCCGACGGGAGACCTTCATGGCGCTGCATTCTGATCCTCTCCGCACTCGCCTGGACCTGATCTACCGCCAGGCCGTGGACCACGCCGCCCTCGTCAATGCCTATGGCGCGTACGCCCGCCGCGTTAAGATCGACACGTCCCGCCTGCTCCATGCCTTCGAGGGGCTCGTCGTCTCCTTCTCCTCCACAATCACTCGCCTCTCTGCAAGGGACGACGCAGTGGATGCCATTGAGGAAGGTCCCCTGCGCGCCATCGTGAAGGAGTTCAAGGACCGGGTGAAAGTCTATCGGAAGCTCGTCGCCGAGTCAAAGGAGAGCTTCGAGGCGGAAATTAAGATCCAAAAGCTCCGCGACACCATCTTCGCCATCAACCAGCAGCTTCACCAGGCGCGGAAGCTCAGAGAGCTCTCGAGCCGCATTGCCGCCGGATCCACTCCCAAGAGTCTCCACTGCCTCGCCATGCGCCTGATGCAGGAGCGCGTGGCCCACCCGGAGTCGTACGACGCCGCCGGTAGCGTTCCAGGTCGGCCGGAGCCCTCTCTCGACCAGTACCATTACGCCATCATCTCCGACAACGTGATCGCCGCATCGGTGGTGGTGAACTCGGCGGTGTGGAACGCGGCGGAGCCCTCCAAGCACGTCTTCCACCTGGTCACCGACCGGATGTACCTCGCCGCATTCCATGTCTGGTTCGCCCGGCGGCCGCCCTCGGGGGGCGCCACAGTGGAGATACGCTCCGATGCCGATTTCCCATTCCTCAGTGCCCCATCCTCGCAGGCAACCGCCCAAAGGGGCGGTGGCCTTCCGCCGCTAGACTACCTCAAGTTCTACCTCCCGGAGATGTATCCGCAGCTGAGGAGGATCATCCTGCTGGAGGACGACGTCGTGGTGCAGCGGGACATGGCAGCGCTTTGGCGGACGGACCTGGACGGGAAGGCGAACGGCGCGGTGGAGGTATGCTTTGGGCCCTTCCGGCGGTACTCCCACTACCTGAACTTCTCCCACCCCATGGTGGGGGAAAAGTTCAGTCCCCGGGCCTGCGCTTGGGGTCATGGAGTCAATCTCTTCGACCTGGATGCCTGGAGGAGGGAGAAGCTCACGGAGCGTTTCCAATACTACGAGAACCTGGTGAGAATTCGCAGCACGATGCTCCTCTGCTAGCTGAATCGGGTCGAATTCTGGCGCCACTGCTCTTCTTCCCAACCATTCTCCGTTCGATTTTCCGTCTCATATCTACTCTCTTCTTCCTGCGTGTCTGCATTTTTTCGAATTTCCATCTGATGATAGTTCGACGGCAGATTTTTACTACGTTTTTCTTGTCCAAGTCTGGCATTCATGGCTTCTACCGTGATGTTTAATTCCTGAAATTACTCCGGATTTTCCCTCAAGATCAAACGCTTTTGAACAAGATCGAGAGGAGGATTCTCTGCATCAGTCATCTGGAAGCAGCCTGAGATGTTGAAACGCATACCCTCCATGATCCAAATTAGCCAAGAAAACCAGGATGATCTTGGCTCCATCCAAAAGCCCATTGATGCTCGTTCGCCTGAAGATCAGTTTCAGTTCTGCTCGAGGAGTCAGATTTTCCCTTTCATGATCCTCTAAATAAAATCACTGCCGCCGTGACCCTCTCATGATCTTCATCAGGTTGCTTCGATCGTTTCTTTCTCAATTCGATTCCATATGGTGGCTAAAACTCCCCGTTGTTGGCGGAGATTGACCCTTTCTTTCAAGCTGGAGAACATTCATCGCCAAGAACAAGGAGATCACCTATTCTCCCTCATCCTGGATCCTGACTCCTCCGAGAAACAATGCAGAACTCCGACGGAACTCTGTGGGCGCCGGAGACGGGGGCGGCGGCGGCGGAGCTGATGACGTTCCACGGCTCCACCAAGCCGCTGGACAAGGCCTGGAACCTGATGGGCCTCGGCCGGAACCCTAGCATCACCCCGGCGGAGATCACCGGCGCCGGCGCCGTCCACTTCGACGGGACCATGAAACCCTGGCTCGACGTCGCCATCAACCAGTACAAGCACATCTGGACAAGGTACCTCGACGCCGACGAGAAGTTCCTCCAGCTCTGCAACTTCGCCCTCTGAAGCAGCAGGAGATCGCCAGGTGAATCTGCCGCCTTCTCCAAACCCTAAAAATAATCCTCGACTTTAGTGTAGAGTCAGAATTTGCTGATAGATTATCCTACTACTATGTACATATTTACTATTAAATAAGATGGCGGGTGACCCTTGCTTGCTTTCATGTAAATATCTCTGCACGTTTAACTATTTGTTGATGTGAATGATTTTTTGTGTGTAAAAGTCCTTGTTATTTCCATTTGGTTACCCACGGCCCTTTCTTCTCCCAGTTATTTGCATATATGCCTAGAGAGAGAGAGAGAGAGAGAGAGAGAGGACTCTATTATGGGCCATTATTGGGCTCGAGAGAAAAAGTCTTAGTCTTGTAATAAAATACACGAATTATTGTAAAACACAGACCCTACTTCGTGAAAATATATTTTCGAGGATAATATTTTTAATGCATAATTATTTATCGGAAATATTGATCGATCCGTGGCCTGCCGCAGGCATTATTCAATTATATTTCGGGTTTAATCAATCCAAAAGTATTTTAAAAATACGGATAAATTAAAAAGACGACGCTCAGTTTGCCACGTGTGCTCGGGGGGTCGCTGATCCGATGGGTGCTTCGGAGTTTTTATGTATTAAAAAAGATGGCGTCAGCATGACGCCACGCCAGCGGCTGACCCCGTTAATGGCCCAACGACCCCACGCGTGTTCAGATTTCTCCCCTTCCCCTTCCATCTGGTGCAAGCTGATCGCGACACAGTGACAGCCCTCTCTCTCTTCTGTTCTTCTGTTCTCCTGCTCTCCTGTTCTCCTGTTCTCCTGTTCTCCTGTTCTTCTGTTCTTCTGTAATGGAAGCCGGGGTAGGATCCGATGCCCTCAGCCCTCTTCTCACCATGCCGTAGAAGAAGATGGAGCTCCACCAACACCTCGAGCCGCCGCCGCCGCCGCCGCCGCAGCGCCGTCCGTGGCCGCCGCCCAAGGAGATGGCGGGAGATCATGACGTCAAGCCCCGGGGTGTGCTCCCCCTCTCCCTCTCCAATGGCTTCCTGGGGAAGAAGACCACGCCGGCGGCGGAGGCGGCGGCGGCTCCCTCATCGCCGCCGCCGGCGGTTTACAGGGAGTGCATGAGGAACCACGCGGCGGCGCTGGGAGGGCACACACTTGACGGCTGCGGGGAGTTCATGCTCTCCCCCGTCTCCGTCTCAGACGCCGCGGAAGAGCCCTCCGCCCTCGCCTGCGCCGCATGTGGCTGCCACCGCAACTTCCACCGCCGGGTCCTCCGCCGGGAGGAGAGGGAAGGAGATGACCGGAGCTCCTCCCCGGCGGCGGCCCCGTTCGGCTCTATCGGCCACCGCATGCTGGTGGGCCTCGGCGGCGGACTTCCGGGGAGGCCGGCGGGGCCGCCGTCCGGGGCGAGGAGGATCCCTCAGAGGAAGAGGTTTCGGACGAGGTTCAGCCTGGAGCAGAAGGCGAGGATGAAGGAGGTGTGCGAGCGTCTGGGGTGGCGGATGCAGAAGAGGGACGAGGGGCTGGTGGAGGAGTGCTGCCGGGAGATCGGCGTCAGCCGCGGCGTCTTCAAGGTCTGGATGCACAACAACAAGCACAACTTCCTCGGCGGCCCTTCTTCACGGAGAGCGGCAACCGCCGGCGGAGGCGGCGGCGTTGGAGGTTCGCCTCCTGATGGCAGCGGAGCAGCCGGCGGCGGAGACAGTGAAGAAGACTCCAGCTGTAGAGGGGGCGATGTGGCAGGAGATGCGTTTGATAACGGCGGCGGAGGCGGCGGCGGCGATCATGCGGTGAAATGTCCTTCCTCCAAGAGACAGTGCATGCAGGGAGAAGACTGATCTTCTCTCTCTCTTGCCAGATTATATATCCCAACCCTCTGATCTTCTTTCTCCCCTCCTTCTCCCCCATCTCAGCGTGATCTTGCCCACATGAAAAATGAGACCTTGGTAATTATTTCATTATTATATAGTATAAACACAAACCATAGTCAGATAGTGGCTAAACTTCGTTCAGGGTTCCATCGAAGTCTCCTCCTACTGCCATTTTAGGATATTCAAGAACCCACAACAAACAAATAGTGAGAAAGATAGATTCAAATAGTTAAGCCAAATCCTTCAATAAGACACTGTTTGACTCAGCTCTCTAGTATTGTATGAGCTCTCTAGTCTCCTAATCCTAGTCCTTTAATAAGACACTGTTTGTAAATCTTGAATCCTAGTCTCCTACTGTTTATGGGATCACTCAGTTCTCTAGTACTGTATGAGCTTACCCTCACCAAATATTTCATAAATAGTCCTAAATTCAATATATTCTTAAAGGAGTGAATCCACTATCATAAATATTACAGTTTAGGATTTAGAACCCATTGGTAGATAGTATTTGGGGTTTTAGGATTTCAGGTTTATTATTTGGGGTTTTAGGATTTCAAGTTTATTCAAATAGATATTGTTAGGTTAGATGAGCCCATAAAGGAAACGAAGAGTGGGTAAAGAAGAATCGATACTCTTTATGAATCTTGTGATAAGATAAAAATACTTTCAAGGTCATTATGAGGTGCTCTAGAATTAATGAGGGTCACACTACTAAGAATGATCAAGACAATCAACATTAGAGATGTAAAATTTACAACTATTTGACCCCCTTAGTCAACTCCACTCTTCATATGTATCTTTTTAAGGTTTTATCATCCGTGGTAGTACAATAGTTGATTCCTCGGTGTCATTAGTATTGTTTCAAATGCCATTATCACATGTCCTATGATTCATGACACATGTGCACACAAAGATTTATCAATAGCAATAGGATTTTATTATTATGATTAAAATTCTTTATAGAAGAAATAAAGTTATTATTAGAGTTGTAGATTCTATAGCCTCCCTTTTAGTAGTGATTGACTTGGAGTAAGAAGTTCCTGTAGATTTAACATGTTGAAACATTAATGAAGAAAATACAATGTGGAAGCATATTTTTACCATTTCTAATATATCAAATTATTTTTCTTGATAAATCCACTTTAGCTTTCTTTCTTAGTAGCTCTATCTTATTTTTCCATTTCACTTTTTTCCTGATTATCAAGATCTCATTCAATTTCATATGCTTTTTAAATGTTGTCCACATCTCATTCAGCTTTAGGCTGGATTCTATGTTGTCAATCATAACTTATAAATAACCAAGAAAAAGCTTCTGATTTTACATTACAATGTAGTCATTTTTTAAAAGTTTTAGATTAGTGTGGAATTCTTCATTTGACATGTTCTAGTCTTGATCTTAGACTCTACTGCAAGATTTAGAAGTACATATAGAAATATTGTTATGGTGTTTTCTATCAATGCACAATTTATGCACTAGGATATCTAACTTCATGTGTTAACTTATATTGGACTAAATATGCTATGTACTTAGATATTGAGATTTATATATTATGCTATTTCATAACACAATTGTAATGTATTAAAATATTATATAAGATATATGGATTTATTTATATACTACTTACAAGTCAGTTAAATGATGTTTTGGAACATGATTTCTATGTATTGACATATTAAGCTTTATTTACTTTGCTATTTTGCAATGTAACTTATCATATGATCAAATTATAAGCTTCATATACTTTGTTGTTCAGAATGTGATTCCATGTATGCTAGTATATCAATAGTGATGTATTGTATTATTTTATGACATAACTCCCCATTTACTTGGCTCTTAATGATGATGCATTGTGTTTTTCTTCTAAGGTAGCCTCTCATATTGATTTAGTAATGTTGATGTAATCCAGTGTTTCATAATATTCACTTGATGTACTAAAAAAATATGTGAATATATTGAGTTATTCATGTAGTAATCTTGGGTTATATGTTTGAATTACAAAATTATATTTTTCATATAATCAAAGATTACGATTTATATAGGCTATTATTATTTAACATAACTCCTCATAATGTTGATGAATTGTGCCCTTCAATGACATAAAATTTATATATTGAAACATTATGCATAGTAAACTATGTTATTTGTGTGCTAATATTAAATTTTAAAGTCAAATTTCATTAATTAAAAATATAAAAAAGTTATATTTCATTGTCCCTAAATATAACTCTTTATATATTGATGTAGTGGTGTTTGTGCACTAGATTACTTTGCAATGTAAATTGATCTACTAATAATCATTGATGCATTATATTCTTCTATAAAGGAAACTCTTATATATTGAAAAATGAATTTAGAAGCTAAGCTATTTCATAATATTAATGTAGCGTAATATATTAAAATATTAAAATTAATGTACTATACTACTTTGCAACATAAGCCTCTCAAATGTTATTTCTGTACTATGTTGTTCTAGATGAAATGACAATTTTGGCATTGTATGGTTTTCTTACCTTCAAAGTTCATTCAAAGCAACAAAACCCATTTAATTTGACATTTATGACTTTAGATTTCATAGAAAATCATGAAAAGATATATTTTATATATTTTCTATTATCCTAAAAGTCTTAATAAGGCTCAACCTAAGATAATTTAAGGTATTGTACTTATTAAAATATTCATTTATCTTGATAATTTTCTGGTGGATTATAATTCCTTATAAATTCCTACATCAATTAATCATGTAAACATGTTATTTTCGTTATGTCTTTAGTTCATGTAAACATTTTATTTCCTCATATGTCTTAGAGGTATGTAGAGGATTAGAGTCAGGTCTTCAACAAATAGGCAAAATCATGTATTAGGGGTGCCACTACCTCTTATAATGTGTGTGAGGCAATTATCTCTCCAAAGAAAAAATAGGTTTGTGTAATCATACATATGAATTTTTAGAACCACACAAAAAATCTAGTCTCTTGTGTCTCTCCCCTCTATACCTATGTGTTTGCAATGGTTCCTATTGTCCAATAAGGTGACATTCATCCCCTAACAACTAGTATCAAACCCTCTATTCTTGGTGAGCTCATTTTGAGAGAAAATATAAGCTATAGTTGTTGATACAATAAAGTTGAGAGAAGTATCTATACAAATCACTAAAAGTGATATCAACTTCTAAAATACACAAATTGAGGATTATCTATATAAGAAAAAGCTCCATCAACCTCTTTTGTTATATTGTTACAAGAAGATCGATATCTACTAGATTGGTAAGCATTGGGAGTAATTCATCTTGCACTAATCAAGAATGTTCCATTTAATGTTTTGAATGCGAAAACCATAATAGATCTTATGATGGCTCTATTGAAGGTGTATAAAAGGTCATTGACATCAAAAAAACATATATTTAATGCCATCTTTTTAATTTGAAGATAGTTTATTTTTGTTACAGAATATATCAATGAATTTAATTTGATAACTAATCTATTGAGTTATGTGAATATTATTTCTAGAGATAAGATACATGCAACGAATGAATTAGTAACTATGTTGCTGAAAATTTTGACAAGGTATATGTTGATGATGATGAATATTTGGACATAGTTGGAAAAAAAGATCATTTAAATTAGAAATTCTAATGAGTTTAGTTGTTGGAGGAAAAATATATATTTGATTGTAAGAGAACTTGATCTCTATAAAAAAGACTATAAAATGAAGGCATCATAAAAGAAGATATGATGATAAGAAGAGAAACAAAAGATGACACTTTATATATGACTACTATCACTTAAGATTGTGATGTAGCACTAGATTTAAAAATTGACATTAAAATATTTTTATTAAAAGGAACACTATTGGTTTGAAATCAATGAAAGTTGGTCTTTGTAAATATTGTCTGCAAACAATAGAAAAAAGTTTTTTTCAAAACTTGAAAGACACAAAAAATTGAAAAGTTAGATTTTGTGTAAACTCATCCCCTCATTTGATTCTCTTATGCCCTCATTGATGGCTCAATACATGAAATGACATCAATTCATAATTCAACTTGAAAATGATAATTTAGTCCTCTAAAAAACAAATAATGTCTTTAAGATTCTTTAAGAAATAGAAAATTCAAGTTGAGATTGAATCTATAACCAAAGTTAAATGACTGAAATCTAATAATGAGGAGGAGTATGGTAATTAAAAATTAACAATTTATATTCCAAACATTAAATTAGAATAGAGAAGATAGTTTGAAATAATATTCAATAAAATGACATTTCTAAATGAGTGAAAAAAAGTATTTTAAGTTAATAACATTATAATCAACATAAAAAGTATCTTCATGTCGGTTCACCCAAAATATTTTTGACAAATGTAATCAACATAACCACCCATTTGATCACTAGGGAGCTAGTTGTATCCCTAACTAACTAATTCCTAGAAGAGTGTTGAATAAGAAAGAAGATAAACATGTCATTCTTAAGAGTCTTTGGATGACTCTCTTACATGTATATAGATTTTGAAAATGGAGGCAAACTTGACCTAAATCATGAGAAACCTTTCTTCATTTGATATTGAGCTCATATATTCGGCTATTGGTTTGGGATGATTGATAATATGTTGATTATCACACGAAAGGTTATTGGCTTAAATCTTACAATCTAGCATGTTAACATATTAAAAAATAAACATTTATTATTTCTTTAAATATTTTATGAAGTTTAATATTTTAAAATTTTCTATAATTTTTCTTTGAGTTTTACATTCATAATTAATTTTTATTAATATGAGATAATTTCAGATATTTTTGATATTTTTCTATAGTTTTTAAGAAGTTGACATGTACTTCAACGGATGAGATTTGACTTGTGAAGATGAGGCGATAGAATCAAGGGTTGAGGCATTGACATGTGACATCATCAAATGAGGAGATCGAAAAGCCATCAAGAATGTCTACACAATCAAAAATAGATGGAGCATACTTATCGATGGTGCAATGGATCTCAATATTGAAGAAGATCCTATGGCTAAGACAAGACCTTCAAATCCAATGTTTTAAATCAATAATTCTGTTGATTTAAGAAGAATTAGGATTGTAATTACTTGAGGACTGTACTTTCAACAATTCGGATAAAGTTTCAACTAAGGTGTCAAGATCATTGATAAAAGACACAAAGAGTACTATCCTATGGTTCACTTAATTCCTATAAAGACTAAAGATTTTAAAATAATGATCACTCCACAAAAGGAATTGAAATCAACATACTTTGTCGAAGGAGATTCTAGAGTAATTTTATGTGATTTTAGTGGCTTGAGATCCACAAGCCTTATTGAAGAATTTCTAATGGGTGATGATTGATGAAAATGAATGATCTAGGTTGGGTAGCTGAGGTTCACGAAGCATTTGGATAATTTAAAAATATAAGAGAGAGAAAATATGTAAAGGAGGAATAGTGAGAAAAAGATAATAAAAAACCCGAGAGGAAATTGACTCTTGTCTTATCTTATTGCGGCCAAAAAGATGAAAATACCCTCATTTAATCACAACCTTAGATCAGATGATTTCAGATGAATCAACCCTACACATGTACTCTCATACCTTTGCGTAAACTCATACACATTTAAGTTGTTGTTTAAGGGTGAAAAGCCTAACTTTGAATGTCCAAACATTTAGTCAGCTCGGATGAAACAACATTGAGGTTCCACATCAGTTTTAGATACATTTTGGTTGATTTAAGTGTGAATTCACAATATAGATCTTGAAAAAGCTACTTAAAGAGGAAATTACATGGCCTTGGCAACATATAGAGGCCCTAAGGTAAGTTTATCCAAGTTCGATGTATGTCATGTCTCATTAATCACTCAAGTATTCATAGGTTTGAAATAGAGAGATTTAAAATTTTGATTTCATATTACGAGTATTCTGTGCATATGTTTCACCTCTCTCTCATCATCCACATCACTGATTCTTTTTTTCTCTTTTTTTTGACAATGAAAATCTTTCTTACTTGTCATTGCCTCTCCTTTGAGTTTATTTGATTTAAATCTATCAATTAAATAGAATAATAACTAATTAACATCTAATCCCCATTCCCTATAGATTGACTTTGAACTTACCATAATACTTATCTGTTTTAGTATTTTAACTTTATAAATTCGTGATTCTAAATATTTTTGATCAATTGATTTTGGGGCTTTTCAATGATTCTCAATTTCATTTTATCAATCATTAAAACCAAAAAGTTTTAAAGAAGATGTTTTTGATATTTAATGATAGACTTTTTTGGAAGGACAAAACATACTCAAAATTCAACCATAATGGAAAGCAAAAAAAATGCCTAGACTATGTGAAACTTTAATAAATTTTAGATGAAGATTTACGTGTGAAGTTGAAAATACAAATCACAAAGACAACCCCTTCATTTTAGCTGAAAACATTTAATAGAGTACAAAGAACACTTTAAAAATACTCGCTCTCTACACCAACTATTACTAATAGATGCAAGTGAACCTAAGTCTTGTGTAGGAGATATGAATGATAAGGACTGTGAAATGTGAGTTAGTGATGTAGGATGCATTGATTTTTTTACAAAAATGAAAAAAGTATAAGCTAATTATGCTACCTAATGAGAAGAAGTCACTTCAAGATAAGGTAGTGTACATAGTTAAAGAATAACATGTTCAAAATAAAAGATTACCACGTGAGATTTACTCTAAATGCATTTTGATACCTAGATAGTGTGATTTCCAAGATGTAACTTGAAGGGTTTTCTGTTTTGATATATGCAAGTTGAAGAAGATCATTTATGTCTAAGAATTTTGATGGTATCATGCTAGAAATTATGAGATCTCAAGTGAATCATTGTTGATGTTTGAAATATTTTGAGAGTTATTATATTGTATTTTTAATTTATATTAAAGATGTCTTGATCAAGAAGACATACAAGAAATCAAAAAGGTAATTAGACAACTGCCAAAAAAATATTTAATAAAATATTTGGGGTAGGAAAAAATTTAATTATGAAAATCACATGTGGTAAAATTTCCTAACATTATTTTCTTTAGTGGATCTCAAGAAATTTACTCTTGAAAAAGTACATTATAGATTCAAATAAGGAGCCTTTAAGTCATGTGAGCACACCTTTAATTAATCACTTAAGACAATTGAAGAGCTTCAAGATATGAAGAAAAATGAGACGTACGTAATCTCATATATTTTATTTAATGTAGCCCATAGTATAGAGAAATAGGAGAAGTCCGAAACTAGTTGCCCAACCACATTGAAATTGGGCTGTAAAGATGAGAAGACTAAAAGAGGGCCCAAAACCTAATTGAGCCCAAATAAAGTGTGATAAAATTGAGTCATATATTTTTTTTGGAAGCACTTTTTTTTATTTTTCTATGTTTTTTTTTCAATTTTTGTTTCAATTATCTGTTCTAAGAATAGGCTCATAATCTGTTTTGATTATGTCCAAAATTGTATATTTTTTGAGATTATTCCACCTCTTTTTTAGGCATATGAAGGTTTTCATCCTGAAATCTTAAGACATTTGTGAAGTATTAAAAGTCTTTTCCTCTTTAAGTATTCCTCTCTACTTGTGAACTCATTTATCTTCGATGTAGATTCAAAGGAACATTTCAATTATGTGGTTTCAAAGTCATCCTCAATTCACCTTGAGGATTAACAGACTTAAGTTTCCAAGTTCTATGGATTTAGGACTTGGTTTCTTCATCAAAGTTTGTCTTGAGGATTCAAGGCCGTATAATCTCTTGTATTAACATCATGTCATATGATGTCACAGAGTAGTTTTGGATTTTTATAATATCAATATAAATTTAATGATCCTTGTGGATTTAAATTCTAATTTTCATTCACCTTACACTTTATATCTGTCTTTCATTTAGCATCTTCCAGCTACATTATTGTCTACATTAGACCAGATATAAGTTATGCAATGAGATCAATAATAAATTCATGATTTTTTTTGAAAAATAACATTAAGAAGTTCTATAATATTCGTTACCATTCAAAAGGCACTCCTTGTATGACTCTTTGTTTCAAAAAATGAATATAGAATTTTGAAATTTTTTGAGTCATATTTAGGTGGTGATGTCAACATAAGGTGAAATATCACTAGATACATACACACCTTGGCTTTTACAACTATAGAAAATTATCTCTCCTTCACTAAGGCTGAGTGTATGACCATTGTGGAGGTTAGTAGGGAAATGATATGACTGATTTTTTTTTTTGCACTTGACAGAAAGTGTGAAAGCACCATATTATTTTTTAATAGTTCTAGGATCATTTACTTAGTAAAGCATGATACTTCATTTCAAAACAAAGCATATCCAACTGCTGCATTATTTTTTTTATAAATTGTTGGAGGATGAATAATTGACACTTGAAAAGATCAACAAATTGAAGAATGTAGTAAACATGTTGACAAACATAATTTTAACAAATAAATTGAGGTCATTCATTATTCTTTAAGATTAATCAATTGAGGACATCACATAAGTTCAAGAACTATTTTCTTTTTCACTTAATTTCAATCTCTAGGTGGGAGATTATTAGACATATATAGTGAATGATCAAGTTGGGCTTTCAATGAGTACACTGATATGAGGGACATTCCTATCATTTATCCTTCTATGATCTCCCCTGCCACATGATATAAGAGGGTAGCCTTCACATGTTATTATGTATGTGAGATGATTATCTCTTTGAAGGAAAAAAGCACATGTGTGACCATGGACGTAAGAGGATTATTAGAACCACATAAAAATCTATTTTCACTGATCTCTCTCCCCTATATCTCTTGTTTGTTTACATTATTTTCCATTGTGCGAGTCAGGGATGCTCATCCCCTGACAACATACACGGGGGAGGGAGGGAGAGAGAGGGAGAGAGAGGGAGAGAGAGAGAGAGAGAGAGAGAGAGAGAGACAGACAGACAGACAGACAGAGTGTATATATATATATATATGCATGTATAGATATGAAATGGGTTTGCAAGATCCATTATCAGCAAGGAAATCTTTCTTCTTGATTCATCTAATCTTATATAATTGCTCTTCTGGACATAAGTTTTCTCAAATAACCAGGAGGAAAGATCTCCATAGCCCAAGGACCTTGGAAGTGGCTTCTAGGCTTGGGCTGAGCTCAAACTTCATAGTATCAAAACTTGGAACTCAATTCTCGTGCTTTTCGTGTTGTCTGCCCAAGCTCCAATTACATCTCCATCTCCCTATTCAGCCCAATTAAGATTTTCAGGGCTGATCCTGTCATGATTTGGGCCCAGCCTACCCATAATCCTAGACTTGGTTTATTAGACTCAAAATTTTCAATGATAGAGTGAACACAAATGTTTAAACCTTCTCTTTGTTATTTGGAGTCAATGACCTAGTTGATGATTGTTGGATGATAGGTGAGATGATGTGCCAAGTAAGTTACCTTTTCTATTTGAGGAAATCTCCATCCCCATAAGACCCATCAAAGATGAGTCTTCATTCACTTGCAATTAGGGTTGCCAAGATGTAAATCCTTTGGAAACCATGTTATGACAAGTCATCTCTCAACTTTGAATTCAAAATGGAGGTTATCACATAGAATATCATAAGACTGTATAAAATCTCCACACTATAAGAAAACTACATAAAAATTGGGCAGATTAAATATCATATTTTTTGTATTTCTACTAATTTTTAAAATGTAAGGCTCTTTAGAGTGGAGATGTGTTTACAATGGATCATGCATCCATTGACACATCAGTTAAACATGAAACGTGGTTTAGTTTGGAAAAAAAATTCCATGTTGACCATCATGCAAATGCAAAGTTCTTTCATGTGCATTTGGAGTAGACTACATAAGTCACCTTCCATAGCTAATTTTATGGTTTAATTATATAAAATTTGGGTGTGATTAATTATCATTTATCTTATTCTAACTATATCTTTTGGTCATGTGGTTTTTGAATCCTTAGTGAAGTGAAAAAATGAGCTAGATTTATCTATTAATATATGACTAACTGATTTATATATTATAGTCCACACTCACAAGGAGGACAAGTACAACAACGATTGAGTTTGATATATTCTTCCATGTTGATCTTCTTGCAAGTTGAGGTGTTATCTTCTTGGTAGTTGAAGCATACTATGCTAGTAGTTATTTGGGCTAAATATTTTCTTTATCATTACGTATGTTATTTTATTTTATTTTATTATTTAGGACCACTCGAAGTCAAGCATGGTTTTTGTCTCCCTTACGTAGGAAGAATCTTAATTTATGGGTCTCAAAGAAACAAACTATCATGAATAAACTGTTTAAACTTTGGGCAGTCCATTTTTATTTATTTATTTTGTTCCCTTAGGGGACCTCTGGCCTAGCACCTTCCTGTTGTTAATGATTGGTGTAGACATACATCAATGTTTTGGGCAGTCTATTTATTGTGTTGTTTTTATGTTTAGGGCATTCTACATGGAACCAAGTCAACAGTAGTGGTCGTTTCCCCTAGTTATATAAACTACATTTCATTATTTAATGGGTCAAGGTAGGTTAGATACTGATGGACATTACTCCGCCATGCAAGATCTAGTAACCAAATTTTCCTAATTTTTTATTATGCTATTCTACCGCTTTGGGAGTCACAACAAGTGATAAATCGACCCGTGCCATGACCTCTTTGATCCATCATTTATGACGGAAGGGTGGTACCATGGTTGACTTGGGCAAACCATTACGTTATTGGTCTTCTCGAATATTCAAGGTCGTCTTGTGAGCTCTTGAAGTAGGTTAGGTCAGCCATCATCTAACGCAGTAAACATGATCTGACAACACTGGCCAAGGGAGCTGTGCGCATAGCATTCAACATCTTGGGACTCGGCAAACTAAAAAAATGGAGCTTTTAATGTCTTTTTTTGACCAGTGCGCCATAACAGGATCTCTACACAACCCTTCTTTCTTCTGGACCCGATCTCACCGGCGAGCTTCCTCCTCATACGAACAGTGTTCAGTCGTTTTCTCTCCTACAGGATAGCTTTTGGGAAGGATGGGGTCAAAGCTTGAGATCACGAACACCTTCACCAGAAGATGATAATCATGAGCCACCGAGCACCTCTAAAATAATGGGTAATGGGACCAAAGAGCCGTCTCTGAATTGATGATCATGAAACCAAGAAAAATCTATAAAATGACAAACTTGAGAAAAGTCTAAAAGGATGGTTCTTGGGATCAAGAAAAACCTACAAAACGATGATCATGGGAGACTGGAAAATCTCCAAAATGACGATCATGAGATCATTGATGTTGTTTCTTCGGAAAGGATGGCATGTTAACGAAGAACAGGAGTCTACTTTGCCGGTTAAGGCGGAAGGAGATTGAGCGGACGGAAACGACCCGTCTTCTTTATATAAATAAAAGAGGGTCGCAGTTACTGCTCTGCTGCTCTTGTGGGCATTCACATGCGACTGACCAGCGGTGGGCGTGAAGTTATTGTCGTTTTCTGGGTGCATTTACTTTTGATTTCTTCCGCTCATGTTTGTCCCCTTTATTACTCTCTTTTTCTTTCTCTCTCTCTCTCTCACACACACACTCTCGCTCAAGGCGTAAAGAGGAGGGCCGGGTTGTCCGACAATGGGATGGCATGCATGGGAGACTTCTGAGTTCTCCATCGCTTTTACAGCTCGAACGCATCCATTACGTACGCGGTGTCCGATTTGAATGTTAGAGAGGGAAAAAGAAGCTCCACCTCATGGACGAAACCAACAACTTCACATGAGGTGCATTCAAGACCCTACTTGCCTGTCCCCCATTTCCAAGGCATCTTCCCCTCCCCCCCCTTTCTCTCTCTCTCTCTTTCTCTCTCCTCCCCCTCTTCTTTCTATCTCTTGAAGGATTTATTATTGGAGGCTTGCCTTGTTCATCGGCCCTCGTCTTCTTAACACGGTGAGGACTTAACCGACCTATGCCCACTAGGTGGGGTTTGGTCTTATCATAAGCTTCCAATATGCGGTATAACCATCTCTATATCGGTTGCCGAGGGCTATTGAATCACTAACCCTTTGAAAGAAGGGAACAACAAATCTCTTTGGTGCGCCCGAATCTCGAGTTCGGGTATCTAGTATAGGAGGTTGACCCCATATTTTCTTTACTTGACGCTATAATTGCCCGCCATCTGGGAAGAAGGCGCTTCCCACGAAGCCTTCATTCACAGCCCCTGGATCTATCCTCTTTCAGGGAACCGAGAGACAGAGGGAGAGGTGCTGCTTCCAATTTCTGTATGGTGACACATGGTAGCGTCGTGGTCTCCTTTGAACAATGAGACGAGGTCAAGCCCTAGTTGATGGTTGAGTTATCCTTTCAAAAAACCTCAAGACCATACGGACAGATACGCTCCACCCACCACGAATGAAACGGGAGAAGGGACACATCGCAGTAATAGCCGGTATCCTCCTTTCAGCTAATATTGGGTGGGAAAATTAGCTGTGTTTATGCGATGAAAATGACTACAAGGATTACTCTACAGAGGGAAAATCATATTTTTAGAGGGAGTAAACTTCAAGTGGGTGACATTTATTATTCTTAATGGAATTCGTACGATCTTTTAGGAAGAACCTTTCAAGCACTCCATCACTGTGAGGGCTCTAGAATGAGGCGTACATCATTCGAACTAAATAATTAAACAAGTATTTTTCCAAAAAGAAAATCGAACATTCAAAGGCTAATCAAAGGTGATCCACTCCCCTTATATTTAGAAGTTGTTTGAATACCTTAGGATACCCGGAATTAATGCTAGAGTAGGTTTTTGCATATGTCATGCTAGGTGTTTGGAAATGTCATGCTTCCTCTGATTCTTGCCGTGTTTGAGTCAATCAATCATCAAACCCGACTACTTTGATATTATCCTTGGCTTCCCAACTGTTTTCCATGCTTGAACGTAATTTTTCGTACCCAATGAACTTGACTTGGAATTTCTATAGACCAACTACGTACTAATTGACCACGCGCCTGATGAATTAACTAAAATTTCATCATCTTTTTTTGGTTTACAACAAGTGAAAAATTGAAACTTGTGGATTATCACTCTATATTTCCAGAGCCGTCTGTTAGATATAGTTCTAATATTGAGAGAACTAAATCATGCATCTCATAGATCCTGCTCTAATTTTTGCTCCTAGGGGAATCAAAATCAACAAGCACAAATTGAGGCAATGACCATATTTGACAGGCCAAGTTTTGCACATCCTGGATTACTTGTTCTTGGGTTCTTGGAGAAAGAAAAGGCTCCCTGAAATACTCGTCAACTTTACTATTTCAGTTATCTTTGGTTTAACCAATTAAAAATGTTCTTCCCGATATTAGCAAGATAAGGCTCATATTGTGTTGTTTGGCCCCTCATATTCCAACCCTAGGGATGACTGCGGCATGGCTCAACGATATCAGGAGCATACACGCGTAAGTTAACACCACAAAGTTTGTGCAAATCATATCTTAAAGACTTGAAATGGTCCAATTGGGAAATTTATTAAATAATATCACAAAAAACATCTACCACATGTAATTAGTGCTTTGCTGACTATTTTACAAATTTCCCCTCACATTGGGAGATCATTACCCTTCTTTCTAATTCATCCGGAACCCCATAGAGATATGGGAGTGACAGAGAGAGGTCTGGGAGAGAAGGGAGAGAGGGAAACTCTCCCTTATCTGCTCCGACAGCTCAGAACAGCTCGACTGTGTTGTTGTCTAGGGACATGCCCAAGAGGGCCTCGGGTCCCGGCCCCCCCTCCTCGGCATCGAGCAACCATGTCTCCAGCAGCAAGGAAAGAGGCGTCGGCTTAGTCTCCTCCTGGAAGAGTCTTCTCCTCGAGTTTTCCTCCGTCGGCGGCGCAGATGAGAAGCTTTCAAACCTCACGACCGAATGGAGACCGCCCGGAGCCACCCGGTCGTTTGCTGCGGTTGTCGTCGGGGCAGCGCCGCCGCTACAGGCGGAGTCACCGGGGGTATTATTCGACGAGAGCTGAGTCGACTCGGAGCTGGACCTGGTGGTGGAGACCCGCCCACTAGGCGCCGGCGTCTCCGTGTTCCTCATCCAGCCTTGGAGGAGACGAGAAATGTTCTCCGCGCTGGAGGCATAGGTGGCCGCCGCCGCAGCCGCCGAGGAGGACGACATGGTCTGGCTCCGAGTCAAGACCGAGTTGAACTCGCCAGAGTGGGAAGAAGACGGCTGCTTTCCCACCTCGGTCATGAAGGCAGGAGTTTCCATGGACAGGGCCTCGCGGAGGGCCTGCTTCGCCATGTGGATATCAGTTTGCAGCCTCCTCTCCCACTGTCCCTTCGACATGGACTGGTGGCTATCCGAGCTCACGGCGCCGGCGCCGACGCCGTCCTCACCGACCTTCCCAAACTTCTTCTTCAGGTGGGTGTTCCAGTAGTTCTTGATATCATTGTCCGTCCTCTCGGGGAGGTACGAAGCTATGGCAGCCCACCTGCATTTCCATACAAGACGCACGATTGTCAGTCTCAAACAGCTCACATGCGTGAGAGAAACTTTATGATCTAGGGTTTCCATGGGTTTGTTCCATCACCTGTTGCCGAGAAGGGCCTGGAGGTGGATGATGAGCTTCTCCTCTTTGTCGCTAAAGTTTCCTCTCCTGATCCCTGGCCTTAGATAGTTCGTCCACCTTAGCCTGCAGCTCTTGCTGCATCTGCGAAGACCTAATTTAACAGAAGATGGAGCAAAGATCAGGCGTAGTCTGTCAATAAATCCTCCTGACCCCACTATGATGTGGGCTTAATCTTCTTCATCCAGTCCTTCACAGGTCTCGGGAATTGGGGAAAGGTGATCATCGCTTAATCATTCGAACCCACCTCGATATGCGAAGATTTTAAATCATTGTTCGGAATCGTTGGGTTTTGGAAGTCGGCGAAGGGCTACCTCTTAACTGCGTCCACCAATGTTTCGTCGGTGCACGGCGAATGAGGTCTAGGCCTTCAGGGGTTTGGGAAAGTGGCGAAAGAAGGCGAAGTGAGATAGATACGGAAGAAAGAAGGCGTCTCACCTGTGTGGGCAGGAACAGCCCTCCAGTTTCCGGGGCCGTGTTGCTGGATGTAGGTGACCAGGATGATGTCTTCCTCGGGGGTCCAGGGACCCTTCTTCACCCCTATCTTGTCGCAGCACGGCGACCGGCCCATGGTCACCTCCGTCTTCCTCCTCTTGAAGGGGGTAGTGAGAGAAAGAGTAATCTCCTTGCCGAGAACCAAGCTGCTGATGAAACGAGGACCCTTTTCTCCTCTTCTGGATTCTTCTTCGTCTTCTTCTTCCACTGATGCTGCTTCTGTTTCTCCTGCAGAGAAAAGGCAATCCGGTGCTGAAGGGAGATGTATTTCCTCTGGCATATATAGAGGGAGGGCGCTGACCCTGGAAATTAGCCGAGATTGAGCTGTGGACAGCGGGAGAGAGACGGCTCTGCCGAAACGGCTGGCAAAAAGAGTCAAAGAGTACAGCAAGGGCATTTACTCTTGGCGATCAAAAGTCAGCTTCCTGGAAATAGCCTGCCTTCTCTCTCTCTCTCTCGATAGAACTTCTATATTTCAGGGAAACGGCGTGCATTCATTGAGGTCGCACCGGGAAAACCCTAACTCACTCATCGACGACAGGCCGAAGAAAAGGTCTAAACAGCCAAATAGTTATGTTGCGGCTTCCCGAGGCCATCGCGGGAACCAAACCCCTCGACGGCGTCGCCTCAACTGACGCTTAAACCCCTCCCTCTCTCTCTCTCTATCTTTCTACAGTTGGATAGGATAGGATAGACGAGAAGCATCTAAAAGTCAGAGGGAAAGGAGTCAACCCCAGCCGTATCCCTTAAGGAAGTGCCCCTCCGAACCCTTAATTCATTGATCACGAACGGTGAGAGAGACAATCCCCGTACGGACCCCTGCTCGTCCACCCATCCTTCTCTATACTCCCCGGGGTCCGGCTGCACGGGCTGAATGACCTCCGTCATACCTTCATTAACTCATAACGACCATGTTTTAACAGCTGGAAGCTCCTTTCTATCTCCTCTTCTCCTCTCTCTCTCTCTCTCTCTCTCTCTATCATGGGAACGAGGTGCGGGCACCCACGCCATGCATGGGGACATAGATTGCGAGCGAAGGGGGGTTGGTCGTGGCCCGTATCTTATCGTAATAATTCATCCACATGGTGGTAAATTCTTCCGACCGGATTTTGGGCTCTCTGTGGGATCTCGACGGAATTAGCTCTCTCTCTCTCTCTGTTCCGGCATGTGAGAGGTCGTGCATGGCGACGTCAGTCTGGTAGGTGCCTTCCGTGGGTGTGCGATTCGACTAAGGTAGCAATTTGTGGGTGGTCGATTGCCTCGTGCGAACTGGCGTGAGCCCGGGGCCGCCGAGGGCTTCGTCGTGGCACGTTTCGTGAGTGACCCGTTGACCGGCAGTGGTAAGCCCGAGAGGAGGAGCCCAAATTCTCCTCAGTGACCATGAATAGGAAGCTACTGTTTGCCCGCCATTATACGCTTATGGAGAGAGAGACAGAGAGAAGGGAAGAGAGAAGATAGAGAGGGAGAGAGAGAGAGGAGAGAGAGAAATGGGAATGGAGAGAGGACCCACGAGAGGCAACAATTGTCAACCCACTTGGCTAGCCACTTAAAATCACGAGCTGGAGGCGCCGGGGGAGGGGTAGCCCATGGCGGGCCCGCCATTAGATCTCACCTTACGTGGTCAAAAGTCAGTCGTCTGAATCGATGGGTCCCACTGGAATCAGTGCCACGTGGCTTCGAGATCTGACACGGCGAGCCAGACAAGCCCACAGAGAGAACCTATTAATTGCCTGTCCGTCGACGGCGACCGCGCCGCCACGGCCGGGCTGCTGTCCGCTGGGTCAAATGGGCCGCCGTGGTCCACACCGTGCTCCACGCGAAGGCCCATTGAATATCCGGTGGGTCCCACCAGGCCGCTAACCCGTTCGTCCTCTCTGATGGCCGGCCTGATCCCTCCAGCAGGGAAGAACCGTCCCACGGTGGGCCCGCTGAACGCACATGTTGGTCGACATCCTCTCCATCTTGGGCCCCACCACCGCCTCTCGCAATATTCCTTTTTTTTTAATCCTTGGATAATTATCACTGGACATTTATGGGCACCATTACCAGATTATTCCTCCCAATAATATCAAACTTTATAGTCATTATTTTCCTCAAGCATGATTTATTAAAAAAAATTCAAAAAATGTGAGATAATTATTTTTATTTGAAACATGCTGGATTACTTAGCCACAGGTGAGGGGGGGAAGGGGAGAGAGATTGTCAAACTATTTGCACCATTAAATTATATGACTATAAAGAGGTTTTTGACATACAAGGAATTGACTAAACACCCCCATGTTCACGGCATTGTTGGTGCCATATGCAACACCACTTGTCGATGATGGGATCGGTGATGTTGAGATTTCATCCTCACCATGGAGCCTCTTGATGACTCTAGACTTCATTCTCCTCCTATCGGGGGAGTTAGCTGACATCCATTGTCTACGGCCATCCACATAAAGTCGGACCCATGGGAATGGGTTAAATGCTACCACTAGATCATTGAACCTTGATGAGACAATTGTCAAGGCATGCACAGACCTCTAACAATTGATCAGATGATCTAGAGCATTTGATGATAGTGGATAAGACAATGCCTAGTTAGTCAATATGTTACTTTCATAGGACTCACCAGTATGAGCTAGCTTTTATCTTTGTAAACTAACAACTTGCTGCATATCCCAATCATACTATGTACTTGGACATTAAAACATTATGTACATATATGCATGCATACATGCATATGTGGGCCATAGTAATTAGGGCATCAAGAGGATTGAGCTAGATGATGGCTCTCAATCCAGAGGACCTAGACACAAGGTGCACATGTTTCAAAAGGACAACAATGCCTTGGAGTGCCGACCGACTTGCAAGGATTGTGCTGGCATGATCATCACAACGATTTGACTATGCACACATTAAAGTCATGGTTCATTGATGAGGGTCCATTTATTCTCACATAACTTGATCGGTACCAATACTATGGATGCCAGTGGGCTAGGCTCATGGGTGGATGACTCTTCGTAACTCCATGGGTTCAATGTTATTATGCTTGTGACTTGACAACACTAGACCACTTTGAATCCCATCCTTGCATAGGTTGTCCCTCAATGCATTAAAGTAAGATTTGTATATGTCTCGTTGGTGATCAAAAGATAGTCACACTAAAATGGTATGTTATATCCTTCTATGTTGGAGACATATATCTTATGTTGGGTCCATCTTTCCTTCCTTAGTCCAGTCTTATCATACAGAGTAAGTTATTTTTTTGCTTAAAATGATACCTAATTATTATAGAATTTAGATTAGATCAAAGAACTGAAACAAAGCCACCTACTCAAAGTCACATCTAAACCATCAAGCATTGATTTGTCAACACCAAATGTCACCCAAAGAGTTAGCACCATGCTCTCTCCTCTTGCAAAAAAAATAATAAGAATTCTTAGGTTGACTTTCACTTGGCGTGCAAAGGATGCTATCTACTTATCATATCATACAATGTATATTAAATTATATTTTTATCCATTTATTGCAATATTAAGGGAGGTCACTTTCTTGATGGTTCCCATCTCATTTTACCAACAATGTTTTGGCAATAACCCATCTACGCCTCCATCTGTTACTTTTAGAAGACATGAAAGTTGAGGGTGAGGTTCATGAACTTGATTATGAATATCAAACATAAGTGGGACCCATCATCCCCCTTTTACTTTCTAGATATAATCATAGGATTAGTGTATAATCTTATTCAAGATGACAACTAGTTCGCATAAATAATTGGGTGTTGACGAGAGGGCAAGAAGTGCCCACATCAAAGATTAAAAGGATGATCATTTGCTAGTGGTGTCAAAATGAACATGACATAGTGAATAAGTAGCTATCCCTTTGGCTAAGCCACATGGGTACTATTATTAGGACTAAGAGCTAAGGATATATGAATAAAATTATTGGTTTTGTTTCCCCATGAATTTCTCTAATTATAAATAAGTTTGCATCCTCTCTACTTGCCTCATGGTTCCCCAAAAACTATGTCTCTCCTTTCAGTCCCTCAATCAATTTATATTAGAGACAACTGAGTAAATCATAGATTAAGTCCCTTAGTATTAAAGCCCTACTAAAGAAAATATTAATCCCCCCCCCCCCCCCCACTCACTCACACACACACACACACACACACATAAAGAGTCTATTTTCTTTTATAAAGAATGAGGTATTGCTATCTTTGAATTAGACTATACCCAATCATCTAATTAGTAATGAAATTTTGGTGAATATATCTCTCTTTATGCCCTTGATTTTAATAATTAAAATTCAAAAAATAGTTGATGGTTATTTATATATGTCTCTAATCTATCTTAAATATTCAATACATTCAACATAGTCATTATTTAAGATATTTTTATTGATTATATAATATTATAACTAATGATCAAATCCAAGGTAGTAAACCTTGATAATAAGTGATTCTTCACTTTATGAATATTTGATCAACAAATAATATTAGGTAAAGAATCATATGAATTATGTAGTGTTCAAAATTTTGAAATAATGATAACAAAGTTTTATAAGATGTCACATGGATTAAATCATTAATAAAATGAGAAAATGAAATAGATATTTAAGTTTAGAACATGTCATCTTGATAGTGACACATTGGCTACTTACATCGACAAAAAGTCATAATAAACTTGATGCTTTGGATCCAAGCTGAAATACAATTGTTCTTTGTCAAGGTATAGAACCTAAGTTCAAGTTTGAATGAAGAAAGATGAGGTAATAAGCAATTTCAAATATTTGAAACTTCAAAAGTTCTTATTATTAATGCATAAAATTTAGATGATAATTAAGGATAAATATTAAATAATATCATTTTTATCGTAGTCAGATATAATCAAACTAAACATAAAACATAAAATAGATTTTAGACTATGTCTCATGATTTTTCTTTCTTAAATGTGAATGTTATTATTTTTTAGAAATAATCATTTGATGATTTAACCTATATCCTAATAGAATATCCAAAGAATAGTCTTGAGAAATACTTTCTACTTTTTTCTTCATTTTTTGTAATCATAAATTTGTTGGACTTGACTAAGAGACTTTAGAATAATTTGGCAATAAGCCAGCTACATTGAGCCCAATACCCAACCCATCATGATGGGGGTTAAGAGGGAAGAGAGAGGGAGAGAAAGGGTGGACCTTGATGGCTAGGGCACAAGCACTAGCCAACCTCTCGCTGTGTGAAAAACATAGGTGGTGATGGATTGTGGCACCATGGCAGCAATAGTGATGACAATGATTCTCCTCTTAAGTGATAGGCGGAGGTAAGTATGACGACAATGGTGATATCTATGCCAAACAAAGCGCATCACTCACCCATGAGCTGAGGACAATGATAGCCTGAACTCTCTCCTTCAACATTCAAGCTCTCTCTCTCTCTCTCTATGTGATAGGTAGGGTGGGGTGAAAATATTGTAGATAAGGATTTTTACTCTTTTTCTTTATTTCTTTTTGTGATTTAATTGAGCACATGTTCTTCCTCTTTAGATCTTTGAATGACATAGGGATTGAAAGAGGATTATATTTCAATTCTTTATTGCTTTCTTTATTACTTCAATTTCCTAATTTTTCTATTCAAATCACTTCTTGATTCATTTCTATATTATGAATGATATACACCATGGAGTTGGATTTAATTTCTCCTATTTCATTTCATCTTTCCAAAATTGGCATTCACTTCTCTTCATTATCTTCCCCTTCGCCATACACTTTGTTCCTACTAACATCCTACTAGTGAAGATGTGGCAGTAGTGATGACATATTAAGAAAAAAAACATTTTTTTTACTTTTTTTGTGTCTTTTCAATGTAATAAGTATTTTAGAACATAATTGATATCAGAATTTGATAGTCATCCTTGAAGATTGACCTAAACTAATTAGAATTTTAAAGTTAATACCTAGATTCTAAATTTAGTGTAAATATTAAATTTGAAGTGTTTTAATTCAATGACTAAAAGATGATCATTTACAATATATTTGAAAAAATGACAAGTTTTTTTCGCAAGGATTTCAACATTGGAGATTTAGTAAATTTAGGAAAGTATTAAACAACAAAGGGTTACTTATAAGAGAAGGCTTCTAAATCAAAAATGAGGTGAACACATAGATTCATTTTAAGATAAATCAAGTAATTGTGGCGAGTTTAGATCAAATCCATATGATAGATAATAAATGATGATAAATATTTTTTCTCTAAATAAATATATATTTAAATAAAAAAAATTACAAATACAAATAATGAAAGAAAAAGGAAAGGGAAAGTAAATTAGTTATTTTGTGCTCATTTAGCTTCAGCCACCTCCTCCCTTTCATTGTAACTATTGAATAATTTAATATAAAGTAAAAAATAAAAGAGATTTAATTAACCTAATTTATGAGTAATAAAGAAAATAAAAGAGAGGAGAGAGAGGGGATTGTGAAGGGAGAGAAAATGCGTGTGATAGTAGGAGTGCCTACTATCAGAGAAACGAATGATAGATTTAGGAGATTTACATGAAATCAAATGTCAAAAATAGATGCTTAAGAGTTGGAAATATGTTTAGAATTTATTTAATAAATGAAATCATTGAAAAATAAAATTTAAATGGATTAAAAATTAAAAATCCTCCTTTGACATTAGGGATGAAGCTGATGAAAAAAATTTAAATCTGAAATTAATGAATCAATTTTTATTCCATAATCTATTTCATAAATGAAATTAAAGCTAATAAACTCGAAAACATCAGGAAATTAGACATAAACTAGCTAGAAATTAGGATTTCCCCCTTTGACACTAGGGCCGGGCCGAGACGAGCCTTTCGGGCTTTTCTATGGGCCCTTAATGACCCTTTTTAATCAAGCGAATGTATAAAAGATTTTTGGTAAATAAGCTGCTTCTGGGGACTCGGGAAGGGGGGAGGGAGGAAAAACCTAGAACGCTGTTGTGGTGGCTGTCGGCCTACTCTTGGGTACAGGAGTTCCTTGCGCAGAGGGGGATGGCGGAAGCCGCCGCGTTGGGAGCGGCGGCGGAGGCGGCGGAGAGCGGAGTCGTGGAGTCCTTGGAAGAGATCCTGGCCAGGCACAGGTGAGGGAAAGCCCATGTCTTAGGATGAAGCTCCCTGGGTTTAGTGTTCGACATCTGTTCTAAGGCGATTATCATGCCCCTCGACGAGAAACCTGCTTTTTAGGAATGCGAAGCAGTCTATCTGATCGGCTTGCTCAGCTTGGAGCTGTTCATGCGGATAACGCTAAGACCTAGTTTGCAATTGGTGGATCGGCGCGTTTTCGTTAAGAAAATCATATTCTTGTCTGTAAGTATGTACACAGGTGGCTTGATGCTTCATTTGAATGATTTATCTGCGCATCAGAGTTCAAACGGTGGATTGGGGATTGGGGATTAGTCGGAAGAGTTCAAACGTTGGGTGCGCTTGTTGAGTATGATAGCCCATGGCTACTCTCCTCTTGAGCATTTCTGCTGCTTGTTTTCATGTAGTTTCCAAAAGAAAGCTGTTTTCAGCTAGAAGCCGAGTCTATCCTATCGATGATGGTGAGGAGCATACTAAATTTGGAAACACTTGCTGAAGGCGGAAGACAAGAAAGACAAATGTGAAGTTCTTTGTGGGGGTGCGAGGGAGATTTCGTGGGCTGGGGATTGCGAGGCCTAATTTATCAGCAACACATAGATGCATACTCTTTGGTATGATTTTTTTTTAATTTGGGAACGCTCATGAAGTTATGTAATGAGTAGCATGATGAATATTTTTGGAAGTGATGTGGATTTAATGGGCCGGTGATACATGGGAACTTCATAAGGAGTATCTTTATGGCAGTGGGGCTTAGAATTTTTAGGGCCTTGGGATGCGAGTATGAACTCTTCATCTTTCTTGAGACTGTCACATTCATGGAAATGATCTTGTTACTGGTGTGATCCCGATGAAAAGCCTCCATTGAGCAATGCTACTGGTATCATTCATGGATCCTTTGCGTAATTCATGCGATAAAACTTGGCCTGGTTGAGGCTCCTACCCTCCCACCCACACAGAAGTTGGCTGCATGGTCATAGCGTTATTGGGACTCATTAATGTGCAGATCATTGAAGATCACTAGAGGAATAGTCAGTAGGAATCTGGGGAGATCTTGTGCACAGTGATGCCTCACCAGCATTGGCAGCATGAAGCTCTATGTGCTGGCCAAAGATGGGATGGGAGTCCCAATTTACTCCTCACCACCATGGGTAGCATAAAAAATAATTTTAGCATTAATTTGATCATCTTTTCATAGGACATAATAAACTGGAGGTTTTTTCTAAAAATAATTAAGTGATTTCCCCATTATTTTGTCTCTTGGTAATATATATACGTTCCATTAAATTTCTTCCGGGATTGCCTTTCTGTGTCCATTAGGTGGACTGTCTGAGTCTACAGCATTATATATCTCTGATTCTCATGATTGCTACATGGTTTATTTCTCCAGAAAAAAAAAAAGCAAAATTGAAATTCCTTCAAGGAGAAACCAGAGCCCAAAAATCGGTTTTTGTGTGTTGTTGTTGTAAGTTTTGGGAAAAGTAGGCAGGATTATATTGAGTTTTTCTTTTGCCCTTGATGATTATGGATGGTTGTTGTACCATGCAACTTCTCCCACCAGTTAGTTCTTCATGATTCTGGTGAATTTCAGCAGACTTGAGGGCTTCATCCTCGGATTTTTTGATCCTTAGAACAATAATGATGTTTGCATGAAATTTTAAGGATAAAAGCTTGTTGTAGATACATTCTTTAGAACATTTCAAATCTCAAAATGTTTCAAAAATTGGGACATAATCTACATTGAGAGTCCGTAAATTATATACAGGAAGGAGATCGCTGAGCTTCAGAACAAGGAGATAAACCTGAAGAAAGCCGCTGCCAAGGGCAGCAAGGCCGAACAGAAGGCAAAGAAGAAGCAGGTGGAGGACGAGATTTCTCATCTTCTGTCAGAGCTCAAAGCGAAACACTCCGAGGAACTGGCTTCCCGGGGTTACAAGAAGGCCGAGACCAAGGAAAAAGGTGATCTGGACAACTTGGTGTTGGCGATCGCTGGGGTCTCCGTCGCCAGCCAGGAGAACCTGGCAAAAGTCAGCAAGAGCGTAAAGAGGCGTGTGAAGAGAGCTCAGAAGGAAGCAGAGAGAGAGCAGAGGATCGAGGAAGAACAAACCAGCATCATCAGCGATCGGATAGTTGAGAACAAGACATTGGAGAAGAAGCTTGAACCGCTCGGACTGGTGATCCGAGAGATAAAGCCCGATGGGCACTGCCTCTACCGGGCCGTTGAGGACCAGCTGGCCAGGGGCCCAGACCACCATATCTCCCCACATGGCTACCTCGAGCTCCGGAGGATGGTGGCCACGTACATGAGAGAGAATGCCTCGGAGTTCCTTCCCTTCTTCCTGTCAGAAAGCAAGGCAGAGGCCGACTCCGGTGAGTCCCTGCCCGAGGTGTTTGAGAGGTACTGTGATGAGGTGGAGCACACGGCGGCATGGGGCGGGCAGCTTGAGCTGGAGGCGCTGACCCATTGCCTGAAGAGGCATATTGTGATCTTCTCCGGCTCCTTCCCAGAGGTGGAGATGGGGAAGGAGTACAAGACCACTGCCCGAGGAGGTGGCTCCCCGGGCCCTAGCATCATTCTGTCTTACCACAGGCATGCCTATGGGCTCGGAGAGCATTACAACTCTATCGTCCCGGCTGAGATCAGGTAGAAGGAGGAGAAGAAGAAGAAGAATGTGGTTGCAGGGCTACTGAGAGCTGGCAATTTGATGCCCCTAGTAATTGTACGAAGAGAGATTTCCATCTCCCTCCCTCGCCCTTATGCTTTCGATTCTAATATCTTCATGAAATCTCAGGAACAAGTTAATAAATTTTAGAAATTATTTTTTTCTATTTTAGTTCCCGGTGGGTGCGACATTTTATGTTAATGCTCGCTGCATGCAGTGATGTGATCATCTTCTATATCTTCTTTAAATGCATAATGCCACTTTTATTTGCTCAAAGTATGTATATATATATATATGTATGTATGTATGTATGTATCATATGTTACATATGTATATTTATATGTGCACAAATATGCAGTGGTTATGTCATTCAAACATGACAGATGATATTGAGCAATTCTCCATTTCCTTATCAGGCTATAAACTCTCACATAAATTAGCTTAGATCATGGGAAAAAAATTATATTAGATTATTTTTCTCTACTTATATTTCCATTAACAAACATTAAGTATGCACAAAATATTCTAAAGTTACATCCTTGGATGCAAAAAGATTAGAGAAAATTGTTGACTCTCCACAGTTAATAATTCGTAATTATTAAAAAAATATTGTTTTAAAGTTGTTACCAGATCATTTAAAATATTTTTAATTCCTCAATTCCAGCATTCATTCTGAATAATTATGTGTAACAAAGCTAATGATTTTTCCGATTTTTTTTTATTATCAGGGAGATTATAGTGACTATCGATTGCCACATGAAATGAGTTATTCATCAAAGAAGATTCTCACATGTTGTGAGATTTTGTTTATTTCACAAGAGCTTGTCAAGTTGTTATTGACATGATGAGATACCCATGGGGGGTAAATTTGTCATTTCGCTGAAGAATTAATCAAACCAACAGTTTAATTATCTCTAATGCATTATTTATTATTATCCATTGAAAAACTTTTCTATAGTATTTATTTTCTCAATTGTCAACCACAATATCCCTAATATACTCAACATGCTTAATAATAATAATAATCAAATGGACATTATTTATCCTAATTTCATAAATTTTTATAACAACATATAGTCATATTCATTTTATTTCCCATAATTTTAATATGATCTAATTATTTTTATCTCATAATTTCTACCCACGAGCTCCACTGGAGTAATTCATTTTAATGTTTTTAATAATTACATTTTGTAGTGAGAAAATTCTTCTTATTACCCAAGAATTATAATAAAATCATACAGAGGATATTTTAAAAAGTGTTATAATTATGTCGGGCTTATTTTTTAAATTATTTATAAGAGTATTGGATTACAAAAAAAAAAGCGGAATATTATAGGATTTTAGTGAAATTATGGTGATGTCTGAAGGTTGGCTTGGCCCTTTAAGCTAGCTAGCTGGCGGCCCAGTATCAGGGGTACTGTTGGGCCCGGTCAGAACCTCGGTGCAGTGAGGGGGAAATCATTCGCCTGTCGAAGCGGGAAGGACGTTCTGACCGTCAGATGAGATTGATAATGGCCGTCCGATTTAGGGCATTGCAAGGGTTCGGAGGATTTTGACTCTGGGGCCATAAGAGCCGGGCGGCTTCGCTCTATACTATCAGCAGCCGCGCTTGGAGTGGTGGTGGGGAGGAATCGAAAGGAGGTGAAGATGGTTCAGCGGCTGACCTACCGCCGGCGGCACAGCTACGCCACCAAGTCTAACCAGCACCGGATCGTCAAGACTCCCGGTATACACCGCTGCCGCCTACCTGTTTCCTCGATTTCTCCGTCTTCTTCTTCTTCCTGTTAATCCTGTTCTTTTCGTGGAGTCTTGAGTTTGTCTTCGGTTCCTGAACTGAATATCCGGATTTTCAGGTGGGAAATTGGTCTACCAGTCAGCGAAGAAGAGAGCCAGCGGTCCCAAATGCCCCGTGACGGGGAAGAGGATCCAAGGGGTAGGCGACTCTCTGCTCATCTGTTGTTATTGTGTATTTATCTGATCAGGTACACCGTGTAAAAATATTTTGCACATCTGTATAGGTTTTCTCGCTCGTTTTCTTCTTTTTCAGTGGCAGGTCTGATTAAATGGAGCTTTAAAATCAAATTCATAGAATATTATGAGAACAATGTGGTCAGCTGTTTGTCTCATCCTCTGGCCACATGTTTACATGCCCTCATCAGGATACAAAGAACGTTCATGTCATCCATGCCTGCATTTTCTTCTGAGGTATCAGACTTTTCAAAACCGTTGTCCTGCCAATTCGGTCGGTTAGTCAGTGCATCAGTTATCTGATCATATATCTAATTTCACAACAGAAGGCCATATAAAATACTTGACTAATGTTGATTTTAAAGGAAAGGGATGATTCAGAAAACATCTGTGACCGGCTGCTCGCGTTCATAAGAGAGGAGAGTTGCTGTCTTTTAGCCCCAGGTCTGCGGAGCTGCAGATTTCCCTTCTCCCTTGGGTTGACAAGCTTAGACTTGCGTTTATGTAATGGGAAATGATTTTACACCTTGATCTTGACAAGGTACATAGCTGTCCCTGAAACAATTCTTGAGGGTCCTTTCAAGAGTTCATCAGCCAATCTGGTCTATATTCCTCTCTTTTTCCATTTATATACAACAGAAGTTTACAATCTACTTTCAAAAAGATACGCTCCCGTTGGCAACCAGACAGCTTAATGGAGGAGGAAGAGGCGTGTCAATGCATCAGTGAGACTATATGCCTACAGGTTGACTTTTCTTGATTTTTAGATGCCTGCCCATTTAGTGTCGCTGAGCGTTATAATCTCTCCTAGATCGTGCATGATGTCAGATGCCTAGAAAATAAGTCAGAGCCTTTGTAATCTGTGGGTATTTATTATTCGCTCTTTGAATGTGGGGCTGGCACATTTCCCTTTATGTGCGAGTTAACTATATAGCACTTGTTGACTTGGTTATGTGGGGAATATCTATATAGCACTCCTCGGAAATAGACATTGCTTGGCAAAGAATCTGGTTGTCCGATCCAAAATTTATTGGCAGAGAATGGTGCTGTGTCTTTCTTTAGGCTTTTATCTATTTATTTCCAGCGCGGAGCTATTCTAGTACTTTGACTTGGACTCTGTGGGCTGATGTATCTCTATGAAATGTCTGATATTTTCCTTCTGTGAACGTGGATTAGAATGTAGGATCGGGTAATATATGATATTTTTCACTAGAGAATTATGGTATTTGTATGTCTTTCTTCCCATCTTTCCTTTTAATATAAATCATATGTATTAAATTATTTGTTTAAAATCCTTTTTACTATCTGGAGAAGCAATTGAAATCAAGCTTCTAAGCCGCATAATTTATCTGCAAAAGAAGGTTTTAATTTTAGTCAACTCCAGATCTTTTGATGTTCATCACACTTCTTTGACGCCTGAAATCCGCTGCACACGGCGGATAAATCGGCCGAGTCGGCCAGCTTATCAGCTAAATGAACATAACCTTGGCCGATTCTACTATGATTTTACTCTGATTCATGATTCCTGAAATCTGATCACATCTCATCAACACACTAACAAGCTGCTGATTCTCAGATTCCGCACCTCCGACCCGCCGAGTACACGAGGTCTAGGTTGTCCAGGAACCGTAGGACGGTCAACCGGGCGTATGGCGGAGTCCTCTCCGGCGGGGCCGTTCGTGAGAGGTCAGCTGAAGATCATCTGCTCCCAGAATGGTTCGAGAAAGAGTTGGTGGGCTGACACGCGAGGTCGGATTTCCTCTTCTTCCTGTGCAGGATCATCCGGGCGTTCCTGGTGGAGGAGCAGAAGATCGTCAAGAAGGTGCTGAAGATCCAGAAGGCCAAGGAGAAGCTCTCTTCGAAGCAGTAGGATGAGGTCTCTGGAGGAAATTTTGGCCGTGGATGTCGGTCCTGATTCTTCTTCTCGCATGTGGTCCATCTAGCATCGTTGTTCTCCTCCCTTCTCGTTGACCCTCTCTCTTTCTCTCTCTCTAAACTCTCTTCTGCACGCTTCTTGCCTTCTGGAGAGGGTGGCCGGCCTCTCTTTTTGTCTGCTGATGATCTCGTAATGTTTTATATGTTTTCAATAGGCGTGAATTTGCTCAGGTCTGGTCTGACCTCTCGTTGTTAACTGTTCTCTCTCCTCATGCCCTCATGACCTTTTTGTTTCTAGAGAGAGAAACGAGGCCGGCTGGGTCCGCATGATGGGAAGCTCAGGAAAAATGGTTTCTTTTAGGGTAGAGAGAGACGAGAGTAGAGAGAGAACAACGTGTTTCACCGAAGCTATGACTGCGGTAGACTAATGGAGCAGCACGAGCTTATTTATGATCTCCTTCCTGACGTGGGTGCGAGGAGGTTCTCACTTGCGAGCAGACGCCAGGACCATTTCTCTGATCTTCTTCGCGTACTCGAAGAACACGTCGCGCGGCGGCAGCGTCTCCTTGACGGCGTCGAGCTGTGCGAACGCCGTCATGCGCGAGGACATAAACGGCGCGGTCTCCATGTTGACAAGTTTCAGGCCGAGGAGCTGTTCGACGGCAGGAACGCCGACGGAGCTCGGTCCGCAGACCACGTCGAGCAGCCCCGGCGTCGCCCCGCCGAAGAACGGCCCTTCGCCGGGGAAGTCGCGCTGCAGCCCATCCTCCATCGTCTTCACCGCCCGTCGGAGCTCCTCGAGAGCCCTGGTCAACTCCTCTCCCTGCGAAACCACCGCCGTCCTGCTCGCCGGCATCAGCTGTACCATTTTTTAGGTCGTTAGAATAGAATAATCCCAACAGGGTAAAACACACATAGGGAGAGAGATGGGGGGTACCGTGTGGACGAAGAAATCGACCCAGAAGAGGACGCGGGCTCGGCGGAGAGGGGCGCCGGCGAGGAGCGGGGGCTCGCTGAAGGTCTCGTCGATGTAGCGGAGGATCACTTGGGACTCGCAGATAGGCTCGCCATCGTGGACGAGGACCGGCACCTTCCGGTGGACAGGGTTGTATCGGAGGAGGGCCGCGCTCTTGTTGCGGAGATCTTCTTCAACGAACTCGTAGGTCAACCCCTTAAGCTTGAGCGCCAGCTCCACCATGAGGCAGAAGCCGCTGCACCGCGTCCCGTATAGCTTCAGTCCCTTTCCTTCCATCTCTCTCTCTCTCTCTCAATCTATCTATTGGTACCTACAAGTTTGTGGCTGTGGATGCTTATAGCCATCTCTTCGGAGGTTCGTAGTGAGCAAGAAATATAAAGAAAACAGTGGAAAGTTGACTCTTCCGCACCCAAAGTCGACCGACATAGAGGCGGCCAAGTGACTATTATCTGTCGCCGCACTTTCTTGTCCAGGAAGAAATGGAGACAAGGGAGTCAACGACCGGGATCGACCCAGATGCCTATCCGAAAATTTATGGGTTTAAAGGATATGATGTGGATACGTCACATAAATAATTAAGACTATAAAATTATACCATTGTAAATGATTAATCTTGTGAACTTACACTAAATACACATGACTGATCATTTGAGAACCCTTCATTCATCTCCTTCCATCATATCTAGTTCCTAGAAAACCATTGATAAAAATAATCATTAAGAATTATTACAAAAAATAACCATGAAGATAGACGAATTCATATGGTTGATAGAATTCATATATACGCATATATATATATATTTGCATAAGTATATACGCATGGTTTTTTATAAGGTTAGACTCCATATTATGGAGTTTGGATTTCTCTGCCGACTGACCAGGACGGAGATATGAAATGGTAGTCGCATACCCAAGCTGAAATCTTTAGTGAAATTTTAATTGAAAGTATGCAGATATTGATACGAAGCGATCGATTTTGATCCTACAGAACTAGCGGGTTCATGCAGATATAAAGCATCTCTTCAGTGTTGTCAGGTCATAACTCACTGAAATGATAATAATTATGATAAATTTTCTCCCAATACGGTAAAGTATGGCAACAATGCAGATTAGCGGGCACCACATACTTACTTTGTAGTACCCTTTCGTCATCCTACCATACCTTCAAAACTTTGATCTTGGTGGAATATTTTGCCCTTATTCTTTCCTATAATTTAACATTTTAAAAAAATGGGCAATACCATTTTTTCAATAAATTTCTATGCAAATTTCGATGTTTTGCATGAGAAATCTTAATGCGAGATGGAAAGAACTGTGAGAAAGAAGAAGGGAAGTCTTTGAGAAACTCAACGAGGGCTCCATCCTTTCGGGTTCCCTCACTGCCACAGCTCCTCCCATCCGTCTGCCTCGTTGAAGCAGGATTCCTCAAAGACGACTTGTTCTTCTTGAAGTTGACATCTCTGGGAGGGTAAGTTTCTCTCAGGGGCGGACGCCGGGTGACTACTTCGCCGTCAAGTAGCCTCCCCCCATCAGTAGAACCAGTGATCCGCGAATTTAAGAAGAAAAATAAAACCAAATTAAATCTATTTATTAAGGCATTAAAATGCCGACTATGTTAGCACGCCGCCAAAAACCACCCACACTGCTGCACGAAACCTCGGCCTCGCCTTTCCTGGGTAGAGTGTAACCTAGGTCAGACTCCCTGAAAGGTCAACATCAAGGAACCCCCACAGGATGTCAACGGTATCACCAGAACACACCACTCTTCCGAGATCGAGTTAAGTGTAGCACTTGCTGACGGAGTAGCCGGTGGACATCTCGCTCGGGCAGGCCGCGGAGTCCCAGGTCTGGTGAGATTTCAGGAAGTCCGGAGGGTGCGAGGAGATGCTGAAGGGGAAGGCGATTGTCTGCAGGGTCCCCCAGTGGCTGCTCCCGGGTTCTCCGCTCCCCATATGGCCATTGATCTCTACTGCTATCTCAGGAGCCGAGCCGAACAGCTGCTGCTGCGGCGGCTGCTGGTACCGCTGCTGCAGGCCGAAGTCTATGCCCGCTGATGGGGCAGCTTCCGCTGGAGGGAAGAAGAAGCCTGCGGAAGACGGGAGGGTGACCGGCTTCGAGTAGCCCATGCCGACGATGGGTCTGTACGATGACGATGGCGTGAAGTCGAGGAGAGGCTGAAGCTGGTGATGGTGCAAGACGCCGGCGTAGCCACTGAACTGGGCCGGCGGGCCGTGCTCGGTGGCGCAGGAATCCTTCTTGGAGGCGAGCTGGTGGGGGAACTGGAGGCCGCGGGCGTGGGCGAAGAGGTCTGCGGCGGGGGGTGCTCCAGGCGATGAAGACGCCCAAAGATGGGGTGGAGCTCTGCGCGCCATGGAGTTGGTCTTTTTGAAGATTCTACAGATGGCCCATGAGTCCTGTAATCGCACACAATATCGGAGATGAATCAGCCGCAAGAATCCACCTATAAAACTGATCAATAACTCGCCAATACGAACGTTAGGGTGAACGCCCTTGTCGGTCTGGCTCCTGGGGAGTGAAGAGTCGGCGAGAGAGGGAAGCCGGAACTCGTGCATCATCCAGTCGGTCTTCACACCCTTCGCCGCCCGGCCCCTGTAGAAGACGAGGGACTTCTTCAGGCCGATGCACTTGGCTCCCTCCGACGAGTAGATTGGCCTGTCCGTGCCGGTGGCCTTCCAGAACCCGGCACCGGTGACCCGGTTGGGCCTTGCGCTGTTCCTGTACTTCCTGTCCCTCGGGCAGTAGAAGTACCATTCCTTTTCGCCGGTGGTCGCCATTTCTTCAACGACAGATTGTAAACAAGCTCTCAACGTCAGGGTCCATCAAGATGTAGACATGATGAAATCTTCATATAGATATATATGTATATCCGTTGAATGAATAATAACATACGAGAGGACGAGATTGCTATCGATTTTTTGTGGCTTACTACCATCATCTCATTGAAGATCTAACCATACGAGTTTGAGGGAAAAAGCTACGGGATCTTGGCCAATGCTGCCATCTGGCATGGAACCTAGCTGAGAGCTGCGGTGAAGTCTAGAGAGAGAGAGAGAGAGAGAGAGAGAGCTGGGAAAATTCGTTAGCGATTATTTCCTAATGATTCTAGTCTCTAGTTTCATTATTGGTCTAGGGTATCCTCAGTGCAGCCATAGGATTCAACCGCTTTAGCTATTCACCGGTATGTCTGACCTAAACACTCTCCACTTTGGCATACCTGGGTTCTCCTGGCGTACCTAAGAGATGTGAAGCGAACGAGCGAGCGAGAGAGAGAGAGCACCATCCATCTATGTTAGCCAGTGCAAGTCAAAGGAAGGGGAAATTCAAGAAAATTTGATACAATACAAGAACGAACGCCAATAACTCTCAATGCAGCCCACCCTTGAAGAAAAATTGGTCGTTAAATGAAAGTATGTTCAGATCCTGTCTGGGTAGTGCTCAAAGATGAGAAGCATCAGGTCTTTTACGGTAGACTTCCTCGAGGTCAAGTTCTCCTTACATGCGGAAGAGAAGAAAGAGAGAACGATAGACATTTGAGAGTGATTCGAAGAAACCTACTTGGGAGATCCCATGGATCATACTTGTAGATATCGAGCTGCCTGATGAGCTCAATCGAGAGGGGCTTCTGCTGGACCTTCCTCTTGAGGTAGAACCCCACCAGCTCCTCGTCTGTCGGGTGGAACCGGAAACCGGGCAGTATCATTTCATCTGCCTTCTCCGTGACGTCGCTGTTCCTCTCGTCCATATCTCCTCTCTCTCTCTCTCTCACACACACACACACACACACACACACACACACACACACTCACTCGCTCTCGCTCTCCTTTGCGCTCAAAGAGAACCTCCTAGAAAACCGGGAGAAGAAGAAGACAGGAGAAAGAGAGGCAGGTCCCTCCTCCCCGCTTCTATCCGAGTACAAGTATGTGTCCTTGTGGGGATTTAAATGAGGAACTCTGGAGGAAGAGGTTATGACACAGGGGGAAACCCTAGTACACTAGGAAAGTCAACTGAAGCAATGGGCACAGATTTGTAAGACCTGCACATGTATTCCTGATGGGAAATCCCAGACTACTCTCTTACTTCAAGCTCACTACACGGATAACACGGTGTCAGTTGGCCTTGTAAATCTAAGGACCTGCGTGTTGAAAGGCATAACATATGGATATATATATATATACATGCATGAATATAAGAGCGAGAGAGTGAGTGAGTGAGAGTGAGTGAGTGAGAGTGAGTGAGTGAGTGAGAGAGAGAGAGAGAGAGAGAGAGAGAGAGAGAGAGAGAGAGAGAGAGAGAGAGAGAGAGAGAGAGAGAGAGAGAGAGAGAGTCTTCACATATCTGTTTTTTTGTAGGAATTTCACTCATCTTCCCTTTAAAATTTTAAATTAACGAACCCAGTGAGTGTTTTTGTAGAATAAAGAAGAATAGTCATGGGGCCCTTGGACGACGCAATACTTAGAGTTCATCCTTTCTTGAATCTCATTCATGCAAGGACTGGAGCACTCCCAACCACAATAGAAAAGTTGTGTGGACGTAAAATATGGGCCCGCTCAATCCCGAAGAATCTCGCTGTAAATTCCTCTGAAATCACAGTTTTCTATTTCAGGAGGCTTCTCACGATCCGAAAATCCCATCCCTCGCCGTATTCTTTCCCTTTCATATTCCCCTTCCAGACAGATCGTGTACCCGCTCACAGAGATAGATAGAGAGAGAGAGAGAGAGAGAGAGAGAGAGAGAGAGAGAGAGAGAGAGAGAGAGAGAGAGAGAGAGAGAGAGAGAGAGAGAGAGAGAGACAGAGAGACAGAGAGAGAGAGAGACAGAGAGACAGAGAGAGAGAGAGACAGAGAGGTAGATGTATCTCGAGAGAGAAAAGTGTGACGTGGGCGTGATGCCGAGTATGCCTCCTGATCCGTGTCAGGCCACGTCTGAAACAGGCCTCAACTGGCGTCCTCCTGTCTACGAATTTCTTCTGAAACCCTAAATCCTGACTGGCCCTTCTGAGGGGTCAAACGTGGACTCACTAGAAACTTCCGCCCACGCTTGCAACACACTCCAAAGACCATCTACGACGAACTACAATAGTAAACGAATTAAGTAGCCAGGAGATAGGGGCGAAAGACGCAGTGACTCTTATCATCACAGCTCTTACTCCATCTTCCATCCCCCTCTGGAGCCCCCCAACATGTGGGCGCCACCCGTGCGGGACAGCGCCCCCCCCCTCGTCCTCAGCTCCAAGTGGGATTTTTCAGAAAGCTAGACGAGGGTTGCATTAAATGTCCTCAGCGCCCACGTGAATTGGAACTCCCACGCAAACCCTAATCCTCCGTTGTTCATCCGAGAAGGGAATTCTAATAAATGAGGGTTCTTGTCTCCACGCAGCCATCTGGGGTTGAACCCTCGTTGTCCCTCCCCCTTCACCCTCGGACTCGAACACTCCCGCCCGCACGGACCCTCCCCGTTCCAAACGTGTGATACAAGTCTTCCCCTCTTCTCTAAAACTGAGGTCAAAACCTTGAAACGCAAGCTTCCGCCCTCCACTTCTCCACCCCCCCCGGAAGAGCCCCTGGTTCCCAAAGTGAGTGAGAGGGCGAGCATTTAATTGCACCCCACACCCTCATAGTCACTGTTGATTAAACTATCATAACACGACACGGTGAGTCTGTATTTTGTTTCCTTGCTCTGCGAGTTCGCTGATCACTGCGCTCGAAGTTAATTAAACATCCGCGAATTAAAATAGTCGACCAGGCCTTTTCCCCGGCTAAGTCTCATAAAAATCAGTTTCCAACAAGAAGAACCAGCTCGTCACACGCCTGAGATGGGTCCTGGCTTCAATGGATTTTCAGTTCAGATGTGACCCCTTTCGGCTGCAACAAGGCTGTCTCACGATCCCCCACGTCAGACCTCTCTCTCTCTCTCTCCTCTCGAACTCTGAAAGATATGTGTATAGGCGGCGATACATGATCTAATCACTTCTGGCCCTGGGTTTATAGAAGCCTATTTGCCGGGATTTTCCCCATCTTCAATGCAAGATACCCCAGTTTGGACACAGCTTTGTGAGAACCGTTGTAGCCCGTTGACGCCCTAGTTGACAATCAAGATGTTGTTGGACTGCCAACGCACAACGCCTTGGCAGGCCCCCTCGAAGCTTAGGTTGCGTGGGTCGGCAAGTGGGTCCGGAACCTAATAGGGGTTAGTGTTCGGAGTCTATCCTCTCCATAAGCGTCTGGCCTTGGACAGGCTCGGCCCTAGCCCACGTTGTGGGTTCACCCACCCTTTTGTATTGGTCCTAGAGACGTGTGGTCAAGCAAGAGCTAGCTCTATTGTACTCACTTCCTATCAAAGTTAGCCCCCCAGTCGAAGTGCAGGGCCGACATAGGGTTCCAAGGACAGTTCATTAATGGCCTCCGTAGCGTTGCTCCAGATCACCTTGCTCTCCTACTGATGTGTTCAAGAACACCATCAAGAGAGGGAGAGAGAGAGAAAGAGTGAGAGAGATAGAGAGAGAGAGAGAGAGAGAGAGAGAGAGAGAGAGAGAGAGAGAGAGAGAGAGAGAGAGAGAGAGAGAGAGAGAGAGAGAGAGCCATGTTTTGTTCCTTATGTCTATCTGTGGATCTGTGGAATTCGGATAAACTATGCATCAAACAGCTGTGAGTCCTCTCGGAATATACCCTGAAATAGACCCCTAGGTGTTGGACATCGCCATCCCCATGCTTCAAGTTCACTCAATCATGTCCTTGGGATGCCTATTCCCCCTTTCTTTTTTCGTTGAAACTTGGGAAGCCCATTCACCGTCTACAGAGTGAGATCTCTCCGTCTTATCTGTTTAACATATCGATACTGGGTAGATTAGCACCTTAGCAACCCCCCCCCTCTAGCCCCTACTCGGCTCTTCTAATGAGGTGCTTCCACTGCCCACTTGGTAGGGACTCGGCATCCAAGATCCTTTGTTCTACTGCGTTGGCGACCCCAATCGGACCATAAGTCACGTGGTTTTCTAAATTTGGCCCTTAAAACCTTAGCCACTTTGGAGAGGGAATCGGCCTCATGCCACCAGCTCTGAGCCTGGGGTCCGCAGTGTGTTGATTCTCTCACATCTCTCTCTCTCTCTCTCTCTCTCGCTATATATATATATATATATATATATACTGGGCCTCTTGGCATATCATGGGGAGATTAATTACAAGGCGGCTGATTACCCATCATCGAATATTCCTTCCTTTCTACTCTCGATCGCGGAGAGGCGGACCCATCGTCTTAATGCCGGCCATGCACGGAGCACAGCTGATTTCTATGAGTTCATGGGCGGGATGGAAAACCAGCTTTATAGTCGCCAAAGCGGAGATCTCCAAGAGGCCCAGTAGAGAGAGAGAGAGAGAGAGAGAGAGAGAGAGAGAGAGAGAGAGAGAGAGAGATTTTTCTTGTATATTCTTAGCTCCTGGTTTTCTGAAAGAGGGGAGTTGGACTCTTCTTTTTTGGTTGGATTTAATTTCTATCCCCAATTCTTATCAATGAGAAGTTCTTGTTTTATCTTCCATGTTTATAATCTTAAGAGCACTACAATTCCTTGAGAGCCCTCTAGATCACAAGCAAATGGTTGACTTTCACTACGCATGTGGCTGGTGAGCTCTACCTCCCAGTTGTAACTATGACTTCTGCATTTCTAAGGTAAGTATTAGTTCAATAGATCATTTTATTTAAAATTTTATTCCTATTTACCTTGATCATAGATTTGGATTAATAGATAAACTGAGGTCTCCCTTGCCTCCATCTTGACATCATCATTTGATACTAGTTCATAATTGACTTCAATATCTCAAGTTAACTCATAGTTAAGAACTGATGTTCCCTCCTTTTTTGTAAATCTAAAAAGTTTCACATGCATATTAATCTAAAAGGTTTCTCATAAATCAATCATTGGGTTTTACATTTTTCTTGGAAACTCATTTGTCTGTTAAAAGGTGAGGAGTCAATCAACAATATCCAAGTATGTCAAAATACAATAATTGACCACTACTAATACAATTATTAATTTAAGGCTTTGACATCAACGTGGCTATCATAACACTTAAGTTTTCTAACAACTAAGTTACCATTTATATTATTTCAAATCCAACCATTGTGAACACAACAAGCATATTGAGATCGACTGTGACTTTGTTCTAGATAAACTTGGTGAATAATTCTTCAAATTTCTTCAAATTTTTTCATATATACTCAACATCAATTATTTAATATTTCACTAAATCTCTCTAAACCAAACAATTATTTCCCCTATTTGTGTAAGATGATTGTCAAAAAATTTATGACTCATCTTGAGGGTAGTCTTAGGAACATCTCACTTATAACCTCAGACATGTGAAATCTTTACTGTGTTAGAGGCACAAAGAAAATGATTTCAACATGGCATTTCCCCTTTTCTACATAACAAGAGGCCTAAGGCCTAGGAGAGAGAGAGAGAGAGAGAGAGAGAGAGAGAGAGAGAGTTTTTATTTTAATATTATTACCTTATAGTTTTTGAAGATCGGAACTTGACTCTTTTTTATTTTTGTTGGATATAATTTATGGCTCCACTTCTTATTAATGAGAATTTGTTTTATCTAATGCATTTATAATCATGCCAATGGTTGGCTTTGACAGTGCACATGATCAATGGGCTCTACATGCCCGCCTACAACCATGACCGCCACATTTCTATGGTGAAGTACACGTTCAATAATATATCATTTTATTTAAAAAATTATTCATACTCACCTTGTTGGATATTCAGATCACAAGATTAAATATTAAAACCCACTTTTAGGCTCTTATCTACCACCTTTGAGTGTTTCCTTAAAAAAAAAATAGCCTTTGTCAAAATATATATTTTTATCTCTCTTTTTCATTTCTCATATGCAATAATAAAATGTTTTTTTTTCTCTAACCATTTTTTAATATTATAATTTTGGCTGGAGATAATATACCAATCGAGCCATTACAGTCGTCACTTATATACTTTTTTTGAGGATATAAATACAATTATATTAATTCGTCGCCGTTTGTGCTCGAATGTTTCAGAAAATTACTCAAAGGGACGACACGGCTTTAGCGGCGAATAGGGCGAGTTTAGACCGAGTCCATAGAGGAGCAACACGGATTCCGAGTCTTCCTGGTCGGTGACCGGGCTGACTCGCCGAATCGGACGGTGGGTCCCTCCCGCTAGCTCCTTCAACTGAGGAGAGCAGAGGCGAGGGGGAAACAGAAACCCGAAATCGGAGCTAAACCCCTAAAAGCCCTAGAATTCCATCCCCCGCGGGATAGGGCGGTGGGGGAGGACGGCTGCAGGGTATCTTGATGCGCCGATGGGAGCCCTAGCGCCACTGGCTCAGTGGACACCGGAGGACGACGTACAACTCAAGAACGCCGTCGAGGTAATACAGACGCCCGCCCCCTGCCCTCGTTTCCGTTTTCTGATTTGGCTTCAGAACATTGGAATTTTGTCAAAATGCTGTGCGGATGGCAGGGATGTGCCTGATGGCCCGCAGTTTTGTGTTGTTCTCTGGAAAACTACGATTTCACTGTTTCTGTCTGTGTCTGTGCCCCACGGGGGGAGGGCGGACCTGGAGGCCTTATTTGGGTTTAATTTAAGTGAATCCTCTTGATGTTCATGCTGGTCTTCTTCGCCGGGATGGATGTGTGCCCTGTTCGTGTTATTCCTTGTCATGTTCGTTTTGTTTGGGGTTTACTAATTATTGGAACTAATGTTATTCCATTTTAGTAATTAAGAGAGCGAGATGACCTCCAAAAATCCTTTATCGAGTCGTTTATCTCTCTCTCCCTACATGACGGTGTATTATGTCCCTAATTCCACATGTTTTTGTAGAGATTTGTTGTTTTCTTGGTGATTTTTGAGTAACTGCTTCTCATTTTCTCTTATGTGGACTAATTTTTCTTTTTCCCGGTTTCTCCCATAAGCTTCTTGACCTGCTGTAGTGGGCACAGGACTTCATCTCAGTAGAAAATGGTGAATTACACTTGGTCGTGTGCCCACTACAGTAGGTCAAGAAGCTTATGGGAGAAACCGGGAAAAAGAAAAATTAGTCCACATAAGAGGAAATGAGAAGCAGTTACTCAAAAATCACCAAGAAAACAACAAATCTCTACAAAAACATGTGGAATTAGGGACATAGTACACTATCATGTAGGGGGAGAGAGATAAATGACTCGAGAAAAGACTTTTGGGGGTCATCTTCCTCTCTTAATTACTAAAATGGAATAGCCCTAGTTCCAATAATCATTAAACCCCAAACAAAATGAACTTCACTTCAACTAAACCCAAATAAGGTCTCCAGGTCTGCCCTCCAGTACAGTAAGTCAGCAGGAGACTTGCTTACAGTACATTGAGTCAAAGCATATATCGTGTGTTGAAGGTATAATTGCTGATGGACATGGGTTTTCAAAGTATATATTTTTCTCCGTTCGTTTTTGAAGTAAGGAAAAATAGGGATGGTCTAAATAAACTTTACAAAGTTGCAAAGAAGTGCTAGTGTGGAAATGACATTTTATGTGGTTAGTCAATAATCATGATTTTTTAAAATATTTTTTTGTCGATTTGGTCGTGTTTTTATTTCACAACAGGCTGGCGCATCCTTGGAGTCTCTTGCTAAAGGTGCTGTGGAATTCTCACGTAGATTTACTATCAGAGAAGTGAAGGACAGGTGGCGTCATCTCCTATATGACCAAGAAATGGCAATGGAAGCTTCGGTTTACATGACGCGTGTGAGTGCTGATGCTGGTTTTTCTGGTCATCTTAAATCGGGCAAAAACTTCAGTACGAGAGCTAAAGAATGGGCACCTGGAAAGAGAAAAAGAAGTAGTGTGCGTAGTCTGTATTATGCAATGCAAAAGCGTCTTCGCAGTGGTCATTTCAATTCTCCTGATGTAGATTTTCTTGTACCACCCAGCACAGCAATTGATTTTAGTGGGAATGGTGGTTGCAGAGAGCAGTCAAAATTCTTCAGTGAGCATGTGGGTGGAGATCCTACCATTGGTACAGCTATTTCTGATCAATTTAAAATCCCAAAGTTTGACTTTGGTATCGGCCATGAGGCTTTTCCAGGAATGCAAAGGGCCAGGACTGTCACCGAGCATGCTGATGCTGCTGAGCAGGGCATCCATAATGCACATCTGGTTTTAGAAGGGAATCGAATGCGAGATGAAGTCCTTACTGCTGATGGTTTGTTTGAGTTTGAGGAAGAAGTTCCGCCAGTGTCACTTGACAAAGGAATAGTAGACAGCATTGTTGTCCAATCCTTTGACCATGAGAGTGAGCAAAACGAAAACTACCATAGCCTTACTGAGAATGTAGAAAACATTCGAAGGTCATCAGATGTTCAGGACATTCGGTCACCTGAGAAGCTAGCCGTCAGGAGTCCTCAAGAAACGCAGATTATTGAGGAGAAACCACTATTCTCCGCCTTTGATACAGAAAATGACCGCAAGAAGCCTCCTTTCTCAAGCTTTGGAGAAAACCAGAATGTAAGTTCGGAGGTTTCCGATTGTAGTGGTTCTTTACAGAACATAGGGTTTTCATCTCCACTTGTATCCATGTCTCTCTGGGGAGGAATTGATGCTACACCAACTCTTCCCATGGATTCAAATTTTGATGGCGATGGACAAAGATCAACTTCTGCCTTGGATCTTTCATCTGATGGCGTTAAGAAAATGATTCCAGAGGCATACGATGGTGTGAGGACAGAAGATAAGTTGCTTGATGAAATGAGTATGGGTGCGCTAAATGACTCGGCTATAATCGCTGAGAGTGATTTTGTGAACCTTTCTTTAAACTTTCCGAATGAAGATGAACTCTTTCTTCTTAATGAAGAGGGGAAAGACATAATGGATGGACCTTGCCTTGAAACCCTAAATTCTATTTTTTCTGATTCTCCCGCTGATATACACCAGGATAATGCGTATGAAACCACAGATACAAAAAATATGGAGGCACTCATGGCGCAAGATATAATTTCAGATGAATTTGCTGCAGAGTCTAAAGGCCTGAATGAAGAGATGCGTTCGGGATCTGAGGATGGACATGCCGTTCAGGATTCGACAGAAAACATAAATGTGGGACCCTCAGATAATATATCTTCTTTGGAAACTCCTGAAAGGCTTATGATTTGCACGTTGAACACTGAGGATCCTGAAGTCCCATGCAATGATGACATTGTTCTCCCTAACGAGGTCTATCCTTCAGTTTCCTCTAGAGGTTTGAAGCTGGAATCTGAAGTATCTGGTTTAGTTTCCCCATCTTGCAAAGTTACTTCTGATGATCATGGGGGTGTGGAGGAGGATGAAACACTGATGAATCCCTTTATATCCTCACGCAACACTGGGCTGCAAATGCATGCAAAAGTCGGATTGAAGCGTCTGAATGATGATTTCAGGATTAAGACCGAGTTTCAAGGGATTGATTCCCACAGGCAACCAGGAGTCGTATCTGGTGAAAAAATCATGCTCTCATCAGCACCTGCTGTCCCATTAACTGGATCAGTTCTTACTCCAAAGGAAGAAATCCTACCACTGGCTCTGGGAAAATGTGGAGAATCTATTAATTCCGTAGTTGCCCTCCAAGAGAAATCACATGAAGCGCCTGATCATGCAAAATCAAATTTTCAAGTCACAGCGGATGTTTGTGAACAGATGTTAGATAGTGCGGGTCCCTCACAGAAGTGGGGGTCTTTACCTGCTGAATTGGGCGGTGGAGATGGGGGATTTGCTGATCCTTCTCATATTTTTTCAATCTCTGACAACGAAGAGAATTCTTCTGACAGTGATGACGATGTACCCAATTTTTCTGACATTGAAGCTATGGTAAGTCTTTTGGCTTAATATTCAATCAAGTTGGTTTTTTACTGAACAAACTATCGTGTATCTGCTTTTTCTCAAAGCTGTTCTTGTTTGTTGCAGATACTTGATATGGACCTCGCCTTCTCCGATCAGGAATCAAGTTTGTTTTCCAGAGAAGGTAATTCAGGTTCTTATCACTGGTTTCAGAAAATACTGTTTCTGAGACAATTATTCTCCATCCGGGGTGGGAAATTTTCTGTGACTAGGATATATATTCAGACGGCATGCATGCTAACTCTCTCTCTCACTTATTATATATATATATATGCACATTTGTAGATATATATATCTATGTCCGATTCCACCTGATTCCCCTCTTGTCTCTTTGAAAAAACTCGTATCCCTTCTTTATCTGTGTATAACTACCATCACCTTTTGCCACATGGAGATACGCTTTGCAGCAGAAGCCTGACCTCCCGACCTTGTGTTTCCATTCAAGTTATTTTAGCGTTAAAAGTACCAGGCAGGTTATCATGGGTTCTGTATGAGTGACTAAACCTGGTGAATCATTGATTTGTAAACATGTGATTTATTATTCTTATGTGTTGTTTTTGGTCGCATCAAATTTCTGTTGGCTGAATTTTTAGTTACATCGTGATTCAAGAACCGCTTATGATTGTGCATTTTTTTCTTCCAAGAGTTATTTTATGATTTCTTTTCATTCACGTCCGTATGCTTTGAATCACTCGTGCTGATTGGGGTTTTTAAAAAAAAAAAAAAAAAAAAAAACAGTGTCAAGGTACCAATTCCTGGAATCCAAGAAGACGCTGATGAGATTAGAACAGGGTGCCCTGTCCTGCGTGGAGAGATCGGTGGCGTCCCATGGAGCTCTTGCAGTCTTTTATGGTCGTCGTTTGAAGCATTACATCAAGAAACCGGAGGTGACTCCTCCGGCCCATGGCTGGCTGTCTCCCTGATTTTGTTTTGGAAAATGATTACCTTAGACTTTTATTTCAAGCGCATGTTTTTTGGCCATGCTCCTCGTTGACTCCTTTCTTTAACTGCCGTCATCTAGCCCAGCTGTGGGGTTCTAATCGTTGACTCTGCCGACCCTCCATGCTTTTAGCTATTTCTAGTACTCGTAATGATGTGCACAATGCAATGTTTTTTCCATAATTATCCAGGTGTCGCTTGGGAGAGCTACAGATGATGTACACGTTGACATTGATCTGAAAAGAGAAGGGCCTGCAAATAAAATATCTCGGCGTCAGGTGACTGTTTTATTTGAAAAATTAATATCCGGAATCCCTGTGCTGAGGTCGAACAGATTACTTGAATGCACTTCCAACACTTCCTTTTTCTGGAAAATGTCTTGAACAGATGTCGACCCGTTGACTTCCGGACCTCCGGTAACGCATGTGTTTAAAACTACAAAATGGTTGATTTTTTTTTCAAAAATCAAAGAGAATCTTTGAATTTTTCTCTACACTTCCATGAGATTTCTATCGTCGTCTTGAAAATATTGGTGGAAAGTAGCGGATCGGATCCTTTTCATCTCTGAGCGACCTGTACCATCTTCGCAGGCGATTATAAAGCTGGACGAGCACGGGTCGTTCTATCTAAAGAACACCGGGAAGTTCCCCATCGTGATCAATGGAAAGGAAGTGCCGTCTGGGAAGCAGTTGAATCTTAGCTCCGGATGCCTGATCGAGGTATGCGTCTTGGATAAACGATGGTGCCGTTGACTTTGATCAGATGAGTGTTTATACCCTTTTTACTGAATGGCTTCCCAGCTTCTGCTGCAGATGCGGGGCATGAAGTTCATCTTTGAGGTGTGCCATGGCATAGTTTCCCAGTACGTAGCTAATGTTTGGAGGAAGCGCAGACAAGAACAGAACCCGAGCTTCTCATTGGTTGCAACGTGAGAAGAGATCACCTAAGTCAATGGCACACGCGGGTCACCCTCCAGAAGTCAACCCTCGCCAGAACCGAAGCAAGGTGTATATATCTCTTGTGCCCAAAATTGGGAAGAACGCTGAGCAACACCGGCCTATCCCACCAATGGCGGAGCCCCATTTGTCCATTCTTGTTCCTTTTGACCCCGCCCCACACCCACAGTTGACTTTCCCCGTCTCCTGGTGGATCATGATTATTCCCTGGCGTAGTGATGAATCTTACACGGCAGCAAGCTGAAAGAAAGTGCTGCTGCTGCTGCACAGGCTGAGAGTCATGCTCTCTCTCTCTATCTGTGTGTGGATGTAAATGCAGAAAGGCTCTCCATTCTCTCTCTAGATGCAGAAATGGTCCTACTGAAGAAGGGTCTTCGTCTTGGACTTCTCCCCCCATCCTCTCCCTCTGGCTGGTTGGAGATGATTCAGGTCCGTTTCTTCTTCTTCTTCTTCAAAGGGTGTCCGCCGCGTGGGATCTTCCTCTTCTTCTTCTTCCTCCTCTGGCAAACTTCTTGTCCCGAACCCCATCGTAGAGGAGCTCGTACGCGTGGTACGTGATGTGCCCCTTCCTCAGTAGCTCCTCCACCAAGATCTTTGGCGCCGCCGTCTCCCGCTTGTCGGCCTCGAAGATCGAGGCTGCCGCCGCTGGGACGACGCCGTGCCGGACCATGACCCGGACGACCTCCACGGCCTCCGCCACCCGCCGGTTCACGCAGAGGCAGTTGATCACCCTCCCGAAGGTCGCCATGCCGGGGACGAACCCCCCTCGCTGAGATATCATCTTCTTCAGGAGGCCCAGCGCGCCGCCGGCGTCCCCGACCCTGCAGAACCCGTCGATGAGTGTCCGGAAGGTGAACGGGTCCGGCAGGAAGCCCCTCTCCTCCATCTCGGCGAATAGCTCCGCCGCCGCCGGGGCCTCCAGCTTTCCGACGAACCCTCTGATCAGCACGTTGTAGGTGGCGACCGTCGGCCCGAGGCCGTCCCCCTCCATCTCCCTGAAGAGCCCCAACGCCCCCCGGAGGTCGCCGGCCTCGCAGAGCCCGTGGATCAGCGTGGCGAAGGTGACGGCGTCGGGGGCCAGCCCCTCCTCCTTCATCCTCGGCATCAAGGCGGCGGCCTCCTCCGCCCGCCGGGCCCTGCAGAAGCTCTCGATGAGGATGTTGTAGGTGATGAGGTTCGGGTGGCAGCCCCTCGTCGCCATCTCCTGGAAGGTCTCCAGGACCTCCGCCGTCTTCCCGGCCTTGCATAGTCCGTTGAGGACGGAGTTGTAGGTGACGGCGTCGGGGGCCACCCCGTGGGTCCACATCCTGCTGACCACCTCCAGCGCCTCGTGCAGGCTCCGCCGCCGGCAGAAGCCGTCGACCAGGGCGTTGAAGGTGAAGGCGTCGGGGAGGAAGCCCCCCACGGCTATGGCGGAGTTGAGCAGGTCCTGGGCCTCGGAGACCTTCCCCGCCCTGCACAGCCCATGGATGATCGTGTTATAGGTCCAGTTGTCTGGCCGGCAGCACCCTTCCCCTTCGTCCGACATGTCCTCCAGCAGGTCGAGGGCCTGCAGGACGAGGCCCCGCTTGCAGAGGCCCTTGATGAGGGAGTTGCAGATGATGACGTCGGGCCTCAGCCCCACCGCCGCCGCCTCCTTGAACACCCTCACCGCACCGGCGACGTCGCCCTCCTCGCAGAGCCCGTTGACGAGGGAGCAGTAGGTGAAGCGGTCAGGCACGAAGCCCTTGAAGATCGCATCCCGGAGGAGCTCGAGCGCCGCCTGGACCATGCCGGCGCGGCAGTACCCGTCGATCATGGTGTTGTAGGTGAAGCTGTCGGGGAAGCAGCCGCTGTTCGTCATCCTGCGGAGATAATCCGCCGCCTCGGCGACCCGGGAGGACCTGCACAGGCCGCAGATGACCGTGTTGAATGCGACGGCGTCAGGGACCGGGCTGGCGCCGCCGCTGCCGCCCATGCGCCGCCCCAACAGGGAGGTGGCCTCCACCAGCCTGCCCTCTCTGCACAGGCCCCGGAGGATTATGTTGAAGGTGAAGCGGTTCGGGGAGGTCCCCCGCTTGAGGACCTTGCAGAGGAGTTGGGTGGCCTCCCCCACCTCCCCACTGTTGCAGAGCTCGTGGGCGACCTTGTTGAAGGTGAGCACGCCGGGGAGCACCCCCTGCTCGAGCATTTGCTCGAACAGGGCGCGCGCTTCCTCAGGAAGAGCCCCCTCATAGAGGCCGGCGATCACAGAGCAGTAGACGACGGCGTTGGGGAGGAAGCCCCTCTCGGGCATGTCCCTGAGGAGCCTCAGGGCGGCGCGCGGGCGGCGGGTTCTGCAGAAGGCCTTGATTCTGACGGCGAAGGTGCAGAGGTCGGGCGAGACCCCCCTGTCGAGCATCCGCAGGTAGACCTTGTGGGCCTGGTCGAAGAAGCCGTGCTCGACGAGGATGTTCATGACGGAGTTGTAGGAGACGACGGAGGGCTCGCAGCCGAAGAAGTCCATCCTCTCGAACACGTCGACAGCCTCCTGGACCTTGCTCCTCCGGCCGTAGCCTCTCATGGCGGAGACGTAGGCCTCCTCGAAGAAGCCGCCGCCGCCGCCGCCGTCGAGGGATGTGCTTGCCCGCATCTCGGCGAGAAGATTCTCCATTTCATCAAACTCCCCGTGGCGGGCGAGCTTCTCCACCATGGCCTTGAAGGTCGACGGCGTGTGCCTGAACCCGCCGCCGCCGCGCGACGCCGCGGCGTTGAACATCTGCAGAGCCCTGAGCGGGTCCGTCTGGCATCTGACCACGGCGGCGACATGTTTGGGGAGAAGCAAGCGGCTCATCCCTCCCGGGCTTCATGGACGGCGCACGGCGGCCATGGGAGGCGGCGCTCCATTTCTGTTTCCCCCTCCGAATCCAGAGCTAAGACGCCGCCGCCATTAAACAACACTTGCAGGGAAAGAGAGAGCGCAGCAGCGAGAGAAAGAGAGAGAGAGAGAGAGAGGAGGAGCTCCCCCGAGGCTCCTCGTCCTCCACAGAGGGAATCCACGAGCTCTGTCGTCGCCTCCGACCTCCTCCAGGAGACGGGAAGAAACCAGCGAGCGGAGGGAGGGAGGGAGGACTTCACTCCCAGAGTCCAATTGGGGAGGGAGATACCCATCGGACGGTGTAGAGGGCCTGATGAGATGGGCCCTCGCCGATGACCGTTCAATTTGCGTCACGATTTGTGCTGAAATATTATTTCCTCCTCCCTGTGGGAAATCATTCCGGAAGAGGATTGCGAGAAACGGGGGGAGGGGAGGGGGCTACGGAGAGAGGGAGACATGGGATCGTCGGGGGAGTGGCTGGAGACGGCGCTGATGGATCTGGCCGGGAGGATTCAGGCGGGGCTGCAGCTCGATCCCGACGTCGTCTCCGGTCTCGTCGCCTACTGCGAACTCGCCCCTCCGGAGGACGCCCGCGAGTACCTCACCGTAATCACAACCCTCCCCCCTTCCCTCCGCTTACTCCTCTCTGTATTTCTGTATCTCTCCTAAGCGCACCTTCCTCACTGGCTGATGACGCATAGTCTTCTCCGCATTCGCTGGGGTTTCCAGGATTTCCTCCGAATTTCCCATCGACGGCAGCGTCCGAACACTTTGCTTGGATTTCGGAAACTCCTCCGATTGTTCTTCCTCCGCTGATGAGACCGGGCAGTTTCCATCCGTTCTTTCTCAAGATAATCCTTGTCCTGTATCCCTCCAAATCCACCATCCGATGGAGGATATCCGTCGAAATGAGATTTTATGCGGGATCAACGGATGATGTAACAATTTTCTACCGTTTGGGCAGAATTTAAATGATAATCTGTCTTGAGGACTGAGATGTGGGCGCTGTTGGGTTACAAGCTGAGGAGGAGGAGGAAGAAGAGTCCTACTGGACATCAGACAGTAGTGCAGTTGAATTTTTTCCTTTAGTCTCACGGATTTCAATGCGGCGTTCGAGTTGCTTATATAATCTATCTTAATGAATCTTGCCATGATTGGTAACTTTCTCGACAATTCGCTGATGATAGCAGCTGTTTCCTGCCAGCATTGGGCCATTTATAGCCGATTATCTGGATATTCCTACCGATCACTGAATGAATCCTCTCTGAATCTGTTTGATCTGGACTGGGATCAGTCAACCATGCCATCTGGGTCCAAGAAGAAAATTTCCTTTCCTTCAAGAGTAGAGTAGGTACCCATCTCCCACCAGAACGCATCTTCTAAAAGTCCAATATGTTGACCAGGTGAGAGAACAGTCAACCCAGACTCTATAAGAAATGGGAAGATGGTCTGGAATGGCGATTCTGACTCAGACGGCACCAGGCTCGTTATATTTGCTGATTTTAAGGCATTGCGACTTCTCGTGTGCATCGAATGGGATCGGTTCATTATCTGCAAAAACGTTATCGAATATTTTTTCCACAATTAGGTACACGATTGACTTCTGTGGACCAGGGTTCATGGCAAGTCTTCAGATTGTAAATTGCCAAACGGATCTTTCCGTTGACCGCCCTTTTCTGGTGGGGTTTTCCTCAATATCCCTTACAGTTGGTCATCTGTTTTAATCCGATTCTGCATCCTTCTTTCATCAATGCATGAAGGATGAATCAAGAGGCCATGAATAAGAATCCAGGGTCGATCCTCTGTTTCCGCCGCCATCGCCATCTTCTTTGTCTCCTTCCCGTTCTCGTCGTCCTCTCCCTGTAATCTTAGGAAAAAATGTATATGTATGTGTTTATTGATTTATGCTGTGATTTCAGTGATCTCTTCAATCGGTTGACTTATTTCTCCTCGTTATTTTCAGAATATCATAGGCCCAGAAACCAGCCAGGACTTGGTCCGGGAGTACTTGCAGAGGAGAGGCTGCTACGTCGAACCCTCCACCGCCAGCTCGAGCTCGCAGCCTTCTTCCAGGCTGCAAGCGTACATAAAACCCCCTGCGCACGATGCGTTGACTAGTGGGCACAAGAAGCAGGTCAAAGCCCCGAGGGAGAGGCCAGCGTCCTCCGGTCAAAACCCCAAGGTTCAGGCCGAATCCGCCCCCCAGGTAGTGGGGAAGGCCGCCGGTGGTGGGAACCCTAGAAGGAAGAAGGCCGGGAAGGTCGTCTCTCTGGCGGAGGCCTCGAGGGGAGCCATCGTGTTCAAGCAGGGGAACCCTTGTTCCTGCCAAGCCCGCCGCCATAGCCTGGTGGGCAACTGCTTGGCCTGCGGGAAGATCGTCTGCGAGCAGGAGGGCGAGGGGCCCTGCAGCTTCTGCGGTGCCCTCGTGCTGCGGGAGGGGAGCTCCTACGCCGGGCTCGAGGGCGCGGGAGCGCCGGCGTCGAACGCTGAGGCGACCGCCGAGGCCTTCACCAAGAGGCTGGTGGAGTACGACAGGAACTCCGCAGCTCGCACCACCGTCATCGACGACCAGAGCGACTACTACGAGTTCGAGGGGAATTCATGGCTGTCGAAAGAGGTTGGTTGGTGTTGACGGCGAGCTGTATCTCTCTGGTTTAGGTTTTCTGTTCCGACATTTCTGGTTCTGAGATGGGTTCTTTCATCGCTCTGTGCTTAGGAGAAGGATCTTCTGGCCCAGAAGCTGAAGGAGCAGGAAGAAGAAGAGGAGCGGCGGAAAAAGAAGGTCGTCATGACCTTCGACCTCGTCGGCCGCAAGGTTAGATTCGAACCCTCCCCCCCTTCTCCCGTTCTCATGCAGTCAGTCTGGTTGAATCGCCGGAGCTCCGATGGCCGGCCGTCTTCTTCCTCCTCCAGGTGCTGGTGAACGAAGACGCGCCGCCGGAGTTGGGGTCGGAGCACAGGATACTGAGGCCACTGGAGAACAGGGAGTCTCATCGGATAACGCCCAACCCGGCGGCGAGGTTGCAGCCCATCTTCGTGGACGCGGCGGCGGCGGCGGCTCCCCCTCGGAGAGTCCCGGAGAATAGGGGGAAGCAGAGGCCGAGGTTGACCAAGGGCTTGTGTCTGGAGATCAGCGGGCGGGTGCAGCACAGCTCCAGCGACTTGCAGAGGCCCGCCGTCGCCGGCGGATCCTCCGGCAGAGCTCCCGACAGCCGCGACGAGAACGCCGCCGACAGGTCTCACGATTATGACTGAGCATTAGCGAGCTACTGAGAGAGTGAGAGAGAGATTTCAGATACTGAGAGGAATTTCATTACAGTGATGCGAGTTGCAGAGGGCATCCAAAATTGTCTGGTCTGTGGAAGAAGAAGAAGAAGAAGAAGGGGGAGAGGGGTGTGGGGTGCGGAAGGGAACGGGGTGCTTCAGCTGGCGTAGTCGTAGGAGAAGTCATTGATGCCGACCATGAAGCTGAGGACCTGCGAGAGGAGGAAGAAGCTGCCGCCGAGGATGACGAGGAGGAGGATGGCAGAGAGAGGGTTCCGCAGAAGCTCTGCGATGGGCTGCAGGATGGTGTAGATGGCCCCCGTGCTCACCGTCAGAGCGTACAGTCCGTACCTCCTCACGTTATCCCAGAACTCCTCCACGAGCGGCCCCTCCGGCCCGAGCGCCACCGCCGCCTCCTCCTCCCCCACGCCGCCCACCATCATCGCCACCACCGCCGCCACCACCGCTCGCCTGGACAGCCAGCCTGCGGAGGAGGGAGACGAAGGAGGGCGCCGAGGCGAGATCTCCCGTGACTCCTCCTCCTCCTCCCCTGCTGCTCCTCCGTTGCACAGTGCTCTCACGGCGGCCCTCCTCGCCGGAGAGGTCTTCGGCGGGGAGGAGGAGAAAGGATTCGGGGAGGCCGTTGTCGGGATGCCGACGCTGCTCCGGCGGTGAGATCCCGCGACGGGCGGCCTAAGCAAGAGCCGGTGCCCGGTAGGCTTGAGACCCGGCGCAGTGAAACCCATCTCGCAGAGAGGAAGAGGGAGGAAGAGGGAGGAAGAGGGAGGAAGATGGAGGAAGAGGAAGACGAGGGAGACGAGAGAGAGAGAGAGAGAGAGAGAGCGTCCGCTCCCGTCCCCTCTCAGTGGCTACGCTGCGTCGTCTTCTTATCCGTCCAATCTCGGGCTAATCGGCCGTTTTTTCCATCTTCCCAAGCAGTCCTCCAGACTGAGAAAGAACTGGTTTTTTTGTTTTATACGGAACAGTAAATCGCCATCAGGACCGTTCGTTTCAGTATCAACTCAGTAGCCCTCTTCCACACGCAGAGGTGGAGACTCCGCACTCGCCGATATCCCGAGGCTTATCGGACATGAGCAGCCGCAAGGGGGGCCGCCGGAGGCCCGCCACCTCTTCCGGCGGGGACTCGGGGGGCGAGTTCGGAGCGACCGCCCCCTCCTCCCCGACCTCGGCTCAGCCCCGTCGCCGTCCCCCTTATTCCCCAAGGTCCTCGTCCTCTTCCGCTTCTTCTTCTTCTTCTCCCGCCCTCTTTGAGCTTGCGGGGGAGGAGTACCAGTTCTACTTGGAGGATGGCGGCGGCGGCGGCGGCAGGGAAAACCCGAGGAGCTTCTCCCACAGCGTGAAGCTTCAGTGTTGGGACAAGGCCGAGAAGGTGAGAGGGAGGGACCCCGACCGGTGGCGCCGCGACTACCTGGGAAACGTCCTCTTCCGGAAGCTCGTCGGATGCCCTGGCTGCTACTGCCACGACTACGACCACATCGTTCCCTACTCCAAGGCGAGTCTCCTTGCAGAGTTCGGATCTTCCTACCCTTCTGAGGTTCCATTTCGTCACAGGGAAATTTATGGGTTCTAAGATGCTGCCTTCACACATCAGCGAACAAGGCCTGCAATGAGAAGAACACCCCTCGTGGGCTCCTTTCTATGAGGGAAAAAACGTCTGATCCGGGCTCGGCATTGCGCGAGGAAAACTCCTCGCCCCCGTTTTCTAGAACCCTTTCAAGAACACGATCTAATCACCCTCGTGAACTCGCTTTTCTCTGTTTTTGTGGGCTTTTCTTGCTGCCATTAACGGGGCCCTACCCAGATCAGGAAGCCCCCTCAGTTGCAGGTATGCGGAAGTTCCTTGTATAAGTTTCTAAGCTCGGCATATTTTGTTTCAGGGGGGGATGAGTACCTTGGAGAACTGCCAGGTCTTACGGGTATGCCTGCCATCTTCCTCTCCATTCATTGCATCCATGGAAGCGAGATTACGCCTGATTCTAGCATCATTTGCTCCATCCATACGGAGGGGGCCGAAGACTTGGGAACTTCTGGGGTGCGAAAAAATGTATTTTTTCTGATTGGGCAAACCAAGGTTGATGATGGGTCCATTAGACAGTGGAAACATAGCTTCCCTGTGCATGCAGGAAAAGAAAAATCAAATAGAATGTGCAAATCTGTTGGTAGCATATGCTTTCATGGCGAGCGGTTCTTCACTCCACCCGCAGTTCATGGCGAGGATCTCTAAAGAAGGGGGCTTTTCATTCTCTCACTTGCAGGCCAGCGTGAATCGGGCGAAGGGAAATCGAACCGAGATATCCAAAGCGGAGCTGATCCAGAGGAGCATACGGAAGACTCCCGGCTGCAGGGCTCCCTCAGGTCAGAACCTCAACCATCCTGTTTATTTATTCGCTATATGACTCGTCTTTGGGAACAATATATAGACCGGGAGATGGATTTCATGGAGCTCTCAGCGTACGGGGACGTTCACCGGGGCGACGACGCCGGCGGCTGCCGCATCCAGTGACACCGGCGGAGGTCGACCGCTCCTCTCATCTCGTCCTGTAATCGGTCCCATGTCGTCACTAGATCCACGAACTGATGACGGACTTATGATCACATGACAAACACGGAAACGCAGATGATTTAAGATCTCATAGCCTGGCTAAATCCATGATCTTGCATTGAAATCACGCTCGAGCATTGAGACACAGATGAGTGGAGCAGACCAACGTGATGAATGAACTTGTTCCTCAGAGGTCGCGGCAGTAATGGTGGTATGTTCGCACACAGTCGGGAGCCTCTTGCTCGGAGGAAGAAGAAGATGGCGATGCTTTAGACCTTGGGCTGTGCAAGAACACTAGGAACATTAGAGAGAGAGAGAGAGAGAGAGAGAACCAGGAGCAGGCCATGGCGGGGACGAACCGAAGAAGAAGAGAGCTTTGGCGTTTCGTGTAGGTACAAGAATTCCCAGGGGCTGTACATGGAGAGGGAAGGAGAGAAAAGGAGGGTGGGGAAGAAAATCAGGCCCAGACCTCGCGGTTTATTTCAATCTCACCACATCTGCGAGAGTCTGCCTTCACCATGCCTCCCCCCAGGAGACGCGCCGACTAAGCAAGAGATACAGGAGGGGAGAAAGGAGGGGGGAGATGGGCGTCAACCATTGTCAAGAGCTCTCCTGGAAGTTGAGGGAGCGGGAGAGAGCTGCAGGGTTGGCGTGGAAGAGGCTGGCCGAGCTCCTGATTCCCATCTTGGGGTGCTCGAAGGGCTTGAAGACCCCGCCGGCCATCGCCCAGATGGAGCTCTTCGCCGCCTCCTCTGGGTTGTGGATCCTCAGGGTCTTGGGGATCCACAGGCGGCAGCTCTCTCTGTGAATCTGCTCGGAGCTCTCCTCCTTGGGGTGGCCGTGCCCGTCTTCTCTGGAGTGCTTCCCCAGCGCCGGCGCCGCCCCCCACCCCCAGAACGCCGCTGTGGGGTACACTGGAACGGCGGCGGAAGCGCTCCAGGTGGACGGCCATGTCGTCGGGGGAGGGTGGTAGGAGCTGCCGTGGGAGCTCCTGAGGACCTGCTCCTGCAGGTTGCTCCCCCCTGCGTCCTCCGTCAGGTTGGACGCCGCCACGGAAGACCCGCTGGAGTGGGGTGAGGAAGGGGCCGCCGGCGCGTGTCTAATCGAATCGCAGAGGGGGTCGTCGGAGCCGAACCGCAGCACGGTGGGTTGCGAGGTGGCGGCGGCGGCAGCGGCGGAGTGCTTACTCTTGCGGCGTCCGGCGCCGACGGGGACGTTCCTCATGGAGCCGCCGGCGGTCCAGTAGCGTTGGCAGTTCTTGCAGAAGTGGCGGGGCTGGTTGACGTTGTAGTTGTTGTAGTAGCAGAACTTGGTGGCCATGCTGCTGCACCGCGGGCAAGGGAGGATCTTCTCCGGCTTCTTCATCGCAGGCTTCTCCGCCCCTGGCGGCTCGATCTTGCGGTCTCCCTCCTCTCCGCCCTCCGATCCTTTCGCCGTCGCCGCCTCCAGGCCGGCGGCGGGACGTTCGATTCTCGCCCCTGATCTGGGGCAATCGTCACAACTCTCCGTCATGCGCCTCGCAAGCTCCTGCAACTCCACGGAAGTTTCCCCGTCAGATCGAAGAACATGAGCTCATCAGAAACCCGATAGCTAAGTAATTTGAGACGAAAATTGAGAAGAAACCCGCGATCGACCGGAGAAAAACCAGGCAGGCTTCGCGTAAAATCACATCCGATCGAACCCTGAAGCTCTTCTTCGCCTCGACCCACCCGTCGACGGAGCAAGACAGTGGGAAGAACAGTGCGGATGATTCCAATCGCAGGTCGGATTATCAATCCGATCCGTCCGAGAAAAGAAAAAAAGAAAACTCCACCCTTGATCTAGGGGATGACCCAACAGCTGAACCCACCTGGCCAATTGCCTCTCCTCCTCCGCCGCCGCCATCCTCAAAAGGTACCGGAAAGTCATTCGCTCGGGGCGGCGCCACCGGAATCGTCTTCCCGAACAGCTTGACGAGAGCCCTTCTCCCCCCTGCCATCTCCAGCACACACAATCTCTCTCCTCCTCCCTTACTCTGGCCTCACAGTTTCCCTCCCCTCTCCTCCAGCCCCCCTCCGTCTTCTTCCTCTCTCTCTCTCTCTCTGTGCGTACGACTCTGTTCTGTTGGTCCGCCCTTCTCGGCCTATCCCTCTCTCACTCTCTCTCATCCCCTGCTTTTTTAACCAAAAAGTTGGTGCCACGTCACGTCGGGGAGGGATTCTCAGCCACATGTTCGCTTGTGGCCTCCGGAGGCGGTCTCTTGATTCGCCACCAGCCCTCGGAGCCCGTTATTTGATCCCCCCCTCCCTTCCTCTCTCTCTCTCCCCCTCTTTCTACGTCACCCCCTTTAAAAATCATTATATTACATTTAAATACCATTTGGGCATTTAATTACGATAAGCCCTCAACAAGGCTGTGGGCCCCAGCGATCGGATGTTTTCATCCTGCCCAGAAAAACCCTCCACTTGAGACGTCGTCATGCCGAGTCACGTAAAGCTCAGTCCCGGCGTGCTAGGGTACGACTGCATTTTTCACTCTTTCGGGGGGGCTAAGCATTAAATACTTCCGTCATCTCTCTCTCTCTCTCTCTCTCTCTCTCTCTCAAACTAGGGGAGGAAAGGCGGCTGGGTGCCGGGTCCACAAAAATGAACCAAAAAAGCAGCGGATATTTTTCTCGCTCTAAAAGTTGTCCCATGCGATCCGACACGTGGACGCATTAACCGGCCATTAACGAATTAATATCTGTTAGGAGCGGCGGCGGCGGCGGGCCCCAACAGCCTCCCTTTCTCCCATGGAGCAACCGCGCTTTACGAGATGTGAAAGCCCGTTTTTGCCCTCGAAATTATTAAAATATTCCAGGTTTTTCTTATCCTATCCCCGTCATTTTCCGCTTTTCTATAATTTCTTTTTTCCATCACGGAAAATAGAAATCCCGCGGAAGTCAAAGAGTCCCGCGAGGCGTGACGTCCCCACGCTGAGTGTCTTCCCAACGGCCTCAGTATTTATTTTATTAAAATAAATAAATAGTGAAATGGGCTTTCTCCGATTAAAAAGCCCGATAAGCCCAAATCCGAGTCAAACAGCGGCTCCGTGGTCCTTCTCCTTCGCGTCCACCCTCTAGACGCTTTCTCCGTCGCCGCCGGCGAGGACTGGCTCCGCATTTGGAAGCGGCGCCGCCAGTCAAGCGTCTCGTCTGCCATGAGACGACGCCCTCTCTTTTTCAGAGGGACTGGGCGGCGGAACCCCTCCCCTCCATGACCGCCGTGGGCTCCCTCCATGGCCGCCGCGGGCTACTGCTCAAGAGGAGGGAGGGGGAGCAGCCCCGCTCCTTTCTCCGGCCAGTTCATCCGGAGAATCTCTTTCTCTTCCCGTGGGCTGGGAGACCACCTGGGCGCCTGCGTCTCCGCGCTGCAGGCGTGCGCCTCCCTGCGGGAGGTCTCCAAGGGAGTCGCCATCCACGCGTGCGCCGTCGTGAGGGGATGGCTCGGGGAGTCTCCCTTTGTGGTCACCAGCCTCATCAACTTCTACTCCAAGTGCGGCCGCCCCGGGGACGCTCTCGCCGTCTTCCGCCGGGCTGCCGGCGCCTCCAACGTCTTCCAGTGGAATGCTGCCATCGCGGGGATGGCCGCCAACGGGCTTCCCCGCGAGGCCCTCAGCCTCTACCGCGAGATGGAGGCGGCAGGGTTGGCGCCGGACAAGTTCACCTTCCCCTGCGCGATCATGGCCTGCGCGGACCTCTACAGGGAGGGCTGCTGTTCCCTCTCCCTGGTGGAGCTCAGGAGCCTCCACTGCCGGTTGACGAAGATGGCGCTCCAGTCCGACGTCTTCGTGTCCAGCGCCCTGGTGAACGCCTACATGAAGGTGGATTCCATGGAGTACGCCGCGAGGGTGTTCGAGGGATTGCCCGACAGGGACGTGGTCCTCTGGAACTCCATGGTCAACGGCCTCGCCCAGGGAAGTCGACTGGAGGACGCTCTGCGATTCTTCCAGAGGATGGCGGCGGAAGGGGTCGCGCCGAGCAAGTTCACCATCACCGGAGTCGTCTCCGTGTTCTCCGCCATGGGGGACCTCCGCGGCGGCGGAGGGATGCACGGGCTGGTGGAGAAGTCGGGGCACGGTGCCGACGTCGCGGTCTGCAACTCGCTGATCGACCTGTACGGGAAATGCGGCGCCGTGGAAGAAGCGGGAAGGATCTTCGGGGCGGTGCCGGAGAAGGATCTCCTCTCCTGGAACTCGATGATAACCGCCCTTGTGCAATCCGGCGACCACGGCGGCGCCCTGAGGCTGTTCGACCGCATGCGGAGAGGCCCCGGTGAGCCGTCCCCGGACGCCGTCACGGCGTCGGCCGTCCTCCCGGCGTGCGCCCACACGGCGGCGCTGATGCGCGGCCGCGAGGTCCACGGCTCCCTAGTTGTCGGCGGTCTGCGGCGGCGCGGGGACATCTTCCTGGACAACGCCGTCATGGACATGTACGCCAAGTGCGGGAGCCTGGGGGACGCGAGGTCCCTCTTCGAGAGGATGCCCTCCCGCGACGTCGCCTCCTGGAACATCATCATCGGTGGGTACGCCGCCCACGGGCGGGGACCGGAGGCCCTGCGGTTCTTCTCCCGCATGTGCCGCGAGGCGGCGGCGCCGTCCCCCGACGAGGTCACCTTCGTCGGCGTGCTCTCCGCGTGCAGCCACGGCGGGCTGGTGGCGGAGGGGAGGGAGCTCCTGCGGAGGATGGGGACGGAGTTCGGCGTGCCCCCCGCCGTGGAGCACTACGCCTGCGCCGTGGACATGCTCGGTCGCGCGGGGCTGCTGGCGGAGGCTCACGAGTTGGCCGCCAGCGTGCCGACGGGGCCCAGCCCGGTCGTATGGAGAGCGTATCTCGCCGCCTGCAGGCTGCACGGCGCCACCGACCGCGCGGCGGCGGCGGGGGGGGGGCTGCTGGAGATGGAGCCGGAGCACTGCGGGAGCTACGTGCTCCTGTCGAACGCCTACGGCTCAGCGGGGAGGCACGGGGAGGTGTCAGCGATCAGGAGCGCCATGAGGGGCCGCTGCGTGAGGAAGACGCCCGGGTGCAGCTGGATCGAGCTGGGCGCGGAGGTCCACGCCTTCGTCATCGGCGACCGGAGCCACGAGGCGTCCGACAGCATCTACGCCCTGCTGGAGGCGCTCGCCGGCCGCCTCCTGGAATGCGGATACCTCCCCGACGCGCACCCGCCGGGTGAGTGAGAGCGGAAGCGGATCCCTTTCTTGTCCTCTCAAAGCTATGATCATGCGGATGAATCCTTCACCTTTTTTCTTCTCGCCATTCTTCCCAAGAACATGATTCATCAGGTCTGCTGCAGATTCTCTCTGTTCATAGCTTCTTTTTACGTGCGGTTTCTCTCCCGAGCGTGATTCAACCAGACGGCGGCGGGTGCGGACTGTCCCCGTTCGTGGTTTTCTTCAGATTTATAAGTGTGAGTCAACCATTTATTCTTGCTCATCAGAGTCAACCCTTCGCTTAACGATCTTTTAATGTACAAACAAAATCCTCTCCAGATATGGAAAGAATCGAGCTGAAAGAAGAAAAAAATGGAAAATAAGATCTTATTTTCGTAATCAGATCCAGTATTTCTCTGCTAGTGCCGCTGCTCTTCGCCTTCCTCCCGGGCTCCTCCGTCCCCTTCCTGTCGCCGTTGGTCTTCTCTCTGGTTATCCCCTCTGTTGAAGGTCAACGTCACCCAGACGTCCCTCCTCCTGTACGGCGCCGCCGCCTCGCCTTCCTTCTTCCCCTCCGCGGCCTTCTCCTCCGGCATCCGGTGGCGGCACACCGGGCAGGACCCGTGGATCCTCAGCCACTTCTCGATGCAGCCCCCGTGGAAGCGGTGGTGGCAGGGCATCTCCCTGACCTCCCCCTCCGCCGCCACCTCCGAAACGCCGTCCTCCTCTACCGCCGCCGCCGCCCACAACCCGTCCAGGCAAACGGCGCACTCCTCTGCGCCACCCTCCCCCGTGGCCCTCTCCACCACCGGCAGCTCCGCGATCGAGGCCTTGGACGCCGGCGGCGACCCCCGAGACCCCCCCACCTCAGTCGCCGCCAGCATCTCCTCCACCATGGCGGCGACGTCGAGGCCCCCGCCGCCGCCAGTCCTCAGCATCACCATCCCCTGCGTCATTGTGTTCACGAGGACCAGCCGGTCCGCCGCCGGCGCAGCCTCGGCCTCCTCCCCGGCTCGAGGACCCATCAGCCCGACGAACAGAGGTAGAAAGAGGAACTGTTCCAGATCCCCGGCACCGCCGCCGCCGCCGCCGCCGTACCCCATCAAGGTTCCCAGGAAGCGCCCCAGGCGCTCCCCAGCTGCCCCTCTCTCGTGCTGCGCCGCCATCGAACTATCCTCCCCCCGCCGGCGGCCGTTTAATGGAGCTCGGAAGTGTGTGGAAGCGTCCGGAACATGCCGGCGGCAATGACGGATCCCATAAAAATCCAATTTTTCCTCATTAAAATCAGATTTTACGTCACAAAACTGTCTCATCCACCACTCCCCAGCCCCCCCCCTCGACCCCCAGAAGATGATCACATTCCATCAAACCATGTCCTCACTGGTCCAGCAAGACGACAAAAACCCAATACACGTGGCACGCCGTCGAGGCACAGTTGACAAAGGGAGGGAAGAGAGAGAGAGAGAATCATATGAAGGAGACTCCGCTCGTCGGGCCGAACTGGAAGCAGCAGCCCATAGAGAGGTGCCCTTCGAAGGTTTTAGAGAGGTTGTCCTCCACCGCGCAGGTCGAGTTGGCGAGGCCGCCAAAGGCGTCGTCTTTATTCGCGTCGGCGCCGCCGTAATCCGCGCAGGCCAGCTGTTCAGCGACGAGGGCGGCGCTCTGTCGAGTCCGCTTGGGGTTACTCGACGGCTTCGGGCTTATCTTCTCCCAGCTGGGGGCCCCTCCCTGATGAGTTCGATGATCCAAAAAGTCTCCCACGTACTTCCTCTTCGATCCAGGAAGCAGCTTCAACCCTGAGGGAGGACACGAGAGATGATGAATCCAGACGAAGCACGTGCCCTGAGGCAAAAGTCAACCCATCTGGGGATGTTCCCACGTGTGGGTCCGAACCAGGTCGGAGAGAGAAGGGTCGGATGGGGTGGACTTACCACTGAAGGAGCTGGAGATGTTCAGCTGCTCTTCCATGGCGCCACAGTGGCAGCCGGGATCCCTGGCGCAGCAGCTGCCCCCTTTATTGATCCTGCAGAGTGATTGAGACCAGAGAGGAAGGACGACGGCGTCAGTCCCCACCCAATACACGCAGCAGCTAGAAACAGAGTCGTCCGACTGACTGATCGAGAGGAACAACAAGAAATCATCAGACCGAAGCCAAAGAGCTGCTGCATACAGAGAAAATTGGTCAACGCAGAAGAGCCAAGTTTCCGGAGAAGCTTTTATCACAAGATCATCAAAAAGCCGGTCAAACACTACATTTGTCCACTGGATTCCAACAAAGGCTACTATATAACTGAGACTCAGACCACGCAAGTCATTCTCAATGAAAATAATAATAATAATAATAATAATAATAATAATAATAATAATAATAATAATAATCCACAGAACCATTAACCAAAGTGGCTGATGAGCGAGGTTTTGCTTCTAGGTCAGAGATACTGGCCAGCAATGCAAAGTATGCTCGGGACCAATCCAAAGCATGCTGGTAACCCAGAAAGGATGGAGAGGATACTCTAAACAGTGCTGCATCGAGAGCATAGTCTAAGAAAAGCAGAAAACAATAAATCACCTGTACATATGCTCCACAAAATCGTCAATAAGAACAGGCCAAGCACCTGCACGAGAAATCAAAGGAGTTGTCCCATCTATCAGATTCACTCAGAGCATACATAGCCCACATAATCTAGAACTTGAGCGAAAGAAGCTAGCTGAAGCTTAGAACATGACAAAAAGTCCCAATGTCATCATCGCAAGTATGCAACCTGCCCATTCCCATTAAAAGGGATACATTTTTGAAATTGACTCGAGAGAACAACCAACGTGTATGAACATCAAAAAATCAAAACGTCATCGTCCTCAATTTGGGTGGTACTATTCCCCCGGAATCATATCCCCACCCTCCATCTTGCATATGGTTTTTTTGGAGTCAGATCACCCATGTAACGATGATCAAAATTACCAGCTTTGTTGGAAAGTACAATTTCAAAATTACATGATGGTCAACAATGCGATGCCTGTTCAGACAACCATGATTTACAGGAACATATGAAACAAATCATCTGACGTTTTTCTTTATGATCACTCGGATTGAGATTTATTTTCGGAAAAAAAAAAAAAAAAACGCTCAATATGAAGGCAAGCACCGGAAAATGAAATTCCAAAGGTGATGGAAAGCGGTATATAGAAAAGGTTTAAAAGCTGAAGAAAAGCTGTTCGGATTTGTGTTGAAATTTCCAATCGGTAATTTTTCATTTATCTTACATGGAATGCCCAAGAAGTTTTCAATTAGATTCTATGGGCATCATAAAAGTGGAAATAAGTGCACAGTGTGGATCTATACAAAATTTGAACCCTCTTCTAGGACTCTGAGAAATCTCAACTGGAGTGTGAGAGATTTATGGCCCAGTGGTGGATCATAATACCCACAGCACAAGAAAGACAGAGTACCTTTCGGATCGTATCCTTCGAGATCTTCATTTACGCATCTGCTAAAGCCCAGCAGTTGCTGCCAAGTGTCCAGCGATATATTATGACGTTGGTGTTTCTGCGTGCAGTTGGAAAAAAAAAATCTCTTAGGAAAATCGTGATAAACAGATGATCAAAGTGGGGTATCAATCAAAGAAAAAAAAATGAATATAAAGAAGCATGGGGAGTAAAATTCGGACAGTTAAAAAATAGCATCTAACAGCATAAAATGCATCCGAGACAGGATACTCTGAAACAGTCAGATGAACGATGTAGTCTTCCGGTGGGAATATAAATCACTACAGTTCATGTCATAGTTCACACGAATAATCACAAATTTATGATAGAAACGAGGGTTATGCCGTCTGAAGAGAATCTTTTTCTTCGCCTCCAGCGCAGTTAAGTCATCTAGTCAGCAAGATGTCGAAGGTCATAAATTTCGTGCGTGGAAATTATAGAGAAAGTGAGAAAAGTCAACGGACTAAGATGTTGATAACTCAAAGGCAACTCGCAGGACCTGGTATGCTAAATAATTCCAGAAATGGTTGAAAGAGAATGAGAAGCAAAATTAAAGCCTATTCGTGAGATGAAGGAAAATATTTCCATGAGTACAAGCTTCAGAGAAATAATGGTCCATGTGGTGGACCAACGCACAGGCATGAGGAAGTCACCCATAGATATTGAAATATGAGGTCCAACATCACTACAAGTTTAATAAATAAATAAATAAGCAACAAGCCAGTTGGAGAAAATGCGACTGAACAGAATGATAATGTCTAGAACAGAATTGATATCTTTTATGAAAATATATCAGAATTGGAATATCAGTACCTCGACAAAATCACACCAATGATTTATCAATCGAAATCTTCCTGTCAGAACCAATCTCCATGCAATTATTGCCCTGTTTACGGCTGAACATTTATTCAAAAAAAATAAATTATATTAAGACAACTGAAACAAACGAAACCAAAATAAATGAGCATAGAATTATGGCACGCTGGCATAAGGAGCCTGGAAAGGTCGTACTGATGCTTTTCTGCCCATTTTCGCGACAGAGGAAGAACACAAAGTCATAGAAGCACGTAAACTGATGCGAGTCCACCTAGAAAAATGTTGAACAAAAGGAAAATTATGTCAGGTCATAGGAGCAAATAAGTATGTTACTTCATGTGACTGAAGAGAACCGAACGTAAACTGTTGTGCACCCGCTGACCCCAAAGAACAGCCACTTACAGACAAGTTGAGATGTGACATGAGATTCAGCAGATCCTCAAAAAGCTTATCACTGCCAACATAGAAAGATTTTCAAGGACTTCGTAATAAAGTGAGAAAACAAAGCGTACAAGCACACAATCTAGTGCAAGATGAGCAAGTCATTATCTGATGAGCATTACCCACCCGAATGATCCCACAACTTGCATCATTTAGAGCTGAAATTATCGAAAAAGCAAGAATTTTTTTTCCAATGCATCTTAATTTAAGGCAAAAGCAGTTTATAAAATTGTATGTGCGGTATCACCATCAGAGAAAAAACTCAATCCAGATTTTAAGCCGTTAAGACGTTTGCGATGAACACAGAGAGAATGAGAGGAACATGAGTCACAGCGCCGCAGCAATAAATATCTTGAAATAGGCCTTCATTCCGAAGTTCCAAATGGAAACCGCAGCATGTTCTAACGATCCCAGTTGAATCGGCATGGAGGGCTCTTCGTTTATTGCTACTAGTGCTCAGAGAACGACCCTATTTCGGGATTATTTTTCTGGTTGTGTCGAAAGAAAAGTGGGGATAATGGAAAAGATCCTATCAAGCAACCGGTAAAAGTAATCATGGACAGAATCATTAGATTCAGGTTCCGGTGCTTAGAACAGATAAAATCCATCAAGTATACCATACCCGAAACGGGCTCCTGACTCCAGAAACTGCGCCAGAAAGGATAGAGCTTCCTTTGAAGTACGATGGTCATTTCGCGACATGACATCTGCGATCCAAAATGCAACCGTGTTCATTAAATGGGTAGCAGCTCCGCAAAAAAACTTGGAGAAAATTAAAAATTAAAAACCGATTGAACAGAGTGTAGCGGAGAAAAATCGATAGAGCAAACCAAAACGAACGGTCCAACACGAACCGAGGAGAAATTCACAATAGTGGACGAAAATTTCGCCGAAGACGGATAATAATGGTAAAATATTTGAAGATAAAAGAGGATAAGACTCAAAAGAGAGGACCGCCCGGATCTCTTACCGCAGTATCTCCCATATATCGTGAAGATGTCAGCCCCATTCGAGCCGGAGGGCTCCATTCGAGGCAACCAAAAAGCCTCAACCCCCCCCCCCCCCTTCCCTCCCCACACTTCACGGCAAGGTAAGAAGGTCAGCAGGATAGACAGACAGAGGGAGTAACGGGAGCTACTACCTTCCCCACGAACCCACCTATCTTTCCCGTCCCGTCCCGTCCCCTTCCCTCCCCTCCCGGCCTCTAGACGAATTCAGGGGAGAGAGAGAGAGGGAGAGAGAGAGAGAGGAGCGGAGGTGAGAGAAAATGACACGCCTAAGGGCTTTTCATGGGCCTGACCGCCTCGACGACCGTTTCTGACCAAATTTTTTAGTCATACCGGGCCGTTGCACAATTACCGGCCCAATGGGCCCAAACAGCCAGGTCGGATAGATTTAGCCCCAAATTATAATTAAACATAAATGGGAAATGAAGAAGAGTGACGGCATCTAATTATCCGTACATAATTATTTTTTAAAAAATGCATTAAAATAGAAAAAAACGATTGGGTTTGGGAGGGAACAGTTGCTCCGCCCGGCAGTTGCCAAACTTGAAGAAGAAGGACGCCGCCGCCGTCGCCCCCGCCACCAGCTATAAGACCGCCCCGCCCTGCCCAGGGCCGCCGGAAGGTGCAGAGACGCCGGCGACGACAGCGGCAGGACGAGGAGGAGGAGAGAGATGGAGTTGGCAGTCGGCGACGAGAGCGGGTTCTTCGCCAGGGGCAACGACGGCGAGGTTCCACCGCCGGGCCCTGCGGGGGGGCGGAAGCGGACGGCGGTGGCGAAGGGCGTGCAGAAGACACTGTCGAAGACGTCGATGCTAGTTAACTTCCTGCCCACGGGCACCCTGCTGACGTTCGAGATGCTGCTCCCCTCCGTGTACGGCAACGGGACCTGCACCCCGGTGAGCACCACCATGATCAACGTCCTCTTGTGCATCTGCGCCACCTCCTGCTTCTTCTTCCACTTCACGGACAGCTTCCGGGCTGCGGACGGGAAGGTGTACTACGGCTTCGTGACGCCGAGGGGGCTGGCGCTGTTCAAGACGGGGCTGGGCGTGGCGGTGCCGGACGAGGAGAGGTTCCGGATGGGGCTGGTCGACCTGGTGCACGCGGTGATGGCGGTGATGGTGTTCGCAGCGATTGCGCTGTCAGACCACAGGGTGACCAACTGCCTGCTGCCGGGGAGGGAGAAGGAGATGGACGAGGTGATGGAGAGCTTCCCTCTCATGGTGGGAGTCGTCTGCAGCGGGCTCTTTCTCGTCTTCCCCAACACGCGCTACGGCGTCGGCTGCATGGCCGCCTGACGAGGCGATTGCTCTCTCCATCAATCCCCTACCACTACCGTTCTTGCTACCCCGTTTCTTCATCTAATCTTAGCCTTTTGGACGACGAAATATTCTCCACTTGCCACCAGACACATGTACCCTATTATTCGCAGCGTTCATTCTCTTATGGTAGATCTCCAGTCTTCGTCTCATGAATAAATAATGCTCGTAGATTTATCTAGTTTAAATCAGGACGTTAAGAAATTATAAATTTTTGGTTGTTAAAGCCACGCCAAATTTACAGGAACCAGAATCCGATTTAATTGGCGAAGAAGATGATGGAGACAATGTAGATGAGGTGAAGCCACTCGAGCTGAAAATAGTTGTAACAATCAGATTCCTAGAACCGATTTTTACCCAATAGTATGCTAGGCGATTATCCACAATAATCGAGAAGAGGAGGATAAGACTTATATAGTTGTGATTTAATAGATTTAGCTCGTGTGGTAAAACAAATAGTTGCAGGCGAGCATTTCGTTACAACATTTTTAAAAATAAAAAAAAATCATAATAGGTTTGGGCTATTATCTTGAAAGAAATGCACACTCTCATGCTGCTTAAATCTACCCAATCGATGTGGAGGCCGGATTATAAGCAGTGATCTTCTCAAGAGAAACATGTACCAGCTTCAAAGGGCCATGCTGATCTCGAACAAGAACATAACCTTCAATCATACATCTCTTTGGTCCTAAGAAAACTGATGACGACCCTTTGACTGAGGTGTCAAAACATGAACTGGTTTAATAAATAAACCTACCTCGTACAAAACTTTGGGTGCCCAGGCTCTAGATAACTCTGGTGGGAAGGTCGTGAACAACTGAGAGACTGGCGAGAGAGAGAGAGAGAGAGAGAGAGAGAGAGAGAGAGAGAGAGAGAGAGTCAATGAGGGACACGAGGATACGGAGAGAGAGAATATAGATAGCCAAGACCTCTCAAGTCTTGGGGTCACTGATTTGAGACGACGAACATCCACTCCGAACGGAGTCTTCACAAGGTTCTTCTAATGTCCCCTTTCCGTGGCCACTCGGCCCCTCTTTATAGCTGAAGTCTTCTAGCATCGATGACCACCTCTCATATCACTTTGATTGGGTCTGGCAGGACATGAGTGCCGTGCTCCATCTCTGTCGGGTCTTCCATGGTTCCCTGCTGAATTTCATCCACCGCACACGTCTCATGTCCTGCAGGCTCTCACATGTGGTTCTCCCTTTCGATGTCTAGATCTTACCTGCCTTGCTTTGTTCTTGGGCTAGGCCAACTTCTTTGAGACCTCTTTCCCTATGAGTCCATTTGGGTTGTCAAGGTCTCAACAATACTCCCCCCCCATTGATACACCTTGTCCTCAAGGTGAAATTCGAGAAATTGTCATTGGATGTTGTAGGCATTCTCTTAAGTGGCAGATTTAGGTGGCAACCCATCCTATTGCAGCAGTACTTTGGGACTATGCAAGCGGTAGTGGATGTCTACAACCTGACCCGAAACCGCCGTCCAACGCAGCTTGCCATCCACTGGTAACTCGAGCATTTCTAGGGCCTCCTCTCGTTGCTCTGCCTTTTTTAACTATGACATGTAGAATATCAGATAGATTTAGGCTAAGGTGGAAAGTTCTGGATGGTACGCCACTGGCCTGATACGGTGGAGTATTTTGAATGGACCATAAAAATGAGGGGCAAGCTTCGCACATGGTTGCCGTGTGGCTGTGGTCTAACGATAGGGTTGCAGATGAAAGTAGACTCATTCGCCTACTTGGAACTCGAGTTTTCTTCACTTGCAGTTGGCAAATTGCTTCATCCTAGTTTGGGTGCATGTTAGATTTTGTCTGAACTATGTGACGATTTCCTCCCATTCTTGTAGCCATTGTTTTAGATTATCTTGCACCATTGGTTTGCCGGTGAAATGGATCAGGGTGGGTGGGGTTCGTCCATAGACTATTTGAAACAAGGTCATCCATGTGGAGCAGTTGAAGTTCGTGTTGAGGTTCGCCCATGAAATAGCGGAGGTATGTTTCAAGCTTGTAGTTGATCACCTCCGATTGGCCATCGATTTGTGGATGATAAGGACTTGTTTGCCTAAGCATGGTCCTTTATTGATGGAAGAGCACCTATCAAAGATTGTTTGTGAAGATTATACCTTGATCAATAAGGATGGACCCTAGAAATCCGTGCAACCAGACGATATCATAAATGACCACTTTTGCCAGTGTGTGTGCTATGAAAAATGAGTGTACTTACTGAGGCGATTGATAACAACTAGTATGGCATTCTAGCCATTGGAGATGGGCAATCCTTTGATAAAGTCCATCATCAAGTCTTTTGATATCTAGTCCAGAATGAGCAGAGGTTCAAGGAGTTCGGCGAGTCATAGTGCTTCTAATTTGATTCTCTAGTAGACCGAGTAAGTGGCCACGTATTTTTTGACTACTACCTTTATGTCTTGCTAGCAGATGCTTTAGTTGAGCTGTAGGTAGGTTTGCTAAAAACCAGAGTGACCTCACGTTGTTGTGTTGTGGAACTCCCATAGAAGGGTTGAGAGGAGACGCGAGGTCACTGATATCACAATTTATCTATGGTGGAAGAGATTACCTTGCTACAATGAGTAGTGTCTTTATTTCGCTGGCTTGGTAGACTTCCTCAATGATTTTTTGTAGATAGTGGTCAACTTGATTCTTCTAAGTGATTTCGGCGAGATTGAGCAGCTCCAAGTGAGAGAGAGAGACAAGGTTTGGATCCATACTTGTTCAGGGGTGCAAGATTAGACATCCGTCGTTCGATTTTTGTAGCCTGATTTAAAGCATATCTTGAAGTCAAATAAGATAATCTTCACTAGCCATTTCTAATAATTAGGGAGGACATGTTATTGCTCTAGAAGGAACTTCAAGCTTTGCTGGTTTATAAAAATCCAAAACTTGTGGCCAAGAAGGTAATGCTGCTATTTAAGAATGACGAGAACTATAGCTATTAGTTTGCGCTCGTAAGTTGGCTTCTGTAGATGGGTCGGTGTAAGAATTTGGTTGAAGAAGGCCATAGGTCTTCGGTGCTTCACAAGGATAGTTCTTACTTTGCGACTAAAGGTGTCTGCCTCCAGCTCAAATGTGATAGAGAAATTTGGTAAGGTTAGCACCAGAACTATCATTAGGGCTTGTTTGAGTGGCTAGAATGCTTCTTCGGTTGCTAGGTTCCAACCAAAAGCCTCTTTCTTCAGTAGTTGTGTTAATGGCCAAGCAATTTGTTCGAAGCCTTAGACGAAGTAGTGACAATATCTCACCAAGCTCAAGAAACCTTGGAGGTCTCAAAGGGTCGTGGGGATGGCCACTAACAGATGGCGGAGATCTTTTCAAGGTCTACAATGATTGTTTATGTTGATATCCTGTGGCCCAAGTATGCAATCTTTGTCTGGTTAAATAAACACTTCTTTGGGTAAATGTGAAATTAGCATTCATGAAGAACGAGAAATACTTGGATGAGATAACCCTAGTGTTCTTTGCTAGTTCAGCTATAGACGAGGATGTCGTCTAAGAATACCAACATAAATCATTGCAAGAATGGAGCAAATATGTGGTTCATGGTGGCTTGAAAAGTTGTCGGGGCGTTGAAAAATATGAAAGACATGACTAAGACTTTGTAATGCCGATGATACATTCGGAAGGCCGTCTTCAATATGTCATCTATTTGGAATGGCTCCATATAGCTCGTCAATAAGCCTGTCAATGATTGAGATGTGAAATCGATTTGGAATGATTACCTTATTCAATGTGCAATAGTCCACGCAAAAATGACACGAGTTGTCTTTCTTGTGGATGAGGAGTGCTAGGCTGGAGAAAGGGCTACAGAAATACTAGAAGAGCTCCGTTGTAAGCATAGTTGCCACATATTTCTCTAGCTCTGTTTTTTGAAAGTGAGGATAACAGAATAGACGAGCGTGGATCATCTAGTTTCCCAACTCTGTGATGATGCGATGCTCCTGCTCGTGGGCCAGTGGAAGACTAGTGATGTCCGTGAAGACATGCGTGAAGTGCTTTTGAAGTTCACTTGTCAAGGGGTCATTTGACACCTTGTCATTGTTAGTTTTTAATTGGAATAGCTTGAAGTATGCTTTCCATTTACACGATTTACTAATCAAGGTATCCAATGGTGTTGTTTGTTATGTTCAGAAGGTTCTACTAGGATCATAACCTTTTTCTTACCAACAGAGAAGAATAGTGTCCAATCATCTAAATCTAGCTTTGTTGTGGTTATCTTCGATCTAGTACATCCATGATGATGTCAACTGAGGTGAGAAGGAATAGGAGGAAGTTGTTCGAGATGATAGTATTTGGAAGATCGATGATGAGGCTGTGGCACATTTTTGAGCAAGAATTATTTCTCTTGTGCTAGTGGCCACCTAATAAGGTGTCATCCTAATGGTTGGAAACTAATGCTTCTAGACTAGGCGACTGTTGATGATGTTAAACGTCGCTCCTGTATCGAGTAGAGTAAATACTTGATGCCTTTGAATCATTTCTTTGAAATATGTTGCTCACCCATGGAAGTACTTGGACAATGAGTGAAGGGATACTTCAAGCTAGACTATCTCGCATTTGTTTGGTGATGGGTCATAAGGAAACTCTTTTACTTGAGTATTATCTGATGCAAAGTTAGAGTCAGTGAGAGCAAAGAGAATATTTAGCTCTTGTCTGCACTAATGGTCGGGCATAAATTTCTCATTGTAGTGGAAACACATGCCTTGGGTCCATTGGGCTTGAATGTTAGCAGTCGTGAGGTGTTGATCAATTTGAGGTGCTTTGTTGACGGAGATATGTAGACTTGTTGTCATTAGATCAGGACCATGGTATCCCTCGTGGTTGCTCATGCCCTACGGTGGCGGCCATATTTGACACCGATCATACACCGAAGACCCTTTCTCTACCCCTCTATCTTGCCATAGTCGACCTCCATTTGTCAATGTTAATAGCTTGATTTCAACTCTCTTGGCTGTTTGCATCATCACTTTAATGCCAAGTAGGTTGAGGGTGATCACCTCTGCCTGTATCTCTTGTCGAAGACCCTTGAAGAAGTTGCCTTTTAGAATGGTCTTCGACATGTCACAGAGTGCATGAGACAATAGTTCGAACTGCTCCCAATAATCTTCCATCAAATCCATTTGTTTGAGTTCGAAGAACTAATGGTTGAGGGAGCTGGAGTGTTTATCTCCGAATATTTTCAGCATCTTGTACTTTAGATCTTCCCAGCTACAAAATGACCGTTAGGATTCCACCCACTAAAGCTAGTGGAAGGCTTTTCCTTCCATGATGTTGCACGCCTCCACTAGTTGCTTAGGTGTTGTTAGTTGATAAGTGGAACCCTATAAAGGTGGGGAACTCTAATTACCATCATAGGTTGGATTCCAAAGGCCCTCGAGGATGGTGGTGGTCAGGCGGACCGTCGTGGGGGTATGAGTTGACAAATAGATCTTCTTAGTAATAGTGGTTATTGAGCGGAGCCAAAGGTTGTCCTGCACTGGTATCTCTGGGGAGCCACTCCTTCAATGGCTCTGGCTCGAGTTTGGTCTTGTCAACTTGACTGAGGGAAATGCCTACTTGATGCTAAATGTTGTCTAGGATGTTAGCAATCGACCCTAGTTGGTGAGAGACTGAATCCTGTCTTTGACACATGTCTACCTATTCCGCACATATTGCTTGAAGTTGTTCGGCATGAGCCATCAGTTCATTGCTAGTGAGGAGCTAGAACTCCTCTAGCTATTTCTTGAGAAAGTCAAGCTTGGGATCGGAGGGTTTGAGCCCCATAGAAGTGTGGTTGTGCTCTGATACCAATTGATGATGACCCTTTTGATTGAGGTGTCAAAACATAAACTACTTTAATAAATAAACATGTCTCATACAAAACTTCGGGCGCCCAAGCTCTAGATAACTCCTACTGAAAGGCTATGAACGGTTGAGAGACTGGTGAGAGAGAGAGAGTCGACGAGGGACACGGGGATATATAGAGAGAGAATACAAATAGCTAAGACCTCTCAGGTCTTAGGAGCACCGATTCGAGATGGCGAATCTCCACTCCGCACGAAGTCTTCACAAGGTTCTTTCAACGTCCCCTTTCCGTGGCTACTTGGCCCCTCTTTATAACTGGTCTTTTGGCATTGGTGACCACCTCCTATTTCACTCTGAATCAAGTATGATGGGACTTGAGTGCCGTGCTCCATCTTTGTTGGGTCTACCACAGTTCTCCATCAAATTTCATTGACTGCACATGTCTCCTATCCTATAGGCTCCCACATGCGGTTGTCCCTTTCAGTGTTTAGATCTTGTCTGCTTGGCTTCATTCCTAGGCTCGGCCAGCTTCTTCGAGACCTCTTTTCCTATGAGCCAATTTAGGTTGTCACGGTCTCAACAAAAACACTAAAATGATGAATGCAGTGGAAGATTTGTTTAAACCTATTTATTCCGTTGTTTCGCATATATCATGAATTTTAGAATGATACCTAGGTGATCTCGTGACTCTATCTTGGTAAAACTATAGATTTATTAATGAAATGAAATCATTGCAAGATGCCATTTTCTTAATACCACAGTGGATTAACACAGAGGTTAGGTCGCAAGGTATCGATATGGTAGGGTTCATGTGCATGCCTTAGACATTATAGCGAAGAAATACTTTGATGAGTCGCTGACAGGTTCATGTGGAAATGGCATTTCGAGTGTTTATCCTCAAAAACCATCATTTTGCTGATGAAATGTGAAAGGTGTTGTTGAAGACAAGCATCCTCGTCCTAGAGCGCAGTGAGCGAGAGAGAGAGAGAGAGAGAGAGAGAGAGAGAGAGAGAGAGAGAAGGAAGGAAACAAGAAGTACCAACCACAAGAGACAAAACCTCTTCTTAAGTTACTCTCTCTCTCTCTCCTCCTGTTTGACTAGTGTCATGTTCTTCCAATGGTCTCTCCCTCTCTCTCTTACGCTAACATCACTTCCTCTTAGCTGACATGTGGGACGATGGGATTCGATACCATTCTCTGACATATACGATAAGATAATATCGTTTGGTGAGGTGGTCATATCTTCGACGCATTGCGCTAAAGTGATCTCATACATGAGAAACGCTCTCCCGCTGCATTCTTGGTTTCTAACTGACGTGACTCAGTCGTTGTATATTAAATCACGCAAATATAAAATTTATAAAACTAGAAAATATGAATTTTCAGATATTTAGAAGTATTTCTGAATAAATATATCAATTATAATTCAATAAAACTTCCAAAAATAGAGATAATTTTCTAGGTCGATCACAGGGATGTAATATCATATCTGGTAATTATTCAGATTTTTTCTCAATGAATACTATTTTCTATGAATTTTATACTAGGAAATGAAAAGAAAATATATTTAAAATTCACAAAAAAGAAGGAAATAAGGGTGCGGACGTCATGATGACGTCAGCGCCCGGCGAACGCGAATCGGGCTGAAACAGAGTTTCGCCTAGCGATTCTTACGAAAGCGATTACAGACGATTTAGTTAATCAAATTAAGATTTGTAAAAGCCGGAAGAATCATAATAGAACAAAGTATATTTTGGTAAATTAAAATCACAAAAACTATCACTAAATGAAGCGTAAAGTAAGTTTGAAAGCAGGAAAATAGAGTTCCGGCGTCGCGACGGCGTCGGCAATGCACTGGAATCCTAAGCGTTCGAGAGGATCGTCGTGCAGTGTCCACGGCCTTGAAGGCTCTCCTTGGACAAAGACAACGTGGGCAATCTCTAGATCTCCTTTCGAAGTCTAGAGATCAATGGAATGGGTCGTCGACTCGTCTCCGGTGGCTGTCACCTAGCGGAGCGGAAAAATAGCGATTTTACGGCTCTCCGGCGGCTGTCACCCGACGGAGAGGAGTTGGATGGAGGTGGGGCACGTGTCAGGGAGCTTCATCCTTAGGTCCGCGCAGCAAGATGAGGCTCTTCATCGCATCTGGTACGCTCTCAGGAGGTGGCGACTCGTCTCCCGGCGGATCGTCCTCTTCCTGACGACGGCTTGTTCGTCGATCAATCGGAGATGATTTACTCAATAGATTCGTGATCTTTTTATCGCGAATCGTTCAGCAATTTTAGTAGCAATGCTCCGCGAATCGCGTTGACGAGATTTTCGCCAATGATCCAGTGATTCTGGTTGCTTAATCCTTCACCGGCGATCTGCAGAAAAGTTACAATAATCAGATAAAAATATATGAATTTTGACTCTAGGAGGATTCGAACCCGCGCTAGTTGTCTGCCCCTTCTGAGGAAGGTGTGACGCGGGTTTAGTCCCACATCGGTTGTGTGCCGATTTTTCAGGCGAATATATAGTAATGTTAGCTTTCTAAGCAAAGTACTTTCTCTCACTTGTACGACCACTCCTTGCCCCACAGCCGGCTGGCCACCGGTGACGTGGAAGGGGAGTGGCGCACATGTGTCCCTATCGGTCCAAGCCGCTCGAGCCCCTGCTCACGGCTACTCCCCGACTGCATTTCCGACCTGCTTGCGGGCCTGACTGGCCGGCGGGTCCCCCCTATTTTATAATATTTTAGTTTTATTTCTTTTTCTTTATTTATCTCAAAAGTAAGACTGTAAAAATCATATAAATTCGTATAAAATCACATAATTACCCAAAAAATCACATTAATCAACTGAAAACTACTTTTCACACTTTAACACAAATATAAGTCTATTTATCACGAGTTAAGGCTAAAACTATATTATTTACTAATTATTAACTCATGATAATGAAGACTTATCACTAACCTATATATGGTTGTGATCGCTAGTATCGCTGGATAACCCCCAAGGTGTCCTTATGGCCTGCCTGTTTCACCCAAATCTCATGGGCCTCCCAAATTGGCGAAGAAATATGCACCGTCTGACAGTGAGTGACAAATGTGCTACTATTAGTGATTTTCTAACTATTCACCAAGTTCGTCGGTCCCCCCCCCCCCGGGTCCATGTGAAGCATGGTGGGTAGGGCGTCCATTCAACTTGAATTCATAATGCAAACGGCGATGGGGTCTTGACTCGGCCGCCGGAACGGACAGGTAAAGCTCTAAGTCTTCTCTGCGACCGCACCCTGGTATCCCCTCCCTTCCTCTTCCTCCTCCTCCGACCATGATTGCCCGTGCCTTCTACATCCCCAAGGACGGCAAGGATGGCGAGGACGCCAACTTCGTTGCCAACGGATGGGGGGTAATCGGGGTCGCCGATGGGGTCGGCATGTGGAAAGAGAGGGGATCGACGCCGGGATTTTCGCCCGGCAGCTCATGAAGCATTCCGCGGCACTGGTGAAGAGATGGCCCTGCGGTCTCTCCAACCCCGTGGAGATCCTCGAGGAGGCCTTGTCCAAGACCACCGCCAAGGGGACTTCCACCGCGTGCGTCCTCTCCCTCAAAGGGAAGGTAATGAGACCTACCTGCCCACACAAATCATGCGGCTTCCGACCGACCCACCCCTTTCATATCTGCGGCTGACCTCCCGATGCTCAGTGGCTACATGCGGCCGTCCTCGGAGACAGCGGCTTCGCCGTCGTCAGAAACAAGGTGATCTACCGGTCCCCTGACCAGCAGTCCGAATTCAACGCGCCCTACCAACTGGGGAAGGCCAGCCCTACTTCTTGCTCGACCCTCGATGCGCTGGTCTGATTCTTCAAATCGTATCGTACAAGTATTCGTGAACATGTTGAGAATATCTCCCTCCGATGGGATGAGGGATAAGGATTTTGCTGATTTTGGGTGGGTGGTCGACTGTAAATTGCAGAGGATCACAGTAGCGGTGAAGACAGGGGACCTGGTGGTTCTCGGCACTGACGGGCTCTTCGACAACATGTACAACAAGGAGCTGGAGGGGGTGATCGCCAGCAGCCTGAGGGACGGCCAGGATAGCCCAGAAGGCCTGGCCCGCAACATCGCTGAGGAGGCCCATAAGCTCTCCCTGGAGGCAGGACGCGAGTCTCCCTTCTACCTGAAGTGCGTGGAGGAACACGGAAAGGAAAAGTGCCCCCCTGGGGGTAAGCGAGATGACATAACGGTGATCGTGGCACGTGTTACCTGCACTTGTGGTTGATACGCCGGCTCCGGCTCCGGCCCCGATCAGCCCCTCGCACGTGGGCCTGGATGAACCTGGATGGATATGCGTAATGATAACCTATCAAGGATGTAATCAGGCCTAAAGTTCGAGTCCTGAAATCAAATTGGAAAGTATGATGTTTTTTAAATCTTAGAATAATGGGATACTCGGGTGTGGAACGAGGACATCCCCCCCTTATCTAGACTGGAGGGATGTGTGGTAGCTGCGGCAGCAGTAGCCTGACTATGCAGAGAACCAGGAGCTCGTAGACCGACGCCCATCTTTACCCCCCTCTCGACTCCTGTCTCTCTCTCTCTCTCTATCTGTCTTCCCCTCTTTCTCTCGGGAGAGGGACAGAAGTGAGACCATGGCCGCCTCCATGGTGAGGCTCCATATCCGCGGCGGTGGCCTCCCGGGGAGCAAGATGGGCGGCGCCGCCCGCTTCTTCCCCAGCCCGGTAACTAAACCCGCGTTCACTCATGTGCATTATCTCATATGATCTCGCCCAGTTCTTCACTGCGAATCCGCCGCCCTCAGCCGCCGCATATTCGGAGGCTCCCGATTGGGGGCTCTCCGAAGTGGAACACCGGGCTGTCTTCGGAGGAGAGAATGCCGAGGCCGAAGGCGACGCCGGAGTTGCACGCGATCTCCGACTGGCCAATCATGGCGGTGATGGTGGAGCACATCGCTGGGCAGAGAGACTACCTGGTCCACAAGTCCGTCTGGCACATGAGCGACTCCACTCTCAAATACATATGTGAGTCCGTCTGATTAAAATTCAGTGTCGAATCGGATTTGCTACACGCTCATTTTATTCGACTTTCTCAGCTAATCGGCGACGATTCAATTATTTCATTCGATCTCTCTCGGCTGCGAATGAATGCATATTCTTCGAAGAACGAGCTCGCGCCATCATCACGATCTTCACTCAGCTCATCACAATTCACGAGTGATTATCCTGACAAGAATAATTGTTGCATGCGATCCGGACTTCCATTTGATTTACCGCAACCGATTGAGCGATTATCCTCGCAAGAACAAACCCATGTCTTCGAATCATACGGAGTAGAATAAACTCGAATTACGCAGCATTTGTTGACCTCATGATTCCCAGATGCCATGTACATGATGTTCACCTGCTGGGGTTGCTGTTTCTTCGGCTCAACCAAAGTAAGCTTCAGCCACCACCCTGGCAATCTCATCACTCGTTCCAGCCACTGTAAGGGGGGTGAGTGACCTTACTCCCCTATTCTCGGAGCAGGACCCATTCTACGACGGGGAGCAGTACCGCAAGGACGGGGGAGACGGAACAGTGCACTGGGTCTACGAAAAGGTGAGGCCTTTTTTGGCGGCTGAACCTGGGCATCATCTTGTGGTGTTGAGGCTATCGTTGAAGTGCTTTCTTCTTACAAAGTCAGCGGGCCCTTGACTTCATCGTGGTTGAGTTGCACGCCCATTCGATTCAACCTCTCTCGCGTTCTCTCAATTGCGGCTGACCAGTCGATGAAATTTCCGGTCGCAGCAAGAGGACATTGAGGAGTCTGCGAGGGCAGAGCTGTGGAGAGAGGAGCTGATCGAGGAGATCGAGCTCAAGGTCGGCGGCCTGAGAGAGCTTGAAGAGGCCGGCAGGGAAGAAGAGCTCGTCAAGTGAGCAATCGACTGGACAAAGTCGGCTGAAGCTGGCTGAAGCATCATCATGTGCCCCCGTGGTATATACATATAGACTCTCTCGCCGGGCTTGATCAGCGTATCAATGTCGATCTTTCTTGCTTACCTCTCTGTAATCTTAGACCAAATCACATTATTAAGAAATAATGGGCTTCAAAGGAACACCAGTATGAGGAATAACAACTCCAGATTTCCGGGGGAAACCGTGAAATTCTAGATTTTTTGTGATCGGAACTCGGAATTGGGAGAATACTTTTTTTTTTTGGTGGGTTCTTATATGATTTATTGCTTAAAGAATACGGCGATAATGGCTCATAAATGGTTGGAGGCTCGAGGATGCTTCTCGTGGGGTGTTTGGGCGATAACGAGACGTTGCGCAAAAGAAATTCGTTGGGCGATTCGTAGAATGTTTATCGGGATATTCACGCGATCTCCGAAAAATGCGATCTTTCGTTGCCCGAGATAAACCTCCCCTCGTTTCTCTCAGTCCCTCTCCCTAACCGACGGCAAAAATAGCAAGTTCCAGGCAAGGAAGACCTTCATGCAACGGAAGGCAGGTCAGAGCAGCGGGGGAGGGAGGCGGAGGGGAAGGAAGATCCCTCCGGTGGGGGAGCTCCCTGTCAAAGGGAGAAGAGGAGATAGAGGGTAGAGGGAGGGGAAGAGGCAACCTGCCGGTGTCTTCTCAGGCGGCGCCGCCCGGCAGCGACAGGACGACCCGCTCGTCGCCCGCAAGGGCTCCGACGTGATAACACTACCCTCCTCGTTCCATCGTCCTCTTCTTCCCTCTCCACAGGAACCGCTCCTCTGTCCTCCCCAGACCTCCCTCTTCCGTCGGCGTCACTCTTCCTTCTGCTCCTCCCTCCAATCCCTTGCAGACTCGTTGGCCCAGGGAGATCATCAGCCTTTCCTTCGGGGTCCCCTCCCATGGCTATCAGCCTGAGAGAGATCGCTTGCGTCTCCTGCTCCGGGGCAGGGGGATTGGACAAGAAGAGGGCGCTGGCCGGGAGGCCGCCGTCCACCTTGGATTTCTTCTCCTCGTCGGGCGACATGAACGGCAAGCTGGTGGCTCTGCGGGAGCCTGGGAGTTTCTCCGTCCGCGTACTCTTTTTAGACTCTCGCTCCCCTACCCACCATCTCCATGCGCGGATTCGCGTCTACTTCCTCCAGTTCGCCGACGAGATAACGTTTCCCTTCTGGTTCCGGGTTAGGCGCAGGCCGGCTCCACCGGGGTGCCCCGGACGATGAGGTGGTGGGAGAAGGGCGCCGCGCCGAACATGATGGAGATCGGCTCGGCGCGGGAGCTCGCAGAGTCTCTACTCGCCGCCGGCGACAAGCTCGTCGTCGTCGACTTCTACTCTCCCGGCTGCGGAGGTTGCAGATCACTCCACCCCAAGGTGGATTAACCAGTCGCCGGGAGATTCTATCTAAGCTCCGCCGCAAAATGCCTTCTTCCACCGTGCTCCGCTCAGATCTCTCGTCTCCCCCTCCCTCCCCTCATCTCCAGATCTGCCAGATCGCAGAGGCGAACCGCGACGTGGTCTTCCTCAAGGTGAACTACGAGGAGCACAAATCCATGTGCCAAAGTCTCCAGGTCCACGTCCTCCCCTTCTTCCGGTTCTACAGAGGAGCAGACGGCCGCGTCTGCAGCTTCAGCTGCACCAACGCCACCGTAAGGCAACCAGATCTCTCCACTCCGTTGACGAACGAACAGCCGAAGCTTACCTCACTTGCTGTCCCCTGCACCGCCGCTCAGATCAACAAGTTCAGAGACGCCCTGGCGAAGCACGGCGCGGAGAGGGACGGCGGCGCAGCCATTCCGGGCCCGGCGAAGGGGCTCGAGGAGTCGGAGCTGCTGAAACTGGCTTCCAACCGGGACCTTCTCTTCGGCCCTCCGCCGGGCGGCTCCTCCGGCAGTTTGCCCGGTGCAACAGAGATCGGGGAGGGGTACGGCGCGTTGACCAGCCTGTGAGAGGGATGACCTGCAAGAAAGGACATCTCCTCCGACTTTCCCTGTACACATACACAATATAAATATATATATAAGTTTCTGATTATTGGTGGATTTTTTGAGGCCAAAAAATAAATTTGTAATACGGCTAATAATTTCAGGACGAGCCGACTTCATTGGGATTATTTGGTCTTAACTCCACAGAAGAAACAAAATTATTAAGTCCGAATACTATCTCATCAGGAACCACGTTAATGCAGAGTCTATATTCATAATAAATAAAGGTAGTGGGTGTTTTAGTCCATTTCCGAATTTATGTGCCCAGTATTATTAATTATACCGAGGCAATAGACCTAGCCGTAAAATAATGGTGTCAGGTTAATGGGTTTCCCAAAAGGTGGGCCCCACGGAAAATCGGTGAGAACCACCCGGGCCCATCAACGGGGTCCAAATCTAGGTTCTTCTTGTTCCTTACGGAATCGGGCCATCGGCACCGTCCATCATGTCACGGGATCCACCAAATGGACGGTTGAAACGGCCTCCCCTGCCACCCCCACCAAGCCGGGTTCTGTTTATAAAAAAAAGGATTATTCTCCCTCCTCTCTCTAGAAAGAGCGGATTGTTCGACCTCCTTCTAACCCTAGCGTCCCCTCTCGCTTCCCGACCTTCTCGTCTTCACCCTCCGTCGTCCGACTCCCTTAGGGCTACTGGTTCGGTGGGATCCCGCGAAACCCTAACCCTTGGGGCACGCGTTGGAGTGGAAAGAAGAAAGGAAAACGAGATGTCGTCGTCGTCGGGGCAGACCACGCAGTTTCGGTACACACAAACTCCGTCGAAAGTTCTGCATCTGCGGAACCTTCCATGGGAGTGCACCGAGGAGGAGCTCGTCGAGCTCTGCAAGCCCTTCGGCAGGATCGTCAACACCAAGTGTAATGTTGGCGCCAATCGCAACCAGGCCTTCGTCGAGTTTGTAAGTGAAAATCGTTTCCTCCCTCTTCATTTTTTTCCGAATGTTTGTGTCTTTCGTTGTATTGGGCAGATAAATTGTGTCAATTTTACAATTCACGTCTGTTTCTCGTGGTTCCAATAAGTCACCGTCCCGTTTCTTACCTGACGCGTCGCTTCTTGATGATTGCCTTAGAGTTTATATATCAATCCCTGTTGCGGTGAGTTAACGATGTGTAATCTCACCCTTTTTGCACCTGGGTGCTCTAAATTCTTATAGATCAAGAGAACATGGCCGTCCCTGTCGTATTATGATTTGTTGTCGGCAAATCTTGTTTCTTCCTATTTGATAGTTGTATTGGCAAACCGATGGTTATCCTTGGCTTTAAGTAAAACTGGCGAATTCGTGACGTGGTCTTGGATAAACTAAAATTTTCATATAACGGTAAATGGCCAAGGATGGTCAGAAGTAATTTATGTGAAAAGGGTGCTGGATAGTCATTTTTTACTCGTGGTGAATGATTGGATAAAGGAAAAGGATAACCATAATTTTTCTGTGTTATGAGCAGATATCTCTGTGCATTTTCTTGTATTATTATTTTTTCTTTATTAATTATTAACATACCAGTCGAAGTAGATATCTTTGGCTGGTTGTTGTTTGTATCTTATTTTATAACATTTCCATTTAGTCCTCGCCTGATGCATATTAAGCCTTAGTTTAAATTATTTCACGGTGATAGGCTCCATATGACTCTGTGTGATAACGTCATATGCAATGAAGCGTATGTCCACTTGAGTGCCTTCACATGTACACCTATTTCAAACTGGAAGATAATTTGTTTTGTTGCTTTCCAGGCGGACCTTAATCAGGCTATTTCAATGGTTTCTTTTTATGCCTCTTCGTCAGAACCTGCTCAAGTTCGTGGAAAAACAGTTTATATTCAATACTCAAACCGGCAAGAAATTACAAACAATAAGAGTTCTGGTGATGTTGCCGGGAATGTTCTGTTGGTGACCATTGAGGGCGTCGAGGCGGGAGATGTAAGCATTGATGTAATTCACTTGGTAAGCCCTGCACAGGAATCTGTTGTGCTTTTCCATTTTCCATGTTGATATGCTATTGTCCTCTTTTTCATTAGTTTCATGGTAGGTGGGTATAAATCTGTTTACTTGATGAGTGTGATAATTTTTAGATATTTATCGTCGCTGCTGAATACTTTGAGCACTAGTTGACATGATCTGCATGTATGAGCAGGTCCTTGTAAACTGGGAGATTTACAAATTGTCAGCCCACTACGTTAGAAGAAATATCACGTGTGTCTTATTCCTCTCCTCCTTGTTCCATTCTAAGCCTTGAAGAATCCAATATTTTTCTAACTGTTCTTAATGAACCATGCACAATCTAAATTGTAGGACGAGGTCGACAGGTGAAGAGGATATTCTTCAAGGTTGAACTTCTAATCCTTAGGTGTCATAAACGGAATTTACAAGTTTACGTATGCCAACTGTGCAAGTTAACTCTGGGATTTCTTTCGGACCAACTCTTTTACTGTGTCTTGGATCTTGGATGTTGTTCTCTACTTTCCAAGAAGATTGGTGTTGATCTTTTTGCTCGAAAAAAATTATGAATTCTTTGGTTGACCATTTCTTGGAATATCTAGGTTGAACTCTAGATTCTGCAATTCATCTAAACTTTACTGGGCATTTATTTTCATTTTCTTGCTCATAATATTTCTTTTATTGGAGACAGTGGATACTTATGACCTCATGTTTGATACTCGTATTTAAGTCTATTTCGTGATGTATGATGGACTTGGAGTTTTAATGAATGTCATGCACATATCTACAGGTGCACTTCTGCACTTATACATTGTGTTTACTTTGTCCAGTTCTTTTTTGTGGATTATGCATATATCGAGGTCTGTTGCTTTTTGTTTGGATTTATCTGAAATAAATGTCATCCAGGTGTTCTCTGCCTTTGGATTTGTGCACAAAATTGCTACATTTGAGAAAGCTGCTGGGTTTCAGGTATATTTCAGTAACTTTATTGTGATATATATTTACATTCATCATTACAAATTTCATAGTTCATTTTGATTGTTTCTTCTAGTCCAAAAATGACTTGCAAACTTGTGATCAAATCTAGGCACTTATCCAATTTAGTGATGCGGAGACTGCATCAGCAGCAAGAAATGCCCTGGATGGAAGAAGCATTCCAAGGTGTGCATTTTTTTTGTATGCTCTCTGAAGTAACTTTAGCGGCGTATATCTGGCGTTCAAAAGAATTTTTTGATTTCTTTTTCTCAGGTATCTGCTTCCAGAGCATGTCGGGTCCTGCCACTTACGCATTTCTTTTTCAGCGCATACTGATTTAAACATAAAGTTTCAATCACATCGGAGCAGGTAATTATTTGTGACTGTATTAATCTTATGATTACGTTTGACACCTATTTAAAGCTTTATCCTGCGTTGCAAGTTTTATTTGTTGAGTGCATGTCTTCCAATTCTATAGGGTGAAGAGCTGCTAATTTACTTCTCTGCTCTGTTATCTAGGGCGTAGTGAAGCCACATGCCAAGATTGCAGATGTGTTTTTCTGCCTTTGTAATTGTAATTTTCTTCATCTCATATTTGATGATTTAATATCTATTCTGGTGCCCCAGTCCCAACATTATGCGCACATTTATTTTTTCTGCTCATTGTTGTCTGTTTGAATCATCTAGGCTTAGATGCATGAAAGAATTATGATGACATGAATGACATTTTTATTGGTCTTTTTTTTTTCTCTAACAGAATGGTGCCCTCTGTAAGTTTGAGTCTTAGGGAAAGTTTTCTTATCACTGGTCGTGTCCTTTCTGATTAGTGCATAATTTTGCGTTAGTCTGAGGTATTTTCCCCACGGTTTCTTTACGACGTTTCAGGAAATCTATTGGGCGTGATTTAACTTGGGTTATTATGGTTTTGTCCTTTCAGGTTTCTATAGGTTTACATAGATCATAATTTTAATAGCCGGGCACTTCACCCCGTGCAAGCGATGATTTTTCAAAATATTTAATTATATTGTCTCTATTTTCCTTGCTGGATTCGTTCTTGAATTGGCCATAATTTTCGTGTGTTATTTTTTCCCTTTCTTTTGGGTTGCACGGGGGAAGGGGGGGGCATCCGTTATGTTCTTTCTGGTGGACTTTCAAGAACCATGGATAGAAAGTTTCATTTTTCTGTGTCGTTGTCGTGGAAAACAAGCTTTTTGGATACACACGACCTTTTGTTGATTACATTCCTACATCTTTGCTTGCGACAGGGATTACACCAACCCATACCTTCCTGTGAATGCTTCTGCCATCGAAGGAACTGTGCAGGTGAGTCCGTAACATCGAAGGAACAGTGCAGCTTTGAGGGCTTTTTCATGCATTAACTTATCTCTAAATTATATCCTTACAGCCAGTCCTTGGTCCTGATGGGAAGAAGAAAGAGCCCGAGAGCAATGTTCTCCTGGCATCAATAGAGAACATGCAATATGCTGTGACAGTTGATGTCCTCCACGCGGTAAGCAGGGCTGTTCTTCTCCCCTTTCCTTCTTTTTCCGGGCCCTTTTAAAAAGATGCCACATATTGAATTTGAGCTGCTTCCCACCCAGGTGTTCTCCGCCTTTGGTGCTGTACAAAAGATCGCAATCTTTGAGAAGAACGGCGGTACTCAGGCTTTAATCCAGTATCCTGGTAAAGAACAACATGCCCTCTTATGTTATTATCTCTTGCTCTGAACTCTAAGATGTTACTTTCTTTTTTCTTGTTTTCTCATTGAATGGAATATATATCTATGTATATATTTGGGTGATCCTCCTTTTGAAATTGTCTGATCGATGGATAAATCTCAAAGTGTTTCTTCCTCTTCATCCTTGTAGATATCACGACCGCTGCTCTGGCAAAAGAAGCTTTAGAGGGGCACTGCATCTATGATGGTGGCTATTGTAAGCTTCATCTGTCATACTCTCGTCATACTGATCTCAATGTAAAGGTACAAATATGAGTTTTTTGAGTTACATATCACACGAGACCAAAATGGAAAAAAAATAAATTGGTTTAGATCTTTTTTTGGTAAAGTCTGTGTTTTCTCCCGATATTGTTAAAATTGATACTCGCGAATCATTCCAGGATTGTGAGCGTGCGTTATTGTGATGCAGGCGCACAATGAAAGAGGCCGCGACTACACGATCCCGGAGACGGGCATACTGCCGCTTCAGCAAGGCCCTGGAGGGGCCGCCCACGCTGCGCCCGGGTGGCAGTCCCCGTCCTCCGCCACCGCGTACCCAGGGGCGCCGCCGGCTGACCGGCAGATGCCGCCGTGGGATATGAGCGGCATGCACCCGGCGGCAGGCAGGCCGCCCTACGGAATGGCCCCGAGCTCCGGTGGGTTCCCTTCCCAAGGGTACCCTCCGCCGCCGCCGCCGCCGGCCAGCGCAGGGATTCCAACCCAGCAATACCAGTACCCCCCCGGCGGCCCTCGCCCCGCTTCATCGGCGGATCACCCACAAGGAGTATCTCAACAGTTGCCGCCGCCGCCGCCGCCGCCGCCCTACGGCCGGCCCACCGCCCAGGTCGTCAGTCAGCCTCCCGTGTACTACTAAGTGTAATTGTCGGCTTCGCACCTTCTTTTCTTCAGTCATCTCCTCCTCTTGCTGCTTGACGTTCCTCCGTGGAACCGGGGGGGGGGGGGCGGAATTGTTGTGAGAAAGCACATGATTATTCCCCTCTCTCTCTCTCTCTCTATTGCTCCCTTTTGATGTCGTACGAAGTAGCACCCGTTTCATCTCTCTCTCTCTCTGTGAAAGAATGGTTCTGAAGGAGGCTAAAGAAGGGGTGTCGGTCCAATCGGGAGGAGGAGCTGCGGCCCGTCGTCGGAAGCCGCTCCGGCGGGCCGGCCAACCAGGGCGGCGGACGCGGTCATTACAACCAGGGTGGCTTTCTGCAAAGGCACCCGCTGCCCCTACCACGCGGCGGAGAGGTGGGTGCGGTGGGTGGGCGCCCACCACCCGGGCACTCTTGTCCGGCCCGCCGCCGGCGCAGAAGACGAAAAGGAAGAAAAAGCAGGCCCCCGAGGGAGGGAGCCCCTCTACCTCAGCAGTGGGCACGCTTCTCTCCTCTCCTGTCTCTCCACCTCTCCTCGTCTGTCTCTCGTCTCATTCTCCTTGTCCCCCTCCCCCCAAGTCCCTCGCATTCCACCCGCCACATTCGTTACCATTTCGCACCGCTGACGATCTCCGCCCGCACGCTGGTGCTGACAGTGAGTCCCGCCACCCCCTCTCCTCCCCCCGCTGCCCGTCAACCTGTTTGTGCCTGCCTCTCTCGGGGCTCGACAGTCTGGTTGGTTCGTCTACTGTCGCCGGTGATCCTCTTGTGCTGATGGGCTCCCGTCTTTCGGCTTCCGGGCCCGCTGATTTGTCGTTTCGCCCTCTTGCAGAAGCAGAAACCATCCTCTCCTCCGCGTTACGTTCGGCCTTGGAGACGGTCCTTCGCTTTCGGGTAGGGTTCCTCTTCCATGTCTCCATCCTGTCGCTTCTGTCTTACCGATCAGAGAGAGCTCGGAATAACCAACGCCTGGTTTATCAATTTTTCGAATGAATGATATAAAATGCCGATCCCGTCGATTTAGGGCTCCACCTTCTCTTCTTGCGTCGCCATGCCCGGTGCCCCCTCTCGGGAGCTGTCCGTGCGAAGACTTCCATGCTCTTTTCCACCTATCCATCGATACTGTGATTTCGCTTGAACGCTCTGACGCATCTTCTTCTCTTGCTCGGCGTCGTTGCCCATTTGAGCAGCAGATCTCTACGAGAGCTGCCACGCTTGGATCTCTGTCTTGAAGGAGCTGAATGTAGCTAGGCCCGGAGCTCTGCCGGCCCAGGCGCTGGATCGTTACCGGGCGGACCCTCCATTCCTGCTTTGGCGCGTGTCTGCTGAGGACATCTAAGACGGGGTCTCTTTGCTGCGTGGCCGCGAGGCCGCATGGCTCCAGCATCGGCAGCAGAGAGTGGTCCATGGGCCGCAACGAGCCCTTCTGGCGATCTAATACGAGCTTCTCCCCCCCTTCGTCGGGCACATGGGAACAGAGATTCCCGGCCGAGGGTCTGTCCAACGAGTCTCGCGGCGGCGGCGGGATCGCGCTGTCGTCCCTATCTTCCACCAGCAAGGGGAGCAGGAGCTGGCGCAGAGGCGATCAGCTGCCCCCCCACAACTACTCTTCTTCTGATGGCGCCATGTCGTATCTCAGCAGTCCTTCTGATAACTTTCTGGCGCAGCAGGTGGTGCCCTCTCTGGTCAGAGGCCTCCATGCCAATGAGTACGTTTCCACTGCGATGAGAGGTGAGATTCCCTTCGCACACAAAAGTCCTTATGAGGTTCTAGCTCTTTGTTTAATGCGGTTCCTTAAGCTCTCTTCCCTTTCCTTTTTTTTTTTTTTTCTTCTCTCTGGAGCTGATTAATTTCTGTTTCACGTGGAATAATAATAATAATAATAATAATAATAATAATAATAATAATCAACACCTGCAGTATCTGCGCTTTTAGTTGGTTTTGTGCCTTCGTTGATTCTCCTTCTGAATAATAATAATAATAATAATTATCATTATTGTTATGATTATTAGGGTATGAGATCATTAAAAGCGGTTGTAATGCACTTTGGATGTGCTGCCCAGCTCCAGGTCTTCCATTCTATCTGTCTTTTGGTTTTAAGGCCTTCTTTACCTCTGAACAAATTCATTCAAGGTAGGACTTGACCTTGCATCCGGGGTCTGTCTAAGGGAATCGCATGAGAATTGGCCGTCAGTTTCTGTATGGGCGGCGCAATAGCACCACGGGAAGAATGCTCCCTCCCTGATTTCATGGCCTTGATCATAACTAGGACTGCCACATGCATGCCTCATCACTGTACCTCAGGCACATTCTATTCTTCAGTCAGGCTCAGATTGCCCTTCCCCACATCCCTAGAGAAGATTAGAGAAGATTAGAGAAGATTAGAGAAGATTAGAGAAGATTAGAGAAGATTAGAGAAGATTAGAGAAGATTAGAGAAGATTAGAGAAGATGTAGGGACGATCCTTTCACATTTGAAGAATATATATCCTGAAAACAGTGTGATCTGCTTGTGTTGCCCCCCTCCCCCAGGAAGCACCTTGCCGCTTTGAACTGCAATCTGTTTCATCTAAGCTGCTGTGGTCTCATGAGCCCGTTTCTTCGGGGGAAGGCCGGTAAGGTTGCTCTGCTCCCCCACTCCCCTCTCCAGGCGTCCCATATCAATAGAGACAGCCAGATCTGTCCTCGGGGACCTCTAGAAAATGGACTGCCCGTCTCATCGGAGAGAGATGTAGAGTGAGGGGTTGGTTAGGAGATGAAGAGGGCCCCCAAGAAGGAGTGGGTGATGGTGCAGGATAGAGCGGTTGCCTGTTTCTTTAGCAGCCCGGATTCATTGGAACAGCGGGCAGAGGTAAAACCTGATTTCTTTAGTAGGTGGAATAATTAACCTTTAATCTATATATATAGCCTATTGTGGGCCATAGCTTGGTGGGCAAGGTCAGTAAGGTCCATTTACTAAAGGAGATGGGCCGATTATCCTCTAATCAGACGTGTTGTGAGCCAAGGTTCAGTGGCCAATCAGAAAAACCCTTCCTTTTTTATCGGGCCGAACCTGCCAAACTATGCTCAGAGCCCCTGTGCAGCTGGACCCAGTGGCCGAACGTGGAAACCTTCGTCTTTCCAATGGGTTGGCTCCATTGACCATTATTTAGGGCCATCGTTCGGTAAATGCCCGCATTTAGTTGCCCTGTTATGCGATCCAGAGTTCGGAAAGCAAGGATCAAAGCCCATTTCGTAAGTGGACCGAACCAACCTTTGACCTTCTGATGAGCTTTGTTGATAGCGAAGGGCACTTCTTAGACAGGTGGTATAAGCCCACTGACTGGTCTTCAGGCGGGCCTATGACGAGCTGGAAGCTCATTTTGCAAGTGAATTGAATCTGTCAACCTTTATAAGAGTTTATTGTGCATGCACCACAACTCAGTGGTCAACTGTGAAAAAGCCCATTAGCTTATAAAATGAGCCTATTATTTTCCATCAGGCCCTTTTCTTCAATTCCCCCTGATCTACTAAATTGGGTATTTCTCTGATGACTCACCCGTCTATTTTCCACTGGGCAAATCTCTGGTGAACTCTCTACCCTTCGGTGGAGAAACTCGCCATTCATTTTATAAAGAATGAACGTCATGATGTGCGGTTATGTCCCGTGGGATTTCTGCGGCGATGACATCTCTCATGAAGCACCTTGTGGGTTTCTGGTTCTTGCTCTGGAGCACCGTTCTGCTCATCATTTTCTGTTGATGACGGCGATACTCTCTGTCGGCTGAGTTTAGTCTTCTCTTTTCTGATGGCAGGACTGTCTTCTGGGCCTCAGCCATTCCCGCAGCCATCAGAGGTACATCCCGATTGACGCAGTCTCCTGTGGTGTCTGGGTCTTGGGTCTGTCAGATGATGAGCAAATAATATGGGCGGCCCTTTCCTTTGTTCTTTTGCCTGGCCTCAGGGGACCTCACGAGCGGCCATTGGCGCTGGATCCGCTTCCTGTTCGGACGGCAGCGAATACGAGGCCACATGCAAGATCCATCTTTATCCCCAGCGCAACTTCTCTGCTCGTTGCTCTTTTAAGTCCAAGCTGGTCCACCCCGTCTCCTTCCCCGAGCGAGCACCCGAAGGGGAGGAAGCCCCTGGACCCTCTGCCAGCGGAGCTCCGGCTGCCGAGCCCCAGCCGTTCCCCAGGTTCACAGATTCGGCCAACCCGGAAAGAGACGCTCTGCAGTGGAGCAGCGGCAGCAGCATCGACTTCACCGATGTTTCGGACCAGATGGAGCCCGACTCAATGGGGCATTTGCTCGGCAGCAGTAGCGCCCGCGCCAATGATGCTGGTCACAGGTGCGGGCTATGCGAGAGGCTTCTGTCTCAGAGATCACCTTGGAGCTCTAGCCACATCGTCCAGGGCAGAGACATGCCGGTGACCGGCGTCCTGTCATGCCGCCACGCATTCCACGCTGAGTGCCTGGAGAGGACCACTCCGAGGGGCTGTTCACAGGACCCGGCGTGTCCGCTGTGCGACAGAGCTGAGGAGGGCGCCGCCCGGGAGCAGCGGGCGATCGGTAGGGTGAGAATCGGCGGAGTCTCGAGGCTGAGGTCCCTCGGGGAGGAAGGCCCGTCGAGGCCGTGGAGGTGCGTGCAGGCGGGGGACTGCGTCGAAGGGGCTCTGCAGGCGGCCCCAGGGAGCAGAAGCGCCACCCTCTTGCTCACCCGAGGCTCGTTGAAGGGGCCTCGCAAGGAGCTGGCGGAGAAGACGGCTAGAAGCGGAGCGCGCTCTTCTCGTGGTTTCTCCGACAGGAGGCTTGAAGAACAGGGCCCCGGCAGATGCTCCGCAGCTTCTCCGGCGTCGCCACCGTTGAAAAGATGGTGAGCATCCGGCGGCGGGCTGCCGCTGTCGTAGAAAGAGGAGATGAGATTATTTGCGGTCTTTATGGATGCTCTGTTCCGTCTCGCATCCCTCCCCTGCCGCCTGAAGAAGGAAGGGAAGAAAGAAAGAAATGTGTGACGTTTGAGGGAGTAGCCCGCTACTCCCCTCCTCCTCCTCACCACCCCGCGAGGCTTCTCTTCATATGCCGCTGCGGTTTATCAATGCTCCTTTGTCTCTAATTAGTATTATCGGATGATAAATGCTTAGGACGTTTTCGACGGCGCTACCTCGTTTCGATGCCCCTCCCTCCCTGTGACTGGGGAATGAAGCCGAAGTTGGATCCGGGGCATCATCCAGCATCTCCTTATCGATGCCTACTTGTCACCCCCTTCGACCCCCCGCGCCGCCGCCGTCAGAGACGCCGGGGGGGAAGGGGGGAATGGGGCACGACCTTTGGCCGTATTCGTCCATCCATGATCGTCTCACATGCTCTATCTCGACCAATTCCAGACAGAAACGGACCGCCCCAAGTGGAACAAAACAAAGGGCTCAACCATCTCTCTCTCTCATATATATATATATATATTTTATCTGTCTATCTATCTATCTATTTATCTGTGCATGGCCACCCCATGTGAGGGCGGTCGGTGAGATAGCAGAGTCGGACTGGAGGAGAAGGCACCGAGATGTTCCATTAATAATCAGACGTACTTTACGCGCAGATACGAGCCCATGAGCAGCACGTTGTGCTCTGGTCTAATAATCATTTTGAAGATAGATAAGACAAGCGGGTAATCTATCGCTAAACGAGCAGCCCTCCCCACCGCCTCCTTCGGTATAATACGCTGGCCTCCGTATCTCAATTATTTCCTCCCATGTGTCAGCCCGATGACAGAAGCCCTTCTATCTCATCTCTGCCTCTCTCTCTCTCTCTCTCTCTCTCTCTCTCTCTCTCTCTCTCTCCCTATTTAGTCCCCCCCTCTACCCCCCCTTCCCCTGCGCAACCTCCTTCCTCTCCGAGCCTCCTCTCTCTATCTCTCTCTCTATCTCTCTATCTGTCTGTCTGTCTGTCTGTCCACTCGCTACTGCACCACCGCTGGCTCTCGCTGTCAGCGGAAGATGCTCGGGCAGACCTGAGGGGTTACAAGGAGGAGAATGGCCGCCATCGTTGGGCTCTTCCTCGCGGGCCTGCTGTCGTCTCTCTCTGTCCCTTCTGTTAGAGGATATGGAGACGGAGAATGGTCTAGCGCCCATGCTACCTTCTACGGTGGCGGAGACGCCGCCGGCACGATGGGTACATCCCGCTACGATCCCACTCTCTCTATCTCTCTCTCTCTCTCTCTCTCTTTCTAACAATTCTGAGCCATCTTCTTCTCTGCTGCCGCAGGGGGGGCGTGCGGGTACGAGAACCTTTACAATCAGGGCTATGGCCCCTACACGACGGCGCTCAGCACCGCGATGTTCAGCGGCGGGCTGAGCTGTGGAGCCTGCTTCGAGGTCAAGTGCACGGGCGCGCCAGAGTGGTGCCTGCCGGGCTCCACCGTGGTGACGGCCACCAATGTCTGCCCGCCTAACGCGGCTCTCCCCGGCAACGCCGGTGGCTGGTGCAATCCCCCTCTCCGCCACTTCGACCTCTCCCTCCCCGCCTTCCGGCTCATTGCCGTGCCCAGGGCTGGGATCGTCCCCGTCGCTTACAGAAGGTGAGGCCGTCGCTGGAGCAAGCACCCGATGGAAGGACTTTTTATAATCTCACCACGCCGGGGGGCTCCCACATTGCAGGGCACCCTGCAGGAGGAGGGGCGGCATTAGGTTCACCATCAACGGCCACTCCTACTTCAACCTGGTCCTCGTCGCCAACGTCGGTGGCGCCGGCGACGTCCGCGCGGTGTCGGTGAAGGGTGAGAGGACGGGATGGCAGGCCATGGCTCGCAATTGGGGCCAGAACTGGCAGAGCAATGGCTTCCTCGACCGCCAGGCCCTTACCTTCAAGGTCACCACCAGCGACGGCCGCGCCGTTGTCTCCTACGCTGCCGCCCCTGCGGGCTGGTCCTTCGGCCAGACCTTCGTCGGCGCGCAGTTCTCCCTGTGACACCATCTCCACCCCCTCCCCTCCTCCCTTCACCAGTGGCAGAAGGGTGGCCGGTGATCTTCCCCCAAAAGTCCGAAGAGCAGGGTTCTCTCCCACTCTCCCCCTCACCACCCTCTCTCTTTCTCTCGCTGTGTCCTGGGTCAGCTCGCGCTGATGCACGTTAAATGTACAAAACAAAAATAAAGGCGCATCTTATTCTCTTATCAAATGCTCGTCTAGAGACAGGAGGAAGGCGGAGGGAAGCACGCATGGCAATCAACATACATGTCTATAAATAATGTCCGTGTGGTTATCTCCTCCAATTGATTGATTTCCAGGAGAAGAAAAATAGGCACCTTTATCTATTTATAGTCATATAGATGCTGACATCAATTGAAATGAAGAGAGAAAGAGTGCAACACCACGCCCATGGCCGAACACTGCTCCAGTCCGTCCTCGCCGGATGGCTTCAGCAAAGGCGAGATCTCCCCACTAGGAACTAGGAAGCTGCCCGCAAGGAGAAACATAGTCGAGATTTCAAGGATCCACGGACCAATCACAACCAAGGGATATCAATATTGGGCCAGGCGCAAATACTTTCTAAAGCCAGTGGATGAGATAGAAGAAGAGTCCGCAGTTTTAACGCCTGGCCCAGACAACAGTGGCCAAAATGAGAGATTCCGAAGCAAGTCAAAGTCGAGGATGCTCGGAATGACGGAGAGGAATCGGATGATGAAAGTTTTCCACCACCATCAGCAGCACTGAACGCCCTGCTCCATTTTAAAATAGCGAGAGAGAGAGAGGAGAGAGAGAGAGAGAGAGAGAGAGAGAGAGAGAGAGAGAGAGAGAGAGAGAGAGAGAGAGAGAGGAACCTTAGAGATTCTTTACCTGAGAATGTGGCCGGCCATCGAAGCTCTAAAGGCAACACGGCCTGGGTGCAGAAACCCAGCTTTGGATGCTAGGATCGTACCCAGAACCAACTGGTTCAAAGCAGTTGACGTGGTAATCTACACGCCTCTGGGAAGTCGATCCCCACTTCACGCTTGAACCTCTTATCGCCGAGGAACTCCGGGCCGTAGGGATCATGGTTCCCTGCCTAGGATTATACACCCATTTGTGTTTAGTTCGAAGACTGCATTTCTTGGCTCTGCTTGTCTGCCTGCCCCACAACAACCCCAATAACGTTGAAGAGAGGCGCCCGTGGAGCAATCAATGTCTCTGAAATCTGAGATACGGAAAAAAGAATTACTCATTGACGGAAAAGGTATGAAAATACCTGGAATTTTCTTAATATGAGAGTGGAGAATACAACAAAGTTGAAGTCAAATAAAAAGGATCATAAAACTTGTGGTACCAGCTTGTTGAAGTAATTTAGTATGGTTTATTAGGCTTAACTTTTTTAGGAGTTAGTTAGACGGTATTTCTATATTTAGGGTTTGGGTATAAATCCTTATGGACCATGCTATTGAACATGAGCCATATTATTCCATTATCTCTTTTCTTTTTTCTCTCTTCGCCCTATGAAACTGAAGTCATTCTGCAAGCAAAGTATTGAAGCATTGTTGGAAGATTTATCAGTAAAAAGTGTATTGAAGTTGGATCTCTCACTTCATCAAGACTTCTAGGTCTAATCTAGACAAACTTTTCAAGAAAATGGAGGATAAATAAGATTTTAGAGACCTTGTGTAGCATATATCTACCACTAGCTTTTCTCCTTCTTTTGCTATGTAGGGCACATCTATTAAATTAGATGGTACTAATTTTTGCTTGTGAAAAATCTATTTTGAAAGGTTTATTGGTGCTTAGAAGAAAAAGTATATATTTCATCAAGCTAAGCCTCAAGTTAAGAATGAAGATTGGAAATTGATGATGATTTTGCTACATGCTTATTGAATAGTATGCAATAATATATTTTTAGACATGATTTAGCCACAAAAATATGGGATGCAGTACATGAGCTATAATCCTATAAGAATAATATTTCTCATCTTTATAAAGGATTGGAAGATATTCAAACATTTAAAAAGGTCCTATGGATTTAGTTGACTATTATGGAACCCTTAGATGTTTATGAAATGAATATGAAACTTATCAGTCTATCACAGATGATATTATTGAGATGACTAAGTAGAAAGACATTATCCATTCACTGTAGTTTATATCTGCTCCAGGCCCAAAGTATAAAGTAGTAGGGGAACAGATGATGGCTATAGAGGATATCTCAACTTTAGCACACATATATGCACACCTTACATGACTTGATCCTTTTAGTTCTAACTCACAATCATAGTTGTTTGCTAGGATAACAACATGCGGATGAGGTAGAGGGGGAATCCCAAATAGAGGAAGAGGAAGACAGTTTACTAATGATAGTCACATTTGTGACAAGATAAATTATTTTGTGAACATTGTCACATAACAAATCATATTGCAGATTGATGTTAGGCTATGGATGTCCTAGTGGACAGACAATACAACTAATTAGATATCTAGAAAAATATGATACATTTAGTTAGCATAAATAGAAAACAACAGTCAACCCTATTTATTGTTGCATCATTGATTGACTAGATAGTTACTCATTCTTTGTTTAAAAATTGTTGTGATTTAAAAATTATTTAGTTTTTGATGCCTCCTTTCATATCATTGGTAATGCTTCTCAATTTAGAGTCTTACAACCTCTATCAAAACCATTTTATGTGTGTGTTATAGATGATTCATTATCTTTTGAGACTAGTCTTGGTCATGTTCCTTTTCTCCTTTTTTAAACCTTTTAGATGCCATACATGCACACCACTTTATCTTAAATCTTTTGTTAATTAGTCTACTAAAAACATTCCTTAAATGTTGTGTCCTCTACTATGATATCTGCTTTGTGTTACATAATCTTTGAATGATCAACTAGATAGTTACCTGCTTTTGTTGATTAGTCAACTTGTGAAATTCCTTAAACATTTTGTCTTCTACTATGATACCTGATAAGTCTTCATTATCATGAGTTAATAATTAGTAAATAATATATTTTTAGCCTTAACTCGTGATAAATAGACTTATATTTATGTTAAAGTGTGAAAAGTGGTTTTCAGTTGATTAATGTGATTTTTTGGGTAATTATGTGATTTTATATGAATTTATATGATTTTTACAATCTTACTTTTGAGATAAATGAAGAAAAAGAAATAAAACTAAAATATTACAAAATGGGGGGGACCCGTCGGCTGGCCGGTCCCGCAAGCGGGTCGGAAGCTCAATCGGGGAGTAGCCGCGAGCATGGGCTCGAGCGGCTTGGACTGATAGGGGCACGTGTGCGCCACTCCCCTTCCACGTCACTGGTGGTCAGCCGGCTGTGGGGCAAGGAGTGGTCGTACATGCGAGAGAAGGGACTTTGCTTAGAAAGCTAACATTACTATATATTCGCCTGAAAAATCGGCACACAACCAATGTGGGACTAAACCCACGTCACACCTTCCTCAGAAGGGGCGGACAACCGGCGCGGGTTCAAATCCTCCCAAAGTCAAAATTCATATATTTTTATCTGATTATCGTGACTTTCCTGCAGATCGCCGGTGAAGGATTAAGCAACCAGAATCGCTAGATCATCGGCGAAAATCTCGTCAACCCGATTCGCGGAGCATTGCTACTAAAATTGCTGAATGATTCGCGATAAAAGGATCGCGAATCCATCGAGTAAATGATCTCCGATTGATCGACGAACAAGCCGTCGTCGGGAAGAGGACGATCCGCCGGGAGACGAGTCGCCACCTCCTGAGAGCGTACCAGATGCGATGAAGAGCCTCCTCTTACTGCGCGGACCTGAGGATGAAGCTCCCTAACACGCGCCCCACCTCCATCCAGCTCCTCTCCGTCTGGTGACAGCCGCTGGAGAGCCGCAAAGTCGCCGTTTTTCCGCTCCACCGGGTGACAACCGCCGAAGACGACTCGGCAACCCATTTCATTAATTTCTAGACTTCGCGAGAAGATCTAGAGATTGCCCACGTCGTCTTTGCCTAAGGAGAGCCTTCGAGGCCGTGGACACTGCACGACGATCCTCCCGAACGCTCAGGATTCCGGTGCATCGCCGACGCATCGCCGTCGCGACGCCGGAACTCTGTTTTCCTACTTTCAAACTTACTTTACGCTTCATTTAGTGATACTTTTTGTGATTTTAATTTACCAAAATATACTTTGTTCTATTACGATTCTTCCTACTTTTACAGATCTTAATTTGATTAACTAAATCGTTTGTAATCGCTTTCGTAAGAATCGCCGGGCGGAACTCTGTTTCCACCCGATTCGCGTTTGCTGGGTGCTGACATCATCATGACGTCCGCACCCTTATTTTCTTCTTTTTCGTGAATTTTAAATATATTTCCTTTTCATTTCCTAGTATAAAATTCATAGAAAATCGTATTCATTGAGAAAAATTCTGAATAATTACCAGATATTATATTACATCCCTGTGATCGACTTGGAAAATTACCGCTATTTTTGGAAGTTTTATTGAATTATAATTGATATATTTATTCAGAAATACTTCTAAATATCCGAAAATTCATATTTTCTAGTTTTATAAATTTTATATTTACGTGATTTAATATACAACGACTGAGTCGTGTCAATACCTACTTTGTGCTACATGCACACGACTTTCTTTACTAAGGCCTCTATCCACGCACTTGCAGTCACATGCCATTACAACATCTTAATCTTCTTTTCTTCAACTACATCACATGTCGGGTTGTCCTAGTATAATGGTGCTTCAACTATAGTTTTCGAGTCTTCCCTTCTCCGGAATATTAAATTGTGAAGTATGTTAGTATGAAAAATATTATCATTCTTCATTTTAATTTAGACATGTTAGTTGAGAATAATTTATTTTTGTTGTACTTCATGCTGATTTATGGGACCTAGTCAAAGTTCCTAGTCTCTGTGAATTTTGTTATTTCTTTGTGTTAGTTGATTATTGCACTCAAGTAACTTAGTTCTATATGTTTAGATAAAAGAATGAAATTTCTTATATTATTTAAAATTTCTCTAAATAAGTACAAACTCAATTTATATTAACATAAGAGCTTTAGTAGTGATAATGACATTGAGTTTGTTAATAGTACAATGTCTACCTTTTTTCTTTAGGGGTACTCCACCACACTTCATGTGTTCAAACATCCCAATAAAATAGTGACAAAGTGTAAGTTATGACATCTATTAGAAGTCACATGTGCCCTAATGTTTTAGATGTATGTTTCTAGTTCATATTGGTCTGATGATGTTCTTACTATAAGTTATCTCATCAATCATGTCTAATCATCTAGTCTTGTGAGTAAAATTTCTTATTCTACTCTATGTCTAGGCAAAGAGTTATTCCTTTACCTTCCTCATATCTTTGATTACGTTTGTTTTGCTCACCTCTACCACTCTAATAAACTTACTCCTTGTGCTATCAAATGTATCTTTGTGGGTTACTTGAAAACTCATAAGGATACTGATGCTTTGACTTATCCACATGGGGATCATATGGACATTACCTTCTTTAATGATTATCCGTATTTCACAAAATTTAGTTCTTCTAATATTTCTTATACTCCACTTATTTCCTTAATTATGCACTTAGCACCTCACTCTACATATCCAAGACTCAACCAAAACTAAGTTATCCCTGTTGATTCGTCATCACTAGATGATATTGAATGACTTACCATTATTGAATCATCATCTCCTTTACTTATTCTTACCTCATCTAATAAATATCCTTCATAGATCTTTGCCTCATATCTACCTTCTAATTTGGATATTTTTATTCTATTTTTTAAAGTTCATTGTTCTTGTACTCGTTATCAATTGAATAATTTTATGACCATTGATCAATTACCTGAGTCTACAAAATATTTTTTCCTTTCTATTAACAATCATTATTCTATGTGCTCACATTGAGATGTTACAACATCTTTCTTAGAAGGCTGCTATGGTTAAAGAGATGTTCACTTTACTTTCCAAGAAGACTAGAGATCTTGTAGACTTACCTCTTAGTGCTTGATTATGGGGTGTAGATGTGTATCTATTCTTAAGTACATTATTGATGGCTCTAAAAATTGACATAAAGCTCAATTAGTAGCCAAAGGTTATACTTAGACACATGGTATTGATTACTCTGAGACATTTTATATAGTGGCTTGTTAAATTCAATTTGCATCTTATTTTTTATTGTGGTTAATTTTGAATGGTTCATAATTCTTTTCTTTATGAGGATATCAATGAGGAAGTTTATATGGAGCAATCATCAAGGTTTATTACCTTAAATTAGAATGTTTACAAACTTCAAAAGGTTATATATAGGTTGAAAGAAAGTTATTGGGCTTGGTTTGCAGCTGAAGATGGTTTGAAGTAGGTTTTATATAACATTTGATAGAGGGGGAGCCATGGGGCTCTAGGATCTGCTTGTGATAGAGGTCTACCCAAGAGATGGGGAGGGTGAAGCTGAAGATCAAGAGGCTGGAGAACACCAATGGCTGGCATGTCACTTACTTGAAAAGAAGACCAAGGATCCTGGATAAGGCAAATGAGATGTTCATACTATGTGACATTCATCATGCTTCTAATGTTCTCTCACATTGAGAAACCTGCACTCTACATTGGGGAGCACAAGTATAATTTCTCATAGGAAAGGGAAGAGAAAATATCTTAGAAATCAATGATATCTTATCTCAAACTTTTTCATTATTTAAATATTTCTCACCCTCATATAAGATGTTTTTATCACCCTTAATTATGTCTTGATTCCATCCAACATCTTAAAAATTTTAAGACAAGGAGAATGAAAACAAGCTATGAATAAAGACTTGAGAGCATTAAAGAAGAACTACACATGAGAATTAATCAAACTATTACAAGGAAACAATATTGTAAGATGTAAATAGGTTTTTATGATTAAATCTATGTGGAAGCTACATTAGAGAGGTATAAAACTTGTTTGGTGGCTAAAGGTTACACTCAAACTTATAGGATGAATTATTGAAAGATACTTTCCTTGACTATAAAAATGAGTACCATTAAAATCTTACCCTTTTTATTAGTAAATTATGATTGAGAAATTCAAAAATTTGATATAAAAAATGACTTCTTACATGAAGAATTAGAGGAAGAATTTTATAAAAATGTTTTCAAAGGTATAACAAAAAATGGAAAGAGATATGGTATTCAAGTTAAAAAAGATATTATATGGACTTAAGTAATCCCCTAGAGCTTGGTTTAGTCAATTAGGATATAACTCATGTAGTATAGACCACATTATTTATTAAACACTCAACTTCAAGGAGAATTACAATCTTTTTAATATATGTAGATGATGTAATAGTGATTGAGAAAGGTAAGGTTAAATGAACTCCTAAGAAAGAACCTATTAAAAGAATTTGACATTAAGATGCTAGAAAAGTTAAGATATTTTTAAGAATTGAGTAGCATATTCAAAACAAGGTATATTTATATCACAACACACATTTATTAGATATTTTACAAGATACATAAAAATTAGGTTGTAAACCTATGACTACTCCTATTGATCTAAATCATAAACTTAGTAATGTGGAATAGAGTAGTCATGTAGATATGCTTATATATCATAAACTTGTAGGAAAGTTAATCCATCTTTCTCATTTTAGACCCAGCATCTCATGTCTTTAACTAATTCATGCATGACCAAAGAGAAGTTCATCTTTTTGATGTTGAGAAGGTTCTACAATACCTAAAGGAGACTCACATGAGATGCATCTTATGTAAGAAATATGAAAGAATGTACATTGAAGTTTATATTCAATTAATAGTCTACTTTAGACTATTTTAGACTCTATTGCCAATTAATAGTCTACTTTAGACTCCTAAACTCTTTTTATTGGCAATGTCATTACTTGGCATATTAAAAAACAAATGGTGGTGAAATCTAATACTGAGTCTGAGTTTTGAGTTATGGCACAAAGTATTTGTGTACTATGGGTGAAAAGTATTCTAGAAGATTTGAGAATCAATTAGCATAGACCCATCAAATTATACTATGACGAAAAATCAATCATTAGCATAGATCATAATCTAGTATTACATGATTAGACTAAACACATAGAAATAGATTAACATGTTATTAAATAGAAGTTGAAAATAGGCATAATTTGTACACCATATGTTACAACTCATGATTAGTTTTAGATGTGCTTACTAAAGGATTGAATGGGCCAACTTTGGAATGACTTACGTTAAGATTGAATGACATCCACTTACAAACCTCAAGGGGAATTGTTGAAGGTTGCTATGATATTTTCCTTTTATGAATTGTAGTATTACCCTTTCTTTCTTGTATTAGTTAGTTTGAGTTTGGAATAAGTGAACCCATTAAGATAAATTTGACTCAGCTATTAGGTAATGCATATAATAAGGTATCTATTTTTTTCGAAGTAAGTCGGTCATTTTTCACCCCCATTTTTCTCTCTCACCAACCCTCGGATGCTCTCTCCGGAGGCGGAGAGACTTATCGTAGCAATGGAAAGGTCATCAGCGATCGTGAAGATTCAACAGAAAGTGTTAATATTTTTTTTTTGTGGCACTCGAGAATTCCAGGAGGACTCTGGTGCCGAGTTTGCAATGACGGGGGAACTTGTCGCCTGCGCACGTGGAGGAAGGCCTCCTCGAGGTGACGAGCCGGCCCATTTCAAGACTTCTCTTAGACCACTTCCGTGCATAAAAAGTCCTGATAAAAAGGCCGGCCTCCTCGGCCCATTTCAAGGCTTTGCTTAGATCAAGCTCTGTGCAGCAACATGCCGATAAAAAGGCCCTTTGAGAGGGTTAAAGGGAAGCTACTCTGTATCAGAGCCAGGTTTCGATCCTGGGACCTGTGGGTTATGGGCCCACCACGCTTCCGCTGCGCCACTCTGATTTTTATTAATGTTATGGATTCTTTCAATAAATAGTAATATAAACACCTCGCATTCCCCCACCCGTCGTGCCTGATCATATCGGGCCCACAGCGCGAGCTTCAACCAACGGGGTTGCGGCGAAAGATTTCTCGGGTGGGAAGGCGATAAGGAGGGATAAGGGTGGCGAGTTTCTATTGGCCGGGCCAGCCCTCCACCCGCCCCCCAGCCAACGTCCGCCACAAGAGATATCGGCCCCCCTCCCCCATCAACGACCAGGGGTTTGTTTACAAAGGAGCTACCCGCCGCGAGTGAAGCTCCGGAAGACCAGTGAGGAGGAGAGGCCACCGAGACCCCACCCGCCGGAGAGATGGCCACCGTCGCGACTCAGGCGTCCCTCGCCGTCATCCGGCCGTGCTCCCGGTCGCGGTTCCTCAGCGGATCCTCCGGCAAGCTCCCCCGGGATTTCTCCGCACTCTCCAGGACGCCCTCCTCCACCCGGAGCCTCGGCGCCTTCCGCGTCGAGGCGAAGAAGGGCGAGTGGCTCCCCGGCCTGGCCTCCCCCTCCTACCTCAACGGCAGGTGACAGACGCAAGCAAAAAACTTTTCAGTTCACCTCTCACCTCTCGCTGTTCTCTCTCTCTCTCTTTCTGTTCTTCTCGCCGGTCGGCTGATGGAGGCAGGTCTTGCCTGTGGCTGCAGCCTGCCCGGAGACAACGGGTTCGACCCACTGGGACTGGCGGAGGACCCAGAGAACCTCAGGTGGTTCGTGCAGGCGGAGCTGGTGAACGGACGGTGGGCGATGCTGGGGGTGGCGGGCATGCTGCTGCCGGAGGTGTTCACGAAGATCGGCGTGATCAACGTGCCCGAGTGGTACGACGCCGGCAAGCAGGAGTACTTCGCCTCTTCCTCCACGCTCTTCGTCATCGAGTTCATCCTGTTCCACTACGTGGAGATCCGGCGGTGGCAGGACATCAAGAACCCCGGCAGCGTCAACCAGGACCCCATCTTCAAGAGCTACAGCCTCCCCCCCAACGAGGTCGGCTACCCCGGCGGCATCTTCAACCCCCTCAACTTCGCCCCCACCCTCGAGGCCAAGGAGAAGGAGATCGCCAACGGTATGCTCTCTCTCTCTCTCTCTCTCCCTCCCTCCCTCCCTCTCCTTTCAGTTGCTCATCTCCAGCCGGAGAGTGATCTGACTCGTCGTCGTCTCTGCAGGGCGACTGGCTATGCTGGCCTTCCTCGGCTTCGTCATCCAGCACAATATAACCGGCAAGGGCCCCTTCGAGAACCTGCTCCAACACCTCTCCGACCCCTGGCACAACACCATAATCCAGACCCTCAGCAGCTAGGCCAACTCCATCCGGCGACCCACCATGTCTAGAAACCTCATGCGCTTCTCTCTCCTCATATTATCCCCTCCCTCCCTTTCCTCCCTTTCCTCCCTTTCCTCCCTTTCCTCCCTGCCCTCCCTCCCTCCCTCCCTCCCTCCCTCCCCTCTCTCTCTACATGGGCTACACACATCATCATACGATGTGCACACAATTCGCTGCGTGATGTCACGGCGCGGTGCAAGAACAGGAAGGACCAACCGGATGGAGGATGTACAGAGAAGGAAAGAAGGGGGGACTGAGAAGGAGGCGTTGACCCTGGAAATGTTTGTAGCATCCATCGCCTTGTAATATCAATCACTATGTGTTTCCATCCGCGCATCATTCATTCGTACGTTCAGACAACGTCAGACGTGTAATGTACAAGAGAAATACGCCGCCTCGCCGACGAACTTAACAGCCATGGAAGGGAAAGTTACAGAATAACAGAAAACAATAAAAAATCTTTGCTTGCCAATTACTCCCCGGGTGAGAAATCTCCGGCGGATGGGCGATCGCCCACCATGGTCTCCGCCGTCTGAGCGTGTATAATTGTCCTTCACCGTTGCTGATTCCTCCCCCCCTTCATCGGGGTTGACGTGTCGTGAAGGGTGCCGCCGCCGCCGCCATGTATATTCGTATATCATCTGCCGGCCGGCCGCACCCCCACCGCGGCGGAGAATGGCTGCGGTGGAGCTTCTCGGACGCCTCAGCAGAGGGTGTTCTCGTCGTTCGATGGCTTCATCAATGGCGACAAGGTGGAATCAGGAAGCTGGCCACCGGCAAACAACGACCCAAAAATTAGTGATTATTGCCTGTCACTAAAGGAATTTTTTTTTTGCAGGGGTACGCTGAAAGAAATATTTCCGCTCTAGTTTCTTCGGCATTAAATATGAGCACTTGTTTCATATAACTAAGTTCATCAGAGGGTTGGAGAGTGCTTTGGGTGGTAGCCCACCTGAGAGTATGAATGCTCGTCGAACATGGAGAGACAGCAAGAACCAGATGAGGAAGCCCAGTTCTGGATGCTGGTGTCGTACGCCGGAAAGTTACCTTGGTAATCCATGGCACCGTCCTCCGGAAAGTTGTCTCCCCCCTCGGGTTTGAACCTGTCAGGCAGCGGGTGGATCCCGTAAGAGTCAAATGGGTGTTGACCTCCAAGCTGCAGGCTCAGACTCCCATTCTGGGTCAGCTCGATCCCCGGGGCTCCCTGGGATCCCTTGGTCTCCTCTGTCGGTCTGTCTGTGCCAAAGTAACCGGAATAGCATGGGAGAGAAGTGCTGATAGAACAATCCATATCTCTGCAATACCAGAAAACTACATACATAAACGAAGGCGGAAGAATAAAAAAAGAAAAGAAATAAATTTATTGCACCATTCCAAAATTTATCGCACCATTTGCATATCTTGAATGAGGAGTTCTTTTACATAAAATATTGACTGAAGATCCAATGGGTAGGCACCTACAGTTATGAATGATGCCTAAAACCCAATTGATAGATTTAGTCGTACTAGCACCGAGTTATCAACTTTCTGAAAAGAAAGAAGGGATACCCCTCACCTGGGGCCAATCAAGTGTCCCTCTTCTGGTAACAAGATATGATGATAATCGTGGCTTTGGAGCCAGGACAGTGGTTGGGGCTGCAGCTCATCGCCTATCACCAACGGCAAATGCATACTGTTCTGGAACTACAGAATGAAAATTTCAATAAATAAGTAATTGAATAATCATAAGAAGACACCAGAATCCTTGATCACTGATGCATCACTGTCTTTGTCCTTCACCTGGCTGGGGCAGTCAAACGGCATAAGCTGCTGCTTCGCATAGTTATCCTGAGGATGACAGAAATAACTGCGAACGTTAGTGAGCCTCACTAAGGCTGATAACCGCCTACGATAAATTCCTGCTGATTAAATATCGTAGTGAAGAATAGAATGAACGGCAGCCACAAGCATTTTCCGGTCCCACCTGTTGCGAACGAATTCGATTAAGAGATTCCTTGAGAGACTCTTCCACAGCCCTGATATGATCTAGATTGCTCGTCTTTCCTGAATCCTCCCAGTAGCTGAGATGAAATTATAAGATTGTCAATGAACGGCGCATGTTGGCCAAACGAAATGTTTGGACAGTTTCATTCAGCTTTTTAGATACTACCATTTAATTTGCTACTTCATAGCTCCATGGTCATATTATTTTAACTCGCTGATTGCTCTCAACAGAAACACGTGAAGGACAAGTAAGAGGAGAAACACAACGAAAAGGGTCAATGAGTGGCTCTTAACAAAACCCTCTGTACTAGCACATGAAGTTCATCCAATAACCCTTCTATCAAGAACCAATTTTTTTTCACAAAAACTTGGAAGCCAACTCCCTCATTGCAGACCATATCGAAGTAAGGTGCCAAACTTTGATTTTCGAGAACCCTAGGAAGTGAAACCTCATGTCTTAAAGTCAAACACTGTTGGACTTAACACATAAACTGTAGGGGCGATTTGGACAAGGGAAAAGCTCCACCGTGGTTGTAAAAGCCAAAATGACAACCCGCCCCATGAGATAATTGACAACAACGATAGAATTGCTAATTGATGCTGGCTTCATCAGCATGGCTTAGTGGGTTGAAGGTTGACCAAGTATCAGATGGGAGGTGCCTGGAGATAGTAGGGCTGCAAGAAATCTAAAAACAGTACGTCAAAAGGGAAAGGTGCCTACATATCTGCAACACCCTAGATTCTTTGATCATTGTGCAGAAAAAGAGTTCTCAAAATTCGGTGAGAATAAATAACTCTTGTTCAAAGTATGCTCGTAATTTCCTCACAAAATGTCCCGTAAGAAATGAGAAAAACATGAAGCTATGGGTCTGGAAACCAGAGAAAAATGATGCGAACATACCTGTAATTCTATATCACAATATGCAACTTCAGATTAAAAAAATCAACAAAACCAAGTGAACATTTGATGAAATTAAGGAGTCCATTTAGTACAATTAATGAAATAAAAAAGCAAGAGAACATTGACCAATTGTCGGAAGAAAATAAAACAAGAGAATCCATTGGATGCCATAATCTAAACGAGAATTTTATGAGAGAAATATGTCAAACACAGATAGGAAAAAAGGATAATAAATAAATAAAATCAAGCAAGTGTTGTTGGTTCGAAAACCAGGCTAAACACAGAACGCCAGAGAACAGAATTCTTGAATTATAGCTGTCTTTCCCTTGAAAGTTTTTATGAGATCTTGTATTCTTACTCTGGTGACAAAGAATAGGTTGTTACCAAACAATGCTAGATTGCAGTTCGAATTTCACCTTAGTCTCTTTTGCACTTCTGCCAGTTGAGCTTGCAGCAGCCGAGAATGGTTAGTCAAGTCCTGTGTAAGACATCAACCAAATCCCAGCTAGGTGAGGTGGGCAGAGGATGGGGAGAAACTTGAATGATACACCTGGTTGAACCCATTTGTCGATTATCCATACCTCAATGGTCTGGGTGCTGCAAAATGGCAAAAGGAAAACGATGAGAATTGAAATTTCAAACAATATTACTTCAAAATGATAAAGCCTGGTACCTGGAACCGAAAAAGTCTTGTATGTTGACATCATGATCCAACTTCTTGAAGGTCTTTTTCAGGGCCTATATAACCAAAAGAAATAAAATTTCAAATGAATTACACAAAGATTTTTCGTACATTTTGATGAAATAACAAAACTAGCACGCCATTAGAAAACACAAAGGTGAATACAGTGGCATACCTCAAGACTCTCCAACTTCCTGATAAAAATTAAATTATGTGATTATAAAGATTATTTGATGCAAAGAAATAAAGATGGTTATTTTAAGTGACCTTTGTCGTACCTTTTTGCTCTCTCCTGTGGCGTTAGCTGAGCAAACTTTGCAACTACTTCCTCAATGGTGCTACAAGAAAGGGAAGGATCTGAGAGACCGGAGAGGAAGAGCATATATTGTCATAATAAAATAAATACGAGACCTTATTGATGTAAACAATTGACTGTCTTGGTAACACTCGAATGTTAAAGCAAGGAATATTAAATATATGAAAGAAAAAAGATCATTGGGTTTTGTCGACTTTAAATGGCTTGTGTAGACAGTATAGAGCTGCTAACACTGTCTAGCAAATGAGCCCATCATAATCGCTTTTCTATTAAAACTTTCATGTTTGCTAGGATAGACAAGACTTGCGTTCCACTAAGAGACGCCCCTGTCCTGTCTTCTTCATGATGGCTGGAGCTAAGGCCAGCCTACATTGGAGAACTGAGCTACGAAGAAAGAGGAGGATGGAACGGATGGTACCTGCGCTCCCCAAGGCAGAGTGTGGGTTTCCCAGTGGGGGAGAACATGAGAAGCACGATGTCGATGTCACACAGTATGGACAGCTCCTTTGCCTTCTTCAAGATCCCTGCTCTTCTTTTCGAGTAGGTGACCTGCCGGCCACTGGTGTTCTCCAGCCTCTTGATCTTCAGCTTCACCCTCCCCATCTCCCGGACGCAGGCAGATCCCGGTGCCCCGCGGCCCCCTCCGTCAAACGTTATACCGTCTTCCCAATTCCTACGAGAGTATCCCACCACAGCCAGCAACACCCTTCCCCCCGGGCGTCCACGACTCGTCGCCGATACTCCAGCTGAGCGGCTTCCCGAATAGAATCCCAACTTAAACGTAGGTGCAGCGAGATGTGTACACTTCAGAGGATCAGAAGAACGTCGTTTGGAAGGAGAGCACAATGAGATGGTGTTCCCGTCAATCGTCTAGTTTGATAAAGTTAATAGAATTGCCCTGCAATATTTCAAAGTATAAGTCGGTAGCTGAAAAATGTGTGGTACTTTCTCAAAGATGAAGATAAAATCTTGATCCAAGGATAACAATTGTATAAAGTTGAGATGATCAAGGGCCTTCACCCAAATAGTAAAACATATTACGAAGAAAACAGAGTAAACCAAAAGCAAAATCTTCATAGTGCAAAGTCAAGGACGATATATGCGTCATTCAAATAAGACGACGTCTACTTTGCACGTCTGAATTTCTCCACAGGATTTTAGGTTCAACGGAGGATGTGCTTCATCATGTCATGTCTACTTGTCAGAAGCCTAATAATACTCAAGCAGATTACGGCAAATTTTTTTTTATTCCGAATGTTTTATTGTCTCATCGTACCCTAACCCATCTGCCTGCACTCGACAAGGAAACCATGTTCCTGGTGATGAGATTCATTAAAATCAAAGGAGCCACTGGAACATAGTCGAAGGAAAGAATATCTCCCCTCCAGCAACAAGGTTCGCTGAGATCCCGTTTGTCTAAACCGGACAAAGAATGCAATTCAGGGAGACGTCGAACAACGACAAGAAGAAAACAGTCGTCACACATTTCATGGACATGAAGAAAACCCAATTTAGTGACTAAGTGATTCCATTTATGCATTATTTCATGGAGGTACCCGCTTGTCCATTTTGACAATGGTGGTCACAGAACGATGAAGGTCGCTGTGAGCAGCGTGACTGGCAGGTAACTAATGGCATCCGTGGGCAGCGAAGGTCACGGAACAAGACATTTTGCTCTCAACCTTCGCGTACGAACCCTCAAAGCCAATGGTGCAAAAGATATTCAGAGGAGCTCGCAAGAGAGCTCCTCGACCAGCAGCTTTGAGAATTTTCTTCTTTCCCTGAGGGAGTTTTGGGCGGCTGACCAGATTGGAAAGAGGAGGAAGATGATATCATGCCCCTCCTTCTGCAGAAACCCCCTTTCCTCCCTCCTCCATCGGATCCTCTCCGAGACCAACGGGATCACCCAAAACTCCTTCAGAAAAAGAAAAGGGTACACATAAAAGCTCCAGGAGAGGTAGGGGATTGGCGGCGCCACAGGGGTTGTGCGTGCATGGTACTACTTTGAAGGCGGAGAGGCTCCCCCAGAGCAGAGGGAAGACCGCATGCAGGGTGGCTATTATATTGTTGTGGAAATCAGTTGACCCGAAAGGACAACAACGCAATCCTTGGCCAAAAAGGATGATTGCATAGATCAAATGTATCATGTTCAAGAAGTAATTGAAAAACGTTATAAGATCGATGTGATGTTGACTATAGATTCACATGAGAACACTGTTTGATCAGATAACTATTCTAGAAGATGGTAAGATCATTAAATAAAAGATATAAGCATAGAGATACCTCTAAAGTACTATTATTTATTAGATATAAATATTAAAAGCTTCAAACCAATATAACAAGAGCGCTTCAATATGTCATATTATGGTCAGTACATTCTATCTAATAGAGAAAAGCATTTCCTATTTTTGCGTTGGGAGCCCAATGTGATTTAAAGGTTTTCTTCGAGGATATTATATAACTGTAGACAATGTCATTTCATATTACATTGTTAGTTTTATTACCACTCAAAATTACTCATTTAAGTTATCTAGTAATGCCGAAAAAGACTCAGAAAAATTTGAAACAATTTGGCACATTTTTTTTTGTATAAAAATAAGAAAGCAATCAAGTCACTTGCAAGTGAGGAACATATATAACTGAATAGAAAAATAATTGCACTAATTTACATAATCCACGATACAATCATCAAATTCATGTTAAAATAGTTTAAACCAATGCTATTTTGTCTTGGCTCCATCTTATGGCACATTGAACCTTTGCCACTGTACCCAAAACTTACACGTGCTGACACTATAATAATGGATCATAAGATAATTATTAGACTAACAAGTTACCATTCGAATGGTCAAAAATAACAATTTTGTGACTATTGGCGACAAATAGATATCCCTTAAAAAATAAAGGGATCCTCCCAATGAGTTAAAACATCAAAACTCAAGGTTCGCATCTCACACTTCAAGGAAGTTTCATGCAACCCAATAGTATAAGCTTGAACTTCAATCTTAAATACTAATGTTGTAAGTGATTTAAAACTACTTTTTGAAGTTAGTGCCAGTTTATAGAGTGAATTAGGGGGAGGGGAGAAAACAAGATTATTACCTACCTCACAGAAAAATTAGCTGAGGCATGTTACCTTTTGGAGCCTTGGTAACGTATATATGATGATTAAATTGGTAAAAGGATACCATGTCAACTTTTTACCATTATAATTATTTTGAAATGTATTTTCTTGACCCTTGAAATAACTCAACGTGATTATAGCATTGAATGTACACTATATAGTTTATGTTATACCTTTAAGAAGATAAACCCTTGAGTTATAGTCAAGAAAAACACTATGAACGGATTATATAAAATTTAATATAATAAAAAATATTAGGTGAAATCACTCTAGTTGAGAATAAGCATTCTTATATTATGAATTATTCAGCCATCTTTGTAATCCTTGAAAATAATTCAGTGTTGAAAATCAACTAATAGGATTTATTTAATTTTTCTGAATTTTTAGAAAGTTTATATATTGATTTTGTTCACATAATAGAAGGAATTGGTGTACTTTCTTTGAAAATATTTTTAAAAATTTTAAAATAAAAATAAAATAGAAAAAAACAATGAAGAGTCAAAATCAATGAATCTCTCTCAAGCATTCGAGTGACTCATCACTAGAAGTTATGCACTGATTTATAAGAGCACTATTTTTTTCTTGATTTACTATTGAATAAAGCTATGAATGTGATAAAAAGTAATTGGGTGATAATTTTTTTGGTCTTATAAAGCTATCAATTTAGACTAAATTGCATGAGTGCTAACATGGTTTTTCCACTAAAAGCTCTAGATCTGGAAAAATTACTTCTAAGAAACACTTGAGTTGGCTAGAAATCTAGTCAACACTAGTTGTAGTCCCAATGTCCAAAGATTTGCTACTATGATTGAGTGGAACCTAAGAGCAAGATTCATAGAAAGTGGATGAGGACAAGTGGGTAAAGTCATTAAAAAATTGAGTAGCATAATTAGATATAATAATAGACATGTGACTTTAGTTTAAAAGACATCAATTGACTCTCTTTTTATTTCTTCTTATAGCCTCACTAAAACTAATAGATATGACATTGTTATCTAACTACATCCTAAAGACATTTATCTAAATTAAGAATAATTAAAACATCTGAATAAATATTTTTCCAATTTTTATATCACATACTGATCAATTATTATAAGTTGAAAGAAAAAAATGCTCTTACTAGGCATGATTAATACATGCAATTAATGCTCCAAGAAAATTAGTTTCTTGTTACCTAAGCATGATTAATACATACAATTAATGAACATACATAGGTAACATTGTATAGCATCGCTAAAAGAACATGTTAGGCATGTCACTTTACATCACTTATGGAATGCCAAATATCCTCTACTTTAATGTCACTAATGTCATAGTTCGTAAAATTATTAAACCACCTCAAAATAGTAAGCCAAAATAAATTAAAAGTTAATTTTCTTAGTGATATTTTTTGTGAGCATCATCAAGACTTTTAATTTGCAGGTTTTCTTTACTATTATTAATTTATTGAAACACAATTGTAACCATCATTAATAGTGAAGAAATATTATTAAATTGATCACAATAACTTTTTAGAGCACACTTCATTTGAATGATGATAAAACGAACATGCCAATAAAACCAGAATTTTACGTAAGCAAAGTATATTGCATGAATATCAAATTATTGGTAATATCATATATTAAATATATACATGTTGCAACCAAGATTGCAGACCATTTTTCAATTATTTTAAGCATAAAAATAGTGCAGCTATGTAATTGTGTTATGGTTATAATCTTTATAACTAAACTAAATGCAAGAAAGAGTAATAATTGGAAGATCAGGCTACTGAAATTAGGATCCCAGCATAGCCGGCACCACCATAGTCCATGGCGTGTCCCCAATCCTCCAGCCGAGTGATTTACCAAGGAGAATCCCAACTTAAATGCAGGTGCCAACTTTCTCAATGATCAGGAAGGATCATAAGAACGTCGTCTGGAAGGAGAGCAGAATGGGATGTGTTCACTTCAATCGTTTATTTGGTCAAAATTTCAGCAGGGAAAGGAACGGACGTTGGTATCATATACCATAATTGACTCGCTATGCGTGAGCACAAACAATAACATGGTCTGATTCTAAGGAATAAAGAGGGGAGAGACGGCCCTGCGCGCCAGGTAGGTGGCATGGACTCGTCATTGTGAACAGCGATGTTGAGGATGAGAAGGGGGAGGCACAACCGACCCAAGATTGAAACACGGTGGCGAGTCCAGTCCAGACGCCCGCAATCCGCAAAGAAAAACCAGGTGTGTGCAACAGCCGTCGAGAGAAACACACGAGGCATAATTAGGACATGAGCATAGATAGAACTCATAGGATAATCTAAGACAACATTGAAGACCAGAGCGTGGATGGGGCAAGGAAGCACGAGAACACGTGATAGCGAGAGAGAGAGAGAGAGAGAGAGAGAGAGAGAGAGAGAGAGAGAGAGAGAGAGAGAGGGAGAGAGAGAGAGAGGTAAGCCAACATAGGAAAGGAGAGAGAGAGCTCACCTAGACATCCGAGGATCGGTGGTGTAGCTGGGAGATAGGGGTGGTGGAATCCTTTTCAACACCTTCAGGTCTTTTGTGCTCCACGAGAGAAAATCATAGTAACAAAAGAAGTTCTAAGATCAACAAGTATACAAAAATATGGTAAAAATAAACAAACTTAGAAAATAAAAAATACAAATTAATTGTTACAGAAAAAGTTCAATACGAACCAGTAGAACACTGTTCACCCCATCCGTTCTATGTGAAGTAGGAAGCAAGAAATAGATCAGCTCACAATAATGGAATTGACAAAAGGATTTATGTGGCTTGTAAATTGGCCTCCTAAATCGATGGGAGACAATAAAAAATCCAGTAGATAAAACTCTGACCAAGAACCCAATAAACAAATCTCTAATCTTGGTCCTCTAAGCACTCACCAAGAATTTAGGGAATTAATTTTTTACCTTAGCCCTCCCTCCAAACAATTACCAACAGCCCGATAAGAGATCTCCCCTTGGAACCTTTTCAAAGCTTTTTTGGAACCTCTCCCAAGTTCTATCTAATGGGATGAACAAATGAAGATGGGCCCTCTGCTTATATATGCACCCTTGGGTCACCTCTGCTAATGGGATGAACAAACACCTGTGCGGTCAGTGTTTCCTCTTCCGTCCGCTCGGAACTGTGTGGGCGTTATCGGCCGTTTCCATTTCTCCCGGTCCGCCCACAAATGGGCCGTTCCGTCCGTGAGAATCGGTCCGCGAACGAACTCCTTTCTGGGCGGAACCCTTCTCCTCTCTTGCATTCAATGCGGGACGAGGATCGAGGGGGAACACCACACCGTGTTTGACAGAGATCGAAGAACGTGGAATCGAATAAGCTTTCACCGAACACGGTCAATCGAATAAGCTACATAGTTAACTTGCTTGCATTGAACTGCTCATCGTCCCAAATCTCTTGTATTAGTTGGAATAATCTAAACAAACAGGTATTTCTTGTCCCGTGATCATCCGGCACTGTCGACCAAAAAATATATGATTAAACGTACATAAAAAGAACAACAATAACTCGCGAATCCTGAGATTTTATCTGATCAGTTAACATCGCAATCTGGACACAGCTAGGAAAAAGCCTGGTTAAAAATGGTTAACCATTGCTTCTTTGTGGAACAACCGATGGGAGATTAAAGAAGAAGACGAAGATGAAGAAGAAGTAGAAGAAAAACTTAAACCAGGAAGACCGCTGCTAGCTGATGGCGCCGAGGAGAATCCGCATGGCAGCTTGCTTCTTGGCCACCTTGCCATACACTCCTCTGGCCATTTTCATTAATCTCCCCTCATCGACGGGTGCTTCCGCTGCCCCCCTCCGCCGCCCCTCTCCTTCCTTCCTCTTCACCCCCTCCACCACGACCCTCAACACCCTCTCATCGCCGCCCACCGCCTCCGCGATGCTCTCCGCCGCCGCCATCTCCGCCGGAATCCGCCTCTCCCACTTTCTCACCTCCCTCTCCGTCGCGTACGTGGCTGTGTAGGCCTCCCAGAACGACGCCCGGAGGAAAGCCTTCTCCTTGCTCTTCACCACCCACCTCTTCGCCATCGCCTCCTCCAGCCGAGCCGCCATCTCGGGGACCATCGACTCTTCCATCTCTCTCAACTCTCCGGCGTATGCGGCGGCCTCCTCGAACTGGCACCTTCGGCAACGGCAGCAGAAGCCCCACGTCCCCGCCATCGTCTCCCGGCGCTTCCTCAGTGGCATCAGCACGTCGAAGTAGGGGAAGGTGATCTCCTCCCCTCCCTTGATGTCCCTCGACGCGTGGACCAGAAGATGGTTGCCGACGTGCAGGCGGCGGGCGTTGGGGTTGCAGGAGTGGTTGATGAAAGACGCCAGGAGCCAGAGCCCCACGCCATGGTAGCCGCCGCCGCCGCCGTTCTTCCCCAACACCTTCGCTGAGACCGCGTCATCCGCGAGACAATTCACGTCGAGGATCTTGAGAATTCTGTCGGTGTCCAACGCTTGATCGCCGGACAGTTCATCGTCTCGAGAAGGGCCCTGCTCCGGCACGAATAGCCGGATATCAGGAACTGGGAGGTCCTCTTCGTCTTCTCCGGTGGACAGAAGGTAGATTAGTCGGAGGGTTCTGCGGCACTTGCTGGCGGCGTCCAGCAACCTCGCCACGAAGTCTTTCCACATGACAAGACGGGCCCCCTCGCTGGACATGGGGTTCCCAGGCTCTGGCAGGATCCCCCGGCCGATGACCACAGCCTTCGTCACCACCAGCATGGTTCCCGATTCGATGTTCCTGGTGGCGAAGAGCCCCCGGCCGCCGCCGCAGCCCACAGAGCGCCTGATCACCACGGGGCCGACGTACTCGGCGAGCTCCGGCGGGTCCCCCTTGAAACCGTCGAGAACCCACTGGGAGAGATCGAAGGCCCCTGTCTTCGACTGGGCCTCGAGCTTCTGGCAGCGGTCGATCAGGCCGCGAAGGGCGGTGTCGGAACCGCCGAGCGGCGCCAGGGCTCGTCGGAAACAGTCCGCGGCGCTGGAGTAGCGATCGAGGCCGAGGAGGATCTTTCCTTTGCAGATCAGGGTCTTAAGGTGGGAGGGATCCAAATCCAGGGCGCGGTCGCAGTCGCCGGCAGCCCCCGGTAGATCCCGCAGGCGCAGGCGGGCCTCCGCCCGGTTGGAGAGCGCCCCGCAGAGGATCTTCTGGAGCTTGGGGTCGCCGCCGGCGTCGCCTGAGACGTGGTGGAGGCAGAGGGAGATGAAGCGTGTGTACAGCCGGATGTATTCCTCCCAGTCGTCCAGAAGTAGCAGCTCCGTGGCTCTGCTCCTCAGCTGCTGTGCCTCCTCCTCCATTAGCATCCCCCTCTCTCTCTCTCTCTCTCGCCCAGCCGGCAGGTAGGAACCGGAATGGCCCAAAGTGCGAGATGCCCTCCAGATTTTCAAAAAGTCGGACCCCTACAACGCGCCCCTCTCAGCCGTTGAAGTTGGAGCCTCGTAACGGCTACTTTGACCGCTTCCACCCCCGCGGCCCTCGGATTCCATCCATCGGACGGTCGATGAGCTCCCGCTGCGGAGGCCCGTCACGACGCCCTTCGATCCTTCTCCCTCGCCCTACATCAAATCTTCGCCTGAAAAATCCTCGCTTGCACCTATTTTCGCGAAAAATAATACCTTTGAAGTGGAGTTTCAGGGATCATCGCATCGTCAGAGATCGGGCAACTTGAATTTCTTTTTTTCTTTCTTTTTTACTGTTTCCTCTTCCTAAAGCCAATTTTTTGGCTCATCGGCATTCGTCATTATTTATTTTACTTAGTCGAATTAATATCCCACCGAAAAGAGTAATTTTTGTCGGCGATCGGGCAGGTCCTGGCCATGGATGGGATCAGGGGAGCGATCGGCGGTGCCGGGAGAGACCGACCACCCTTCCCTGGCCGCGGCTGCGGCGACGGGCGCCTGCCCTGCGTGGCGGTGGACGTGCTCATGAAGGGAGAAGGGCTGCTGTCTTGCCTGTCTTTTGACTGGTTCGAATCAAGGAGGTGCTGCACATTACGAAGTCTGGTTCTGGCTGCCAAATCCACATCGGAGAAACCCGAGAGAGAAGAGGGGAAGAAGGCGTATCTTAACGGCGGTGGCGCGCCTCCTCAGAAACCGTTGGAGGCGTCGGCGAGCCATTTTCGCTCAGAGAGAGAAACAGCCGCCGCCGCATCTTTTAAAGCTTCGCATCTCAGGGCCGTCGGAGAGAGCCATCCCAATCCCGGACCTCCCCCCTTTCCCGACGCCCCCGTAGTAAAGCCTCCACCCTTCGCCGTCCATCTGCACCAGGCACGGCGAACCGACTCCACCATCGTCCCACCCTCCCTCCGCGGACGGTTCGAGGACAGCCTCGCCGCCACGCCGCCGCCAGTCCTTCAACCCGTCCGGCGATTCCGCCACTCCGATGCTGCGGCGCCCGTCGCCGGAGACCCCTTCGTACGCCATCAGGTAGCCTTGCCCCTCTTTCCCCATCCTCACGACGTGTCCGCACATCACGCCCGCCTCGTCGAAGGCTCCGGCCGGCCCACCGCCCATCACCCTCCCTAGTTTGGCCCAGGTGATGCCGTCCCTGGACCTTGCGACGCCGATGGCAAACTGCCGGCTCTGCCGGTCGAACGAGTGGTAATACATCCTCAGATCGCCCGCCTCGTGGTAGACGACCCTCGGCGCCGCCAGAAACAGGGAGTCCCACTCGCCGGCTTCTCCGACGTCCAGCAGTGCGCCGGTGTGGTGCTCCCCCTCAATCCTCGCCCAGTGGCAGCCGTCCTGGCTGATGGCGAGGCCCGGCAGCGACTTCAGGGCAGCCGTCGCCGGCATGTCGACTTTCTCTGCAATGTAGCCCGTGTAGTACAGCCAGTAGAAGGCCCCGGGGCTGCTGACCTTGGCGCTTGACATGCTGATGACCTCCGCCGGCCTGAGGGCTGCGGTGTCGAACGCCCACCAGTCGCCACTCCGGCCGACGACAAGCCCTGCGGACTCCCCGTCCACGGTCTCGTCCCTCTTCCAGTGCATACCGTTGGCCGACGTCGCCAGCCCGATGCAGTCGCCGGAGCCGTCGCCATCTCCGCACCCGTGGTACCACAGGAACCACCTCTCGCTCTCGTCGCCGACGTACCTCTTCACAACTGGGGAGCCGACCTCTCGGCCATCCCAGGCGCCTGCAGCACCGACGTCGAACACGAGTCCCTCATTGGACGACGGGGTCAGCAGGGGAGGAGTAGCCTCTGCGCCCGCCGGAACGGGAGGGCGCAGCGAGGTCGCACCGCCGTTCGCGGCGGAGCTACCTCCGTCGCGGGCATCTCTTCCTAGGGAGCAGGTGGCGACCCTGCCGCTTGTCCTGCCGCTGCTCGGGCAGCGCAACCGGCTGGAGCGGTGTCCAGCGATCTTTGCGGCGAGGCGGATGGTTCCAGAAGGTGGAGATGGTAGGGCCCCGCTCGGCGAACTCCGATAGGGTCTGCGCGTCGCCGCCGTGGGCTCCATGAGCTGGGCAAGGATAGAGACGGAGATCGCTGCAATGAGGCCGCCGGCGACGGAGAGCGGAGGAGTCGAGCTCAGCGACGAAAAGGGGGGGGGGGGGGAGGATGAGGCGGATGTGTGGCTGGCAGTCGATGGAGGACGACTCCTGCCAAATGATATGATCGGTGGACGGAAGGCCCCTAATTGGATTCTACGCTGGGCCTCATTCACGCCACGTGGTCCATATTCCTACAAAAGCCGCAGTCCTACAAAACTCCTTGGGAGCGGCGTCTGGTGTCGACACTCGGGGAGCTCATGGGGTTGTAAGGTGGGATGGCAGCGACCATAGTCAAACTCTTAGAAGTCAGCTTACTGCTGATACCTTTATCTTTCGTTGGGATTCCTCGGTGAATTTCTCTAGACCCCAGTTCCTCGGTGAATTTCTTCCTCATTCAACCAGCAAGGCATTTTTGGTTCCTTACGGAAGGAGATCAACAATCATGATTTTTCTTGAAAACTTGAAAAATAGAATACAAGAAAAATTCCCTTCAATTTCACTAGAGAAAAACCTGTTAAGAAAGAGAAATCCGACTGGAATCAACAATTACTTGTTGGCAGGACTCCAAAATCATGAAATTATATAAGATCTGAAACAACATTACTGCACACAATGAGTGCGATCGGTATGGATACATTGAATGATGCATTACGCTATATAGAGTATTTACAAATTCGAAAATGATTGATAAGATCAACATCTGAACAATAAAAGCAACCGAGCTAAAACCGCATGAAAGAACAGGATGTGACTGAAGAGAACGAAATGCAAAAAAGGAAGCAATCGCAGTCATATATAGAAGAGAACCCTAAACTCACAGCTTTTTGATGTTCAGTCTATCATCAGCAAAAGTGGCAATAACTACGTAAGTCAATCATATAGAAAGAAGAGAGCCCTAAATTCACAGCTTAGGATGGCCATCACAGATGCGAACTTAATATATCTGATTACCCAACGAATTGTACTTTAATTGGAGAATAAGGTATAATATCCTGACTTGGCAGTGATAATACACCTTTCTTTCTTGTACTGTTAATGATTTGTTCTCATCGGTGATTCCCTTCCAGATGATATATCTGTGTGATGGGCTGACTTGGGAATGATGACGCTTGATTCGAAATATCTTTCAAAATAAAAATATTTGTACTTTAACAACGAAACCATGGTCTATCTCGAGCTCTGTAGGGACGAAGGACTGACCTCTTCTTTTAATCCTCTACATATATCATTCTTCTCACTCTTATATTCCTATTTATCACTGTTTATCCTTAATTTCGTTATAATCAGTTCATCTATTTGGCTTACTGTATTAAGTAGTCATCTCGCAACATTCGTCAAGAAATCACCACTATATAACGGGTTCGAGTAGTTATGACTACGCAGCAACATCTATGGACGATATATATTTCCATTTCTCTAAAGGCAGTCCTCCCAGACCCGACAAATGGTATTTGGAAGATTTCTCATGTCGCAGTGAAAGAGTGTTGATTGCTTTTGACTACCAACCAGAGAAAATATCCAGATTCTTGGCGTTTGGTCTTTAAACTTCAAAGAAAAAACATATCCTGGGGATAAAGCATATTCTTCTTCCACACTAGAAGTTCTTAATTTGTCAGCGTTTCTTCACCTCTCTTTTATGGGTTCTCTAGTCTTTCTACTCCATAGGCTAGATATGGCTTCCCATACTCACTTAAATACGATTTTAGTTGCCACACTCGAGTTTCTAATCATTGTAATGTTATCGTACTCTCTTGGTGGGTTTGCTATGTCTTGATTTAACATTATTATTTGCTCCATAAATTGCACATATCATTAAAATTAGGTTTAGTAAAGTTTTCTTGAATTGGTTGATGAGTTATGATCCTCCTACTTGTGGTCTCTTAGCAAATTTGAATATAGAATTTGAATGATCACGAAAAGATGATAGCATCTACAACATATTTGATTAACTATCTTGTTAATAGTTGTTAACCTCTCTTGGTGGGTTTGCTTTGTCTTGCTTTTCCATGTAATTGCTTGAACTTTTATTATAAAATAATGGAAGCATTGGTAATGATAATATCATCTGAAACTATTCAGAATCTAGAATCTTTATCAAGAATCTATAGAAAAAAATAATCTTACAATGTTTTTATCCTTGTTATCTCATCATAAATGAGGAAAGATTCAAAAAAATTACCCTTTACTTTTCCTTCAAGTGCATACAAATATATATGTTCTAAAATGAAATTTTTGGTATACATTTACTAAATTCTTTTGTGACTATGAACAACATGTATAAATTTACACTTATAAAGAAGTCAAAAAGCACATCTACTTTGAAAATTTTAAAAATTTAAGAACTCATGTTGATACATGGAGAAATATTTTTCACCATTTTTGAAAACTTCAAAATTGGAGGGTCAACAACTATGACATTGAGACGTCAAGAAAAGAATACAAAAGGACTAAAAACCTAATTTGGTCCTAATAAGGCACAAAACATTCCTTTCTAATTTCTATTCTAGTATATATGTTTATTTAATTCAATATTTATCATAACTTATTTTCTTTCTAATACCCTATCTATTTAACTCGCCCATTTAGGTACATGTACTTTTAAAACTCGAAAATAAAAAAAGATTTTGTGAATGAGGTGCTCGAGTAGAGTAAAACATTATAAAAACCATTTTTTGAGCTCTACATTATTGGTAAGGAAGAAAAATAGAACTCAGATTATGTGATTATTGTGTGCTTAACAAAGCCATGATTCCTAACTGATTTCCTATTCCAATTGTGGGGAAATTATTCAATGAATAGTATGGTTAAATATTTTTTCTAAACTAGACATGATCTAGCTCTCACCAAATAGTTGAATAAGCTTTTTAACTAGTCTTAAATATCTCTCACTATGGCCCTAGTTTTGGCCCTTCTTTATTTTAATTAGTCATTTGAGCTTGAAGTGAATGTCTAAGGCATGCGGGTGGGAGCCAAACTGATGTAAAAGAGAACAACCAATCAAGCATTCGGTTTGCAAGGGAAATACTTATCTATTCACGAGAGAAAAATGATGTCAATTATTCTTGCTTGCCCTAGACATCTTCCTAGAAATAAATTCGTAATCTTTACAAACCAGCAAAGACTAAATTTATCTTGAAGCAAAGTCAAGTTATTCTCAATTATTAGAAATGTTTTCTAAATTTTAAGCTTTAGATTTAAAAATTAAATTTAAGATTGTATCATAAAATAGAGTTTCTTTGCATTATCTAGAATACTCACCAAATTAGAGCTTCAGAGATTATCATGGCAATAATAATTAGATATGAAACAAATTATGAGAGAGAGTTAGGGCAAACCTCACCTGTCAAACATTTTGTCTAAATTAGATAATCACCTTCTTAAGTGGTCTTCATACATGTGATATGAATTATGACTCTACTTCATGATTATTTCTCTTATTTTATAGGAATTTCATGATTCAATTGTGGGAAGACATTTAATTCTTTTTGCAACTATAAACAAATGAGTAAAATATAACATGGGACATAATGAAAAGTTATATTAGATGTTACATCACGGCCTACATATTTTGAAATGGGACTTCTTAGAAAAATAAGTCTGAATGTTCAACTCAAATTGGCCTTCTTCAACCTCTACGTATTTTTGACTGAATGTGAGAGCATACAAAAATGCATCTCGTGGAGGGGTTTCCTAAACCAAAGGGGTTCAGCACAATTTTCATAGTCATAGATCATCTCAAGAAATATCTCACTTTTTCATAATACTCAGAAAGATCAAAATTTTATTTGCTCCTTTTAGACATAATTATTCTAGTCTTAGGGCACCCTCTTGCAAGGAATCAGAGGCTTATTTATTATTATGCTTTGCTAGTGATTGCCCAAAAGAGTGTTTTAAATGGCACCTTTGGGCCAAATATTAGTTCAACACAAATTATTATTAATTATTAAATCCACCCTAAGTCTTCTCTACTCTAGTCATAGTCCCCTTTGAGAGGATGGGGCAGGAGACATCTACAAGAATAGGATTTCATACTTTATTGAAAAACTATGTTTGTGGTTCTCTAGATGGTTGGATAATTTAAGGGGGGTGGGGGTTGAATTGATTTTTATTTTTTCTTCTTGTTAAGTATAATATATTTTTTATTTTAATCTATTAATATCTCATTTATTTCTCTATATTAATATGTAAATATAAAATAAACCAACAATAGATAATTCATTCTAGATTTTAGAGTGGTATGGTCAAGTTCTTTGACCTACATTTACTTTCAAAGACTCCACCTTGATCCCACCATTCTAGCCAAAGACTATACCCTTGATTTTAAGGGTATCAAGAACCCTTTACATTTTTAAGCTCTATGAGCTTACGACCAACCAACCTAGAACTCTAACCTTAGAGTTCCTAGGTCGTTAAGTCGCCTCGTTGTAAGCACATCATAAGTGACTCAATGAATTATGTGACTATATTGATGACATATCATATGTGTCTCAACCAGTCCACATATAATAATTAATATGAATGTATTGATAGCACACCATGTGTCTCAACCAATTCACACACCATAAATTGAGGTAAAAAGAATAAATAGTTTAAAATGATTTTATTACAGCCTTCAAATCTTCTTTTTTGTCCACCAAGAGTTGTTGAAAATGTTTATGAATACTAGGTTGAAGGAGGAATCTTTTGAGGATTGAAGAGACTTCCACATGTCCCTTGAAATAATCAATTTTGCTATTGATTCTTAGAGACTTGAAATGAGTTGACGAAAAGAAAAAAATCATTATTGATGTATTAGCCATCACCTAGAAATTGTGCTTTTCTTTATTGCCTTAATTTTTGGACAAACTACCTCATTTATAGGTAGGCTGGACTGCTCCCTTTTGGCCCTTATTGAGTTAAATGGTCAACTTAAAATAGGCCTTAATAGGTCAAGCATAGAGCCTGAAAAATATAAAAAAAAGTAATCGTAAAGAGTGAAAAATCTATAACTCTCTTGATATTTAAAATATTTAGGAACAATTTCCAGATTTGATATCTCTTTGAATCTGGATTTTCATTGAGTGGTCCACGCTTATATCTATCACATCTTTTTTGAGATAAAAATTATTTTACAATGAAAAGTTGTACTTTTGAACCATTATGTTCCTATGTAAATATAAAATCAATAATCTTTTAAATTCAATATAAAATAAATACCTCTATAATTCTGTCTAAAATTTATTTCACTTGGCTCTTTGTCCAAAAACCATTGTATTAGTTATTCATATATCTAAATTGTTGAAGCCGTTCAATACAGAAAAATAAAAAATACAACCTTCTCATAAGAATACAACATATTTACCATATAGAGATATTTAATTGTCTTTATATCCAAATAGTCTAACAACTATATACATGCCAAAAATTAGAATAGAATATAATTTTAACTATATAATATTATATCTCAGATCATTATCCAAATAAGTTAAATATCAATAAATTTACCACATCAATTTTAATTCAATTTACGTCAAATATCATCAACTTTGAGATAATCAACTTATTATCTAAAATTCATCAAAATTATATTTTTTGTCTTTTTGAGTCAATTTTTAAGTCAACAATGTTGACAAGTAATTTCAAGATATTGAATTCTTGATAGAGGGTTTACTTTACATGTGGAAGAGGGCACTTCGCTTACGGAGCCATCCAACGATATGTTCCAGTCTCTGCGTCATGTCCTCCGTCTAGACTTCGATACGGGCCACACCGAAATTAGGAGGTTATCCGACTTCAAGTTCCGATGAATGGACACCAAGTCGGGCACAATGCCATCCCCCTGGCGACATCCAGCGCCTGCTTCACTGCGAGCTTCAGTGCCGCCGAGTGGTTCCGCCTCCTCGTCAAGAACTGTCTATCCGAGCCACCCTCGGCGTACTCTTTGACGGTGCACCAAACCATGGGTTTCCTGCACGCACCGATGAACCAGACAACGTTCGCAAGCCTCAGGGTGGCGAGCATCATCACTTCCCGAACAAACTGCTGCTCCATAAGCTGTGCCCTCTCCGGGTTGTTGTCCGGTCGCTCCAGCAACTTGACTGCAACAGCCTCTCCATTGTACGCTCCCTTGTAGAGCTTCCCGAACGCCCCCTGCGCGAAGGGCACCCCCAGGTTCAACTTTCTCAGATGAATCGTCCACTCAGCATACTCCGCCAATCCCTGGGTGGGGGGAACTGGTCGTCCATCAAAGCCTGACCCAGCTGCCGTCGCTGTTGTTGTCCACGGACATGGCTACGGAGTTACTGACATGGTGGAACCGTCCCCGAGCTTCTAGTAGAAGGCGAGATCGTACAACTTCCTCCCGTGAAAATTCCCGCCGCCACCTCCTCCGCCCATGATACCGGCTAATTTGGGGCATTCCACCATTTCTCAAACCAGTACGTGCCCCGAAAAGTCTCTTCTTAGCGAGGAGCGTCCATTATAGGCGGTCCTCTGTTGACGACAGTCTGAAAACCCTACAATTGGTACCAGATGCTCGCGATTCGCAGTCAGCTCAAAAGCAAAAAACACAAAATAAAATCCAAATACAGGGAGTTCGAGCCCAACTCTTCTACCAGAGGAATCAAACCCTAAACTTTCATTTAACAGGCAAAAATCAAGAACCCCAGCCACTTCTGAAACTTCGCCAATGTCCTCCTCGCGGGCTGACGATGAGAACGGAATCACGAAGCCAGTCTGATCAACGCAAGATCATTGGTCACATAACCAGCCACAACCCCGAGGCATGGGACGGGAAAAAAGCGCAAGCCGCCAGAGAAGAAGGGCGAGATCCTTCATCTTTGAGGGGAACCCGCCGATCTGGTTGTAGAAACAACTCAAGGGGGAACGCGCAGGGAGGTCAAAAGTGGCGGCGAAAGGGGTAGCTGAGAGGGAAAGACCAAGAGCGGAGGACGGCTTCGTCTATGATGTCCCTCTCCCGCACGGTGGGAATTTGATTGCGCAGATTTGGCTATACAATGAAATGATGGAATTTATTTTTTTTCAAATTACTGTCTTATTTGTCTCTCTCCAAGCTAATATCTACTATTAGATACTGGAAGAAGACGGGGCTGGGCATGTTAACGAATGAGATGAACGCAGGATCGTCGGAAATTGGAGCAAGTTCAGTTCGATCCATTATAGATGGCGGCCTCTCTCTAGAGGAAGGAGTTTGCCATACAAGACACCCTGTTTCGTCCAAGTATATATGATTCCATTCTCATTGAAAGGCGTTTCTCAACGGACCACATCACAAGTCCGTCCAACTCAAATCATCAAACGTTGAAGCTGACACCCCCAATACCTTACGATCTCACTATCAAGGATTTAAACGGACGAAAGAAAGTCAGAAACGAGGGGGTGCCAGAGGCTAGGAAAGGATCCCTTTTCTCCGCAGCCGGGGATCCTGCAGCAGCGAGCACCTGCGGTCCTACTGGTCCTTGTGTGGGGGCTCGGTGGCGGGCGCCTTCTCTTCAGTTCTCTCGGTGGGTTCATTCTCCACTCCCATCTCCGCCTTGAGATTGTTGATGCTCTGTTCCAGTTCACCTATCCTGCTCCCCATTTCGTCTAGTACGCGGCAGTTAAGGTGCACTTTTCCCTCTCGGATTTGCTGGTGAATACAAAAGCGACTGAAAAACGAGCCACGATGGCGCTTCGAGCCTAGGAATAAAGAGAAAGTTAGGGGAGGAACTAACTATGAGCGAGGGTAGGAACTATTATGTGAGGGCCAGAAGAAGACAGACGAGGCCTTGTTCCCTCCCGAAGGAACGAGGACGCACGGATGCAACAATATCCAAGTCTGATCGAACGATACACACGCTGGTAGCTTGTGGTGATGTCTAAAGAAAGAATCCAGCGGTAGATTATGAACATCAGGGCGATGAGGAATGAAAGGAGAATGAAGTTGCAGAATAGAAAAGAGAAAAATCATCAAATCATCAAATCATCAGCGCGGCGAATAGAAAGGAGAAAAATCGAGCGATGAGGTCCGTTCCAGGCCTAAACCATCAAATCAGGCAAACATCAAGCGCATGGCACAGACGAGCATGAAGTCGCAGAAAGGATATTCTTCTGGACGATGGAATTGGACATTGTCTGAAACCTGCTTTGCTGGAGTGCAAATGCCTCCCTATCAGTACAAAGAATATACAAAATCCAGGCTCAAGGAACTCCCAGCTGGGAACAGAATTTAACTCACCATCTGGCCAAGGAGATTCTGAACCTGCACAAACCCACGTGAAAATCAGAACCGATCCAAAATAAAAGCAAGTGAATGACGCACCACTCGACCACCAGCCCATAGGGGAAGGGCTCGCGATGAAAAAAATAACTCTCCATCTATTAGGTAGACATAATAGTGCGTTACGCTGTTCATCAGAGAGATCGTACTGTGTTCCGACCCGTACTCCTCATCAAGATTAGAGCTTAATCAAATGGGCCACAGTCGAGAACAGAAATTAACTCACAAAGACCGTCATATCGGCCGTGCTTTGTTTCTGATCGCCTGGTTCCTGCCCATCCTACAGAACAAGCAAACAAAAATTCCCTCAGATCACCGTCGTAACAACATATAAACAGGAAGCATAACTACGCTCGGACACCAGATCCCTGGGAGAGACGGGTATATGGGATGCCCTCTCCATAAGGGGTGCCGTCTAACCCATTTTTTCCTGCGACCCCAGTCCTCACTCCCTTAATACCAGGACAATGAATGGAAAATTACTAACCAAAGACAGAAAACAAGCAACTAATAATCTCTCCAAGATCAAAATGGCCAAGCAGATCGCCCACATGTCTTATCCAGATCCAGATCCACATCCAAATCCACGCTTACAGCCGAAGGGTGATGCCCACAAAATAGCATCGTTAACGCAGGATTCCATCGTCGTAACTAGTATGATTGAGAGAAACCCAGTAATGTGCAGCTAAAAAGTTCACAGGAAATCCCCCTTCCCCTATAACTAATAGGAGAAAATGGCGGCAAGGCGAGCTCATTCACTTTATCCCTACACTTCCCGACAACCCCTAATGGATGCGACAGGTCTAAAAGACAACTCCTGAAGGCCGCAATGGGGCGACGGCTGACCAAGAGTAGGCATCGGAAATTCGTTCTCTCCTGACCAAGCCCTAGAAGAGGGTACGCATACAAGGCCCTTGTGTTGAATGCGGCCTCTATAAACAGAGATCACAGAAACGTCGAAAAAACAAAAACAAAAAACGTAACAAGAAAAATACTACTAGGCGGAACAAGGGAGTGAGAAACAAGGAAACGAAGTGTACAAAGCGAGTAGAAGAGAAAAAATGAAGATGAGGCTCTACGGAACTGACCATGGCCGAAGATGGCTGCTTCTGCGTTCGCAACACCCCTTCACCCCGTTCGAGGCCTTCCACCCCCAACCCAACCCCTCTTTCAGCCGCTCTCCGCCTCAAACCCCGACGACACCCTTTGCTCTATTCTCTCTCCGTCGGTTCCGCTTTCCGCTCATTTCGAACGCCACTACCCGTTAGAAGGGTTGAGTAGGACAAAATTAGTCCCCCGGCTTCTAACCGTTCCCCCCTTTTCTTTCAAAAGATAGAAAATATCACCAAGGGCGAATTTGATCTGCTGCGCTACTAGACAGGCAGATTTTGCAGTCTTATGGCTAATGAATTTTTTTTTTGGTGAAGGTGACAATGCTTTCTATACTGGCTTTTATCTAGAGACTCATCGAATCCAAGTCTGATCTCCTAGTCTTGTGCTTACTACGTTCTTGATGCGTAGCCACAAAATTTTATGTTTAAAATGGTATGAATCTCTCAATCCCTATTTGTCAGCCTCGTTCTCTTTTTATTCGCATTCAATTTAATATCCCTGGTCTTTGTCTTGCTCCCTTAGTCCCTCCCTTTTCCCTTTTTAGCACTCCTCTCTCTCTCTCTCTCTCTCTCTCTCTCGCTCTCTCTAAATATTTTATCCTATCCGTTTATCACTCTCTCAATGTCTCATTCTTTCATAACCAAAACCTAATATATATATTTTTGTCCCTAACGGGGACTTAGGCCTAGCCCCTTCTCATGGTCTGACCTAATGCATTACAATTTTGAAGCTTAGCTCATTCCACTATTATAACTTGAGCACACTTGACTTTAAAGTAATTGTGAGACTCAATGGCAACTCACTCACTTAGATAAGTTAAAGATTTAGGATTTAGGATTTTATTTTTTGCCTTATGTACTTTGGCTGAACTTTTTGAAGGTCACTCTCTTAATACTTTTCACACCTCAGTACACTGGCCTAATAATTGTCTTGGGCTGAATTTCCCAAGAGGTTACCCATTCTGATTCTTCACACATTCAAGCACTTGAACATCACATCACACTACTTCAACTTGAACACATTTAACGTCATAATTTTTTCTCTTACTCTATGACAACTGACTCACTTATGGGGGTCATTTAAGGTTTAAGGTTTAGGATTTAAGATTTAATTAATTACTTTCAATGTGTTATGACACTAATGACACTAATGTGTTATGTGATATCAGTTTCAATTTGATATCTACGTGCTAGTTCATTATGACTTATCATTTATTATCAAATAAAATAAAGGGAATGAAACTTAGGACTCTTTTATTATGACATTATGAGCTTATTCATACAATGTTTATACCACATAAAATGTTTGATTTTAACATTTAATCATGAGTGTCTTCGTACATAAATATAGGTATCACCATTATAACTAGTCCTTATCAAATATAGGTTATTATTCTTAATCATTTGAAATTGTGATCGCTCCACATGACTATCAAATATAAAGGAGATTAAATAAAGTCAAGTGCAAAATTAGTGGAGTCAAACTTCATTGAGTGACTTTAATTAACTTATTAAATATAAATGTAATATAAAATATTAAGTGATATCTAAAGAGTGTTATATAAAGGTTATTCTAGTTTTGAGTTTTCAACACGATAGAGCATACAATTCTTTCAACCCTTTGCTGCGGGAACTCCATCCATAAGAGTAGTTCTGATCGTAGGGAAAGATCTAAAGCTTTCATCATCAGTACGCATTGATGGCGATTGATATTTCTCGAGGAACGCTTTTGTCTTCAAACAGCAGCAAGCAGTCGTTATTTTTAAGTTTCATCCTGGGCCTCAGAAAAGGCGGAAGCGACGGGACTCCACTTCGTACTGGTGCCATTCATCGCGCAAGGTCACATGATTCCCATGCTAGACATCGCCCTGCTGCTGACCCATCGCGGGGTGTTGGTCACCTTCGTCACCACGCCCGTCAACCTCTCCCGAATAGCGGCTGTCGTCGGCCAAATTAAGGAATCAAGTCTCCCCATCCCCTTTCCGGTTTCTCTCGCTTCAATTACCGTGCAAGAAGGTGGGACTGTCGGAGGGTTGCTAGAACGCCGACCTCCTCCCCTCGCCGATGTTGCTGCACAACTTACTCTCTGCAACGAAGATGCTGGCGGAGCCGCTGCTGGCTTCACTTCCAACATAGCTCGCCTCGGCCCAGCTGCATCATCTCCGACTTGTGCCACCCATGGACTCGCCACGTTGCGCCCGACCTCGAGAAATCAAATCAGTTATGTGCGGAAAATGTAGGCTACGTACATTTATATACGGGCTAAACATAATTGCCTTTCCAATTCGGGAAACGGGTCTATTAGGATCCGCTTACCAGATTATAAGGATCCGAAAGTCGAACGTCGGCTTCTGTCGGTACATGTGCCAACGGCTTCTCCTGTCCGGGGGCGAAATCAGAACGCCGCCCTCCCAGATCTAGTCGCCGTCGCCGCCGCCGCTAAGCCAATTCGTCCTCCTCCGGCAGCGGGAACCAGAGGCGGAGGACGATAGGCAATGGCGTCTCCCGACCACCTGTTTGCCCTTCGGAACAACTTCTATCTGGGCGCGTACCAGGCCGCGATCTCCAGCGCCGAGCAGCTCCGCAGCCTCTCGGCCGAAGAGGCCGACGAGAGGGATTCCCTCGTTTACCGCGCTTACATCGCCCAGGGATCCTATCAGGCACCGACGATGCGACTTGCCTGTCATTGTTTCCCTAGAACTTCCGATCTCGCTCTCTGACGTGTTCTTCGCTTTCCGTGCAGCTTGCGATCCAGGACATCAGTGACTCAGCATCCACCTCCCTTCAGGCCGTCAAATTTCTCGCTAGATACCTTGATCCTACAGAGAACAAGGTTGGTTGATTTACTTGTATCCCGATCACGATCACGTGGCAGTTCTCGCTGGCGGCGCAGTTTACATTTTGGCCTATTTCACTTTCATTTATTTTTCGTCAGATCTCTTGGAAAATTCTCGCATCTATTTAACTTTTCCGTTCTACCATGAAGTGGCTCTGGGGAATTATGTGTCTCGGTGGAAATGGGGATGGATCGCAGGATGTATTTCTTTTTCTGTCGTCATTCAGAAGACCAAAAGAAAGAAAGAATCAGAGTTTATTGGAAAAATATCCTTAGATGATGGCTTCCAAGGTTTACACTACGGCTTTCAGTTTTACGACATGTCTGGAGTCTGAAGAGAGGTTCCTTTTCTTTGAGGGTTAGCTGTGTTGACAGGCTTGTACGATATAATATTTAATGATTTCTGTGGGGTATACTTGGATGTTGCCCTGTTTATTGATTTTGTTGGAAGACTCTACATTTTACTTTTATCATTCCCTTGAATCACCAAGCGAAGAAACCTAAAAACATCCTAAATTGCTATTTTTTTGTCCTTAATCATTTGGTTGTGCACAGATTCATCACGTCTTGGTTCCCGTTACACAACATAGCTTTCGTTGGAAGACTATCTTGCCCTTTTTTGATCTAATATTTCATGCTACATTTGTTTACCAGACTTTCAGTTCATGGGTTTTAACTTCCAAAATAAGTCATGATTCTAATGCACTGAAATTCTAAGTTGATTTCATTGTGTTGCTCAAAACTTTTGTGTGCATAAAAATGGCTGAATGTCATAGCGAGGGTTTAGATTTTGTTGTTCAAGTTAATGCATTTGCAGCATGCTTATCTGCATTGATGGTTAAATATGCTTTTAGAAAAACTTATTACTCTCAGAAGTATAGAAGCACATATTTTGCCAGTGATGGGATCTCTTTAAAGTAAAAACATGTAATATTTCTATATTCAATGATGGAAAGAATGGTGCAGAGATAGTTGCTAGTTTATGTTGAAGGTTCAACAGAAATCCGATTGTCAATTCTGATGATCAGACCAGAGTGTAAAAGAAAAAGAGCTGATGAAGAAGTGGCTAAGTATTACATATTTGAAACACCATGCAAAAGAGAATTGTATATGGTTCATTTTGTGGGTCACGTACTTAAGGAAGTTAATCACAAAAATTATTATAAGGTAGCGGTTCACTTACATAGGTTTTATGGATCTTCTAATGGTCAGTTATTCAAGTATTCGTCAAGTTGGAAAGATAATGGGTTTATAGAACAAGATTTATCTTCTAATGATCATCCATTGGCCTTCTGTTAAGATGTTGGAGAATTTTATAGAACAAGGTTTATCACCTCCTGGCTATTTATGTGTTCTGTGTACCTGTTGAGGGGCCATGCAAAGGAATCAGATTTCAAGGTCAGTCAACGTTCATCCAAATTACATTGGGCATTCTTCAGTTAACAGTTATATCCGGGGCAGCATTTGAACGATCTCTTTTCGTGCTGACCAACTGTGATATGCCACCAATTTGTCAAAATAAAGAACGATATGATAACTTCCTGCATGTGTTGAAGGTCATACATTGCAGGTGATCGTATCATGACAATGTGCCATTGTCCATTTGTGACATTTTCTAAGCACTTATTTGCACGAAAATTCTGATTTTTATTGGATGTACGTTTCAGCTGAATTAATAATTGTCAGTACGCTTGTCAGCCTGCTCCATAAACTTGTCCTTAGTTTTTCATGTCAGGAAGAGTACTTACTTGGGATAGTAATAGGTAAGGATTTCAGTATTCTTCTCCCTCACCCTTAGTAAACCTTTTTTCGCAATTGAGACGACCACTTAGACTTAGATGGTAACAAATCGCTTCTCAGACGAGTCACCTAAAACCTGAAAAAGTTTCCACCTTGCCTGGTAGTAGAATTTGCCTTTCTAAACAGTTACTCACGAAGTGGCTGAAAGCTTGGTCATCTGGAGGTGGGATGGGTTTTGATTACTAGAATGGACTGAATGGGGGCTACTGGTTTTGGGCTGCTTGAAAGCCATATATCTCCATAGAATCGGGTTCAATGTGGCAGCTGGGCCTACAGATAAGAGCTGGATAGGGCTTTTGGAGCCATATGCTTTCTCTACAATCCTTCTTCATAATTTGCTATAGAAGATTTTGAAGCATGTCGTGCCGTCTGTTGAGCAGAGAACTGGTCCACTAACCATCAATAAATTTTAGAACTGTATTTGACTTCTGTTCATATTGTTCTACTTCTAGGAATGATCTTCACCATGTGCATTACATAGTTCTACGTCAATCTCGGACAACCTTTAGAGTTGTGTTGCTGACATTCTGGTCACTACTTCAACTGGTTTATGATATCAATTTACTGGATCATGCTATCTTCGTAGACGTTCTTATCTTTTTGCGCAATCAAATGTGTCAAACACTGTTATTATTACTGTTGTCTAAGGTTGCTATGGTTTTTCCATGAGGTCATATGCATAGTCTGCCTTTGTTGGACCCTCCGATAGAAAGAGATAATGCCTGAAATGATTTTTAATTTGTAAATTATTTAACGTATTTGCACTAAATTTCTTCCAGTTCATGCTCTTCCTTGAGCATCTTACCCTGAAAATATTGACATTCATCATCTGTTCTAAACAGGAAGCTGTGATTTCAAGCGTTAAAGAATGGCTGAATGATCCAGCCATTGGAAATAATTCTGTGCTACGGTTGGTTGCGGGGATTATATTTATGCATGAACAGGACTACAATGAGGCGCTGAAGCATACCAATGCTGGAGGAACCATGGAACTGTTAGTCCGAAAGACTATTTATTTTTTATTTTATTTTGATACTAGAGTAATAAAAGAAAAGTTATGATACTTCAGGCTCATATGTTTGTAGAAAAGGATACTTTTTCCTCTTTTAAATTCTCTGTAATCAATCATTTCTTATATGTTCACAGACATGCACTCAACGTGCAAATATACCTGAAGATGCACAGGGCTGATTATGCAGAGAAGCAACTTAGGATCATGCAACAGATTGACGAAGATCACACACTGACTCAACTGGCGACTGCTTGGCATGACCTTGCTGTGGTGGGCCCTCTTTTATTTTTTTGGAAATATATATATGTGAACTATAACTTTATAAGTATATATATATCTTTCTGTGGCTGATTCTTCTCTCTCTCTCTCTCTCTCTCTCTCTCTATAATCGTAGGGCGGCTCGAAGATCCAGGAAGCCTACCTAATCTTCCAGGACTTCTCAGAAAAATTTCTAATGACTGGGCTGGTCTTGAATGGAAAGGCTGTCTGCTGCATGCACATGGGCAACTTTGATGAGGCTGAAACCTTGCTACTGGACGCCTTAACCAAGGTAATCCATTGTTTATTTTTGGTAACTTTAGAATTCATGACGATCCATCTGACTATTTATCTGGTCGATATAACACAGCTTTAAGCTAATTACTGTGCATTTTGTGCAGGATCCAAGGGATCCAGAGACACTGGCCAACTTAATTGTCTGCAGTCTACATCTTGGGAAATCATCTACACGCTACCTCAGGTAATTTCGATCCATCTAATCCCCAATCCAAAGTGGGATCTAAACACTGAATCATATGCATATATATTCACACTGAATTTTTTAAAAAAATATCTGGCCTATTTTTCTTGGTTTTCTGAGTATGGTTTCGGCTCCCGTAACTCCTCCAGCCAGCTGAAGCTGCACCATTCTAAGCACATGCTTGTGAAGCGCCTCTCGGCCGCAGAGGAGGCCTTTGAGCGGGCCCTCCAGAGTGTTGCATGAACAGGCTGTGCCATGGATCTCCTGTGGGGAAGATGAGCAATATATATCTTTTTTTCTAGACCTCTGTTTTTTCAGACTACTTCTGGGTTTTGATCTTTGGAGATGACTTGAAAACTGCAGAAGATGTTTGAACTTTGCCTTTAGAAACCCCCCCTGGTCATCTCCAAGCATCTGTTTTCTTGGATGAACTAGATGGTGATCTTCTGATATCCTGATTTGGATTGTGATTGATCCCCACACGTGATTGACCGACTCAGATTGTGGTCAATCCCCGCCTTTGACTTTCCTTGTGGTCAATCCCCATCTTGGATTGTGGTAAAATAGGTCGCCAAGAGCTGAGTTTCCTTGTGCGTCTGCTGCGACTATAGTGGAGATCTGGGACAGCACCTCCCAATTGGAATTGGACGCCTCCAGGATTGGAGTATGAAGAAACATCAACACGTATTAGAAAATATATTGTAATTAACATTGATATTTATATATTTAGATAATTTATCATCCCAACACGTGTTGAATAAATATTTGATTATCGATTGAAGTTTTATTTTCAATTTCTTTAATATACGAGTAAGTGTCAATGGGTTAGAATGGCAAAAGTTTTGGCCCTATTTTTTCTGAGCATTTGGCCAAAAATCATGGAGAATCAAGAAGAGTAGGGTTTTCACATTCTCTCTTTATCTCATTTTCCGTTTATGAGAGAAAACCCTTCAAAATAAGATCTAAATTAGACCCTTGTTTAATCTAGTCAAGATATTAACCCACATTAGTAATCATTAGGACGTGATGTGAGGACAAGATTCAATAAGTATCAAGTGAAGATGCATGATGTGGTGTGTGAGATGTAATATACAAGATTAAATTAGACCCTTGTTTGCGGTTCATTGGAGGTGAGTTTTGATAAGAGCAACACTTATATGTCTTACACAAGTTTATCTCTTATCTATTAAGAGACTAGTAATGATTTAGGTAGAGGGTGTAATAAGTTTTTATTATTCTAAGTTAATAATTTATTAATAATATAATTTAAATATTAACTCATGATAAATAGATTTATCTTTATATGAAATTAAAAAAAATGATTTTTAGTTAGTTAATGTGAATTTTTGGTTAATTATGTGATTTTATATATTTTTATAATCCTATTTTTGAGATAGAGTGAAGCTAAATACAATAGAATAAAAAAATATTTATAAAAACGGGGAACCTGTAAGCAGGTCAGAAGCACAATTGGCAAAGCTACAACAAGAGGCTTGAATGGCTAAGGAATGGATGGTGGGGCACATGCATCACTCCCCTTCCATGTCATTGGTGGCTAATCGTGCATAGGACAAAAAATGGTCACACACACATGAGAGGTTGTATTAATGATATAAAGATATATTATTATATATCCATTTCAAAAATAAGAAAATAATTGATGTGGAACTAAACAACCATTGTAGTTGTTGATGAGTTTTTTTCTTTTTTATATACCTCTAATACCCCTGAATGGTAAGAAGTATACACTCTTATGATGTCATTTGGAAAGGATATTTACATACTATTTAACTCTCTCACATATAAGTAGTTGAGTAGCAAGGGTTCGAATTGCACAGAGCCAAAATTTATATTTTTATCAAATCAAAATCATGATTTTCCTATAAAGTACCAATCAATGATTAAGTTTTTATAATTACTCAATTATCAGTGAAAATATTGTCAATGCAATTCTTAAAGCATTGTTATTAATTGAAAAATAATTATGAATAAAAAGATCGTAAATATATCAAGTAAATTATCTCTGATTGATGAATGAATGAGTCATCGTCAAAAAAAATAAAATATATCGAGAGACAAGTTGCCACTTTCTTAGAACATACCAGATGTAATGAAGAGTTTTTTCATATTATATAAACTTAAGGATGAAGTTCCTTAAGATGCGTCCTACCTCTATCTAGTTTATCTTTGTTGGGTGATAGTCATTGAAAATTTATAAGTTATCTTTTTTTTTTCTCGACTCACGTAGTCTATGTCTAAAGAAAGCCTTTGAGGTTGTAGACATTGCACGTTAGTCCTCTAAAACACACAAAATCTCAAGGATCACTATCCCGAAGTCAGAACTCTACCTTTCCTACTTAAAACTTAATTTTTACTTAATTTAGTAATATTTTTATTCAATTCTAAGTTTCAAAATGTTTCTTTATTCAATGCTATTATTTTTACATTTAAAAATCATTTGTAATCATTTACAAATGATTAATCATCTATAATCATCATTATAATTGATTGAATTATCTATAATCATTTACGTAAGAATTATTAGTCATAACTCTATTTTCACCTCGTGTTCATTAGAATGTTGATGTTATTATGATGATTGCATCCTAATTCCTATTTTTATAATTTTTTAAATATATTTTATCTTCATCATTTAGTTTAAAAATCATAAAAATATATTCTTTGAGAAAATTTCTAAAATATTATTAGATATTATTTTACATCCATATGATGACCAAAAAAGTTTCTACTATTTTTGAAACTTTTTATTGAATTATAATTGAAAAGAATAAGCTGCTTCCACAAAGCGCATTGGCGAGATTTTCGCCGATGATTCAGTGATTCTTGCGGCTTAATCCTTCATCGACGATCTGCAGAAAAGTCACGATAATTAGATAAAAAATACGAGTTTTAGCTCTAGGAGGATTTGAACCCACACCGATTGCCCACCTTCAAAGCCTTTTGGAGGAAGGTGTGACATGGGTTTAGTCCCACATCGCTTGTGCGTTGAATTTTTGGGTGAATAAATACTAATATCACATTTCGAAGCAATGAGTCTCTTTCTCCCGCATGTACGACCACTCTTTGCCCCACAGCCGACTGACCACTAGTGATGTGGAAGGGGAGTGGCGCATACGTGCCCCCATCGGTCCTAGCTGTTCGAGCCCCTGCTCGCGGCTCCTCTCCGACTGCACTTCCAACCTGCTTGCGGGCTCGGCTGGCCGGCAGGTCCCCCCTCATTTTGTTATATTTTTATTTTTATTTCTTTTTCTTTATTTATTTAAAAAATAAGACTATAAAAAATGTATAAATTTGTATAAAATCACATAATTAGTGAAAAATTAACGTTAATCAATTGAAAACTACTTTTCACACTTTAACATAAATATAAGTCTATTTATCATGAGTTAAAGCTAAAACTATATTATTTACTAATTATTAACTCATGATAATGAAGACTTATCACACCTCCCAACTTAAATCATTGCTAGTCCCTTAGCAATGGAATTATGAAAATAAGAATTCACAAATCTCAAACATCATTTTTCAATGCATAAAAAGAAATATAATTAGAAATGATGCACCTTTAAACACTTTGGATTCTTATATCAAGTATTTAAGAATGATGTCAAGCACTTAAATATTTAAGCACTCCTTGGAATAACAATTTAGACTTCACTTCACTTATAGATATATTTACAAGATGTTCTAATTATCAATACTCATCCAAGAATAATATTGATCCTACATTTTTTTTTTTTCCATGGCTTGATTTTTGAAGTTTGCACTATATTTCTTCCTTTTTTTTCATATATATAGTGGATAAGTAGCTTTTCTTGTAGATAAATTTTGACAATAAGAATGATGTCTTACACTCTTCGTGTGTACTCTTAATTTTTAGAGCTTTTACTTTATCCACTTATTTTACAACAAGTGTTTTTCTATGCATGATTTTCGACAATGAAAATGATGTCTCACACCCTCCATGTGTACTCTTCATTTCTAGATTTTCACATTGCTCTCTTTTTTTTTTTTCGAAATAAGTGATTTCTCCTCACAAGTCCTATAGATTAGGGTGCAAAAATTTCTATTAAACTCAAATGATTAATCAAATTTTCACATCAAGTAAACACTATCCATCAAGATCATGAAGTGAAAATCTGTAAAATCAAATCAATGTTATCTATCATGTATCCAAGGAGTATTCCAACATTTCATGCTACTAGATCATTCTTTTGACTCAATAATAATCTTCCTAGTATCTTTTGGTATCAATCAATCTAATTGATTTAATTTTTCATGCATGCAATATGATGTAAGAAATTTGTAAATTAGATAGTTCTGATAGTTCTACTTTCTTTTTTTAGTTCTATTTTTAGCAACAATAAATTTATCAAAAATAAATCAAAACTATCCTCTTTATAGCTATAATTTCTAATTTCAGTAATATATGTCTAGGGGATTGAAATGTGAGAAAAGGGTCTCTAGAATTTCAAATTTTAGGCTATTTTTTGTCTATTGTTTTTGACAGTATGTTGTTCTTGACAAAAAACTAGAAAATAAATGTTGTTGTTTTTCTAATTTTTTTTCTTTTTTTAAGTTTCTGTTCTAAGTGAGCATGATAAAAAAATGCAAAGAACTTCACCCCCCAACTTAAAAATGACATTGTCCTTAATGACACAGAAAAATTGAAATAGAATATGTAGAAAATATAATTTTCAAGTGAAGCATACATATATGCAAAGTTAAGCATTAAAAATGTTGTTGTAAATAATAAAGTTTAGAAAGACATCACCTTAACCTCGTTTTTAATTTTCCACTTCATCTTACATTCCTCCTGCACTTTTTCAAAAACAAACAAATACATAAATAATTATTGCGAAATTTTAAGAAAAATAGAGCTTTAAAAAAAATTCAAATAGAATGAAATAAAAACCATGGGTTGTCTTCCATACAACACTGAATTTAATTTCTTCAGCTAGACAACTCTTATATTATATAAGATGATCTATGACCATCAAAATATATTTGTATTCCAAGATAAATTTCATGATATTCTTTTTCAGATTTAACATAAATTCATATACTTCATATATATCTTGACATACTTTCAGCCAAAACAAAAAAAATTAACAAAATTTTCTCAAAAATAATATTTCTATTTTAAAAAGAATCTTTCCTCATTTCTATTTTGTTTTGTAAGGCTCTCATTCATTAATAAATACTTTCTATTAATAGACTATAAAATGTGATTAAGCCATATAATTTTCAAATTAACTCTTACCCAATCTAATTTTTTTTTATCTAAATTGATATCTCTAATTCTTCCACTCTCCCATTTCTTAATGTCTTCTTTTATCTGTATAATCTTCCCCTACTTCATTTTATCTTGCATACATATTTGTTCAATTTGCAAGGAGTGAAATATTTCAAGCTTAGAAATAATTCTAATGGGCTGTGGGTTTTGAAGGATAGAAAGATTATCTTCTTTAATCTCAGATCTAATGAATTTAGTAAAATTCAAATGTTCTCCTAAAAAATTATCTCTATATTCATATTCATTATTTTCGTTTCTCAACTCATCAAATTCTTCATCTTCCCAAGAGCTATCTTCTAATTTCGGTATATGATATACATCATCATCCTCACTATCAACATTCATGGTTGTAAAATTATGATTAGATTTATTAATTTCGTCTCCTACATCTCCCAAATCAACTGATTTTTCCTCACCTGAAATATGTTTTTCTTTATTTTTGTCCTTACTCCCTTCTACTAAAATTTAGATGATTTTTCCATGATCAGTTGCTTTTTCTTCATCTAAGGGCTCTTTCTCCTCATCATCCTCACTATATTCATTCATCAATTGTGAACAATAAATAATTTTATTCAAATTTTCTACTACTATATTTTCAGCTTTAATATTCTCATTTACTTCTAATGGCTCATCTATTTCTTGTAATAATTGGAAATAAGGATCAGATAAAATATTCTCATTCAATGTATTCACTCTCCTAACATTTTCATTTCGTGGGTTTTTTCCTAAATTTATCCAACTAGACTCTCTTTGCTGAAATCTTACTGTTGGACAATTTCTTAAATTTTCTATGGGTTGACTGGGTGGGTGTCCCTCTTCTCTCTTATTCTCAAAAGCCTCTATAATTTGTTTCTAGTACAACATCATTCGATTCATAGTTTGTGCATCATTTGGCTCATTCGCTGCATCATTTCTATAACATTAGGTTGGATTTGAGAGGGCTGCTTTTTTTGAAATCTGTGTTCCTATTTTGGACGAAATTCAAAATTTGAATTGGATCTAAATGTTTCTAAATTTTGAAATATTATTTGAGTTTCTCCACGAAAAATTATCCTCCAATTAGGATTATGAGAATTAGAAAAATATTTCCTATTTTTACTAAAATCATGGGTTACTTGCACTTGCTCTTGCCTAGAATGAAATGATTGATCTAAATTATAATATTGAAATTCGAAATAATCATTTTCACCATACAAAGGACATGCACTATATGCATTCAATTGAAGGTTAAGAGGCTTTCTAATATTTTCAATAAGTAAATCAAGTTTTTCTAATATTTGAGTACTCTGATTAACCTCACTTCTTAAATTAGAATCATCATCATGATATAATTCATAAATTCCTCTCTTCTTATCCCTACCATATAATTCAAAAGAGACCTGATCTTTATAATTTTCACTTAAATTCTCATAAAGACTATAAATCTCATCAGGAGTTTTCTCCATAAAAGCTCCTCCACATATAGAATCAACTATGTTTTTATGTTGTTCTAATAATACATCATAAAAAATTCTATTGAGCTGCCACTTGGGTATAACATGATGATAATATTTTCTAAGTAAATCTTTGAATTTTTCTCATGTCTCATGTAAAGTTTCTCTTGGTCTTTGAGAAAAACTCCATATATGTTTTCTCATATTTTGAGTTTTTCCTAAGGAATAAAATTTTCGAAGAAAGGCCTATTCTATGTCTTTCCAACTAGTTAATTCTCTATCTAATGTGGATAGTCAATGACTACCTTTGTCCCTAAGTGTATGAGGAAATAATTTCATTTTAATAATTTTCGGTGTAACTTGAGAGAGATTAACTAAATCATAGACCACATGAAATTTTTCTAGATGCTGATGAGGTTCCTCTAAAGGCAATGACGTGACTCAGTCGTTGTATATTAAATCACGCACATATAAAATTTATAAAACTAGAAAATACGAATTTTCGGATATTTAGAAGTATTTCTGAATAAATATATCAATTATAATTCAATAAAACTTCCAAAAATAGCAGTAATTTTCCAGGTCGATCACAGACGATTCTGTAAATCAAAATATATTTTGGTAATTTTCCAGGTCGATCACAGACAATCACAGAGTTCCGCCCGGTGATTCTTACGAAAGCGATTACAGACGATTTAGTTAATCAAATAAAGATCTGTAAAAGCCAGAAGAATCGTAATAGAACAAAGTATATTTTGGTAATTTAAAATCACAAAAAGTATCACTAAATGAAGCGTAAAGTAAGTTTGAAAGCAAGAAAAGAGAGTTTCGACGTCGCGACGGTGATGCGTTGGCAATGCACCGGAATCCTGAGCGTTCGGGAGGATCGTCGTGCAGTGTCCACAGCCTCGAAGGCTCTCCTTGGGCAAAGATGACGTGGGCAATCTCTAGATCTTCTCGCGAAGTCTAGAAATTAATGAAATGGGTCGCTGAGTCGTCTCCGGCGGCTGTCACCCGGCAGAGTGGAAAAACGGCGACTTTGCGGCTCTCCGGCGGCTGTCACCCGACGGAGAGGAGCTGGATGGAGGTGGGGCGCGTGTCAGGGAGCTTCATCCTCAGGTCCGCGCAGCAAGAGGAGGCTCTTCATCGCATCTGGTACGCTCTCAGGAGGTGGCGACTCGTCTCCCGGCGGATCGTCCTCTTCCCGACGACGGCTTGTTTGTCGATCAATCGGAGATGATTTACTCGATGGATTCACGATCCTTTTATCGCAAATCGTTTAGCAATTTTAGTAGAAATGCTCCGCGAATCGCGTTGATGAGATTTTTGCCGATGATCCAGCGATTCTCGTTGCTTAATCCTTCACCGGCGATCTGCAGGAAAGTCGCGATAATCAGATAAAAATATATGAATTTTGACTCTGGGAGGATTCGAACCTGCGCCGGTCGCCCGCCTCTTCTGAGGAAGGTGTGACGGGGGTTTAGTCCCACATCGGTTGTGCGCTGATTTTTCGGACGAATGTATAGTAATGTTAGCTTTGTAAGCAAAGTCTCTTCTCTTGCGTGTACGACCACTCCTTGCCCCACAGCCGGCTGGCCACCGGTGACGTGGAAGGGGAGTGGCGTACACGTGCCCTATCAGTCCCCAAGCCAAGCTGCTCGAGCCCCTGCTCGCGGCTACTCCCCGACTGCGCTTCCGACCCGCTTGTGGGCCCGGCTGGCCGGCGGGTCCCCCCATTTTTGCAATATTTTTATTTTTATTTCTTGTTCTTCATTTATCTCGAAAGTAAGACTGTAAAAATCGTATAAAATCACATAATTACCCAAAAATTCACGTTAATCAACTTAAAACCACAAATCATTTTTTAACACAAATATAAGTCTATTTATCATGAGTTAACGCTAAAACTATATTATTTACTAATTATTAACTCATGATAATGAAGACTTAACAGGCAATCCATGAAAATTAGAGAGTATTTGAAAAATTCTTAAATTTATTTCGAATTTAATAGTGAATGCTAATGGGACTCTAATATTGGACGGTCTTTGAAATGAATTAGGGATATAATGATTTTTCATTACCATAGGATTGTTTTCAGTTTGACCTATACTTCATTCAAGATCCATCAAAATTAATTTTTCTTTTTAATTTTTAGTTTTTAATAAAATAATGAAAGAATTTTCTAGCCTTAGATGCAAGGATCTTCTACCATGCATAAAAAATTAATAAATTTGAAGAAAAAGTTTAATAATTGTTATCCTCCTTCAGTATGCTCTAGTCCTTGCCTTGTTTTTCTTCGTTCCTCTTTTTTTTTTTTTGGCAAGAAGAAAGTAAAACAAGAGTTAATTTTTTTTGTGTACCCTAAGAGAAAAATAAAAAAAATACTAAATATTATGCAATATATCTCCGGCAATGATACTAAAATTTGACGTGACTTTGTTGTTATATAGTAAATCATGCAAATTTAAAATTTATAAAACTAGAAAATACCAATTTTCAAATATTTAGAAGTATTTCTGAACAAATATATCAATTATAATTCAATCAAACTTCTAAAAATAATGATAATTTTCCAAGTCGATCACAGGGATGTAATATAATATTAGGTAATTATTTAAAATTTTACTCAAAGAATACAATTTTGTTTATGAATTTTATATTAGGAAACAAATATAAAATATATTTAACATTTTCGAAAAAGGGAAATAAGGGTACGGACATCAAAATGACGTCAGCACCCAACGAACGCGAATCGGGCAGAAACAAAGTTCCACCTAGTGATTCTTACATAAGCGATTACAAATGATTTAATTGATCATATTAAGATTTGTAAAAACTAGAAGAATCTTAATTGAATGAAGTATAGCTTGGTAAATTTAAATCACACAAATTATCACTAAATGAAGTAAAAATTAAGTTGAAAGTAGGAAAATAAAATTTTAGCATCGCGGCAGCAATGCGTCGGCGATGCGCTAGAATCCTGAGCATTCGGTAGGATTGTCGTGTAGTGTCCACGGCCTCAAAGGTTCTCCTTGGACAAGGACAATGTGGGCAATCTCTAGATCTCCTTGCGAAGTCTAGAGATCAATGAAATGGGTCGTTGAATCATCTTTGGTGGTTGTTGATGTGACTTAGTCGTTGTATATTAAATCACGTAAATCTAAAATTTATAAAACTCAAAAATATGATTTTTTAGATATTTAGAAGTATTTCTAAACAAATATATCAATTATAATTCAATCAAACTTCCAAAAATAGCAGTAGTTTTCCAAGTCGATCACAAGGATGTAATATAATATCTGGTAATTATTCAGAATTTTTCTCAAAGAATACTATTTTCTTTGAATTTTATACTAAGAAATGAAAAGGAAATATATTTAAAATTCACGAAAAAGGGAAATAAGGGTGAAGACGTCAGGATGATGTCAACGCCCCGGCGAATGCAAATTGGGTAGAAATAGAGTTCTGCCTGGCGATTCTTACGTAAGCAATTATAGACGATTTAATTGATCAAATTAAGATCTATAAAAGCCAGAAGAATCGTAATAAAATGAAGTATATCTTGGTAAATTTAAACTCAACAAATTATCACTAAATGAAACAAAAATTAAGTTGAATGTAGGAAAATAGAGTTCCGGCGTCGTGACGGCGATGCGTCGGTGATGCACCAGAATCCTGAGCGTTCGGGAGGATAGTCGTGCAATGTCCACGGCCTCGAAGGCTCTCCTTGGACAAGGACGATGTGGGCAATCTCTAGATCTCCTTGTGAAGTCTAGAGATCAATGAAATGGGTCGCTGAATCGTCTCCGGCGGCTGTGACCTGGTGGAGCGGAAAAACGGCGACTTTGTGGCTCTTCGGTAGTTGTCACCCGACGGAGAGGAGCTGGATAGAGGTGGGGCGAGTGTCAGGGAGCTTCATCCTCAGGTTTGCGTAGCAAGAGGAGGCTCTTCATCGCATCCGGTATGCTCTCAGGAGGTGGTGACTCATTTCCCGGCATATTGTCCTCTTCCCGACGACGGCTTGTTCGTCGATCAATCGGAGATACTTTACTCAATGGATTCGCGATCCTTTTATCGTGAATCGTTCAACAATTTTAGTAACAAGGCTCCGCGAATCACGTTGATGAGATTTTTGCCGATGATCTAGCGATTCTGGTTGCTTAATCCTTCACCGGCGATCTGCAGGAAAGTCGCGATAATCAGATAAAAAATATGAATTTTGGCTCTAGGAGGATTTGAACCCGTGCCGGTTGCCCGCCCTTTCTGGGGAAGGTGTGATGCGAGTTTAGTCCCACATCACTTGTATGCCAAAGTTTATGGCAAATATATAATAATATTACATTTGCAATCAAGTCCCTTTCTCACGCGTGTACGACCACTCTTTGCCCCATAGTCGGTTGGTCACCAGTGATGTGGAAAGGGAGTGGCACACATGCACCCTTATTGGTCCTAGCCGCTCGAGCCCTTGCTCACGGCTCCTCCTTGACTGCACTTCCGACCTGCTTGCGGACCCGGCTAGCTGGCAGGTTCCCCCTATTTTGCTATATTTTTATTTTTATTTATTTTTCTTTATTTATTTGAAAAGTAAGACTGTACAAATTATATAAATTCGTATACAATCACATAATTACCCAAAAATTCATGTTAATCAACTGAAAACACTTTTCACACTTTAACACAAATGTAAGTCTATTTATCATGAGTTAAGGCTAAAACTGTATTATTTACTAATTATTAACTCATGATAATGAAGACTTATCAACTGTCACTCGATAGAGCGGAAAAACGGCAACTTTGTGGCTCTCCAACGGTTGTCACCTGATAGAAAGGAGTTGGATGGAGGTGGGACATGTGTCAAGGAGCTTCATCCTCAGGTCTGCGCAGCAAGAGGAGGCTCTTCATCTCATCCGATACACTCTCAAAAGGTGGCGACTTGTCTTCTAGCGGATCGTCCTCTTTCCGACGACAGCTTGTTTGTCGATCAATCTAAGATGCTTTACTCGATGGATTCACGATCCTTTTATCATGAATCATTCAACAATTTTAGTAACAATGCTCTGCGAATCGCATTGACAAGATTTTTGTCGATGATCCAACGATTCTAGTAGCTTAATCTTTCACCGGCGATCTACAGGAAAGTCGCGATAATTAGATAAAAAATATGAGTTTTGGCTCTAGGAAGATTCAAACCCACACTAGTTGCCTGCCTTTGAAGCCTTTCGGGAGAAGGTGTGATGCTGGTTTAGTCCCACATCGCTTATGCGCTGAAGTTTTGGGCGAATAAATATGAATATCACATTTCGAAGCAATGAGTCTATTTCTCCCACGTGTATGACCACTCCTTGCCCCATAGCTGGCTGGCCATCGGTGATGTGGAAGGGGAGTGGCACACACGTGCCCCCACTAATCCTAACTACTCGAGCCCCTGCTCACAACTCCTCCTCAACTACACTTCTGACCTACTTGTGGGCTCGGCTAGCAGGTAGGTCGCCTCCCCATTTTGCTATATTTTTATTTTTATTTCTATTTTTTCATTTATCTCAAAAATAAGACTATAAAAATCATATAAATATATATAAAATCACATAATTAGCCAAAAATGAACGTCAATCAACTGAAAACCACTTTTCACACTTTAACACAAATATAAGCTTATTTATCATGAGTTAAGACTAAAACTATATTATTTACTAATTATTAACTCATGATAATGAAGACTTATCAATAACAAAAGGATGTGAAAGAATAAAAGAATGTAAAAGAATGTAAAAGAAATAAAAAAAATATAGATGAAGAAATACTCAATTTCCTAGTTGTATAATAGTTGTATAAAATATTTCCAAAAAGATCTCCCAATATGATCTCAATTGTTTCAATTTCAGTATGAGTAATGTTAACACAATTTCCTACATGCAAGCATGAGATAAAATTCCCTCTATAAATCAAACTATCAGCATGCTTTTACAATAACATTCTTGTAGGAAATGGCCATGAACTGTATTAAGCTTGACCTTGGTTGGTAATCTGTACCTATGACTGTAATATATGATTAAATATCATAAGAAAAAGGAAGGAAAATGGTTCTAAAGCTATTGATATGATTGATTACTAAATGTTTAAAATTAAATGATGATTCCTTCAAAGAATAATGAACATCTATACAAGTTATTAAAAGAAAGTAGAGAGCATGTATTTTACAAGTTAATCTTTGTGGCATAGTACTTCACATCCATACAAGCACTTTGTGGGCTAAAAATCTTACAACAGAATGCATTTCAGCAACTCTACAATCCCGTATTTATTTTAAGATATTTTTTAAAAATTAAAAAAGATTAAATCATTGATTTCGTAAAAAACTATAACTGCCTCATAATATGGAAGAAGATCTAGTGTCAACCAATAGCAGCATATACATAAAACAAATGTCTTATTACCCCCTCCCTCTACTTCAAAATATTTAATAAGATGTTATGCCCAATAAACTCATGCAACTTAAGACCTAGAAAATAAGAACATCATGCTTCAATCCAATTACTCTATGTATATTGCCCTCATGAGTTCATAAACTGACTGAAGAATTATCAACTCTTTCTCATGAGATTTCCATGTCATGGCAAGAAAAGAAAGTATTTCTGCCAGATTTTTTAAAATTTTGAACAATGCCTCTTTTTCAGATATTCAAAAACTCATTCAAGCAAATGGTATGCAACAAGATTGGTTGTTCATAATCCACTATCCATAGGCACTCGGAATGTAGGGCATTATGGAAACTCACTACTCGCACTGACCCTAATCCTTGACCATGTCCTGCAAATTGAAGCATTTAAATATTAAGAACACTCTACTCAAAAAAATAAAAGTCTTGCTAGCTTCAGTTCTTCTAGTGAAAGATTTAGACACCTTGAAAATTGAGCTACAATAAATTTCATGCCTTCAAGACATGTTGACAGAAATTATAGTCCACTAGCTCTTAACTCCAACCTTTCAATTTTGACTTAAAAGAGAGAGCTATGCAAGAGTATTAGAAATTAAATGGAAAATGTAGGAGCCCCAAGTTGTTAACATTTTAGGAATATTGCTCAACACCTAAGACCATCTCAGAAACTTTCACACACCTTTGGCCGAACTTTTTAGAGGTTTGTTTTTTGATACTTCACACACCTTTGAAGGAACTTTCTAGGAGGTCACCCATCCTATCACTACTCCTGCCCAAGCTCACTTAACTTTGAAGTTTTTCTACTTACTCCATAATGACTGTTAAAGCTAGATTTTTGTGTTTTAGTTAATTTTATTATTTTATTTTTATGTGTTAGCTTATAGAATAAGTATAAAAATATATTATTAATTCAGAAGTCTGAAGTTAAAATAGTTTGGATAATTTTTGATTATTTAGAAAAAAATAAAATAAAATATAAAAATATCTCTACCCACTAGCAAGTTGGCACTCGACAATTGACCTAGAAGGGTGCTGCACATGAGTGGGTAGACCTAGACTTGGGGGAGCCACGAGTTGGGCTCAAGTGGTGAAGGACTTGCTTTGTGCATGTGTGTCACTTCCTTGCTACATCTTGGTGGCCAATCAGTCATAGAGTAGGAGCATTGTACATACATGTGCATGCAAAGGCAGACTACCTTTTTACCTTCTCCCAAGATGGTCTTCGACATTATTTTTATTTTGGAAGAAAGGATCTTTATTGAGAAAATATTAAGTTCAAGACATATATATTAAGTTTAGTCATTTTAAAACTTTCGATGTAGGACTAATGTTCTCATTTATTTCAAGATAGCTGTTTTGAGTGCGGGGTGATCTAGTGGTGCTCAATTGGCCACGTTATTAGATAAGCTAGATCCTATAGCAGATGTACTACCACAAGACCTAAAGCGGTAAAGTAATCTATCAACAGTTCAAGAATTCAACGTCGCTTAGCATGCATGTGACCATAAATGATGATCCGATGGTGACTGAAGTGCCATGATACTAGGGACTTAAGTTCCCAATCGACAACAATTCTTGGTGGTTAATCCGAGGTCACTTAGCACACCACATAACCAAGCACATCTGATCTAGTGGCTCATGAAGTGCCACGACACCGGAAACTGAAGTTCTTGCACATATCCCTATTAGGGATATAAATAAAATAATCAATTATTGTTTGGTAAAATAGATATTATTGTTTATCTTAAAAATCCTGACGACAATTGCGAATATAGAATCTAATTCTTCTCTCTTTTCAAAAGATCAGTGCCTCCGACAATTGGCGAGCTCATTTCTTCCTCCTCCGACTACACTTAAGGTCTTTAGCGAGTGGTCAGCTCTTTCATTCTCTCCCTAAATGAGGATGACAACATAGTCAATCCCTTTTTTTGGCATCTCTCTCAAGCAAGTGGCATAGTGCTTTCAAATGATATTTCTGTAACTTTTGACATGGTGTGACACATCTAGATGAAATCAAGCCACCACATTGCTATCTCTAGTTGCTTAAGAGGCAAACTAAACTTGGGCAATGATTTCTTTTATGCTTTCAATATTTATTTTCTTTCTTTTGTCATTTATTTATATTTTATGGTAACTTATTACTATTTTGTACATGTTCTAGTAAAAATGAGTAGAACTTAGTAAAATCTTGATGAATGATTGTTGTTCATCTCCTAAATCTTCTGAAACTCATCTGAGATCAAGCTAAGATTGTGTTGAACTTATGTTTCATTAATTTCTATAATTAAATCTCAATGTAGTCGTGTTCCCATTATTTTATGAATAACAAGTATTTTTATATTTTCAAATGCAAAATCAACAAGATTAATGGCTGATTAATGTGCACTGAATTGTAAAACAAGGTGGAGACATTCACAACTGAGCTCATGTCATGTGTGTGAATTTTCGAGCACACATTTGACCAAAAATCATGGTAACCATAAAAACAAGTTGACCATGTTTCTCTCTTTCTTTATTACCATCTTATTTCTCTCTCTCCCTCTCTCGTGAGACATCTTAGAAAATACGTGACTTAGTTGTTGTATGATAAATCATACAAATTTAAAATTTATAAAACTCGAAAATACGAATTTTTGAATATTTAGAAGTATTTCTGAACAAATATATCAATTATAAGTCAATAAAACTTCCAAAAATAGCAGTAATTTTTCAAGTCAATCATAGGGATGTAATATAATATCAGGTAATTATATAGAATTTTTCTAAAAGAATATTATTTTCTATGAATTTTATACTAGGAAATGAAAATAAAATATATTTAAAATTCATGAAAAAGAGAAATACGAGTGCGGACGTCAAGATGAGGTCAGCGCCCAACGAACGCGAATCGGACCAAAATAGAGTTTAGCGTGGTGATTCTTACATAAGCGATTACAGATGATTTAATTGATCAAATTAAGATCTGTAAAAGTCAGAAGAATTGTAATTGAATGAAGAATAACTTGATAAATTTAAATCACATAAATTATCACTAAATGAAGTGAAAATTAAGTTGAAAGCAAGAAAACAAAGTTCCGGTGTCACGGCGGCGATGCACTAAAATCTTGAGCATTCAAGAGGATCATTGTGTAGTGTCCACGGCCTCGAAGGCTCTCCTTGGACAAAGACGACGTGGGCAATCTATAGATCTCCTTGTGAAATCTAGAGATCAATAAAATAGGTCATTGAATCGTCTTCAATGGCTATCACCTGGTGGAGTAGAAAAACAACAACTTTGCAGCTCTTTGGCGACTGTCACCCGACGGAGAGGAGCTGAATGGAGGTGGGGCGCGTGTCAGGGAGCTTCATCATCAGGTCCACATAGCAAGAGGAGGTTCTTCATCACATCCAGTACGCTCTTAGGAGGTGGCGACTTGTCTCCTGGTGGATCGTCCTCTTCTCGACGACGGCTTGTTCGTCGATCAATTGGAGATGCTTTACTTGATAGATTTACGATCCTTTTATCGCAAATCGTTTAGCAATTTTAGTAACAATGCTTCACGAATTGCGTCGACGAGATTTTTGCCGATGATCTAGTGATTCTGGTGGCTTAATCCTTCATCGGCGATCTACAGGAAAGTCACGATAATCAGATAAAGAATATGAGTTTTGGCTCTAGGAGGATTCGAACCCACGCCGGTTGCCTGCCCTTTCTGGGGAAGGTGTGACGCGAGTTTAGTCCCACATCGCTTGTGCGCCAAAGTTTATGGCAAATATATAGTAATATTACATTTGCAATCAAGTCCCTTTCTCACGCGTGTATGACCACTCTTTGCCCTATAGTCGGCTGGTCACTGGTGACGTGGAAGGGTAGTAGTGCACACACGCCCTTATCGGTCCTAGCCGTTTGAGCCCTTGCTCACGGCTCTGCCCTGACTATGCTTCCGACCTACTTGCGGGCCCGACTAGCCGGCGGGTTCCCCCTATTTTGCTATATTTTTATTTTTATTTCTTTTTCTTTATTTATTTGAAAAGTAAGACTATAAAAATCATATAAATTTGTATAAAATCACATAATTACCCAAAAATTCACATTAATCAGCTGAAAACCACTTTTCACACTTTAATACAAATATAAGTCTATTTATCATGATTTAAGGCTAAAACTATATTATTTACTAATTATTAACTCATGATAATTAAGACTTATCAGTCATTTCCACCTTGTGGCTTGCATTAAGAATAAGAAAGAAACACTGTAGTATACCATATATAGGGAAATAAAGTGGTGAGTAAAATAAGATGTTTCTCTTTGAGGACTATGTAGCCGATTTTCATCTGTCATTGATTACCTAAATGGCAACTGACACTATAGACTGATTTTCATCAAATTTTCCTCTCTTTTTACCCTTTTTTTGAATTATATTAATTATGAAGTATACATGTGTCACTGTTGACTTGTTTGCCCATTCTAGGGTTCCTCTTCTTACAATTGGACTAGATCCAATCAATCTTGGTCTATGAAGACTTTTGGGTCTGTTGGAGCTTTTCCTACCCCCCTTTGTTTCTCTAAGTCACTTTAATCTCTGAATCTTTTCTTCGAGGTAGGTATTTTGAGTAGAAGGGTAGCATTTTCCTGACGGATTGTTTCTCCCCTTTCCCCCTTGTTCACCCCTTTTTATCATTTTCTTCCTTTGTTTTCCTTTTTTTTCTCCTCCCCCCCCTTTTTTTTAAGGGGGAAGAGGGGGGAAAACATTACTGACTTTTGGTGCTTTCACTATTTCTTTTTTTATTTTTTATTTTCCTTTCCTTGTGTACTTCAATTCTTTGACTTCACTAGACCTTCATGGTTAATTGGGTAGGCTCCTTTTGGTAATTACTTCATCCTGCCTAATTTGGATCAAGCCTTTTCTATCTTGTGCATGTGGTATATGGCATGCCCAATGCTCCAAATTGTATATGCCTCTCCCTTCCCAAGGTAGGTCCTGCATACATTTGTACATTTTCTCCTCTTTCTATCATAAACTCACATTAGCAAGATAGTCAACTAGTTGGTTACTTATGTGAAAATATGTCTATGTGATTCTATCTCTTTCTATATCCTTTTTAATTTCCATTGTTTATATTCCTGTTTCTCAAACATATTCACAAGTGTCATTATGTTTCAACTACAATGTTAAACATGTTTAATTTTTCAGATAATCTTAATCCATCGGCTAGTGCTTTACATTCTGCTTCCATATTAGTTAGTATTTCATATTGTGTTAAGAATACTACTATGAGAATACTACTATTAATTTACCGTAGTGATCTCGAATTACTCCTCCTTTCAATTTCCCAAGGTTCCCTTTTGATGTCCCATCAATATTCAGCTTCATTTCACCCTCTAGAGGGTGAACATATTTGATGATATTTATTATCTAATCGTATTTTACATTTTCAGTCTCCACTTCCCATCTTTGTAGAATTAGTTTTTGTTTGCAAATAATTCAGTTTTTGTGTTCACTTCTCCTTAGATTTTTCATCCACATTTTACATTTGTGCATGATAAGGGGAATGGTGATTTTGTCTCCATTCATTTGTACTTTATTCCTTCCTATCCATAGTTCTCATAGTAAGCATGAGATATGTATCCTGCACATTATTTCTATTGTTCTCTCTCTTGTTCTTATATCTTAAAGCATTATGTGCTCGAAGTAGTTTCTATAGTTGGTACCACTAAGTTCTCCATTCATAGTTAATGGCCATATGCATAGATCTTTATCTGAGTTTGTGTAGTGGACTGTTGTGTCAATTTTTTTTATGAGGTTCATATTCATTCCTGCCGTGTATAGGATTTCTTGCTAGTTTCTCTCTATTAATTGGGATACAATCATTTTTGGTTTGTTGGTATTAATCATTTTTGCTAGTAAGATGCATATTTTCTAGGAATTGCCTTAGTCTTTTTATGGACTTTCTTTTGGTATTAGTAAAAGATTATTGAATCATCTGTGAATAATGCATGTGAAATTAGTGGGTAGTTTCTCATTGTCACAATTTTTTTAATCCTAGCTTTTTGAAATAATTCTATTAACCCTCTACTCATTACTTCCTCAACTATTTTGGATAGGGCAGGGGATAGTGGATCACCTTGTCTCAGTCCTCTACTAGTAGTAAAAAAAGGTGAAGTTTTACCATTAGTTAGGAGAAAAAAATGATTGTTCTCTATGCAGACTTTAATCCATTCTATCTGTTTTTTACTAAATCTAAATCTTTGTAATACTTCTATGATGAATCATCATTCAATTTTGTCATATGCTTTGGCCATGTCTACTTTTAATATGGTGTTACCTCTTGTGTTCTCTTTGTTGATGAATTAGGTCATTCTTGAACTAGTGCAATATTTTCGTTGATTGATCTTCTTTCCACAAAGGCTTTTTATTCGGGTGATATGATTTTGGATAAGATTTTTCTGAGTCTTTTGCATATTATTTTAGGTATAATTTCATAGCACACATTGCATAAACTAATTGGTCTAAATTCAGGGAAGTTTTTTGATGTTTCATGTTTGGGAATGTGTTAGAAATGTGGCTTTCCATGATCGTGGGAGGAAGTTTGATAACATAAATTCTTTGATTACTTGACATACATCTTCACTTACTATATCCCAACATGTAGTATAAAACAACTCCCATTTCATCTGGCCTTGGGACACTATCCTTCCTCATGTCAAATATCATTTCTCTTATTTCCCTATCATCTGACATTTTACATAATGCTTCATTGTCTTCCTCATTTATTCATTTGGGGATTACTTCAAAAAGTTTATGATCATAATTTTGTATTTCTATTTGTAGTAAATTTGATAGTAAATTATCCCTTCTCTCTATATGTTGTTCCAATTGACGTTGGCTTCTTTTAGTATTTGTCTAATGAGTTGTTGTCCTTTTTGATTTTTGTGTTGGCTTGAAAAAAATTAATATTTCTCTTGCCCTCTCTTAGCTAGTGGATTAATAAGTCTTCATTATCATGAGTTAATAATTAGTAAATAATATAGTTTTAGCCTTAACTCATGATAAATAGACTTATATTTATGTTAAAGTGTGAAAAGTAGTTTTTAGTTGATTAACATGAACTATTGGCTAATTATGTGATTTTATATGAATTTATATGATTTTTATAGTCTTTCTTTTAAGATAAATGAACAAAAAGAAATTAAAATAACAATATAACAAAATGGGGGGGGGGGCCCACCGGCTAGCCGGGCCCGCAAGCGGGTTGGAAGCGCAGTCGGGGAGGAGCCACGAGTAGGGGCTCAAGTGGCTAAGACCGATGGGGACGTGTGTGCACCACTCCCCTTCCACGTCACTAGTGGCCAGCCGGCTGTGGGGCAAAGTGTGGTCGTACACGCGGGAGAAAGAGACTTACTTGTAAATGTAATATTACTATATATTCACCCGAAACTTCAATGCACAAACGATGTGAGACTAAACCCGCATCACACCTTCCCCATAAAGGGTTTAAAGATTTTCATACCTAAAAGACCCCTTATTTATAATAGAGATATACCATGATGATGTCATTTTATAAGAGCATTAGAATACTTATGTCAATCTCTCTCATGTAGGGGGGCAATCGGCGTGCATTCGAATCCTCCAAAACTCATATTTTTTACCTAATTATCACGATTTTTCTGCAGATTGCCGATGAATGATTGAGCTATTAGAATCACTAGATCATCGGCAAAAATCTCGTCAATGCAATTCGTAAAGTATTGTTACTAAAATTACTAAATAATTCACGATAAAAGGATCGTGAATCCATTGAGTAAAGCATCTCCGATTGATCGACGAACAAGTAGTTGTAGGGAAAAGGATGATTTACCGGGAGACGAGTTGCCACCTCCTGAGAGCATACCGGATGTGATGAAGAGCCTCCTCTTGTTGCGCGGACCTGAAGATGAAGCTCGCTGACATGCGCCCCACCTCCATCCAGCTCCTCTCCGTCGGGTGACAGCTGTTAGAGAGCCACAAAGTCGCCATTTTTCTGCTCCACCAGGTGACAGCCGCCGAAGATGATTCGACGACTCATTTCATTGATCTCTAGACTTTGTAAGGAGATCTAGAGATTGCCCATGTCGTCCTTGTCTAAGGAGACCCTTCGAGGCTATGGACACTGCACGACGATCGTCCCGAACGCTCAAGATTCCGGTGCATTGCCGACGCATTGTTGCCGCAATGCCGGAACTCTGTTTTTCTACTTTCAACTTAATTTTCGCTTCATTTAGTGATAATTTATGTGATTTAAATTTACCAAGCTATACTTCATTCAATTAAGATTTCGGCTTTTACAAATCTTAATTTGATCAATTAAATCGTTTGTAATCACTTACGTAAGAATCACCAAGCAAAACTCTATTTTCGCCCGATTCGCGTTCGTTAGGGCGCTGACATCATCCTGACGTCCGCACCCTTATTTCCCTTTTTCGTAAATTTTAAATATATTTTATTTTCATTTTCTAGTGTAAAATTCATAGAAAACAGTATTCTTTGAGAGAAATTCTGAATAATTACTTAATATTATAATACATCCCCATGATCAACCTAAAAAATTACCACTATTTTTGGAAGTTGTATCGAATTATAATTGATATATTTGTTCAGAAATACTTCTAAATATTTAAAAATTTATATTTTCTAGTTTTATAAATTTTAAATTTACGTGATTTACTATACAACAACTAAGTCACATCAAATTTTGGTGCCGTTGTTGGGGATGTATTACATAATATTTAGTATTTTTCGTTTCACTCTTAGAGTACACAAAAAAAAAATATTAACTCTTATTTAATTTTCTTCTTGCCGAATTTTTTTTAAAATAAAAAAGGAACGAAGAGAAGCAAGGCAAGGACTGGAGCATACTAAAGGAGGGTAACAATTACTAAACTTTTTTCTCAAATTTATTGATTTTTTATGCATGGTAGAAGATCCTTGCATCCAAGGCTAGAAAATCCTTTCATTATTTCATTCAAAAGTAAAAATGCGAAAGAAAAATTAATTTTGATCGATCTTGAAGGAAGTACAGGTCAAACTGAGAACAATCCTATGGCCATGAAAAATCATTATATCCTTGATTTATTTCAAAGAGCATCCAATATTAGAGTCCCATTAGCACCCACTATTAAATTCGAAATAAATTTAAGAATTTTTTAAATGCTCCCTAATTTTTATGAATTACCTTCAGAGGAACCTTATCAGCACTTAGAAAAATTAAATATGGTCTGTGATTTAGTTAATCTCTCTTAAGTTACACAAAAAATTATTAAGATGAAATTATTTCCTCATACACTTAGGGATAAAGCTAGCCATTGGCTATCCACAATAGATAGAGAATTAACTAGTTGGAAAGATATAGAACATGCCTTTCTTCAAAAAAATTATTCCTTAAGAAAAACTCAAAATATGAGAAAACATATATGGAGTTTTTCTCAAAGACCAGGGTATAAGACAGAAAAAATTCAAAGATTTACTTAGAAAGTATCCTCATCATATTATACCCAAGTGGCAGCTCAATAGAATTTTTTATGATGGATTATTAGAACAACATAGAAATATGGTTGATTCTATATGTGGAGGAGCTTTTATGGAGAAAACCCTTGATGAGATTTATAGTCTTTATGATAATTCTAAAGATCAAGCCTCTTTTGAATTATATGATAGGGATAAGAAGAGAGAAATTTATGAATTGCATCATGATGATGATTTTAATTTAAGAAATGAAGTTAATCAGATTAATCAAAGATTAGAAAAACTTGATTTACTTATTGAGAATATTAGAAAGCCTACTAACATTCAATTGAATGTATATAGTGCATGTCCTATGTATGGTGAAAATGATAAATTTCAATATTATAATTTAGATCAATCATTTCATCCTAGGCAAGAGCAAGTCCAAGTAACTCACGATTTTAGTAAAAATAAAGAATATTTTTCTAATTCTTATAATCTTAATTGGGGGAATAATTTTTCATGAAGAAACCCAAATAATATTCAAAATCCAAAAGCATTTAGATCCAATTCAAATTTTGAATTTCGTCCAAAATGGGAACACAGATTTCAGAAAAATCAGTCCTCTCAAATCCAACCTAATGCTATGGAAATGATGCAGCCAATGAGCCAAATGATACAACAAACTATGAATCAAATGATTTTGCACTAGAAACAAATTATAGAGGCTTTTGAGAATAGTTGAGAAGAGGGACAACCACCTAGTTAGCCCATAAAAAATTCAGAAAATTGTCAAAGAGTAGGATTTTAGCAAGGAGAATTTAGCTGGATAAATTTAGAAAAAAACCCACGAAATGAAAATATTAGGACAATGAATATATTGAGTGAGAATATTTTACTTGATCCTTATTTCTAATTATTAGAAGAAATCGATGGGCCATTAGAAGTAAATGAGAATATTAAGGCTGAAAATATAGTAGCAGAACATTTGAATAAAATCATTTATTGCTCACAATTAATGAATGAATACAGTGAGGATGATGAGGAGAAAAAACCCTTAGATGAGGAAACAACAGCTGATCATGGAAAAATCATCTAAATTTTAGTAGAAGGGAGTAAGGACAGAAATAAAGAAAAATATATTTAAGGTGAGGAAAAATCAGTATAATTAGGAGATGTAGGAGATGAAATTAATAAATCTAATCATAATTTTGAAGCCATAGATGTTGATAGTGAGAATGATGATGTATATCATATACTGAAATTAGAAGATAGCTCTTGGGAAGATGAAGAATTTGATGAATTAAGAAACGAAAAGTTAGAAAAAGAGTTGATTCAACTAATCGGGAGAAATGAAAAGAATGAATATGAATATTGACATGACTTAGTCGTTGTATATTAAATCATGCAAATATAAAATTTATAAAACTAGAAAATATGATTTTTCAGATATTTAGAAGTATTTTTGAACAAATATATCAATTATAATTCAATAAAACTTTCAAAACATAGCATCAATTTTCCAAGTTGATCATAGGGATGTAATATAATATCTGATAATTATTCAGAATTTTCCTCAAATAATACTATTTTCTATAAATTTTATACTAAGAAATGAAAAGGAAATATATTTAAAATTTACGAAAAAGAGAAATAAGGGTGCGGACGTCAGGATGACGTCAGCACCCGGCAAATGCGAATTGGGCGAAAACAAAGTTCCGCCTGGTGATTCTTACGTAAGCGATTATAAATGATTTAATTGATCAAATTAAGATCTGTAAAACCGGAAGAATCATAAGTGAACAAAGTATATTTTGGTAAATTCAAATCACAAAAATTATTACTAAATAAAACGTAAAGTAAGTTGAAAGCAGGAAAACAGAGTTCCGGTGTCGCGGCAACGATGCGTCGGCGATGCACCGAAATCTTGAGCATTTGGGAGGATAGTCGTGTAGTGTCTATGGCCTTGAAGGCTCTTTGTAGACAAGGACAATGTGGGCAATCTCTAGATTTCCTTGTGAAGTCTTGAGATTAATGAAATGGGTCGTCGAGTTGTCTCCGGCTGCTGTCACCTAGCGGAGCGGAAAAACGGTGACTTTACGGCTCTTTGGCAGCTGTCACCCGACGAAGATGAGCTGGATGGAGGTGGGGCGCGTGTCAGGGAGCTTCATCCTCAGGTCCACGTAGCAAGAGGAGGCTCTTCATCGCATCTGGTATGCTCTTAGAAGGTGGCGACTTGTCTCCCGACGGATCGTCCTCTTCTCGACGACGGCTTGTTTGTCGATCAATCGGAGATGATTTACTTGATGGATTCACAATCCTTTTATCGCGAATCCTTCAGCAATTTGAGTAACAATGCTCCGCGAAACGTGTTGACGAGATTTTCGCCGATGATCCAGCAATTTTGGTTGCTTAATCCTTCACCGTCGATCTACAAGAAAGTCGTGATAATTAGATAAAAATATGAGTTTTGGCTCTGGGAGGATTTGAACCCGTGCCGGTTTCCCCCGCCTCTTCTGAGGAAGGTGACGGGTTTAGTCCCACATCAGTTGTGCGCCAAATTTTTTGGCGAATATATAGTAATGTTACATTTCTAATCAAGCGTGCGTGTACGACCACTCTTTGCCCCACAGCTGGCTGACCACTAGTGATGTGGAAGGGGAGTGGCGCACACATGCCTCCATCGGTTCAAGCCACTCGAGCCCCTGCTCGCGGCTACTTCCCGACTACGCTTCCGACCCGCTTGCGGGCCTAGCTGGCCGGCGGGTCCCCCCATTTTGCAATATTTTTATTTTAATTTCTTTTCCTTTATTTATCTCAAAGTAAGACTGTAAAAATCGTATAAAATCACATAAATATCCAAAAATTCACATTAATCAACTGAAAACCACTTTTCACACTTTAACACAAATATCAGTCTATTTATCATGAGTTAAGGTTAAAACTATATTATTTACTAATTATTAACTCATGATAATGAAGACTTATCATATGTCAAGGTATATATATGAAGTACATGAATTTATGCTAAATCTGAAAAAGAATATCATGAAACTTAGCTTGGGATACAAATATATTTTGATGGCCATAGATCATCTTATATAATCTAAGAGCTGTCCAGCTGAAGACATTAAATTCAGCGTTGCTTAGAAGGCAACCCATGTTTTTTTTTTCATTCTGTTTGAATTTTTTTTAAGCTCTATTTTTCTTAGAATTTCGCAATACTTGTTTCTATATTTGTTTTTTCAAAAAAGTGGAGGAGGAGTGTAAGATGAAGTGGAAAATTAAAAATGAGGTTGAGGTGATGTCTTTCTGAGCTTGAACATTTATGACAACATTTTTAATGCTTAACTTTGCATATATGCATGCTTCACTTGAAAATTATATTTTTTGTATATTTTGTTTCGATTTTTCTGTGTCATTGAGAACAATGTCATTTTTAAGTTGGGGGGTGAAGTATTAATTATTAATTTATGCTGTAGGACGATTAAGAACATGTGTTTGCATTTTATTTTATTTTTTTCATGCTAACTTAGAACAACAACTAAAAAATAAAAATAAAATAAAATTCAGAAAAACTACAACATCTATTTTCTGGTTTTCTATTAGGAACAATAGACTGTCCAAAATAGTAGACAAAAAACAACCTGAAATTTTAAATTCTAGAGACCCTTTTCTCACATTTCAATCCCCTAGACATATTCTACTGAAATTCAAAATTACAGCTATAAAGGGGATAGTTTTGAATTTTTTTGACAATTTAATTGTTGCTAAAAATAGAACTGAAAATAGAAAATAGAACTGTCAGAACAATCTAATTTAAAAATTTCTTACATCATATTGTATGCATGAAAAATTAAATCAATTAGATTGATTGATATCAAAAGATACTAGGAAGATTATTAGACAGTCGCAAAGTCACTGTTTAGGGTTTAGGGTTTAGGGTTTAGGGTTTAGGGTTTAGGGTTTAGGGTTTTTAAGAAGAAATTTGATTGAGTGATAAAAGTTTGACCTCATTCCGAGGTTACATAAGTGGGATCTCATTCGCACAAGGGGCGAGGATGACATGAAGAATGAAAGACCTCTTTTGAAGAGGAGATGTGATGATACTGGAGATAGACTCCAAGGCGTTCATCATATTTGAGGAAGGTGATTGATTTGCATTGGGTTGAAAAAGCCTTTGAGTGCATGAAAGTTGGAAGATCTGCTCAACAGGAGTAGGACGAGAGCTCCATGTTGTGCGCCATGCAATGTTCCTACAAGACAAGAGTTTGTTGCAGTAAGTGGTTCTAAGAGATAAACAAATTGATATAAAGTGGTGAGAAAATAGTTATTAGGGCAGTGAAGAGGATAGAACTATGCTGAAGCATGACAATAAGCCCAAATATGAACTTGCCTTGCTAGTGTTGCACGCGCCTAATCCCTCTGGCCAAGATCTTGTTAGTATCATCAGTTGCCGTACTTCCTCTAAGTAGGTAAGGGACCTTTCACCCCACGAGGAATGACTTGGTCTCTGGTTCTAACTCATTTCTTTTCTCTTATTCTCTCTCTCTTCTTTCTCTCTCCTTGAGGGCCTCTTCTTTTACCCTCCACTAATGCCCATTATTTGGTGTACATTAGGCTAGTGATTAAGGGAAGGGAAAAAGGTTGCCCCTTTTTTTTTTTTTTTTTTTTTTGTTTTTTGGTTTTAGGGCCCTTTCCCTCACCCTCCACTAATTGTCTATGATGGGCTAGTGATTCCGGGAAAAGAAGTAGGCTGTCTTTTTTTTTTTTTTTTTTTTTTTTTCCTAGAGAGAGAAAGGGAGGGAGAAAGAAATAGAGAATCGAGAGAGAGAGAGAGGAGAGAGGGTCAATCCTATGGATATAGATCTTTACCTTCTCATGGGTTCAAGCTGGCTGATGGTACTAATAAGATCTTGAGAGAGGTGCTAGGTTGCCGATTCACAACTAGTTTGGCAGGTCTGATGTGCTATAGACCTATAGTTCAAAAGTGGGCCGATGCCAACATATGCTGATAGTTCTATGTCCTCACTACTTGAGCATGATAGATAGTAGATGTGATGTGATTATGAGGAGAGTAATGATTGGAAGTAATGTACCCGAGTGGATTACGATGTGCCTTGTTGTCCGTGTTGTGTTGTATCTCCATTGTGGTCTTCAGCGGCCAATAGTAACCACCCTTGATCTCCTCCAAGCAATACGCCACTGTCGTGGAGAGGCCGGTAGTGGAGTGCGGTGTATGCGTAAAGAGGGTATGCCGAGTCGCTCAAGTCTATGAGCACCTCGGGCTTCCAGGGGCATGTCCTGCCAAAAAGAGAAGACTGTCCTCCGACGCGATCTGACTCCATGCGCAGCAAGGGCGTCAGCTGTCTGATTCCCTTCTCGGAATTGATGCGTAATAGTTGTGATGCGTCCTCGACATCGCATGATGTCTGCCCAGATATTCTTGAGCCTCCAATGAGGACAAGAGTCTGCACGTAACATGTCCACTAACACTTTGGAATCAGATTCTAAGACAATGTTAGTAATATTTTGCTCCTCACAAAGAAACAAACCATCCCGTATTGCCATAGCCTCTGCCACAGTATTAGTTTGTATATTATAAAAGTTCGAAAAGGCAAAGAGAATGCATCCTGTACTATCGCGTAAGATACCGCCTCCTCCAGATGATCCTGGGTTGCCTTGAGATGCTCCGTCGACGTTGAGTTTCCACTGTCCAGCCCTCGGTGGTGTCCATCTAACAGATCGGACAGTAGTCCAGGTCTGTGTAGGTATGATATGGAGTCCCCAAAGCCCAAAAGCCTCACAAACAGAACGCGAGCGTTTCGTTTTATTTGGCACTAAGGAATGAGTACTCCGAAGCCATTGTGTTACGTGCCTCATAATCTCTGTGGCACGCATCACTTGGCCTGCATATCGAGATGAGTTACGTCCCTTCCATATTTCCCATAACATATATGCTATGGAGATACGGATGAAAGGACAAACCTTGACACTCGTCGGTGAGTCAAAGACTCTCCTAAAGACCTCTAGTGGTGGTCTCGTAGGTCTGTACGAGAGCATTGGAAGCCAATTCGCTAGAAGTTGACGCCAACACTCGACAGCGATATCACTATGGAAAAATAAATGTTCTATACTTTCGTCTGTCGTGATGGAGCAACAATGACATTTCCTTTCCACCTCCTGATCGGTGACAATCACTCGATCGTCGGTGGGTAGTCCTCGGTGCATGAACTTCCACAGGAAGAACGAAACACGAGGTGTGATGGCCGGATGCCATATGAGATTTCCCCAAAATGTCTTTGGGGAGCGGTTTCTAAAGTGCTCCCAAGAGGAGCTACAAGAGAAACTGCCATCTATGGTAAGTGTCCAGATGGGTTGGTCCTCAGTAAAACTCATCTCAGTCATGGTGATGGCTGGTAACAAGTCCGACGGTAGTCCATGCCTCTCAATAAGTAGACGAGTGTCTCCTTGGAGAAGCTGGGCTACCGTCAAGCGAGGCCAAGAAGATGTGAAAGTGGTAAAACAGGCCAATGGTGTGTCCTCTAGCCAAGTGTCGTACCAGGCACTGATCTCGCCTCGCCCCACTCGCCAACGAATAAGAGGCACCATCTCCAACCAATGTCGCTGCCAGTCTGCCCATCGTTTGACTCCTTTGATGTCAACCGGCTGTCGAGCCCACTCACCATATTTGGCTGACACAAAAGTACCTAACACCGATGGTGTGGTCCTCATCCTCCAAATGAGTTTCTTTTGAAGCATGTTAAGTACATCTTGAGGGCGCCTAATACCTAGGCCACCCTCATCCGTAGGTCGACATGCTTTCTCCCAAGAAACTCGGCGTTGACGACGAGGTCCCTCAAGTTGTCCATCCCAAAGGAAGGACGTACATATCCGTCTAATAGTCTGTAAGACGGTGTCTGGTACCTCATGGACTGCCAAAAGGTGTAATGGTATGCTCATGAGGACATGGCGTATCAACTGGATCCGTCCTCCAGGGGATAGAAGTTGTAACTTCCATCCTGCTAGTTTCTTCCTTAACTTGCCCACTAGGGCGTCAAAATAGTGTATGCGCCTACGGCCGAGGAAGATAGGACATCCTAGATAGTCAAAAGGTAAGTGTCCACGAGAGAACCCTGTTAGGCCCTGGATGCGTCGTATGGTCCCTATGGGAGTAGAAGGGGCTACTATGAAGCTACTCTTCGAGGCATTTACGAGTTGACCTGCAGCTCGCTCATACCTCGAGATAATACTCATGAGCCCTCTAATGGATGTCTCACCTCCATTGAGGAAGAGTATCGCATCATCAGCAAAGAGGGAGTGTGAAATGATCGGGCAACCCCTCTTCGAGTAGTATGGTCGGATAAGTCCTTGATTGATCGCTCGGGTGAGGGATCGACTGAGGACTTCTTCAACTAAGATGAAGAGGGTGGGTGATAGTGGATCGCCCTGTCGTAGACCTCTCGTGGCCGTGAAGAATGGTGTGGAGCTACCGTTCACTAATAAAGAGAAATGATTCTCCCTAACACATGCATCGACTAAGTCAATGAAGTCGTCGGTGAACCCAAAGCATCTAAGAACCTTAATGAGGAAACTCCACTCTATCCTATCAAAGGCCTTCTCCATGTCTAATTTGATGATGATGTTAGAGCCTCGACAATCATGGCCAAGGGACTATGCTAGTTCATGTACTAGCATGATGTTATCGTGAATGTACCTTCCCTTGACAAATCCGCATTGTTCTGGAGATATAAGTCTATCAAGGAAACTACTCAATCTACGTGTAACGATCTTAGATACAACTTTATAACACACGTTACACAAAC